TCGATTTTATCATTAATGATACTTCTCTGATTGTTTCCATTTTGAAGTGAGGTGCCTCGAGATATTGATTTAGTCGTTTGAGGTTGAAAACCGGGCGTACGCCCCCATTCTTTTTGGGAATTACAAACAAGGAGCTGTAAAAACCTGGTTCTTGTTGGACCTGATGAGGAGACACCTTTTCGATTGCTGATTTGTTCAATAGATCGTGGACTGCTTGATCGATCAATGTCGCTTGTTCTGCTGAAAAAGGAGTAATGGATGTTGGTGCTGTAGTTGTTGGAGGTGTTGTATGAAAAGGAATGTGGTAACCGTGTTGAACAGTGCTGATAACGAATGAATTGTTGGTGATATCTTTCCAATGTTGAAGGTATTTGCTGAGTCGACCACCTACCGGGTCGGTTATTAATGTTGTTGCTGGTGTTGCTGTTACTGACAAAAAGAGCTGTTGGTCTTCCTGCTGTTGTTGCTGTTGTTGCTGTTGTTGCTGTTGTTGCTGTTGTTGCTGTTGTTGCTGTTGTTGCTGTTGTTGGTACTGTTGTTGCTGTTGTTGCTGTTGTTGGTACTGTTGTTGTTGTGGTTGCTGTTGTTGCTGAGGAAACCACCCTGCTCCGAGGGTGGACCTGTCCTAAAAAACGAAGGATCCGTCCCAGTAGAAGTAGAACCAGAGTTGGAAGAGTTACGATTGAAGCGACGTTGCTTGCGATTGACAGTAGCCTCACGAGTTGCCTTTCTGGCAGCAGTTTGTTGAACGAGCGTCTGTTGAAACTCTTCCAAAGGAAGGGTGTAGTTGGCTTTAGAATCGTTGTCGATACTGAAGGATGGATTGACAGCTCGCAAAGCGAGATTGTTTCGCTGCTGAGTCATCATTGAGTAAACATGAAGGAGAAGACGTCGGATATCACGCAGCATGGTACTGTAACGTTCCAAGTTGGGATTACCGTTTTCGTGGGTGAACATCTCATGAATGAGAATGTCCAGAGGGCGAGAGGCGGCCGACAAGAGGCACTGAAGTTGCTTGAGAGAGTGATCCTCGTACTTTTGTTCTCGATTCATCATACGCTCAGCAGTGGGAATGGTAGCAGGAGCGCGATAGTCAAGATGGGCCATAGGAGGATAAGACTCAATGATCGCTTTGCGTTCAGAGTCTGGAAAAGGCTTGGTGTGATGGATAGAATTATCCAATTCCAAGAATTCCATAAGGGCATCCGAAGGAGACCAGTCGTAGTGAGGGCGAGTGCCGAAGGAATGAAGAGGTGGAACCGCATAGGTGTAGGTACAGAAGCCGTTTGAATCTGAGCTTGAAGTGATGCAAATTGTTGTTGTAAAGCTAAAAGTTGTTCTTCGATAGTTGACATCAGGAAGGTTGTAGTTACGTTGAAAGTAAGCTGGTAATGACCGAGCGAAAAAGAAGATTAATGATTTAGATGGAAAATTTATTGTCTTTATATATCCTTTGAATTCGCTCAAAATAAAGTTTAAAGAAGATTCTAGCATAATAACATTTCCTATTTTGTTCTGACGGTCTCAAGAAATTCTTGCGAGAAATTTCTTTCGACCTAAAACTCAATTTCTAAAAAACTCTCGATTTTTTTTTTGAAGACTTCCCAAAAATAAAATAAAATTCTCAAAAACTTTTCTATTGGTCTAAAAAAACTATAATCTTCTCAAATGTAAAAGAAAATACTGTAGAGTTGTTTCCCATTTTCAAACTCCAGACATTTATGCCGACTTACAAGTATGCCATTTGTGTACTCAAAAATTATTTTTAGAGAAAAAAGTAGAAACCATTACTCTAAAATAAAACAAAAATAATTTATGTAATGACAAAAAGCAAAAAAAGTAGAAAATTTCTGATTTTCTGGTTTTAAATTAAAAAAAAAAGCCAATTTTTCAATTTTTCTGTTTTGAATAAATAAACGTGTCTACCGGATAGTAATTTCAGTGTTTTGGCTTAAAGAAGAGATTTACTGGTTGGTAGACTCGTTTTTTATCTCAAAACAGAAAAATTGAAAAACAAGCTTTTTCTAAAATTTTAAGCAGAAAAATTAGAAATTTTTTACTTTTTTTTTATTTTTTTGTCATTGCAGAAAATGTTTTTGATTTGTTTTAGAGTAATTGTTTTAATTTTAAAATAATGTTTTTTTTATTATTTTTCAGAAAATATTTTTTTTAGTATACAAATGGCATACTTGTAATTTCGGCATAACTGCCAATATTTTTCTTATTTTTGAAAATGCTCTTTTTTTTTGTAAGTCCAACACATTGATTACGAAGGCCTTAGTTATACGCGTCTTTCTATTACACTTCGAGCCTTGTGGTCTTTGATGTTATCTTTCTTTTATTGGTTAAATTCGAACTTGTACTACTTAAAATATATATAAAATAAAATAAAACTAAACTATGTATCTTTATCTTCTTTGGTGAGAAATATTTAATTGAAGAAAGACACGGGAAGAGGGGGCGGGAACAACAAAGATCACTTCGCTCTCGTGTAATAACTTCAATACTTCATGTATTCGTATTTACATAAAAAAAATTAACATAAAATTAAATAAAATTAACAAAAAAAAATGTTGTCAAAAAGTTGAGGCGAGCACAACTTGCAAAGAGCTATATTAAACTAATAGTGCTTTATAAAGATTACAATATCGATTGATAACAAGTGAAAAGGTACAATTAAGATAAGACTACCGTTTATTAAAAGGTAAAACACAAGATTTACAATGTCAGACACATATGAGAAAATATAATAACAAATAACGGCCATAAGCTCAATTGATGCACTTTTCCAGATAATTTAATCATATTATATCTATTCCCATGAATGATACAACAAATACAGTAAAACAAAAGGTAAGTCAGTGCTATGAGTAGGAAAAAGTGAAAGAAGGACTACAGTCTTGTACGTACTTGCTTTTCATCTTCAAGTAGCTTTGAAGCAACCGTAAATCAGTACGCATTTGTTGTAGGGTGGAGTAGACATTAAATGAGATGTTGTCAGACAAATCTCTAGCGTGCTTTCCAGACTTGTGAAAGGGCGACAATGACAATGTCAATGATTTTTAAGTTTTCTTCTGTGAGTAGCCTATTCTAGTATAAAAAGTGCTTAAATAACATCTTTGACAGTGACCGTAGGCCATATAGATTCGAAGATGAGATTGTTTCAGAAAAACGTATTTGGCTCACAACAAAAAAGGAGATGTTGATGGAGCGTGCAAATCGGACAAAGAGGTGAGAGGACCTTACCAGTAATTATGTATTAGAAAAGTTTTCTAGAGGACAGTTTGGAAACAAACAGCAGGTACATCGTATTATGAGCAACTGGCTGCAGAGACTAGCTCCGAAACTTAGCTCAAAGGTCTCTAGAAATGGCTTTCAAGCGCTCTGAGGTAAATACAATGCTTTGAAAAGCTAGCCAAAACTCCTTTGTCGATATCCTAGTGATCGATACAGTTAGAGTAGCGAATTACAAAGAAAAAATAATATCAGAATATGTAATCAATTCGAATTCCGTTAATATTTATGCCGACATGGCAAGCATGCCATTTGTATACTCAAAAAAAAAAAAATATTTTTTAGAAAAAATAAAAACCATTGCTTTAAAGTAAGTCAGAAATATTTTCTGTGATGGCAAGAAATAATAAAAAAGCATAATTTTCGATTTTTTTGTTTTAAATTGAAAAATGAGTCTACCGGATGATAATTTCACTGTTTTGATTTAAGAAAGAGATTACTGCCTGGTAGATTTGTTTTTTATTTTTAAAACAGAAAAATTGGGAAACAAGCTTTTTTTTTTAATTTTGAGCAGAAAAATTAGAAATTTTTTACTTTTTTTTTTAATTTTGCACTGCAAAAAATATTTTTGATTTAATTTAAAATAATGCTTTTATCTTAAAATCGTAGATTTTATTTATTTCTAAAAAATATTTTTTTTAGTACACAAATGGCATACTTGCAGTTTTGGCATAATTTTTTTATTTTATTTTATTTTATTTTTTTGCAAGCCTATCACACTGATCACAAAGGCATGAGGTCTACAAGTCTTTCCATGCTTCTTTTTCTCTCTAGCTGCATTTTTTTGTAGAGCTATCACAATCTTTAGAAAGAGGTTTTGAACACTAAAATTTATGCTTGGGTCAGAAAAAAGAATAAGAAAGATATGTTTCAGCATCTAAATTTATTCAGTCAGCGGGTGATACTGCTCTCCGAGCTGTTAGTCCTTCCTTTTTCTCTGAAATCGGGTTTACAAATCAGCTACATCCTTCTCTTGGATACATTTTAGCAAACTCTAATCAAGCAAGCAACAGCTAAAAACCTTAATTGTAAAGTATTTGTCAGCCATCGAAAATGTCTTTACTTTCCTAATGACAACTTCAGTACTTTGAGCTTTTTTTGGATGCTCTTGATCATCAATTTTTCAACCAAGTTCCCTGTTGCAGCAGAGTGATTACGACAGCCATATCAACCATCATAGTAGCCATCATAGCAACAATACACCCACAGCGTAAGCGATAGAACAAATCTCCCATTGGATGCAAAAAAATTCATCAGAAGATTAAAAATTCTTTACTCGTTGAAGGAAAAATTTGGTCAGATCTTCACTCAAATATGACAGAAAAATGCAATCGCTTACGCCGTGATCACAGTGGCTAAAAATTCTTTAAGATTACAATCAGCTTATGATATCAGAAAATAGTATATTAGATAATATTATATAGAATTTATAAATTTAAAAACATTATCTGATATTATAAAGTTCATATAAATCTATAAATTGGGTTTTATAAATTCATGTAGTGATTATAATATCAAAAATATGTGTATTATATCAGATAAAATATGTTATCCTATAAATGGCTATCTAAAAGCATGTATCATTGATAATACGAAAAAACTTATATTAATTTAGATAAACTATATGGATCTATAGATAAATATATTGGGAGTAGATATTTTATATGGATGTAGAATGAAACTTTCCTTTATGATTTTTATGTCAACGTATCAAGGAAAAAGGCGAATGCTTTATTATAGATATTCATAAGCATGTAGAAAATTGGTAGAACAAATTGAATTGCTCACAACCATGGTAGTTTCTATGCATCATTCCATCTTACCCCTATCTTATGAAAAATGTAGAGTATTGTTTCCTACTTCGGGTATTATTTTAGGGGTTTGTTATTGACCTTTATCAATAGTTCAAGATAGCCTATAGTTTTGATTAACTTGTTTGACATACCATAAATCGTTGACAGAATTCAACCTGAAAGTATGATTGGCTATTCCAAAAAAGAAGCTCTCGCTCAATTCTTATTTTATTTGTTGCCTTTGTATTGCTGCTTCTATGAAGCTAAATGTCTTTTGCTAGTTTCTTTTCTTTCTTTTCTTTTATCACTTTGTTTATTTTTTATTCATTCTTATCATTGTCTTCTTTTTTATGGCATTGATTGCAGAACTACAAAACATAAGATGTTATTCTTAAATCATACGAGAGTTTTTAACCTGATCAAATAAAGCTATTGAATTTCTATTGTGTTTAAGAATCTAGAATTTTATTGGAGAACGTAGAGTATTGATAGTTCACTTACTTGGCTACAGTCTGCTTTGCATCAACTAGTTAATGCTTTGAAACACATGTACTCATTACAGCTCAATTACTTATGTGTTTGCAATTTTTTTTTCTCTTTTTCGTACTCTTCAATTCAGCTTTCTAGTGGTACCGACTAAAATCATCATTTGCTTTGGTGAGAGTGATTATCGACCCGAGTTTGTCTTTCTTTCCTCAATTAGAGCACAGAATATCCCATTGCAGACTTTATTTCTGAGGGATGTTCTTCACCTTATTCAAAACAATTTAAGTCAGCAAAGGTTTTTAAAGTATTATACAAAGATAAGTTAAGTCAGCAAGATTCTCCACAAAATCAATGGTGTATTTCTGCATGGCAAAGCATACCACTCTGCTCTACTCATGCTTAGTGCTTTAGCAAGTTTGCGTCTACATGCAAAGATAGATTATATGTATACCTGTCTATTTAAATGAAAGCCTATATAAAAACCTATATAGAACTATATAACTGTGCAAATACCCTATATAAATTTAAATAGTTCTCTCTTCAGTAAAGACGTTGTTATCTGATATTATAAATTTTTCTCATGATTCAAGAGAGAAATATATGACATAATAACGGATTTGTTGTTATTTATATAGCAGTATATAAAAGAATGTATAATTACATTGATGCTATATAAAATTATATGAATTTAGAAAATATATTTCTGATACAAGATAAAGTCATGTAAAAGTCACTTGTCTGTGTACCTTTCAGCGAAATCAGGGCAGCAAACACTATAAAGTTAATTGTCTAAGTCAGGTGGGTATGCATTACCTGCTGCATTTCTTTAGAAATAGTTGGACATAAGAACACTATTAGATGTAGCGTAATTTTTGTTTGCTGCTGAAGTTTTCCACAAAATTTCTAAGTCGTTGTTCTTTATATATTTGTTAAGTAAATCTTTTTCATTAATGTTACTTTTATCTTTTGAATTCCTTTCTTTTTAGGCTTCTCATTAGATTTTTGTATCTCAATGTCAGTATCATCGTTTGACATAATGTTATTGTCTTCTGAACAACCATCAATAGTCATGCCTTTGTCTAAATTCATACTTAATAGACTGTTTTGTAAGTCCATCACTCTGTTGAGTTCATCTTTGTGATGTATATCGTTACTAACTACATTATCTATTATCTTTTTTCTTTCTAAAGGAGACTTTAAATCTCGTGACAACCATACTTTTTGATGAGACAAAACTGGTATGTTGAACATTTCGCTAAATTTCTGTATATCCTTAATAAACAGACTGCCTTAAACTGTAGACTGTAGAACTTTATATTGTTTATTTTAGTGGCAGATCTGCTATCATCTCTGATATTGGTTGGTCTACTCAAGCTGGTTTTTCATGTGTCTAAAAAGTGATTAAGCAAAGCGTATTGCTGGTTCAAGATTGTCTCTCTCTCTATTTGTGCTCTGCTTGGTTGGTGGGTTTCATGATGACAGGTTTTGCACTACTTACGTTGGCCTCCTAACTGTCTCCTAGGTTTTCCATCAAGACACGCTGTTAGTTCAAGACCACTTTCCTAGACCCGGTTCTCTTAGGCGCTTTAAGGATATCTATTCAAGTTTCGATAAGTCTTCGTAGTGTATGTTTCCTTTCTTTGAGTCTTTTTGTTTCTGTTTTGAGAGTCTGGTCAATTCTTGTATAGACAAGAGAAAAAATTGTTTAGGCTTGATCAGGGTGATTAAGCCTACAATATGTTTTTGTTGTGTATGTATCTCTACTTATTTGGTTGTATTTGTGTTGCATTTGCTGAAAGAGTAGGCGGTTCTCTTCGCTTATACCTTGCGTTTTATTTGTGTTGTACCTTCTCCAAAGAGGCTACGATAAGGCCTCTTTTGTCTATACCTCACAGATACTATGTTGTTGATCGAACAAGGATTTGCGTGTTTTCTTTTTGTCTTACCGTCATGTTCAATTTCGCCTTTGGCTTACAGGTGTCTACTGAGCTTAGTACTTGCCTTTATTGCTTCTTTGGCCAGTAAAAGCTACAATGGGGTCCTTCCTGTATGTAATGGACTAATTTTCGTCATATTCAAGGCATGTCTTTGACTAGATCTTGTGCGTGTGCGCTGTTTATTTGTCTTCAGTAACTAACACAAACACTTTCGAATAAGGGCTAGTGTAGAATACACTTATATAACGGCTTTATTCACTCAACCATATTGCTTTATTGCTGCTTTTTATTTTTAGTATGAGTTAATCAGAGTACAACTCACATGCCAAACAACGGCGATGTTGTCTTTAATACGCTATCACACTACGCTTTGCTTTTATGTGCCCGATGTCTAGCCTTTTTACCATCTTATTCAAAATGCACTTACAATCTTCAAACATTAACAAAAAGAAAAAGAAAAAGAAAAAGAACGATCTTCAAAACAGAAAGCGCACCTAATATGCAAGAAATCAATATTTGAAACATCGAGCCCTCTTCTCGTATGACATTTATCATTTGTCATATCCAAAGCTGCCTTTTTTTTTTTTTTTGCCTCAAAAGCCCCAGGTGTTGTAATACGGTTTCTTTATATATATTCTGCAAATCAAATGGTACTAGAATAAATATCTACTTACTACTCAATGCCTACTAAAAAGGGCCTCTTTTCCACCAATTACAGTGTGCAACGAGCTTCGAATCCAGATTTGAAGGCAATGCTCAAATTGACTCGACTTTTTCGTCTTAATAGACTCGCTTTCTTTTGCCCACAAGTACCTAGAAGTGGTTTCGGTTCACATTGGTTTGACCAAGCTCAAATTGGGTCAATCTGACATTCAGAAATTTTTTCGTGAATATCCCAGGTCAAGAAATGAATTTCATCCAACAGCTAGACAAATAACACCTTTCCATTTCTGGACTCAAAAAAACATGCTTCAAGCAAAAAAACAGGCTGTTTTGATGGTTTGACTGTCGAGCAATAACACATCAAAGAATAGTGCATTTAAGCTGTGTTTTGAGTATTTTTGCTCTAGATAACATATAAAATGTGTCATTAAGCAATCTTTCTAAAACATCCTATGTTACTTTGAGTGCCAAAAAACATAGGCAAACCAAAATACAGACACTTTACGATGTAAATGTGGGAGTAAATTTTTTTTTGTAGTTGGATTTTATTTACAATATTATTGATTAGTCACACATCGCAGAGAGGTGGGACGTCGAAAAACAGGAGTAAAGAAAGACGAAGTAAAGATCATACAATGATCAGGGCTATTTTAGCAAGGAGTGATTTTTAGTAGCTAAGGCTACCTGGTAAATTGTATCTGAAATGATACAAGAATGTTCAAAAGCAACCTGGTTAAGAATCAGGTTCCAATAAGATTTCCAGATATTCCATTGAGCTATCGCAACGATGGATACAAGTTTGGAGCGGTTTGTAATGGCAGGAGGAAAGGCTTGAAGAGTGAGGACCTTGTGGAGGGAGGACGGAGTAAAGTATACCAGAGGGTAGTAGCAGTTTAGTATTTCCAACCAAACACTCCACTTGGTAGAGCAGTGGGCTATGAAATGATCGTACGATTCCGGTTGTGATTTGCACAGACGACAGATAGGAGTAGAGACAGTACCAATCTTGAAAAGTTCGGACGCAGTGGGTAGTTTCTTGTGAAGCACACGATACCGCAGTGTTCTAGCCTGAGGGAGCATTGGAGTCCTCCAATACAGAGAGAGCGAAGTACGAGAAGCCTTTATTCGGGATTTAGCTTTGTCTTCATAAGGATGCAGGCAGAAATCCCTAGAAGTGAAAGAGCGCCACAATCTTGTGTCAGTTAATTGCTTGGTCAAAGCATCATAGACAGATACAGTAGATGGTGTCACATCTTGTGTAATATATTGCCACAGGAAAGATCGAAGTTTTACTGTTCGTCTGCGAAGAACGTCTATAAAGAGCTGATGGCACAATCCTGGTAATGTCCCATATTCATGGCGAACCTTCAGGCGTAACCGGTTACTCTGTTCGTCAAAGAGGAAGAAGAGAGATGCTGGTACTTTTGAATGTCGATGAAGCCAGTGGTTCTGAGGTACCTCTTGAAACATGTTAATTAGCGGAAAGTAAAGCAAGTTGGCAAGAGGCACATTATCAAGTTTGAAGTTGATACCAAAGTGATCAAAGGCAGCATAAATACCATTGACAACTGAAGTGGGATGACAAAGGTCATGACGGCGAAGAGTTCTAGAGAAAAAGGGTAGCAATGTATTGTCAGCATCCGGAGACATGATGCCAAAGTGTTCTGTCATAAGCACTCGGAGCTGAGGTGTTAGATTAGACGAACTAAACAGAATAAAGACCCATCTCATCTGCAGCACCAAGTATTGTGTGATAGGGTTGAGAGCTCCTACACCACCTTGATTCTTGGGGAGACATAACTGGTCAAAAGAAACATAAGGAAACTTCTTTTGCCACACGTAAGCATAGATAATCGAACGAAGTTCATTCAGAAATCGCTTAGTAGGCGCAAACAACCGCAAGCAGTACCAAATTTTGGATAAAATCAAAGTGTTGGCAACGGTAGCTCTTCCTTGAAGCGAGAGGTAACGCTGAGAGTAACCATGAACCCGTGTACGCACTTGTTCCAATAACATATCCTGAACACGATTCCGTTGAGAATTTGTGTATGGCATATAAAAGCCAAGGTATCGAAAAGCAGAAGGGGAATGATGGTGGTAGTATGTTTCGATATCGTGACTCAAGAGCAAAGATTCCCAAGATTCTGACTTGACTCCACTCAGTGAGAAAGCTTCCGTCTTGTGCTTGTTAAATCTTGCATTTGATACAGCACTATACTTAGTCAAGTGATGTTGGAGACGCATAAAATCAGTGGTATCTTGACAAACACACAGATATCATCAGCATATGCGATGCACTTGATCTGTTGAGACGTAGTGCTCATTGTCGGACATAACCTTGATATGTAGGGTCTTGCTGGATTGAAAGGATCAGCGGTTCCAAAGCGATGTTGAACAATAAAGGGGACAAAGGATCGCCCTGCCTTAACCCACGTTGCTGATGTACTGGATCCGTAAAGGATCCGTTGACATTGATTGCTATTGAGTTATCAAAGAACAAATTATAGATACTCTGTATAAATAAGGTAGGGAAGCCTAGGGACACAAGAGCTTGTTGAAGATATGTTGGTAATACTCGATCATAGGCTTTCTCCTGGTCAAGAAGCAAACCTACACCTTGATGGTGTTCATATCTTGCTTGTTGTAGAACCAAGTGGACGTACATCCCATTTTCGCCAATAAAACGTCCTTGGATGAAGCCCTTTTGAAGCGGGTTGATAATTCGATTCATTATAGGAGCTAGACGTTGGGTAATGAGCCTTGTGAAAATTTTACCATCACAGTTGATCAATGAAATTGGTCTCCAATTTTTTAATTCTGACAAATCACCTTTCTTGGGTAGCAAGCGCACTCTGATTTCCTTCCATGACTGAGGGAAAATTCCTTTTGTCATGGCATCATTGTATACCTGGAGTATCAGGGGCTTCAAACAAGGAAAACCAAACAAGAGTTGAAGGTATATATACCCTAGTCCATCACTACCTGGGCTACTTTGTTTTGGGCTACGCTTTGTCATTCTGACAATATCCTCCCAATCAAATTCCATTTGGAGCAGATTTGCTTCATCCTGATTAACTTTACTTGGAAAGTGAATATTACCTAAATACTCTTGTATTTGATTCATAGGTACTGCATCAATCGCATACAGGTCTTTATAAAACCGTTGTACAATATTCTGCATTGTCGATTTGGTGGTATGTACAATTGTTGGTGTTTCAGAATTGCTATCTTTGAAGCCAGACATATATTGTTGGACTGTTCGACTCTGATGTATTTTTTTCAAGTACCCAGCATTGCACTCACCATTCTCTTGCCAGCGAAGACCAGCCTTTAGAATAGCTATTTCAGCCAGCTCTTGTTGTAGTATCTGTAGCTCATTGTCAATAGGTGGAATTACCAAGCGCTGAACGTCTGGAGGAGGCTTTGTGCGTAGTAAACGATTGCGTTTCTTTTCCAAAGCACGAATTCTCTTAGTACGCCAATCAACGTAATCCACTGAATATCCTCTAATGCTTGACTTGGCTTTGTGTTTTACTTCATCCCATTTTTCTTGGGGCGATATATTCTCATCAAATCCTTGAACCAAATGTTGTATAGTCCTCTCTAATGTATTTTGTAGCTTAGGGTGGGAAGCATACACTGGATTGGCACGCCATAGTCCATGACCAAACTGGGATTGACCCAAGAGTAAGGATGTGTGTAATATGGAATGGTCTGACCATTTCGCTCCTAATCTGGTAATAGATGATTCTGATGCACATTGGTACAAAATTTTACCCAAGTATATATAGTCTATGACAGTCATCACTAATTCACTTGAGACGGTGCGTTGAAAGGTGGGAACTTCGTGAAGGCCATTGATGGCCAAAGCGTTTTGAAAATTTGCTTGCAAGAGGGCTAACCATTGCGTTGATGTTGAAGACGAATTATAGTGGCGGCTGAGGACTGAGTAATTAAAATCTCCTGAAATAATCAGTCTGTCAAAAGAGATAACTGATCGAAAATCATGGAGCATTTGTGTTAGATTGCTAAAGAATGTTCGACGTTTTGCAGCAAGGCCTGCCGGTGCATAGACGTTCAGAACAAAGAAAGGTTCATAGAAATGATGTGGATGTTCAACCATGCATAGTTGAAATCGATCGGATGTAAAGGATGAGGAAGTGTCGATGATAGAGATGTTGTAATCGGTAGAGAAGGAGAGTATGCCCACATGACTGGTCCAATGGGACTGTGTAGGTTGAAAGAGGATGTTGAGGTTATCTATAGTTGAAGGAGTGGAAGCATGAGTTTCTTGAAAGCATAATATAGAGAAATTCTGCATTCGAAGGTATCGTATATATTCTTTTTGTATTTTTTTGGAGTTTGTTTTCACTAAACTATTGGCGTTTAGTGAGGCATAGTGGCATAGGATATTTTTCTTATTCATTGATGCGGATCTATAAAGGGTGACTCTCTACCCTCTGATTATCAGAGGCAGAAGAGGGTGTCGTAGATTTCTTCGTGTCCAATTGTTGGTTCAAATTTGATCCATTACGTCTTTCTCCTTTCTTCATAACGAGGTGATCTTTTAATTGTTGGCTGACGCTGTACATCTTGGTATCCTTATAGAGGTCTTCAATCTCCATCCTGTCAATATCCTCGTCTCCACTTTCTATTTCAGATTCATCTTCTTCCATGCTCTCTTTATCTAAAGGGTCGTAATCACTATCGCTAGTATCGTTATCATTATCTTTGTCGACATTGATCTCTGTCTGGCCAAAGTTGCTACTTTTGACTTCAATACTGCTTTGCCCTTCAGGCTTGGATGCTTCTTTTCTTGGTTGGGTGGCCTTTCCAAGAACTGATCTTTCTCTCTTTGAACGCTTGCTGGGTGTCATAGACTGTTTCCTAGGACATTCAAACGAGCGGTGTCCTAATTGATGGCACGCATAACGTATAATTCTAGCTTTCGACTTCTCACATTCAAATTTTGTGTGTCCAGTTTGGTGGCAATACCTGCACCAAGTGGGCATGTTGTTCCAGGTTGCGTGGAATATTTGGCTTTCGCTTTCGCACCAACGAATGTTATGCTCCAAAGGCTGATACTTGAGGTTGTCTGTTGATTCTGAGGGACCAGAAGGAATACCAATGACGGCATATCCTGCGCCCATAAACCAATGTGGGAGTAAATGGACATAGGGCATACAGGATGGCTGGTACGGAGATCGAAATAGAGCAATTTCAATTCTCCAGCCGCACGAAAAATCGAGGTAAAATATGTGCGGCAAATAAAATCATTTAAAAAAAAATCGAGGTTTTGCTGAAAACTACATAAAGACGCGGCTTTCTAGCTTTAGTGTAGTGACAGAAGTTATAGATATTTACTTTTTTAGTTTATTGATATAAAGAACACACAGACTTTGCTGCTAAAATATTGAGTGAATAGGCAGAAATATCTAGCGGTTTTTCACTCAGATCTCATCAACTTCATAGTACAATTGGCCAGCAAACACATTCATCAAAAACTAAACCTTTTGGAGCACGCTTTGAGTATTTAAGCTTGCCAATAGCTTTATTTCTCGCTGTATAGCGTCAAAAAAAAGATTTTTTTAATGTGTTTATTGATTAAGCCGCGTACACTAAGAGTAATGGTTAAAATGAAGAGGCGGGTGCAATTAAAATGAAATTTAATAAAACAAAACGAAATATACTAAACAAAATAAACTAAAATAAAATAAAATATATAGAAAGAAAAAAAAGTTACATGATTGAATGGCATTGATCCTCTTTAATGAAAAAAGAAGATTCGAAGTTTGCGAATGAGCCATCTTCATGAATAGTACCATTTCGATTCGAGGCTGTTTTGTCCATTTTTCACAAGTCGCTTTTTTTTTGTCCTAATCAACTCCAAACGTGATCTGAATATCAACAAATACTGTTTGTAGGTATTTAGAGCATTTATGCACGTATAAACAGGCTTTATGTCTTTTTTTTTTCTTACTATTGAAGTATCTATCTACCTCGTTCCTTATCCCTCAAAATCAATATCAAAGAAAGAGAATGTTTAATCATAAAAAATGCCAAAGTGATAAGATTCACTTTTACTTTATGGTGTGTGATATACGAAAGAAATTCCTTAGAACATACATAAAGCATGATACAAATTATCTTAAACTCATGAATCCAATTTGATTACTCGTTTTTTTTTAGTAGAAGATATATCTATTTTAAAAGACGCAATGTCATTTAGAGTTGATGTGCTCAAAAATGAGCAAGATTGACTGTTTTGTTGTTAAGATGAAATGATATTCACCTTTCTTAACCACATTGGGCGGCCAATGTAAAAAAAAATATATATATCGGGCTTCGGCTCTGATTGCTGATTGTTTGAACTATTGTTCCTCTGTTACTTTGCATCAAACATATCACGAATCCATATGAAAAACAACCTTGCTATTTTGCTTGGATGAGTTGGGGTGTTTTTCCGAATCATGAGGCATTTTCTAGAGGTTAGTCATTCAAAATTGAGTATGCCAATTTATTTCTGTAGTAAATTGAGTTTATGTCATGGCCAAGTCCATACACTCATTTTATCACGTATTTAGAGCATCTTCTTTAGCATTTCTCTTAATGGATTAGCAACCCTTTTTTTTTCCAATTCCTCTTCGAAAACTATCACTTTCTTTACATAAAAATCTGAAGTGACTTGATTTTTGAACACAAAGATAATATGTACGACATCAATATCTAAAACAGTGATTCTATTTTTGAAATTAAAAATAAAGTGCTACGATATTTGTGGAGATTAAAAGCAATAGAGGTGATCCTGACAGTCCAATCTATGCAAAGCACTTTTTAACTCTTGGCGATCATTTTTTTTTCATAGAATAAGTCTTTTGTAAAGACATACTCTGTACTACTGTTCGCGTTTTTTTACGCCTTCCTCTTACGAACATGCTTCTTGTAAGAACCGAAACCAAATGTTGATCTTTTCCTTTTTAAATAATTCTGTGCAATCGTTGTACACCATTTCCATTTCTTTTCAGAACCCCATCCGTAGTCTAATTGGTTTCCAAATTATTTTTTATAAATTATTTTGGGTCATTATAAACAAAATCAAGGGAAACTGCAAAGCGTGACTCGATATACGGACAAAGAAAAGATAGTGGTTGCGTGCATGTATCTTTTACTTAACCACCTACTAGCCATTTAGCGTCTTTAGACTTATGTCATTTTATAAATTAGCACTGTAATGTTAAAACAAGCATATTTCGAGAAGGCGAGACATTTGCTTCCGAGAAAAGATGTGCAACCTTTGTGCGTTCTTACTCCGTTTAATGTTGTATTACGCTAATGTTTTTTAGAAACTAAAGAAAAAAGAAAAGTTGTATACTTCTTCTTTTCCTTACTTTCTTTCTTGCATATTATAAACTTCGCACTTATTTTATACCATTTGACTAAAATAAGCAATTTAAAACCTTTTTTCTTATTATAGTCGATATACCAACATGTCTAGTCGATATCAAGGACCCAGTTTTGGCTTTAGTGCTCGAAAAGATGGTCGGCAGAGACAGTCTATTGCTTCCAATGATGAATTTCTTAATGTAGATGAGGCAGCTCGATCCAGAATAAGCTCTGACAGTCAAAGAAGACCGTCTCAACAAAGTTACCAAAGTCGTGCATTATCAAATAGAAGCCGTCATTCTGATGTTGAAGACGGTACTCGCTCCTTAAATTTCCATCATCATCAACATCAACCCCATTACACAAACCGCACTGAAGCCATTGAACCTCTTCATGATCCTGCAGGAAAACCACTTCGTAGACATGGCACAGATACCATTGGTGATTTGCTCTTGCATCCTCTCAAAGAACTTCAGCTTCATCATAAGCGTGCTGAAGCCTACAAAGTTGAAAAAAAAGCTTGGGATGAAAAACATCCTGATTCAATTGCAAAAGACATTGAAACCCCAAATGAAGTTGCCATGTAAATACACAAATCAAAAAAGCCAAAAACAATTTGACTAATCTCACTCATTTCTTTTTTTAGTGAAGAAGTGAAAACTAGATTAAGTAAATAAATGATATTTGTTTGTCCTGTTTTACTAACCATCCTATAGTTATTCATTTTAGACACTTAGTCAGTGATCATGACTTTAAATTCACTGAAGAATGTCTGGATGCTCTTGAAAGACCTGTAAGATCATATATTACTGTTATCGTTCATTAACCATGTTTTAGCTTGATTTGACACCTGAAGAAAAAGAAAAGATGAGAGGATTTAAAGATACTGACGATTTGATTGACTTTTTGGAAAAGACAAAGAGAGACTACTCTGTCAAGGTTCATAAGACAGTGAACCTTAAAGTTGAATTGTCTACCGCAAAAAATGAATTAGCTTCCGCCAAAAGTGAACTATTCCACAAGTCTTCTAGTGAGTTTAAATTCGATACATAAACAATGGTATTTATCGTTTTATAGAAAGCTTTGATTTAGGCAGTCGACAAAACACTACAGCGACAGCTAGTAGTGATGGTAGTGCTAGCACGAGTGATGAAAAGGCCCCGGGTACAACAAAAATCGTCCAGGGACCTCAGAAATCTGATTCTGGTAACTTTACCAATGAACCCACCGTACAGCATCCTCATGTCAACCGTTCCGATGACGACTTATTGATTGACTTGAATGACAATATCTATATCCAAGTTCAATTTATACCCATGGTTCACCATGAAGAAGAGAACCACAGAAGAGCCATCTTTTTGTTGCCTGACCCTGACTTGTCTGATGAGATTGGTGAAGAAACCAAGGCCACCTGGACTGAACTTTTAGGTGATGTGTTTTATGTAGGTTGGTTAAGGTAGGAAGAACACAATGCCTTGCATTCTTTTCTAACATGTTCTATAGTCAGTTTACACATTCTGTCGAGATCAACAGTGTAGACAATATTGGTACGTATGCTGCTTGGTTTGTCGTGATGTGGTGGACATGGTGTTCTAGTGCTTTATATTCTTCTCGATACGATAGAGGTGATGTAGCGCACCATGTCTATAAGATCATTGAATTGTGTGGTTTGATTCTTATGGCTGGCTCAAGTGACAAGGCACGATTTGAAGGTTCTCCTAAATGGTTTATTATTGGTTATATTATCATGAAGGCTGTCTTGTTACTTGAATATTCTATCGTGTTTATTGTATCCATCACTACTCACGTAAAATCATCCCGTCGTCCTTTGGGTGCTTATGTTGTTGTATCTGCAATTTCCATTGCCATGTGGGGTGCCTCTCTTATCTATGTAACTGAGGAAACCATGAAAAAGCGATACGCACTTTGGTATAGCAGTATTGGTCTAGAAATCTTGGTTCATATATTTTTACAAAGTAATAGTCGAGTTTCATTAGCTGCTAGTCACTTGGGTGAAAGATTCGGTCTGTTTACATTGATCATTTTGGGTGAAAACTGTATGGGTTTCATCAAGATGGTAGCTGGGGCAGACCCTACACCTAGTCTACTTGCTTGCAACTGTTTTGGTGTCGTGATTATCTTTTGCTACTTCTTTATGTACTTTGATGATTTCACAGGTGAACTTATGGAAAAGACACAGCTTAGTCAACTTTGGATGTATCTTCATTTCCCTCTTCATCTATTCCAAGTGGCCTTTGGTATTGCCTTAACAGATGTGATTGCACGCCATAATCTCAAACAAGATACACCTGAATTCCTTGCTCAAACAAAAGAAGAATGTGCAGCCGCTAGTGCTAACCATTCTACTGCAACAAGCGAACATGCTACAACAACGAGCGAACATTCTGTTGTTGAAAATGCTCATTATGCGATCTTTTCTGCCTCTGCAGAAGCTGCATCAGGTGAAAGTGAACTGAACTGCGATCCTTTGTTTATTATCAAAGCATTTTGGATCTCTGCAGGTTTGATTTTATGCTTAAATGCATTTATCAAGCTGGTCAATACACCTATTCGACCAGGTAATATTGTGTCTTGATCCATAACAATATTTCTCATTGTCTTTTTTTTTCTTTAGCGAGTTACAAATCACACATCATTTGTGCCTCTCGTATCTTGAATGCTGTCATCTTTTTTGTTCTTTCAGTGACAACGTATGCCAATTTGAATGCTTTGGGCATGGTTTCTGTCATGATGTGTTGTTTGCTGTTCCAATGTAAGTTATTGATACATAGTCTATATATCATTCTAACTTGCTCTTTATAGCCGCTGTCGATTTATTAGATTAGTTCTGTATTTAATAATAATAATAAAAAAAAATTATACATATTTAAGCATCTTCTTCTTCCAGGACAATATTATCGATTTGGAAACTGGTTGATTCTTCCAGATTTTCCTCATCAAGATAGACTTCTAAAAAGCTAGTGTCTTCAAGAGACACAAGAAAAGACTCAGGCATTGAACTGTCTTGCGTCAATACAGATCCATCCAATGAGTTTTCAAGGCCTTCATTGTCAAGATCTGTTGTTGCATTCAAATATTCTTGACTGTAGCTTTTAACATCAATTCCAAATTCAGATGCATGCTTGTCAATAAAAAGAGTGATGTTTCTTGAGAGATCTTGGCGCATGGAGCACAAAAGTTTACCTGCTTCTGGGTTTCTTATAGCTAAAAACAAAGGCTTAATAGACCTATTGAACTATATAAGCTATGAAGAAAGAAAGGAATGTAGTTTACTTGTAGATATCAAGCCCATTATCTCCTAATCGCATTAATGCATAATGAAGAATAGGTTGAATAAGCCAAACAAGACCTGCTCTTTTGACTTTAGTCTTGAATAAAAGGTTTGATCTACGTTTGATAAGGAACACGAGATAACATAAGGCATAAACTCCATAAAGTGCTGGTGCAGCAAAGGCAGCAACAATCACTTTCCAAGTTGCCAATACGTCTTTTCCAGTTATCTTCACAAGTGATCCTGCAAGTGCCTCTATAGCAACAACAAGTCAGTACTGGGTTTATACATTCCTCTCTTAATGATCTTACGCTTTTGCTTTTTTTTACTAATGTAATTTGTTATCCAGATCAGAGGAAGATTAGATATCAAACTATGTGCTTGTGAGCATTGTATTCATATTCTTCAGATACGTACGCAGGTGTACCTAAGCCTGCTAAAACAATCAGCTTAATCACACGTTTGACTAGTTTAACAGCTGCTCTTAAAGGCGTCATTCTCAATTTCTCTACTTGATGATCTCTGATACCAAAGAACATGAGCATATTGTTGTAGTATTTCACTTGACGCTCAATAGCTACTAGGTTTGGGTCGTCTTTTAGTTTAGCCCATAAAGTCACGAATTGGCGATTGAGTTTCACCACTTGTTCAATGGATGGTTTGCTTCTAGGTACATACAGCCTTCTTGCTGTCTGGATCATCAATAACGTATCATAATCCGGTGCATTGACTGTCACTGTCTTGAATGCTTCATCACTTTGGTCGAGCAGTTTAGTCACTGCCTCTCGCTTTTGTTCTCCACCTCGTCTGTAATTCTCAATATCAGCCTTGTCAATAAAAATAGGTTGGCCAAAAGAAACAACGGCTCTTGATCTAAATCGATCCGGATGGAAATAATTAAGGCCTTTTATGACTATCAATCGTCATGTTGGTATATCCTATCAACTTACCAACAGGGACAATCTTAATGTCTAGATTTGGATTAGCAGCAGCAGCACCTAATGCCATGACAGCAAAACCAGCTAATAGATAAGGTAAATACACATATAGAGTACAACGACATACCTTTTAATGGAAGCATTTCAGATCTATCATGACTACCACCTTCAGGGAAAACAGCAATGCATTCATTGTTATTTAGATATTGATGGACTTCTTCATAAACTGGCGTTTGATCGACATGAGGTGCTATTTGATAGTCAACATAATCATGTTGGTCTATACCAATGGGATACGTTACTTCCAACAGTGTATCAGAAATAACACGGGATACATGCAACTTGTGATTCCTGCCAAAAACAATAAAATCCCTTACGTTCAGTTCGCTTAAGAACCGAGTATGTTGTCCGTGAACCTGAAGAGGCGTATGGCTATCATATCTGATTTGCCCTGTTCCTTTACTCACAATATCTTGTGGTCGTACTACAGGAACTAATATTGTGTGAGTGAATTAAGTAAACTGATACTTACTCGCATGCAGAATCTTGCCTACATGTCCAATCAATGGTTTATGATAAGAAACAGCAGCCATTAATGCATAAGAAGGACGTGGGTTATTGCTCATAAAGATAACACTGTCTATAAATTGGTTTGCGTGAGGACCAACGATAAAAATACAAGGGCCTGTTGTTGGCACATTGTGAATATCAGTTGTCTTTATTTCACGAAAGAAAACATGAGTGATTATTTGAAAAACACCTCGAAAAGTAGAGTAAGCAAGTGACATATAGACAAGTAAAAAAAAAAAAAAAAAAAAAAAAAAAAAAAAAAAAAAAAAACAAAATAGCTGAAGAAGTTAAAAATTATCATGTGAAATACACACAAGATATTATTTTTTTTTTATTACATTAGATCCCAAATTTACATGGTGAGTTCCTATATAACACATTAAGATTCACATTTCCCTTTTAGTGTCTTAAACTTACCATAATAGCATTGACAACATCGTTGTTGTTGTTCTTTAATGCCTTAACAGCCTTGGAGCGAGAGACGTTAGCTTGGCTGACAACCAATTCAATATCCTTTTCTTCAACACCAGTGGCATCAACTTCTTCGTCATCTTCTTCGACTTCAGCAGTTTGTTCAGCAACAGGGGCAGCTTCACCAGACTTTTCGGCTTCAGCAGCGAGTTGTTGTTCCAAAGCAGCTTGTTGAGCACGAGCAGCCATATCTTCAACTTGCATTTCACCAAAGACAATGTGAGTGTCAGAGTTGGTGGACTTGAAAACCTCGGGGTTAGCAATGGCGTAGACCAACTATTATCTCATGAGTTATACGATCATCATAAAATACACTTACAGTACGACCACGGGTGAAAGTGACACGGTTAACACCAGCAACAGGCTTCAAACCGAGAGAGAGGATGGCCTTACGGGCCTTTTGTTCACCACGAGATTGGATAGAATCAGACATCTATAAACACAAGGAAAAAAAAGACAAGGTCAATGCCATTCATATTTCCATGTTAAAGATTCAGAAAGAAATGAACAACAATGGTCGAATGGAACGCGTTGACATTCAAAACGGAGGAAATAAAAAAAAAGGGTCTCATCCATCTAACATAAGAAAAAAAGAATCCATCCATCCATCTATCTCATCATGACCTTGTTTGTTGTTCTTTCTCTTTCCATCATCCTTTTTTGTTGTATGCAAACTTACGTTTTTGCTTTTAGGGAAAGAAGTTTGAAGGGGGCAGGTGTGGAGACAAACGATGAACATTTGTGCCTGACTTTGAATCAGGCTGGCATTTAAAATTTTATTCCTTCATCAATTTCTCAAGGCCTTGTGCGATATCATGTAAAGCAGCTTCACTAGAAGGATGCTTGGGCTCTAAATACCCCATAATAAAGTTCTTTGCTAACCAAGCATTTTGAACAATACCCCAGTCTTTGCCTTCGTAAGATATGCGCAGCCCATCTTGTGTCTTTGTAAAGATAAATTCAGAATCTTTCTTGACATTCATACTGACAAAATTTGATTTAAATTCTTGCATGGCACGCAATATCTCTCTTTCTTCATCTTCAGTCAATGATTGATCCTTCATGCGCTGCATTAAAAGTCGAAGAAAGCCATCGCGAAGGTGTTGTGTGCTTGTAGCACGCACAGGTACTACTCTAGTCAGCAACTTCATCAAAAGAAAGCACGACTTACCCAAACGAATACTCACATCATAAGGCTGATTTAACAATTCTTCTGCCAACTCACTTTTTTCCAAAAACTGTTCTTTATCCACATTCTGTTGCTTGTGAATAAAAATCATACGATCATGCTTATTTTACCTTCCAGCCCTTTTTGGCCTTCAAAGCTTCAATATCGTCATTCTTCATATACATGCCTAATACATAGACATTCATCTTTAGAAAAGTAACAGTACGTACACCCAATCCAATCAACCGTTTCCATTCATTATTTGTATTCAAAAAGATAGGAAAAGAAAGTTTTGTGGTAGGATCTATTTGGAGAATAAGCAAAAGAGTTTAGAACAAAATGGCTTACCTTCTACACTACCTGCATAAGCAGGTGCTTCAGCATATGCATAATTCAAGCCATAAATACCCAAGCCAGTCAAAGTCAAGGCAGCTGTTGTAGTCCAAGTTACCTTACATAATGTGAATAATAGCAATAATAATAATGATAATAATAATACCTTTTGAGGTCTTGAAGCAACTGCGGTTGTTAAGCGACGTGCTAGAGGACGAACAACTTGAACTCTTGGTAACTTTAGTGTAAGAGAACGACGAAACATAGAGAAAAGAGGGAGAGAGAAAGAAAGCCAAAAAAAAAAAAGTTTAAATTACAATTTCTTTAAACGGAATTACCGGGCTTTTCTTTTTCTTTTTCTTTTTAATTGACAGAATCATGCTTTGAGTAAAGAACAGTAGGGAAAGACTACCACTTGACATAGTGTTTGAATAGCTACTTTTATGAAAGAAAACTTCTCTTACAAGGTTCAAGGCTTCAAGAAGCTTTCAGTCAGTTTCCTTGACAGATAGCTCAATCGTTCTTGAATTTCTAACAACCCAGTCACTTTTTTATATTTAAATTTCTTTTTGCCCTCACGTCTTCCCTTTTTTTTTCTTCCATTATCTCCTTCTTAATAAAATGGTAACCGTCTATTTTTGTATGTACATATCTCATATTTGTATAGGCGCGTAACGAAGAAAAAGCGCAGTCTATGCTGTATCGTTTTCGAGAAGCACAAGCAGCTGAACTTGGTCTGGGCAAGCCACGTGTACGTAGACCTGCTTTTGCTGGTGCTGTAGACACTATTGCAGAAGCAGAAAAATGGCGTAAAGACTTGCTGAGTGAAGTGTCTCGAAAAATCGCCAAAATCCAAGATGGTAAGGCGAGTCGATAGATGGATAGGAAACTCATGCATAGGATAGTGGGTTTGTCGGATTATCAAGTACGTGATCTTAATGATGATATTAACAGATTGATGGGACAAAAATATCATTGGGAAAAGAGAATTAAAGAGCTAGGTGGACCTGATTATTCAGTATGTTATCTACACCATGTTGGCATTGATTAACTCGAATTAGAGAGCAGGACCTCGTATGTTTAGTTATGAAGGCAGAGAAGCACCTGGTACAAGAGGTTATCGATACTATGGGCGTGCGCGAGATTTACCGGGTGTGAGAGAGTTATTCGAAACAGTGATGCCTGAATCAATAAGCAGATCAAGAAGGGATATTAACCGTGATATTGACGCCGACTATTATGGATATCGTGATGAAGATGGCGTCTTGTTAGAATATGAAAGAGAACTCGAGAAACAATTGGCTGAAAAGACTGCTAATGCGCCTGATGAGGAAATTGAGCAAGAGGAACAAGAGGATCAACAGCAACAAGAGGTTGAACATGACCCATTACCACCACAGACAACAGCAGTAAAAGTTCCTTCTCAAAAGGAAGTAGAAGCATATTTATTACAGAGACGAAAACAACAGGTAAATTCAAAGTTGTATAGATTGATTGCTTATGTATTGCCTTAGTTGTTGGACAAGTATGTATCTGAGGGACTAAAGCAAAATGAAGAAGAAACCAAAGAATTAACAGGACGAATCTAAATAAACATTGCCGAAAATCATTACTGTTTAGTTCAAATGGATTTGTTCAGTTGACTTTGCTTTAAAAAGGGGAAGATTTTGTAAGCTATGTTATAGATGCCTAGACTATGAAATGGAGACTGCCTTCTGTTATCTGTGGTAAAATTAGTGCAGTCTTATCAAGGTCGTTTTTGAGACCATATTAGTTCTTCAATAACTACAAAGATGGCAAGCCATTATTTCTTGGTTCATCTCTTTCTTTTACTTAATTTAGCTTTGAGACTACGCTTACATGTATGGTTGATTGTTCAGTATTGGGCCTAGCTCTTATAGCAGATCATACATAAGGATATTGGGTATAGGAAGAGCACCCAACACGTTTGCTATGATGGTCTATGTACAGAATTGTGCTGTCAAAATAAATACCAAAATTATTGGCTCAAACCTTGTAGTCTCCGCCTAATGGACATGGTTAAGCATGTATCTGATTTTTCCTTTTTTTTTTCTTTGTCTTTTCTTCATGTCATTTTCTCGTAGACTTTTCCCTCTTTTACGTCAAACAGCACGTCGTCAATTTACTTCTAAAACAATTGTTGTTGACCGTGAACTACCCAAGCCCCCTCCACCTTCAAGAAAGCGTTGGCTTTGGACAGGTGCTGCTGTAGGTGCTGCTGTCTGGGTTGTTGGTCTCGGTGGTGCTTTAAACCATCAACGTTTATCAAGTAGTGTGGTTCATGGTACTTTGTTTATGGTTCGCTATGATCCTCGTGTGATTGCTCTTATTGGTGATCGTGTAGATTATGCAGATGCATGGCCCTGGATCAGTGGTAATGTAAATCACTTGAAAGGCAAGATTGATATTGGCTTTAAAGTCAAGGGTTCTACAGGTAACAACATTTTTTTTTTTAAAAAAAAAGAGACAATTGAAGCTTATTCTATCTAGGTGAAACTGCTCGAGTTCATTTCGCTTCAAAGCGTGCAGGAAACAAATGGAACACAATAGAGTTTACAGTTGTACGTGAATCAGATCAAAAGCAAATTGATATTGGCAATCATACCCTCACAGAAACTGGTGAGCCCAAAATAGCCTAGTATATCTTAGAATAGAAAATCTGTTTTTTTTATTTGCCATTACAGAGACCATTCATTAAAAGTTGATTTTCAATTTCAACTTGATCAGCAGGAACATGGTTAGAAGGACATGTAATGCTTGTTATCTTTTCTTCCCAAGTCTTGCTTTCTCCTAGTGCGTAGGTATCCCAAATGTCTGCCTTGAGTTGCGTGATAAATTTGAGTCTGGCCAGACTGTCAAAACTATCCATGCGAGGACCACTCACTTGTCGAGAACGTTCAGACGCATCAATACGACAACAATAGTATTGTGCTGTGCGATAAATAATTTTAGTCTTATTGAGATCATAATGGTCTTTGATTTGTTGAATAAGTCTGTCCAAGTCCAGGGAGAAGGCATCAAGTTCAGAGAATGCACCGTCCCAATTACCGAGCGAAAAGATAGCAATATCAGCAGGTATGGTGGTAGTTGGAACAGCAGTATCCCATCCTGGAGAATTCAGGTAGGTTAGGCCATCCCATTTGTATGAACTGACACGGAAGACGTCTTTTTCTGGAAGTGTGTCGTTGATAGCGTCCCATTCAGTTCTGCCAACAGCCTGTGTCTGTGCTAACGAGTTGGCGTAGCTCATATTGAAATGTCTAGCCATAGGATCAAACCAAGTAGTGTTCCAGTATTCTTCACTGAAATCTTCACAATAGCAACTGCGTGTCTGTGAATCTTTTGTGAACTTGTATTCTTCTGGTGAATTGTATCTTCCTTGATCAGGTACAGGCGGAGGAGGGAAAAGAGAAAAAGGTGGCGGCGGAGGGGGAGGAGGGGGTACATCTCTCTTAACTACTTGATGTCCAATGATTGGCTTCATGTTTTCTGGTAATAAGGGCGTATTGATGTGTTGTTCCCAATCCTTGCACCATTGACCATGACTAAGGAATTTCTTTATCGAACGACGAATATTCGAGTCCCCGTAAAGATCCATACCACGCGCATATTTCTTAGATGCGCACCGATTAAACGCTTCGTAAGAGATATGGCGATATCGGCAACGGAAAGGAGCCCAGTATTTGTTGTTTCGCAAGACACCTGCGACTTGTGCCTTTTGTGTTTCGGTAGTGTTGTTTGGCATAGGCAACCAACGACCAGGATGGCTGAATCCTATACATAAAGGCAAAGCCAAATGTTCTTCAAAATACTCTTTATCTGATTTTTCCTTAGTGCTAATGTGTACCTTTTCACTGCCAGCAGGAAGCACAGGTAAAACAATAGGATGATAAGGTGTGACAGGACCAAATTCAAAATTATATCTGCCTTCCACAAATTCCAATAAGCCAGAGAAAACCCACTTTCCTCTTTCTGGTAATGTAATTTGAGCTTCATAAATATGCATGCGTTCACGTTCATACATCACATCACCGCGTAGTCGAGCCCATTCAGGCAATTGATTGTTGACATGATTCAAGTCTCGCGCTCGCTGACGAAGCAAACGATGTCCAAACCATGGTTGCATATGAATGGGCACAGTAGCATTTGTTTTGGTGTTTGTCAATACTGTCATCATGGTATCCCACCAAGGAGAAGTGATTTGTTGATGATTGTGGTCGTAAGGTCGATATATGGAACGGTATAGATCGTTTTTACCTACATTCTGAAATGGCACCACAACACGGATACATAACTGTTGTCCAGGCTGGAACACACGTTGTTTGGCTGAAGGAAAGATAACAAAAGGTGCTGTTAAATTAAGCGCATCATCTATATTATAAAAATCATCGTTATTTTGAACTGGAAAGTATTCTCTTGCCATGCGACGCAAGATAGGGTAAGGCAAAGGTTGTTGACTACAAGCATAGGCATTTATATCATCTAGCTTTTCAGCTTGGCTTAGCCATTTATCCGCCCATGGAGATTGTGTCACATTCTCCAGTCGATCCATTGTGATTTGCTGGATTGAATTGAATACGGGTCCACCAAAGACTTGTAACAGATGGTCTTCTATTGAGTATTTGTCTAAATCAACATAATAAACTGAATTGTTGATAGTGAAATTAATCGATCTTTGAGGTGGTGTGAAAGGAGGTGGCATAGAGGCTGTAGTTTCGTTGTGTACTGAGTGATGTGTCGGCTTTGGCTTTGGCCTTGGTTTCTGTTGTTCCTTTATATTCATTATTGCTGTAGAAGCCATGAGCATCACAACAAACATTACACCGATCATGACAATGATAGTCTGCCATTGTCGCCTTGAAAATCCTTTTTGTAATGGTCGTTCTAATAATGAATAGGCTGTCATTTAAAGAAGAACAAATAAAAGAAAAACAGACGCTATTTAAAGAAATATAAATTTATATATTTTTCAATTCAATCACAGCATTTAAACTCTAAAAGTACATCTTGAAGCCATTTGTCTTTAAAATAGCATAAACATTATTTGTCTAAAATCATTGTATTCAATAACATGGTTGCAAGAATCTATTGTTTCAGGAAAAAAGAAAAATAATCATTCAAATATAAAAAGGAGAAAAAAAAGCCATTCTGCTTTCAATATGAAGATCATTCTCGGCAAACACATCAAACACTAATCATTTTGTCTCTGAAGACTGGTAATTATAGTATTCTGTTTATTTTTGTATAATAGTATTTAAGGTGAAAGGTAACACAATAATTATAGCTAAGTAAATCATGGTCGTACAAAAAACATAGCTTATTTTACTGCGCGCACACAAAACAAAAAGCACATCTGGAAAAGAATCATATCGGGTTGCAATTCCCTTAGAACATAAGCCAAGACAACGAAAGCTCACTTTAGTAACACTGTTCTTTGTAATGACTTGGATCTAACAAATTCAGGTACGATTGTATGTCATGATAGGACTGTTTCCTTATAGAGAACAAGCACTTCATAACTAAATTTTGCCTTGTGTAGAAAGCAATATATATATATATATATTTCTTGCTTTAATGGTATTTGCTATCTACTTTTTGATTATCTTGTGTTAAAAGGACAAGTTTTACCTAAGAATATATTGAGGATTTTCCAATAGCCTTACTGTCTATTGACGAGTTTTTTTTTTTTTTTTTAATTCTCACAATACCAAGAATTGCCATCAATGCAGCAATTTTTCTTGCGAATGTCTATCTTAGTACAAGACACTTATCCAAAATTGCACAGTTCATTGTGAACATTGCAGAAAGCCTTGCTCTTTTCATTAATTTACTCTACTTGTTACCAGCATACCAATAGCTTCTCTTCTTTTGCGTATGTTATTCAAAATGAAGTGAAGCAATGCAAATTTAATGTCAGCAGAGTTCGTCACGCTTATCCGAAGACTTCTTGTTTCTCTTTTTCTGTACACAGGTCTACAAAGATGCAGGCAGTTGGACCAGCAGGTTGAAATGAATAAAATAGTCAAACAATACTAAACTATTTCATATTAGGCTTCTATAATGTGCCAGTAACAAAGTTCTTAGTATTGTTTATTGGCAGTTGTTCTATCTTGACTTCCATCTTTAACATGAAGCAATATTTTCAACTACAACTGACGCCACATATTACCGTACATCATCAGGTATTGAGGTGTCGACATTGTTCTGTTTAAGCTACTAATGCCTGATAGTTTTGGCGACTATTGACCTCTCATATAGCCTTTGGTAATTCAGGAGACGTCTTTTTTGGTTCTCTATTACTATACACACTTAGAGTGATTGAAAGACAATATGGAAGTGCTAAATATATGGTATGATATAAATAGCAAAAAGAGTGATATAAACATGTATACTAGGCTTTTATTTCTATATCCATCGTAATTGCTACTCTTCTAGAAGTGGGTGCTTTAGTATTAGGAGCTCAGATTGGACTCAAGAGTATACCAGGCGGGCCGTAAGTAAAACTGTCTCTATTATGGCTCTTATTGACTATTCTAAAGATATGCATTGATCTTTTCTTCATTATACCAATACCATCGCATTATTCCCATCACCTATCGTTTTCGGATATTTGGTGTTGTTATGAGCGATAAACTATTTCTTTATGTCTTGGCTTTACAGATGGCCTTTTCGCAATCCTATCAAACATTAATACCTGCATTGTGCGGTGTTTTATCTGGTGCGCTCTATAGAACAGATATTGGTAATATGAAGCAATGGCGCTTTCCCTCTTTATTACAGAAGATGATAGTACGATTTGTTAAGCCACTACTCGTATCACCACCAATTGCTCGATCTGCTGCTACCACACCGGCACAACGTCCTTTTATTGCGGGGATTACACCAGTAGACACACTCGTAAGTGCAGGGCTGAGAAACAGAAGATCAACCAACGCAAGCACAAGCACAAGATCATCCTCAGAGGCTTTATCTTCAACAGCGGTAGAAGAAGGAACAACTTCAGTGAGAGTAAGTCAACAAGAAAAGTGTTGACATAAACTGAAATCTTATTAGGAATACCTTGATACAATCACTGGTAGGGATGTAGCTGGATCAGAGTTAGAGCCTCCTTCACCTCGACACACACGGATTTTGATCACAATGTTCCCTGATCATCCTAGAGAGACAATCACTAGAGCTTTGTCTTCTGCACACAATGATTTGAATCGAGCAGTAGAAATTATGCTGAGTACACCAACACCTGGTGGCAGCGGTAGTAGTAATACTTTGGCTTGATATTCCTTTTTTTCTGGCTTCAATACCTCTATGATATATATATATATATATATATATATAGGCATGGTTTTTTCTTTGTAAATAACAAAATGATTTCAATGGTTTATTTCTGTTTCAAAATTAGGCAATTATTACTGAAAATGATGTTGTGTTCTGAGTAATACAAAAATACGTTTATTTGCATAAATAATATTGTATTAATAAGCAGCTCTGTTTAGTTATTAGTGTATTGTTGAATTGTTTACCCGCTCAGAAAAAAAAAGTTGTGATTCAGCTTTAAGAATCTGTTCAAAAGCACGAACAAGTGTGGAAGCTTCTTGAGCACCCGAGATACCATACCTAAATAAGTCTAAGTATATTCATCAGTTCGAAGAATGACTTACTTGTCATTGATTGTATAATGTGGAACACCATCAATTTGATTAAAGACATTGTTTCTTACTAGCTCTTTTACTTGAGAAGCTCCTTCATTGCTCTTGAGAAACTCAAGCGTCTTTTGCTTATCTAAACCTGCTTTTTCAGCTGCAATAGCTAATGATTGATGATCACCCAAGTCTTGATTCAACTCGAAATATAATTCAAATAATTTCTCGACTACTTGGTCTTGCTTGCCAAATTGGTTAGCCCACCAAATTAAACGGTGAGAATCCAGGGTATTAGAGATGACACCACCAAACTTCAAGGCAATGCCTTCTGATTCTGCAACAGCGGTAACATTGGGAAGCATTTGGTTAAAGCGTTCTTTACCAAACTTTTTATGATAGGTTTCGAGTTTGTTAGATGTTTCGGTGCGAGTGGGGTCTAATTGGTAAGGAAACCATTGGAGTTGAAAGGTAACATTAGGATGGGTTGCAGAGAATTGTTTAATGGCTGTTTCCATTCTACGCTTTCCTATAAAGCACCTGAAGAAAAAAACAAGTTGAGCAACGAATCATTTTGTATGCTCTGGTTTTTTTACCATGGACATACAGTGTCAACGACAGCTTTAATACGAATTGTTTGAGACATTAGATAGAATAAAAAAGAAAGGAAGAAGCTAAAGTTGGAAAGGTCAAGAACGTTTTCTTAAATAAGGCAGCCAAAAAAAAATTCAGACGACGGTTTTTAAAATTCGAAATGACAGCTTTTGGTTTCCCCAAAAGGTGATTGTCTAAACCTTATCAGGTGCCTTTTTTTTCTTCGTTGAAATGGTAGAAAAAGGCAGCTTGCGTCGTCCATTGGCAGCTTCTTAAACAAAGAGGTATGAGACAAGGCTTCAATGGTAAGTTAAAGGATATGCTTCTTCTAAAAAATTCCATGTGGTTTGATATGCTGTAGGTGTGCTACATGGTTTTAGGATAACAGATGATATAGAAGATAGGTGCAGCATTGTTATACAAACAAAAAAAAATGCATTAAAAATTAGAAAGTAAACAATCAGATCTATAATCTGTGGGTTATTAATATGTGTTTGCTTATATGTTCTGCTACACTTCAGAGATAAATATATGGCTTGCATTATTTTCATTATTGTCTTTGGAATCTTTTTGTATTGTTCAGTTGAGAATATCGTTTTTGAGTCAATCTAAAAGTATATTTTCGAAAGAAAAAAAAACAAGGATTGGTCTGGGCCAGGCACGTTCTTCCTTATTATTTCTATCCAGTTTAATCCAACAATGAGAGAATCATGCTATTTTTTCGTGCGATACAGTGTTCTCTTGTTAATGTCTTTAAGGATTTTATTTTGTTTTAGTGTTCATGTTGCTCTGCAGTATTCATATCGACTATATTATTCAGTGTCATGCAGTTACACATTGTCAAAGAGCATTAAAAAAAAGAATTTATTACAAAGCAATTGCTTTTTCTAACATACAATGTTGAAACGAAAAGTAATAGTTTACCTAAATCGTCATACCATATTTAACGGAATTGGATCTCAAAATCACCAATAGATCCAGTGAGTTCACCAAGATGTTCAATGTCAGAGGAAAGCATTTTAGTAACGACAGACATGAGTGTTTCCCGCTCAATAGGTTCACCGTTTTTGGCGCGTAAAAGCAATGATTGAAATTCAGCATCCGAAGCATCTAACTTGAGAGACTCTAGTAACTTGAGCATATCTTCAGCACTGATGCGTGTATCATCACCTATTTTAGGTCAGTGCATAAAATTATTTTTATTTTTACATACCTTCTTTAAGGTCTTTAACAAAGGGGTCGTTTTTAATTTCTAGAGTGGACATAACAAAGATAAAAGAAAAAAAATAAAGAAAAAAGAACGTTACTTGATTTTAAGAGAAATAGAATCACATGCAAAATAACAATATAAACCCAGCCTCAGTAGATCCAAAAGAGCATCTATAGAGTATAAAAGAAAAGGAGAGCGGAGATGTAGGCAGCCTATTCTGTCCTTTCCCGAGATGCATGATTCTATTTTGCGGTGCACCTATTTTTTGATTTACAAGAGTGGAACAGTCACTAAATCTTTATAAAAAATTTTGACATTTTTACTTTTTTTTCTTTATTTTTTATATATATATCATGTCTGAAAAAGAAGAAGCCAAACTCCCTAGAGTAAATAAAATACGCGTACATGAAATAACAAGCTAACATGTATCATTAGAAAAGATTCTATCGTCAACGTGCTCACGCAAACCCTTTTTCTGACCACCAGTTGGAATAGTAAGCAAAAGAACAAATAAAGGATGATACTAAGCATACCTTAGTCCTGCTGAACCTAAGTTAATGGATTGGAGCCGTCATTATCCTCAATACTATCCCGTTAAAGAAGGTGAAGAACAAAAGAAGGTTGAATTTGCAGATATTGGTTGTGGTTATGGTGGTCTTTTGATTGCTTTGGCCCCTCTTTTTCCCGAGAAATTGATGCTTGGTATGGAGATTCGTACTAAAGTCGAGGATTATGTCTATGAGCGTATCAAGGCTTTGCGTGTTCAAAAGCCTGGCGATTATCAAAATGTTTCCATCATGCGTATGAATGCTATGAAATTCATGCCCAATTTCTTTGAAAAGGCACAACTCTCCAAAATCTTTTTCTTGTTCCCTGATCCTCATTTCAAGCAAAGAAAGCACAAGGCTAGAATTATTAGGTAATCTAAATTTCTATTTTATCTTGCGTCTTGTTTACTTATGTTATATATAGTCCTACACTTTTAGCTGAATATGCTTACGCTCTTCGTGTGGGCGGTATTTTGTACACAATTACAGATGTCAAAGATTTACATATTTGGATGGTCAAGCATTTAGACGAACATCCTTTATTTGAAAGATTAACTGATGAAGAATGCGTAAGTTAATGCAGTACATGTGTGTATAAGCTTATACTTTGCTTAGGAAAATGATCCCTGTGTTCCTCATGTTCGTACTGCTACTGAAGAAGGTAAAAAGGTTGAAAGAAATCAAGGTGATAAATACCTTGCCTGTTACCGTCGTATTGAAGATCCTTTCTATGCCAAATAATTTGTATATAAATTACTTTTTTTCTCTCTATATATGACAGCTTTGGACAACATTGAGTAAAAAAAAGACAATTGTCTGATCTAAAGAGATACTCATGGAGAGTGGATTTCGTTTATAGCATCAATTCGATTCATAACAGTAGTGAAGAATTGTAGAAATGAAATCTCTTCAATTAGAATACCCTATCTAGAACAGTAACGTTGTGATCGTTTTGATCTTGACAGCCTCATAAACTCTATTTGTGGCACTGGATTAGGGTAACTTTAATTTGCCATGTCATCGTTTCTTTATTGCGGAATAATCTCCACTCCTGTTAGTGTGTTTGTATACAATGCAATGTTTTTATTCAAAAAAAAATACAGTATAGATATGTTTTTCTAACATGGTCTACCAATCTAATTTCTTGTTCCCTTCAGTACACATTTCAGCAACAGGACATGCATTAATTGTAGTAAACCCACTACCTCCTCTACCTCCTTTTTCGAGTGCAAATTCCCAATAATGAATTGAGCACATCAAAACAGGCCCGATTTCTGGAGGATAATCATTTTCGCTTACTTTACCATGGTAAGAAAGATCGGCTCCTGCATGTGGGCAATATCTATCTGCCGAGAACTGCTTTCCAGTTGATAGTGTGACAATAATACGTTCTTTATCGTTTGGGTCTATTTTAATTTTTGCTTCTTGCTCTTCTTCAAATGTAAATGCATATGGATTCTCGGTATCTTTTTCTTTTTTGGAGGTTGGTACAGGCTCGCTGGTTACTAGTTTAGGCTCGCTGGTTGCTGTTTCAGGTATGCTGGTTATTTCTTGAGTTGAATCGACCGTTTTTTGAGGAAGAGGAGAGGGATCATTGACCCGCTTGTATTTTATAGTGGGTTCAAACATGACCGAGATCAGTAAACGTATAAAGAGGTTAGTGCAAGTAAAGAAGAGAACGAGAAAAAAAAAAGAGATTATCAAAGCTTCGGAGATCAAAGAGAAATATAAATTAGTCAGTCTCTCGAATGGTCTGTGCTCTTCTTATTTCTTCCAAAAAGCATCAATAATTGTAGAAGATATAACATGCATTTTTATTACGAGTGAAAAGATATATGTATATTTATATGTATATATGTACAGAAGTAGCTTTACAAAATTTAAAAAGAATTATCAGAATCACGTCTTCCTGGTCTGATGTGAAGACGTTCAGGAGTGCCAGAAACGGCAGGCAAACGTACCATGATGGATACAGGCAGTTCAGCACGATTCGCAATAAAGACAGTACCTTGCACCTTAAACCCAAATTGCTCGAAAAACTTGACACTGACAGGATCAGATACTTCCACATAGACAGGATGCTTGGCATTATCAGCTTTATCAAGCACGTAATGAACAAGAGCAGACCCGTATCCCTTGTGCTGCTCTTGTGGCAATACGCCTACATGGCCAATTGTAATATATTGAGGATGATCTGCCATGATTTTACGCTTGAGTTTATCACATGAAGGACCAACTTTAGTGACAGTACGAATGGCAGCTGCCCATCCTATCAGACGAGCCAGTTTGATGGTGCTCAGCACGCGTGGCCAAGGAGAACTGTTAGGGTTGTTTGTCCAGATAAGAATGCCTTTACAGCCATCTACTTGCAATGCAAAATCTCGACTCTGGAGAGAGGATTCATTAATCATATGTTTAAAAAGTGTATAAAGGAATTCATAATGTTTTTTTTGCTCTAGACCTTGGACACACCATCCCATGATGTTATCTTTGAGATAAGCTTCAGTCAGGGAGTTTGATGCCTCTTTAAATGCGCCTATGATAAAATCAGTCTCAATTTTTTTTTTATCAAATATATCCTACCTTTGATTATAGGGCGGACATTAGGTGTATGATGGTGAATATTTACTGTGAGCTTGCGACTCACTTTACAATGGTCAATTGGGGAAGATGTAGTTAATGACATGACAGAAAAAACAAAAGGAAAAGAAAACAAACCGTTCTTTTTATATACGTACAAATGCTCGTAAAGGGAATTTAAACCATATTTCTTGCAAACCCCTCGCTTGTGATATATGATTGGCTACATTTATCGATCTCGAAATCTAGAACAATCAATAATACTTCCTTTGACATCTGATTTTAGTATAGTTCTTGTTAACCATAACTCATTTAAGCTTGAAACTAGTCCTAATCATACCAGTTTTAAGAAAAAGATATTATTTGTTTAGTGTTGAAAATAATAAGGAAGAGCAAAAAAAAAGTATAGTTTCACTGCTAGTATTTGTTTTTTTTTTCTTGGCTCAAAAATCGAACAAAATTCTAGACAATATTGATCAAACGATAAGAAATGTTTGCTTGCTCTAGGACTGTTTGTAAATTTCTGTTAATCGCCCGAAGATTTGCTTATCTTTCTATTATTCTGTAAGAATATGCAAGTTGATTTACATAGCATTTATTTTCTATCTATTAGATTAAGCAAGTCCAGATTATTCTGAATTTTAAAGTTAAACATATGGCCTAAATATTTAGTATGATCAACGTTACATTATTTCATTATTATCCGTTTTGAATGATAGAAAAAGTTTAGCAGAGTATTACTTGATCAAGGATTTTAAAACCCTCTCTGTTTCCTGCCAATCATCAGTAGGTACTTTGATAATATCGCTACCAAAGTATCGCTCAATAAAGTTCATTTCAATCCAGCTCCGATGATCATGAACAAAGGCCACACTAACACCTTTTCTGCCAAATCGACCTGTGCGTCCAATGCGATGCAAATAAACTTCAGGATCAGGGTCTCCCTTATGGTCTGTAGGTAAATCATAATTGATTACCAATGAGACTTGAGGAATATCAATACCGCGAGAAACAACATTGGTCGAGATCAAGACTTTGAATTCACCACGACTAAAATCATCAATCAACTGGTCACGTTCGACTGAGCTCATGCCACCGTGTAAGTTCTTGACAGCATGTCCCTCATCTGTCATTTTACTTGCGATTTTTTCTGCTGTATCTCTTGTCTTGCAAAAAATAATGCTTTGGCTTACTGTCAAGACATCATAAAGAGCACAGAGAACTTCGTATTTATGTTCTTCACTATTGCAGTCCATATAGAACTGTGTGATGCGTTCCACACTCAGCTCTTCGCGCTTTAACAAGATACGAGATGCATTAGGAGCAAACCTCAAAGCAAACTTTTGTACGTGATCAGGAAAAGTAGCAGAGAACAACATCGTTTGAACAGATCTACTAGTAATCGCATTTTTGATTCTAAAGCTTTGGTCACCAAGGCCTTGTTCTTCTAACATTTGATCCGCTTCATCCAATACTAATGTCTTTAGATGTCCTGTGTCAATATAGCTACGACGGATAGAATCTAAAAGAGAGCCAGGCGTACCAATAATGATATGCTGGCTCATATGTTGATATTTAGCCTTGGAATCTTTGACCACAAGAACAGTTTGGACTTTAGTGAATTGAGCCATTTGAGTTACAGTGTTATACATTTGGCGAGCCAATTCTCTTGTAGGTAAAACACAGAGACCTTGAGGATAAGGTTCATTTTGATTGACTCTTTGAAGCATAGCAAGCGTAAAAGCGGCAGTCTTTCCAGTACCATTTCGAGACTGAGCAATGATATTTTTAGGTCTTAACAGAATTAAACTATTGAGTAACATTTCAGATAAACTTACGGGTCTTGGAGAAGTAAAGGAAGTGTCATAGCTTGAATTTTGGAAGGCTTAGAGAATCTCATAGCATATACACCTTTAATGAGATCTTGAGAGCTAGTGTAGGCATGCATTGGAATATTAGTAGTATGATCAAACTAACTTACAGGCCAAAATCTTCAAAGCTTGCATCAGAATAAGGCTTCGACTCGCTAATATCCTGTGGTGTTAATTGAATATGAACAATATCATTCATTTCTAGAAGAAAAAGAAAGATGTATGAAATGCTGTTTGTTACATACTAAAGCTCATTACCTTGTTGCATTTTTGATCAAAAAGAAAAAGAAAAAAAATACAAGAGTCTATACTCTAAGCTTTTTGAGTTCATCATTGATAAATTGTTTATTTCAACCTTTGATTTAAAAAAGCTTTTAACAGATCATAGAAGCAACTCATGAATCTTAACTGTAAAAAAATCCTGTTGAAATAAATGTTCTCTGAAGTTCTTTGGTCTTTTCTGTATGACATACTCATGTCAACTACAGACTGTTTCGGCTACCTTTATTTGGTCTCAGGAGCCTTATTCTTTTTCACTTTAAAATTTTCAAGAATCGAAATATAAGCTTTCTTCAATTAAGAATAAAGCATCTAATTACGAAACTAGTAAGAAAAACAGGGGGAATGTAGCATATCAAATTTAGCAGATTGTGGTGATTTGATAATCAAAAGAAAGAACAACTGCATGTATACTTTTTTCTGCTTCTTGCATTCACAGTTGCCTCAAATCCATCAACTCAGGCTAACTGTACCTTCTCTGCTTGGATTATCATAAAATAATTGACAATATAATAGTATTGGAATTGTTTGTCTTGCATTTTTGAAGCTGGTATCCAAAGGCAGAAGTTTGGATTTTTACTCGCAATTACTGTCTCGCATCTTAACGTTTCCCAAGTCCATGTTGCGATTATAAACTGGTTCATCATACATCAAGCACAAAATACTTCATCCCTTTTTCTTGGTTGTTCTGCCTTGCTAATGATTGAAGTATCAAGTATTTTGTTTTCATCAGCATCATAGAACAGAATGGCTTTCAAGCGTGTCTTACCTACAAAGTCAATTCGGATGATTGCGAGTAAACTGCTTGCATCATTATTGTTTATGTCAGAGTTTCGATATTGATTCTCTAACTTGTTTTTTTTTCGTTCTCTAAGCAAAAGCACAATTTTCCTGTCAATAGTCATAATAAAAAGGCTATTGTGGGACTTTTGTTTTTGTCATACATAAGCCGACTGCGCCTATAAATCCCGTTTCCATGGCAACCACACTAGCAATCATATTGATACCATGCCACAATGTCTAAGAGTCGCACAAGCGGTATACAAGTGTTTGTGCGACAAGGACAGAAAAAAAAAGGCATATATAAAGCTGATTTTTGATTGTTCTCTTTTTTCTTCATCAATAATGGTACAAGCATTAGTACAAAGCAAACCTTCTGGAAGAGTAACTCAATCTCAAGTAATACCTTTCAGACAAAAATGAAATTTTAATAAAGATAATAGCATACTCAGACATCCAAGACAAACAAGCATACAGGCAAAGCTATCAAAAAGCATACCAATAAAGGACATGCCTTGAATATTCGTGACTTTAAAAACCTTAATGTAAGTCATAATTTGATTCAAATTTCAAAATACTGATTCATATCATAGGGCAAAATAATGTATCTCGTTCAACGCAATGGATCCATGCAAGATGAATGGGAAACTGAAGATATGGTTGATAATTCTCATGTGTTGGTTTGCTACCAACGCAAAGTGCAAGAAGAATCAGGATACACAATTGATGGATCTGTTGAAACAACAACTACGAAACGTCCCTCTCGTTTATCAAAAGTTCGTGCAGTCATGGCTATCAAGGATATTGCATCAGTTGACGACAATGAAGAAAAAGAAGAAGCAGGCAATAACCGTGGCATCAAGCGTAAATCAGCTAAAGCAAACTCAGACGAATTTGTCAATAAACGATCAGGAAAGGGAGAGAGAAAAACCAAGGCTCAGATCCAATTAGAGCAGCAACTGGAAGAAAGAATACAGACTAGGCTAGCAAGAGAAGAGCTTGATGGTGATGCAATTGTTCACTCTTTGGACCATGTTGAAGGAAAAGATTGCTGTTTGATGTGCGCTTCCAATACCTACAGAGAAAAGCTTGAAAAACAAGATCTGAATGGGTTTAAAGCTGCTTTTCAAGATTATGAAAATATTCCCAACTTTAGCGAAGAAGACGCCCGTAATGGTCTTAGCTTGATTGGTTATGCTATTGTACTTGGAAAGCACGATTTTGCAGAGTATGCTGTAAAGGAACTCAAAAACTCAAAAATAATACACAAGAAGCTAAATGTCCCTCAAAAGTACAAGATGTATGACGATAACACTGGTAGAAACACAGGCGGAGGATACTACAACAATCGCAACTTTAGGTAAGTTACATATAGATAGCTTTGAATTTACTAAAATGAACCTCCATATCTTATTACTAGAGAGGTACAAGAATCGAGAGGAAATCGTTTGGGAAACTCTGCTTTTTATAGAGAGAACAACGGATCATATCCTAGAAAATCTTTTATGAATGTGGATGACAAAACCTCGGGCTGCTGTCTTCGCCCTTATATGACAGTTATCACAAAAAATGCATTTAAAAATGAAGACGTGATCAATAGCCTTTTAGCTTTTGAAAGATGTGGCTCTTATGAATTCTATTTTGCAGTTAATTCTGGAAACCGCTTCTTGGCTAGCAAGATACTTGCTCATGTTAGTGAAAAGCAAGGAAGAACTACATTTAATCGTCTTCATGATGAAGTTCTCAAGGTAAATTACAGCTCGCTATCTCTAAACTTCCTTCTAATACTCAAAAAATAGTTTGATGCCGAAAAGCCCTTAAGCAACTACAAACGCCCTCAAATACTGAAGCTCGCTTCTGATGCTAATAATGTAACTCCTTATCACTGTGCTGCTATTCATCCTGATTCTACCTATCTTGCTGAATTCTACGACAAGCTTGATGCCGCTGAACGATTGGAAACTGATTCCTATGGTAGATCTGTAGCTTTTTACGCTGCAGTTAGTGAAACAAGCGCTTGCTTAGAATTCTTGATCTCAAAAGGTTTTAATATGACTCTTCATGACAAGTATAAAATGACTCCTCTTATGCAAGCTGCCCGTTTTGGTAGAAGCCACAATGTGAAGCGTCTTGCGAAATATCTAAACGGTGATAATGAAGATAATCATGTTTCGCCTACCATCTTTCAATCTCTTGTACGCAATAAAAGAACAGCATTGCATTATGCTGCTTATTTTGGTCATGCTGAAACATGTCGGGTTTTGATAGAACTTGGTGCTCCTGTTGAATCGTTAGAGAGTTTAGATAAGCAGACTCCTCTGCATTTTGCGGCTAAAAATGGCTATCTCGACTGTGTCAAGGTATTGATAGAAGAAGGAGATGCAAATCCTGAAAAAGGCGACAAATTTTCGAGAAATGCATTACACTTGGCCTGTATCTATGGTCATCTAGACATTGCTTATTACCTTTTATCGCAAGGTGTTGACGCCAATGCTTCTGATAGCTCGCAAAATTCCCCTGCACATTATTCTGCTGCTTATGGATATCTTAAAATTTTACATCTTCTTATTCAGTATGGTGGAGCAAATCCTTCTATCTCTAACGTATGGAGAAGCACTCCCTGTTCTGTTGCTAACATGAAGGGTCATCTTGCTATTGTAAAATACTTACTTGAACTACCTGGAAATCCTATTGATGTTAACTTTAAGGATCAAGATGGTTGCATTATGCTTCAGCGTACAATCAATGAATCGGTCACCTCCATATTAGAAATGAAGATGAACACGAACAAGGTTAAACTACTTCTTTCTATGAATGCCAACACTAATAGCGCAGATATCACAGGTAATTTTCTCCATAATTTGCATATATAATTAAGTTCATTTAATAGGATGCACGTCATTACATACTTTGGCAAACAACACTACTTACATAGCGCTTTATCCTAAAGGCTGGAAATCGTTTTATCCTACAAAACATCAAAATTATCACTATGCAGCAAGACTTAACAAGGGCACCGAAATGGATGACCGAGATGGTGTCAATTATCAAGTCGAATTAGCTAGACTTTTGATTGAAAATGGAGCTAATCTTCATGAAAAAAACCTCAAGAAACAAACACCCCTATCTTGTGCCATGTCAAGTAAGAATCATTTTCTTGTTGCCGTTTTGATTGAAGCTGGATCAAGTTTTTGGATTGATACTGATGGAGATGGAAAGAACTTTTTTCACTACTTTGGTGACTTGTTAGCTCAGGCCAATTCGTTTCAACCACACAATGAAACCGATACTACACGTCAACGTTCTTTCTTGGAAGCTACAAAAAAAGTATGGACTGCTGTTGAATCCAAGTTGACACCAAAAACTGATTTTAGTTTGACAGTAAGTTACGATAGCTTATCAGCTCATGATTTGCTAAACGCGTAAACTTAGATTAATGCATGCGACAAAAATGGTTATCCTCCTTTACAGTATGGTCTGAAGCGTGCTATTGAAGAACAGAAATATAGTCTGATAAATGAAAAGCAATTGATATTGTGTGCTGCTGCCAAGGGAACAAACTGCGAAGACAAGCTAGATGAAAACAATCAACGATGGGTACTCCCTGAAGCCTACATAAATCTTACTGAGCCTCTTGTTATTGATCTGACAATGAATTTCTTAGTATACGTAAGTTTCTTTACATTGATGTGGATTTTAGCTGATATGTTTTTTAGTTGCAATATATAGAAAAGCTTGTGGCAATATTTGAGCCTGATTTAAATGCTGTAATTGAACTGCCCAGAGATTTTAAGAAAAACAATCCGAAAGCAAAAAAGAGCAACTACCCAAAGGCTACAGGAGAAACTGTATTACATTTAGCTTGTCAGTTACAAGACTTGAGCTTGATCCAATTCTTTTTGAAACACGGTGCTGACCCCAACCAAAAAGTGAATGTAGAAGGAACTCTTGGCGATACGCCTTTACTTATTGCGTATCACCATAAGAAGGACGAAGAACAAGGAATACCTGAAGTAACAGAATTTATAAATAACAACTTTATAATCAAGAAGCCTGATTTTAAGGCAGGTTTACATCAAGTAATCAAGACCTTGTTGGAGCATGGATGCTCTCCTTTTGATACCAACTCTATTGGAAACTCTACTTTGCTCAAAGCTTCTGCTAAACTAGATCTAAAGAATCTTAAGCTTATGTGTCAGTCAGAGCCTTCCGGTAGTGAAGACATTGATACTGAAAACGAGAAAAACCAGACTGCTCTTATGGTTGCCGTAGTTACTCTTGAAAAGCTTATTCGCAGAAACAAAGCATTTGATACTTCAGTCGTCGAGTTGTTGTTACAATCAAATGCTAATCCAAACATTTCATTTGAAAATGGTGACACAGTTCTCATAAAAGCTATCAGCATGTGTTGCTTTCCTTTAGTCAAAACTATTCTTGAAAAAGCTATTGTCGCCTTTGATCATAACCACCAAAACAAAAGTAAGTTTTCAAACTGTTTATACACGCTTTATTGATTATTCTATTTAGACCTCGAAACTGCTTTGAGCTTAGCTTTACGCCTCAATAAACAAGATATTATGTCTATGTATTTACAGTACTTGAAGAATGACACAAAGAGTGACAAATTAAACCCGAACACATTCAATGCATTATGGCATACACCAATTTTTCATGCTTGTCAGCATGGAAATCTCGATGCTGTCAAGACACTAATTGCTTTGGGCGCTAGTCCTAATATCTACAAGCCTGCATCAGTTCCACTTATTGAAGCTGTGAAGAGCTGTAATCTCGAGCTCATTGAATTTTTGCTCAACAATGGCGCCGATGTCAATGTATATGATCACGAAGGCAACTATCCTTTGCATTCTGCCGTTCTCACCGATAAATATCGTACTGTGGATCTCTTGTTAAAGTATTCTGCTGATTGTAGCTGTACCAATGCAAGAAAACAAACTCCTCTTCATTTGGCTGTTGAAGTAACCAAAAAGCAAACCAATCGTTCTTTTAAAATTGAAAGAAGCTTGATCAAGATGGGTGCCAACATAAATGCAATTGATTTCTTTGGTAATTTATATGTGCATTTTAAGAAAACAAGATACTAACACACGTATGAAATAGGTCGTACACCTTTACACTATGTGTTTGTAAGTTGCGAATTGATTCCTATCACTCGTAATACTACTATCATTCAAAAGAAAGTCAAGCAAATCATAAAAGAAATCGGAGAAGAAGTGAAAAAAGAAAACGATTTGAAAAATTATGTCCGCAAGTTTGATCTTGGTGATCATAGCAACAATAGCATCAATCCTTTAAATGCCGTAAATGCATGGATAAAAGAAGCCAAGAAAATGCAGTTAGAGCAAGAATATCAACTTGAAAACGCTAGTAACCAATTCACAAACAATCTAACAATTGATGAAAACGAAAAAGAGAGACTTAAGCTGTATCAAGCTTATAAGTTTGAAGGAAATACCATTACTCCAGAACGCTTTGACCCTATTGATATTCTCAAGTTTATTTCAAGCCATAAAGAGATTCAGTTTGATATGAAAGACGAATTTGGTAGAACACCTCTTCATTATGCTGCTTGTGTTGGTGCGTTCAGCTGTACCTCTATATTGATTGAAAGACAAGTTGACATTGATGCTTTGGATATCGATAATGTAAGCACCTATTTTCATTGATATGAGACTAACATCTTGTTTTTTTAGAATGGTGCTCTTCAGTTGGCTCTTCGAAACAACCATATTGATTATTCTGTAATGCTTTGTAATTCCGGTGCTTCAGCCAGAAGGGATATTGTTTTACAAAATGGCAATTCCACATCGACATTTGGATTTAGCTTGTCAAAATCACTGATCAATATTGCTTACATCATCATGGAAAGAAGTGCTCTTTTGATTGGTAATATATACTTATATAACAAGGTATTAATCTGTAATTGAATATAGAATCTATAAGAGATGCATTAAGGAACGGTAAATTCCATTTGGTGGAAATCCTTTTACAATCAGCTGATGACCACGCTTTATGTCAAGTTCTTGAAAAAGAAGGTCAAAATATTTGGCACATCATTGCAGACTTCAAGCCATTTAACAAGTAAGTCTTAGTTTTTTCCTATAAAAAAAGTGACGTTAAGCATTTTATTGCATGATAGTGAAATATGGCAAGATTATCTTCAAGAAATTATTTTGAAAATCTCGTCATTGAATCTCATGGTATACAGTGATAAATTTGGTAGAAGCCCTCTGCACTATGCGGCCAAGCATGGACAAGATGTGCTTCTAAAACATCTGATAAACATACAAGGTGTTAGTTGTCACAATCAAGACAAAGAAGGGAAAACCGAACTTGATTATGCTGTTCAGTCTTGCAATATTCAATGCGTCAAGGTAATTTTTTTTATCCGACCAAATGATTGATTAATTTATAGATTCTTCTGGAGCAAGGAGCTAGAACCAGTAGAGCAACAGAGACCAAGCATAAGTCTGTTCTTTTAAGATCAGTTGAAGAACGCCAATTCGACATTGCTGAATTGCTTTTGCAAAATGGAGCCCCTAAAGATGATGATGATAGTGCCAACGGATGGCCCAATGCTGTAATGGTTGCGTGCCAACAGAAGAACATTAAGATGCTGAAGCTTCTTATTCAACATGGCGCTGACTTAGATACACCTAGTCAAATAGAACGCAAGGATAAAAACCAAAAGACTTTTAAGGTACTTATACATCCAATCTTTATTGCTTCATCTGCTGGTGATCTATTTTTGGAGGTACGTTAAATATTGGCATGGAGATATGTGAACTAACATCTACTTAAATCAGACCTTGCTTCAAGGAGGAGCAAATTCTAATGTTTATGGTCCTAATCATGAGCCTGAAAATGGGCAGTCTTGTTTCATGTTCAATGTATCACTTAATTCTGTTAAAAATCAAAAGGTATGGTAAATTCACCTATATTCTCTAGCTTATAACTTGCTATGAATAGATTTTGCTTGACTATAATATTGACTTGAATATGCTTGATTATCAAACATCCCGTACCATCTTTTATTGGTTCTTCTTTCAAAAGTCTGGGATTCCAAAAAAGAAATACCCTCAGCTAGAGAACTCCCACATCGATATCTCAGTCTATAACAAGATGCTTTATTCATACCAACCTCAAGTCAATCACATTGATACTGTCACCGGTATGACTCCACTTGAGTTTGCAATCTATCAAAATAGCTTGATTGTTGTAGAGGTAAGAAACAAAGTTGCTGAAACCAAAGAGAAAACTTATTCTTTTTCTTTAGCGTTTGTTGGCTCTTGGTGCAGATGTAAATCTGGAAAGTTGCTCTAATTTTATAGAAAATGTAATGAACCCTCACAAAACCAAGTTGCCAGCAGTGCTTCATGCTATTTTGATCAACAAATTGGAAATGATCAGTTTGATCTGTGAAAAAACGCCTCAAAGCATCAATTATTTATGGCAAGACAACGAAGGAAACAACATGCTGTCTTATGTCCTTGGCATTGTCAACGGTTACTCCCATTCCAATATTGAAACTCTAAACTATATTGCAAACCAGATGACTAGTGCAAATGTGAAGAAACTTTTGCGAATGAAAGATGTGCATGGTAGGTTTTTCTTTAAAAAAATTAGAAGTGACTCATGCAAATCTTTAGGTGTTCGTCTGGTTCTTTATGCATATCATCGAAGCAATAAGGAGCTATACAAAACATTATTATCTTTGGATCCTACTTTGCAATATTTTGTCTCAGAAAACTATAGATCCTCTGATTTTGATTTTGAAAATCGTCCTTCACTAATGTCTGTTGATTATATCCCTACAACCAAAGTTGATGAAGACGCTCAAATCGAACGAGCCAAACTCCAGCATGCGAAGGATATTGAAAGCGCCAAGTCAGGAAACAAAAGACAAGAAAAAGACGAGTTATTGAAAGTTGATTCATACTCAAAGTTAGAAAGAGTTGGTGAAATTGCCTTGGACGAAAATGATATTCCTTACAACATTGTACTTATGAAAGTAGAACTAAACAGTTGGGGAACCTACACAGATACGTCGTAAGTCTTGATAGATATATTGGGACATAATCTCAACTTTTTCTTTTACCTTTAGATTTTACAAGTTGAGTATCATCTATAACAAGGTACTTGATGTCTATATTTTGTGGACTCGGTGGGGACCATTTGGTAAAGAAGGGCAGCATCAAAAAACGCCTTACTTGACAAAAGAAGAAGCGGTACAAGAATTCAAAGCAATATTTAAGTCCAAGACTGGAAATGTATGGGATGACCATCGGACATCGTTTACCATCAAGCCTGGTCGCTATGAAATTATACAAAAGGCGCAACATCCTAAAGATACCATTATTGAAGATTTTGACTTTTTGAAATCAGACAAGCCCACTCAACTATCAGCTGAAGTACTCAACTTGATGAAGATCATTTGCAACTATGATTATCTTTCCAGAGTTTACACAAACACTCAGATTGACATGCCTTTAGGTCAGATTCCTCAAAAATGTATCGAAGAAGCTCGTGGTATTCTAAGAGAAGTTAAAGCACTTATCAACACATACCGAGGACTCAATAACTGCTATTCAGATAAGGCAAAGCTGCTTGAATCAAAAAGTATGTATCTTTGTTATTTGTTTACATGGATTGTCTAACACAATCTACTTGATTAGTTTATGCATTCAAGATCGCTCAAAAATGTGTTGCCTATTCTCGCCTTTTACCCCGTAATGGCGATGCATACCAAGGCATTCGATCTTTATATGGAAATGGCGAAAACCTAAAGAAAGAGCTATCTAATCTTGAAGATCTCAGCTATGTTAGCTTTGCTGCCAATGTCTTACTTGCTGCAAAGCATCATTGTAGCGAAATCAATCCACTTGAGTATGCATTCCGCACACTCAATTGTACCCTCAGACCTCTTTCTCTTGATACAGAACTGCAAGAATATGACATGATCACTCATTACATGAAGTCTACCTGTAAAGAAGAATATAATTTGGTCCATTTATTTGCTGTTAACCGTGCTGATGAAGAAATACGTTTCCGTCCCTTTGAAAATGAATTGGACCGGAAATTGCTTTGGCATGGTTCGCGTATAGGTAATTTTATGGGTATTTTAAAGCAAGGCCTTCGAGCATCACCTCGTACCTCTTCTTCCAACGTAAGCTAACTTGATCATAAAACAAGTGACTCATAAATATCTAGGGCGCTTTGCTTGGTAATGGTATTTACTTTGCAGATACGTTTAAAAAATCATTGGGATATTCTAATGACACCTATGGCCAATCTTCGTCACCTTTTCGAATTATGTTACTCTGCGAAGTGGCACTTGGCTCTAATCAGGGTAAAATGAAACAAACACCTTCTGAAGAATACGAAATGCATGATTCTGTCAAAGGAGAAGGCGCAAATATTCCTGATCCTTCTAATGCATTATATGATTCAAATGGGGTAAGTAATCAAGGTAGTTAGGAGCAATAAAGTACTAAGCGTTTTTTTCTGTTTAGGTGTGTATTCCTTTTGGACCTTGTATATCAAATACCAATATTCAAGTTACTGGCAATCATGGGTTCAACAACGTTTCATTAAACTATAACGAATATGCTGTATATAATGAAGATCGTGTCAAAATACGTTACTTGTTGATTCTTAGAGAGAAGAACAACTGTCATTTATGCGCCAAACCTGAACCATCAAAATCGTTGAGGCCTTTCTTCCATCATGAACTTTCCAAATATAAATATACAGACTTTAATATCTACGAAACAGAAGTCGTCAAGGCATATCTTCAACATCAAGGCAAGACGCCTCAAGATATTTTCAGTCAAGATTTGAATGAGTTCATTGAAAAGAAACTTTACAGTAAGTTTGTTGGTTTCTAATTGTCTATATCTTAACAACTTGAATAGATACTAAATGGGACACTCCCCTTGATTTGCAACAAGATAGCAAAATTTGTACTAAATGCGCAATGATCATTACGACAATGATGCTAGAGAAACGAATGGTTGATAACAGAGACAGACTTGATGTTCTTGGTAAGAATCTTATCTTTGATTCAAAAGTGTCTTATTTAAATTGAAATTAGATACCTTGAATCAAAAGCCAAGATGTAGATACGGCAAAGAATGTAAAAACCAACAATCAATTCATCATACAAAGAAATACAAGCACTGGTTTTTTGACAAATTAACTGATGATATACATGGCGCACAAGAAGAACTTATAGATACAGACAATGAACACATCATGGAGCTTGATGAATAACTTATGAAAAACTATGAATAAAACACACTTCTTATAAAGTATAAAAGTTTAATTTTTTTTTTTTACTATTATTAACACTCTTACATAATAGTACATCAAGAATGAAAAAGAGGGTATAATATTATTCTATTGCAGGCCAATTTAAACTATACTGATACATTATATACATTTTATGATTGATTTGATGTTGTCTTCTCATTATTGACAAAAGGAAAAAAACTGTACTCGAAATGCTCTTGAGACGCTTTTCAGGACTATGTTCCTTTGAGGGGCTGAAATCGATTGATCATATGGAAATATGTTGATGGGCGAAAGCGGTTTGATAGGTGATAATACATAAGGTGAGTACGGTGTAGCGTCTACTGCTCTTTAGAGTTAGCGTCAATCTATTCATTAGAAGTTATAATTTACAGTGAGAACGGTAAATTTTGTCACTTTGAGAAAATGAATGGCACTAGGCCAAAAGTTAGAAAATCTGCTGATAACCTAGAGACGAGATATGAATGTTTTATGAAATGGAAAGATTCTGACGTAGACTTTACAAAAAACTGTATCTTTATCGACAAAGCTAGATTTCATATAAATTTGAAAAATAATTGGGCCAGAGCAGATACTGGAATACCTGCCATAGTGAAGACAACTAAAACAAAGACCTCATCTCATACGATTATTGGAGCTATACATGCATCTAGCGTCATATATGTAGCAATAAAGAAGCCACCACAAAAAAAAGAGAAGCTCCAAGGTAACAAGGCATCTACAAGCAAGAAAAGAAAAGTAGCAAAGGGCAAAACAATACTACAGATGAGTTTATTATAGAAGAACCAGCTACAGAGTATGTTGATGATAATTACGAGAGCAGGGCGCAAGATGGTTCAGAATCGATATCAAAAGGTACGACAGCTGCGCACTTTATCTAATTCATGAATGTTCTGCTTGATATCTTGGATCTTAATGAAGATCTAAAAGGGAGTTATTTGGTGATGGATAATCGCACTATACATAAATCAAAACCGATGATGAGAAAAATCGAAAGCCGTGGCTATAAGCTGATGTATATGCTTCCATATTCGCCTGAATTAAACCCAATTGAACAGTTTTGGGCAATCTTAAAAGGAAAATTGAAACGTCACACTGTTGACTGAAGAAAAACTGTCTGGTAGAATTGCTAAGGCATGTAATGCCATACCTGCTGAAATTCTATGCAACTTTGCCAGTCATTCTAAACGACAAATCATTCAATGTTATAATAAAGCTCCATTCTAATTGTTTTGAAGTTAAAAATACATATCATTTTTAGGTCAATTTGACAAAATTTCTGGACATAAAGGGACAATCATTTTTGGCTTGGTGCCATTTATTTTTTGGAAAGTGATAAAGTTTACTGTTCTCACTGTATCTGGTTCTGCGTGCTGTTTTGATTTAAAACTTAGGCAACACGACATCTCTCGAAAGTGACTATGACGTGTTTGTTGAATTGATCTACTACGCTTGCGTCTTAAGTAGTACCACAAAAATTCAACAGCTATTACTATAAATAAAGTGCCACCCAAGACAGACCCTAGAATGACAGCCAAGTGGTTTGTGAATGTTGTTGTCGATGCTGCTTTGGCTACTGAACTTGAAATGAGCCATTGTGGACGAGGTACAAAAGTCAATGTAGTCGTATTAAAAAAGTGAATACTCTGATTATTCCCACTGTAAGATATCGCTAAATCAGAATATAGGGGTAGTAACATTTGCTGAGAGTCTCTTTTTATTCGATTATGATCGAGTTTGATAGGTGTAACAATAACTTGAGTTGAATACGAGTTTGAAATGTCTAGTCTCCAAAACAATAGCTCATCAATCTCGGTATCCTTCTCATCTGTAACTGATTCTTATGTATCAAAAGAAGATCGAGTTGGTACAAGCAACAGAGAGTCTGACCCTTCATTTGAAGACAAAATAAAAATTGCTTTTACATGGTCTGTAGTTGCATTCAATGACAACAATGTCCCTCGCCATTCAGACATATAAGGATCAAAGCAGTCAATATGGATTTGTGTGCTATCAACGCGAAAATAAAGAATCCACCGTGATGTTACATAAAATTTAAAGGAGCGTGATGAAGGTGTTGATACATTGGATTTATACTAGGCCCATTGTACTGTATCAAGAACATGAAGGGATATGTTAAATATGTATATCTGATTGTCGAATGCCACTGCATTATTTGAGACAGAAGTATGTGTTCCTTCAAAAGAAATATTGGTTGAATTCCAAGGTAACGATGATGAAATATTTGTCGAGAAAACAAAAAGACAGTGCCTGACTTGGTGATGGTGCAAACAGAGCTATTGTTATTGTTGGGATAGCTTGATATTCTAGGAAGGTCAATATTCCGATTACTTCCAAATGACACCGAGACATCGTTTGTTTGGCTTAAGACATAAAGTGGACGGTTATAAGAAAACATGCATGAATACTTCTTAGAAAGATCAAGGTCATTAAAATCAAATGCTGTTGTAAACATAAATAATATCAAGAAGCGCCATAATGTTCTGACATGCATAATTTTTTTTTTTGTAAATAGAAAGAAAAAAAAAAGAAGGGGGCAAGTAAAAAGTCTTATTTATACTACATATATATATAGACAAAAAGAGTGCGACTTTCGACATTTATTTTATAGATCTCTTTTTCTTTTTCTTTTTTTATTTTATTTGTTCGTATTGTTTTGCTGTGATATAAGGCTCGATTTTGTTCATATTACTTAACCGGCCTTGTGGCTATTTTTTGTTAAAAAAAAAGTTAATCAGTACTCTATTTCTTTGTTCTCTTTTTTATGATACTTACAATTGCCAGGCAGCAGCTAAAATAAAAAAAAATTACAGTTTAGAAAACACTTGCCATTGTTTTATGAACCACACTTACCAATGAAAGGAGCACCGAAACCGAGACCCAAATACAAAGTCATCTTGACAGCAAGAGCAGCCTTGTTCTTGGTGTCAAAAGGAAGGTTCTAAGAAAAGACTGTTAAAATGATTGTTCTTTCTGTTATCTTTTTATTTGCGGCTTACTTGACCGTTGGAGTTGGAGAAGTGGTAGAGATCAGAACGGGCAACTTGGCGAGAAGAAGCACGCATAGCGGAACGAGCAAAAACGTTAGAGATCATCTTGGTATTGAAGTATAAAGAGTGGGGTTAAAAGAAGAGAAAAATATTTCAATAGGCGGACAAGAAAAAATTATATTCGTCAAGGCAGGGACCACAAGATGAAATTTCATATGTCCTAATATCACCCCACTTTAAGTGACGTCGTCCAAGTTTGTGACTTTTATTTAGTTAACAGAAGTGCATTTGTCGAGAGCGCATTAAAACTTAAAGTATACATTTAAATAAATATTCCAAAGAAACACTCAATTTCAGTTTCGAAAATCAAAACCCTTATATCCAATTGACTAGAGCATTAAATGCTTTATTAAAAAATTTGCTCGTAGACAAGAACTAGAAGAATTTGCCGGTAACAATCAACAATCGATAGAAATAAACGCATATGCAAATAGATATTTAGACTTAGACAACATTAGGCAAAATTTAGATAACTTAGGAAATTATATGTCAAATCATCTTCATAGACTCTGAAGAACTGGCCTTCAAGTTCCCTAAAGTTATTGGCATTACATCTTGGTCATATGTTTATAAAAGAGTTGCTCTAGATCCAAACAAGCTTAATCGCAACATAGTAAATAGACCATACAGATAAAAAGCTTTTTTTAATGTTGAAATTAGAAATTTAACAATTATATGCAAGTAATTTTTTTTTCAGATTTTGACCTTTCCAGAAAATCGGCTAGATCCGATGAACACCTGTATAATATACCTTACTTTAATACCTTGCATCGAGAGATCTCACAAAACTGTGACTCTACTGTAGCTCAAAATAAGCTGCAAATTATAATGTAGAATGAACAGCAATATCCAAGCCTCATATGACCAATTCCAGACAAGAAATACATGGACTCATTGTTTTATTGAATCCAATAATCATCGTCATTGACCTCTTTAAATCATCCAAATAACATTGTGCTCTAAACTGGATGTATCTTTTATCATACAAAAAGTGAGTAGTTGATGTGGATCTGTGAATATAGAATAATTTGCATTATGTTTAATGCATGTTCTAAAAGCTACCTTTCATATATCATAGATCATAAAGTTAAAGTTTGTCATCACTTTGACATTTTCATTTCTTTCTTTCATTTAAGAGGGGGTCGAGTGTCTTTTTAATAAGGTATTTGTATGTGTAGTAACCAATTCGATATGACATTCATGTGGTAGAGATACCAGGCAAATACAGACTTCAACAACTCATACAAATCCTTGTCTTTTTTTAGGCGTATAAAGATGGTGTAAAGCCTGTTTATACACGCATAAATGTTCGAAATACCTACAGACTATGTTTGCTAACATATAGGATGGATTTAGAGTTGATTTGGACCAAAAAAAAAAAGGCGACCTGTAAAAAATGACCACAATGACCATTCGACCAAAGGATACTGGTCATGAAAAAAAGCTCGTTGGACAACTTCTGATCTTCTTTTTGACGCTACGAGACGAAAAATGTAGCTAACAAGAGGCTTAAACACCCAAAATGTGCGCAAGACGCTCTAGTTTTTGGTAAATGTGTTTGCTTGCCAGTTGTACTATAAAAATGATGAGTTATGAGCAAGAAATCTCGAGAAAGTTTTTGCCTATTTGCTCAATATTTTAGCAGCAAAGTTGCTGTATTCTCTATATCAACGAGCTCCGAAAGCAAAGTACTACAACTTCTATTATTGTACCAGAGCCATACAGCTGCGTTTCCATGCAGTTCTCAGCAAAAGCTTGATTTTTTATGAGGCCGGATGGATAATTGAAATTGCGTTCGTTTTAATCTTCGCACACAGACATCATGTAAGTCCTATGCTCATTTACCCAACATTTACATTATAAAATACCTATATTTCTAATTTTCAATCTTTTTTTCTTCTTTGTTCATTCAAGACTAATATTCTGATGCTGGAACCGAGATATTAACACCGCATAGAACACAAGAAGCATCTTATGTGAATATATGCGTTCGGCTATGATACCAACAGTAGGCCACAACAGCTCTCAAGAGGTCAAGATAACCAAGGTGCTTTGTCCTAGGTTTAATGATAAGTAAGAATAACAGTCACCGAAGCTAATGTCATCTTTTTTTGTGGAGTATTTACGTAAAGTCTTCGATCTCTGTTTATTTGCATAAATACTTAGTTTTGTACATACTTTTACATTTGACGATGAAATAATGAGTCTCGACAAACGTGTTGTGTATAAATGGCTCTTTTAGGAAAGATATTATCAGACAAGGAAAGCATAAGAGTCTAATAGCATATAGTAAAAACGTACAGATGGATAATCATATGTATATGTATGTGTGACTGAAATCCCTGCAAGCTTATGCGATTAACCAATAAAAGCAGTTCATCTTTGATAGTTCTTAATATGGAAATGGCCATCTCAAAAAATCAAATATTTAACTTGCTTTTGTATTTGTCTCCTTCTTCTTTCTCGTTTAACATCATTGTTTACTATGGTTGATAAGTAAGTATCATGGATCGCGAATTATTCGTGTTTATGTATGCATATTAGGAAAATTCTTTTGCTTGGATCTGGCTTTGTCGCTGCCCCTTGTGTCGAATATCTCGTTCGTAAGCCTGAGAACAAGGTTACTATTGGTAATGTAAATTGGCAAGTCGCGTTCTTGAACTGACAATCAGCAGCCAGTAGAAGACTTGAGAATGCTCAAGCATTGTCTAACCAATATACCGGTACTATCGCAGTTTCTTGCGATATCAACGATGAAGCTGCCATTGAAAAGTTGGTTGCTGAACATGATGTTGCTATCAGGTAAGTAATAAGATATCAAAGAGTCATCTCACCCTGTAACTTGTAGTTTGATTCCTTATATTCACCATGCCAAGGTCATTAAGGCTGCTGTCAAGCACAAGAAGCATGTTGTCACTACTTCTTATGTCTCCCCTTCCATGTTGGAATATGATCAAGCGTAAGTAACTACTATCTAGTCTAAATGGAGTTAACACAGTTTTCAGTGCAAAGGATGCTGGCATCACTGTCATGAACGAAATTGGTCTTGATCCTGGAATTGACCATCTTTACGCTGTCAAGACAATTGAAGAAGTCCATAGAGAAGGTGGAAAGGTAGTTGTTTATTTTCAATAGAACATTATACTAAAATCATCATGTTTAGCTTAAGGAATTCATTTCTTTCTGTGGTGGTCTTCCTGCTCCTGAAGATTCTAACAACCCCTTTGGCTACAAGTTCTCTTGGTCTGCCCGTGGCGTCTTGTTGGCCTTGAAGAACACTGCCAGATATCTTGAAAAGGGTAAGGTTGTTGAAGTCTCTGGTACTGCTCTTATGGATTCCGCAAAGAAGTTGAACACTGGTTATCCTGGTTTTGCTTTTGTTGGTTATGGTAACCGTGATTCTACTCCTTATGATAAGCGTTACAATATCCCCGAAGCTGAAACTATCATTCGTGGTACCATGCGTTACGATGGTTTCTGTCAATTTGTCAAAGCTCTTGTTATCCTTGGTTTCTTGAACGAAGAAGAAGAAGCTCACCTTTCTGCTGATGCTCAAGATATTGCTTGGAACCAAGTTCTTGCCAAGACTGTTGGTATCAATGACACTTCTGCTGAAGCTTTGCAAGAGGCCATTATTGCCAAGTGTGATCTCAACAACAATGATTACAAGGATCAAATTTTGGATGGTATGCGTTGGCTGGGTTTCTTCACCAACACACCTGTCCACCGCCGTGGTTCTTTGCTTGACAGCTTCTGTGCTACTCTTGAAGAAAAGATGCAATATGGCGAAAATGAACGTGACTTGGTCTTCTTACAACATCGTTTCGAAATTGAACTCAAGGATGGTTCTCACCAAACTCGTACCTCTACCTTAGTTGAATACGGTAAGGTTGGTGGTTTCTCTGCTATGGCCAAGACTGTCGGTGTTCCTTGTGGTATTGCTACACAGCTTATTTTAGATGAAAAATTGACTGCCACTGGTGTCCTTGCCCCTATGTCTAATGAAATTAACGAACCTATCATGGAATTATTAGAAAAGGAAGGTATTGGTATGGTCGAAAAAATCTTGTAAAGTTCTTGTGTATAAATAAATGTAAAATGCATTTTTATTTGACTTATAAGCCTGATTTTCTAAGCTTTTTCACTTTTTTGCCTCCTTTCTTTTGGAAATCACGCCAACTGTTTACACGATTATCTCGGGAAGCTTCCCATTGCTTTGATTCTTCTGCTTTTCTTTTTCTCTCTTTTGCCATTTCTTCAACTTTTCGCTTCTCCTCACCTTGAGCTTCCATTTCTTTCTTTAATTGCTTTCTTCGACGCAATTCCATTTCAAATAGGATTTCTTTTACTTTTTCTTTGACTTTAGCTTGACCTTCAGGTGTTTGTAGATAGGGGTATTCTTTCTCGTCAGTAATTGATTTTATATCGTCACCCTCAGCAGCAGCTTGTGTTTTGACTTTGAATCCATTATCACGCAAAACTTCAACGCGTGCTTCTTCTATCACTGTCATAAGAAAGCCAAGACGTGTTTCGTCAGTCAGTTCTGATTCTGCTTTTTTTAAGAGAGCAAAGGCATCTTGTGCTCGTTCATGTTTAACTTTGTCTGGATGGATCATCAAACTTTTTTTGCGGTATGCTATTTTGATAGCTTTGGGATCAGGCTTACTGTAAGGAAGCTCCAGAATTGAAAAAGGGTCAAGTTTAAAGCATGACAATACTCTGTCTATTTCTATTTGCTTTTCTGTTTGTGAAAAGTATTTATCAAGGTCTTCTTCAGTCGCAAGCGTTGACATGAGAGGCAATAAAAAAAACACTAATTACTTTTTTTTTCTTGGGGCTGCATACATATGTATTCGGACACGCCTTTTTTAATGAAAGCTTAATGCCAACCTTTCTCTCTCTTATGTAGTAAAAACGTCAATTTTATCATGAATACATGTTTATTGTGTGTATATTACAGATGAAAATATTAGAGAAAAAGAAAAGAATAGTCTATTTGTTTGTTTGGTACATTCTTGCGTCTTCGCGACCATTTTGTCCTTTTTCAATATGTTGCATATCAAAAGAGTTTTGTAAGCGAGTAGCAGAGCTAGTTTCAATAGATCCATTCTTTGGAAGATAAGCACCAATGTTAAACAAGAAATAAAAGACAAAAGAAAGAGCAATGGCAAGACCATCAAAGATATAGAAAGCCCATTCAGTTGTGGCAACTACACCGTCACGACCACCAGCATATTCGGCAACACGATAGATGGAACGAATATAAAGAAGGACTAATGTAACATAAAGAACTCTGCAAAGTTTTTCCTTGGGATTGGTAACGCCATCAACATGGTATCCGTATTTGGGGTTATGATGGACATGATATGTAATGGCGCCGAAAGAAGCAAAGAAAACCAATTGTGCGCCCAAACCTACAAGTGCAACAGCTTGACCAATCTTGAACATCCCAGGGTCACTTTGTGCTTGAAGACCACCACCAGAAGCTTGCAAGAAGAAAGCAAGAAAGTCACTCCAAAAGAAGAACCAAGTAACAAACTTAGGCTTAAGGAAGAAATGATTAGCTTCGACATTGGATAACCGAATAATTTCGCCAGTAGCTTTATAATTGACCAAGGCAAGAGCATTAGGAGATAAAAGCAAGAAGAAAGTCATACCGACGTAGCTACCTAACGAGACTTGGCTTGTTGTAACAACTCGTATTGCATAACCAATCAATTCGGCGATTGCTGTACCAGGAAGAATATATAAGAACTTGCGAGACTTCGAGAGATAGAGACGAGCAAATATTAATACTGCAATTACACCATAGACTATCGCACCAACAATAGCAAGAGGTTTGCTTGGAACGTAGCCAAAAAATCTTTCTGCGTCAATTGTGTTTTGATCCATATTTAAATATGTTTGTTTGGGGTGTATAAAGATTCAGTTTATCAAAAACAAAAGGAAAGCCTATTTGAATGGCCTTTTTATACCTTTATTCATAAAGAGAGTTGTGTAACATTCGAGATGTTTTGGAATCAAATTAAGGGACATCCCTCGTATTATCTTGGATCATAGAAATATCGGTACAAATCAGGAAAAAAACAAACTTGGTTCTTTCTTTCTTTCTTTAATTCTACCTAATGAATATGAATGTCTAACTGTTTCGTATGATTTAAGAATATGCCAAGCCCAGTTAAAGGGAGTGTCTCAATTGCACGAAATAAATGTGTTTGTACAATATTTTGACAAAGTGTAGATCCGAATTTTTGGGCATAGAATTCTTGGCACAAAACTTTTTCTTTTTCTGGTAGATTTAAATAAGCAACTCATGCTGAATTGCATTAGGTAATTTAAAAATAGAGTAATGGAGATTAAAGCAAAGAAAACGTTATAGTTGCATCTTTAAAGTAGTGTTTAGTACATTGAATTTAATAAGAAGATATGATCCGCTTTTAAATCCGGCGAAAGAAAACGTCAAGGTCGCCGATAATTTCTATATATGGTAATCGGTCTTTCTTCTCTATTTTTCGACGCCACATACGTTCGAGCCGAGAAATACCAGATCAGGAAAGATATTTGACTTGGCATTTACATGTCCACATAGTATATATGACCTTATATATGCAAGAAACTCTTATTTTTGTTGAATTTTGACATTGAAGGAGCATCATTATTGCATTTCGTGAAATACTCTAGTGACAGGTGACAAGGAACAGATTCATTAAGTTATTGTGCAAAAAAAAGGGGGGGTAGGAGAGGAGAATGGTGCCGAACAAGGCTGACTGAAATAAATTAATTGATCAGGTTTTGGTGACAGGTTACATTGCTAGCAATGCTTGCTTATTGGGTTTACATATACATCAATTAAACTGGCTCTTTCTCTTTTCGCACATTTGCTTTGCCTTGTTTTGGCTCAAATAATTAGACATAAATTGTTTTTTATTGTAATTCCTTTCTATTTAGACAGAAGCAAAGTATATTCAATAAACTAGCTATCAAATACAAGCACTGGCTTTTTTCAAAGTAAAGGTATGATAAATAATGGTTATAAGTTTGCAATAAAAAGAAGGGGAAAATATCAGGCTGACAAGGCTGCGCTGGGCAAGACATCAACTTTTCTTCGTATCCTTTCTTCGCTTTCTTCACAAGTTGATTTCGACTTTCTTCTTTTTTTTGAACAACATTCCATCCACTTCAAAGAAGATATGATTCTTGCGAAAATGCATCAAGTTTAAAAGGGCTGTAGTTGTAGACATTTCATAAAGAAGAAAGAATTTATTCGTCAAAAACATCTTATCAGTTAACCATATTTTATTGTTGCTTTTTACGTTATTCATAAGGTATATACATAATTGATTACTTCTTTTGAGCCACGAGGTGTCATTGTCTCAGCCAATAAAAAGATCGAACCCATCAAAAGAGCTGATAAATACACAGGCTTACATAGCACATAAAGGGTAGTGTAACGCCTATTTATATTCAGAAAAACACTCTAAATGCCTACAAACCATGTTTGCTAATATCTATGATACTTTTGGAGTTGATTTGGATCAAAAAAGACGGCTTGTAAAATTTGACCAAAACATGCTTTTGACCAAAGGGTGTTACTCACGAAAATCCTCATTTTGAAAACTCTTGATCTTCTTTTTCAAGACCCCTATTGTACCCACGGTCATATTAGCAAGCATTTGATTCAATGTTTGTCAGACTATTGAAGAGGATCAATGCCTTCTAATTAAGAAATAGTTATTGACTTCCTCCAAGTAAAATTATGCGACAACATTAATTTCAAAAGTGCGACACATCATCCTTTTTTCAAATTGTGCGAAAACTTTTTTTTTTTTTTTTTTTTTTTTTTTTTAGCAAAAGCTGTACGCTACGCTACGCTACGTTTTTTTTAAAAAATAAAAGAATGTCTGACCATCCTTATTGGTCGGCTTGAGTTTAAAATCAGATTTTTTCGTTGTGGGTACGCTACGCTACGATACGCTACGATACGCTACGCTACTGTTGTGAGATGAAGAGAGAGTAGATATTCAATAAGAGAAAAGGTAAGAACACAGAGAAAGTCTGTTAGAACTTGTATAAGTTTTTATTTCTCCAAGAAATTTTATCTTTCAATTGCTATAAAATGTCGAGGTATTTATACTTTTTCTTCTCGGTCAAAATATTGTCAAATGCCAATGCTAATGTATTTGTCAGCTCTAACTGTCACTTTATGAGGGCCATTGATAATAACAGAGTCACTAGGTTCATAATCTCTGACTATGAAGACGATGTAGTACTTCTAGTAGAATGAGTGAATGCCAGTGACTATAGATCCATTGCAATTGCCATAGATGTGATCTGGTCTTTTGTCATGATCATCATTTATTGATCTACGCATACGAATTCATATATGTTCACAACAGCTACGATATGATACGCTTTTTCTTCATTTTACTTTACAAAAAAAAATGCCTGATTAATTCAACACTGGTAAAAACAAGAATGTTAAAAAAACAAACACTCTCTTATATGAAATTGTTTAGACACAACTGATAGCAACCTCCCCTATAATCATAGGCCAGGAACTGACTTGATTAGTAAACTGGTACTAACTGACACGCAAGTAATAGTCGCGCTATCAAAAGCTCTCGTGCCAGAAGCAGCAGAAGACAGCTACGTTTCGGTGCCTATAGAATTCATAAACGGAAAAAAATGCGATGTTCTTTATGCTCCTTCTAATCCCTTGAGTTCGTTTCCTCCAATATTGGTGGAGGTGCAAAATAAGGTCGATGGAAAGTTTTTGACACGCGCCATTCAGTACTGTACCCTCACATTTGAACGCTACAACTGACTCCCTATAATTGTAATATTTGGCATTGCAAATGCTATGGTGTTTTTAATGAGCAAGACTGAAGATAGTGACTTCCCCTTTGCCAGACAGATACAAAGCATTGGATGGGCTGAGCGTTGTTTGCTGCTGACTTCCTCGAAATTACAGGCAAATCAACAAGAAACACTGCATCCTTTGCAAGCGGTTGGTCATTTTCTCTGCTCTCAATCTCTCTATAAATACTTTGGATTATGGAAAGAATGACTCTTTGATAAAAACTACTTTATACAATTGCTCAGGGAATTCTTGATCAGATAATGGGAGAAGAAACCGAAAAACTGGAGGCCGTAAAAAACATTTGTGATATCAGTGAAATTCAGCTACAAAAAGTAAAAAAATGCCTGGAAGGAGACAAAGTTTCAAACAAAAGAGCATTGAGCTATGTGGATGACACTTTGTCGTTTTTACAGCGATAGAGAAGGAAATACTGTGACGCCATTGAAACAACTCCAGTTGAAGAAACCCCTCCTTCAGTTTATCTGAACAAAAGAAGGCCCGCAAGCGCTCTAGAGCCTGGCAACAAAGAACTCGATGCAGAGCTATACGAATTTGTTCAACGTTTCAAAAGTGGAAAAACAGATAGGATTAATTGGAAGAAATGCTTTGAACAAGGCCATCTTGAAAAGATAAGCTCAATCAAGCAATTCAACAGCAGTGAGAGTTTACGCTCCCATTATAATAGGAATTTCAAATAAACCATTTTATTATAAGCTATCGTTACATAATATAACTTTCTCATTGCTCGTAATAGCAATTATAATATCCAATAACGGATGGTGTCTTACTTCACTCTTGTTGAGCTTAATATCCTTTGATGACATTAATATACACTGTTTTGCCCAAAATGCACACGTTATTTCTCTAAGAAATGGGAGATCGTGGTGCTGCGAGCTTTGTTCGATAATTTTTTCATCAAGTTGCTGGACAACGATGATCAATTGCACCTGTTATTCAATTAGAATTGACAAGTATATGGATGAAGTAAGAAATGAAAATCCAATCAAGTAGTTGTTTAAAGTGTGAAAAAATAAAGAGTTATCGATAAAAGCAAAGTACAAACTTTGACAATATACCATTAGTGGTATGAATATATGTCAGTCAAAGCTCTCGTCCTGTTGATTAAGTAAATTAAAGATGTGTACACTTTAAATCTGGTCCACGAAATCTTATCTTTTAAGCATTCTTAAAGAAAGAGTTTACTTTGCGGACGAGAACTACAATTTCGGATAAATAATGCATAAAAATGTTTCTTTTACAGAAAAAATATACAATTGTTGTGTATTCCCTTACACTTGCATTAGCATTTACTGGTTATGAACACAGTTTAGATTTCTTTCCTAAAAAAACAACAACAACCAAATTGATTAAATTCAGTCATATTTATAAAGAAAGAGAGATCAAATAAAAAAAATTGTAGTACAAAAACACGCATGAACTGCATTTGTCTATGTGACTATACGGAGTTTTTAAGAGCAAGAACACACGACAATCTAATGCTGACATCACTTAAAATTTTTCACAGATAAATTTTTTCGTTTAGTTTCATCCTTTCCTTTTCTTTTTTTTTTTTTCACTTGTATGCTTAAATTGTGAGTGAAGTTAAACTATATATCCATTTTCTTCATTACAAACAAAAAAAAACCCCTTTTTTCTATCGCTATCTTTTACTTTACACTATAAAATATCATGTCGGGTGCCATTGGTAAGCTTTGCTTTTTATTATTAACTTATTTTCTCTGTGTTCTCCAAGTGGGAGAAATTACTACGCGCAGTATAAAAAAAACATAAGGCAATGGAACGCATCTCTTCTTATCCTTTTCCTCTCCTTATCTTTCTTTTTTTTTCGTATCTTTTTTTTTATTCTTATTTCTTTTGACAACAAGTATTTTGATGAACTCAACTGCATCTCAAAATGACTGAAATTACTATGCTAACAAAATCTCCAATTAATCAAAGAGAGAGAAAAAAAAACCTTCCATGAAGATACGTCAAGGAGCAACCTTAAACCAAAAGAGTTTTTGAGTGCTTTTTGGCTTTCTTCACATAAGGAAATTATTATAAGAAACTGATCCTATACAAACACACACACACAAACACACACACACACACGAAAGGAATTGATGGTCAAAAAGAAAAGAAGAAGAAAGAGGGGAAAGGAGAAGGGAGAAAGAGATGATTGAAAAACGTTTTGATTATCTGCAAATTTGTTTTATTATTATTTATTTTATATACACAAATGAAAAAGAACAATGAATAACAAAGAAATTGGTTTAAATCCAATAGAGAAATCGATGAGTAATGGTGCAGCAGTAACTGTTACAAGTATCATAGGTGCGTGAGGGAACATGGAAGGGAGGGAGAGAAGTGGGGAAGAGAGGGAGAAGAGACGCTGTTTATGCGCGCACTGAAACTATCCTTTTTTCAAACCCAAATGCTAACCATGTTTTATAGATCCGGATCATGGTAAAATGAAGCAATCCGCTTCTCTACTTGGGCTAATGAAAGTTCTAGGTCTAGCTGCTTTTCAACAAGGCTTACAAACTTCTGGTGATTTTCAAAAATACTATGTGTATTTATCAGGATCTAAGGCTGTCACTATTAATGACTTTGATCCTCTGCTGAAAACGACAAATCAAGAACTTCTGATCAGGTTTGATAATATCCATGGATTGTGTCATCTAATCTAACATGCTTGTGTTTAGCATTGGAAAATCAATGGTTTTAGGGAAGTTGTTACGCCAAACACTTGAAAACGCATTGAAGTCTTGGCAAATAAAAACAATTGAAACTTTACTCAAGGTATGCAAGATCAGATCAATACATTGATAAAAGCATACTAACTTGATTGTTAGGTGCTAAATCATATTCCGTTCGAGATTGATGTCCTCGTCAGAAACTCCTTGGGCTTCCTTGTCAAGGATGTCAAAAGGGAAGCAATTTCAAAAGAGGCACCAACTCTGGTTGAAATAACTAATTTCTTGATTGACAAATGGAAAGAACAACAAAAAAGAAACTCACTTAATGCTAACGGGAAGCGTGACAGCAGTAGTAAATATCTTTTTGTGTAAAAGAAAAAACCCGACTAATGAAAATGTATAGCACAATCCAACCTGTTGAATGGAGAATCTCCTGCTAAAAAGCAATTCAAACTTGCTATTCAAAAAGAGCCCCAGCTAGACCAAAGGCTATAGAGGATACAAGTTTCTTCTCAAATTTGAGAGAAACTAAAAAGTATCCTCTTAATGCTCGTCCTGTATATCATGTTGATAAAATTCTTGACGATATGACTAAATCTGAAAAAGCCAATGTTAGTAAAAAAACAATGACTAACACAACGATACCTACTTCTTCCTCTTCATTTACTATCGGTCAGAAAAGAGCTGCAGCAGAGGATTTCACCCCTAAAGTGGTAGATCCAAACAGAAAAAGAGTTCGATTCAAAGACAATTTAGTAGAGATCAGAGAATACGAAAGAAATCCTGAAGAATGGACTAGCTTTGTAAGTATAGAGAAATAAAAAAGAGAGGAAAGATGTATACTGAGTATCTACTATAGGAAACAACAGAGGAAAATGATACGACATATAACCCAGAATTAGCCATCGTTGATGGGATTCGCATGTATAAGGCTCCTCCCTCGCAAATTGCTTGGTATACACCCTATACACTTGTTTTTGATACAGATAGCAATCCAAATCTGGTCATTCCAAAACCCGTTCACAGTTCAGAAGCTATGGCACAGGAACGAAGAGAAAAGCTTGCTTTAGCAGCTACTTATATTAGCCTTCAACATATTCCTCCTTCGCCTACTGAACCTGATGAGATTCCAAACCCTAATGAAGATGGTACTGTCACAATTATTCCTTTAACAGATACGGATGTGTCTACAGTTTCGACTGTTACTATACCATCTCCTCCTTCAAATGTCAATCCAAGCTTATTGACTCCTGCTAATTTAACTGTTGCTGCTGCTATTGCTGCTGCTATGAAGGAGTCTCAACTTCAGCAACCTCAACCTCAACAAGTATATACTTCAAGTGTTCCCTCTTCTTCAATCCCAACCACAACTAATTATTATCCTTCTGTGTATACTCCACCTCCACCTCTACCTCCGCAACAAACTACTGCTACTGTTGCCCCTGTCGTGCCCAAAAACCCTCAACCTGAAATTACGAATCAAGCAGTTGAAAACATGTTAAAGAATACCCCTGGGTAAGTGCAGCCACGTCTTTCTTTCTTGCTTTTTATACGGTCTACTAATATAATGTTTATTTTAGGATTATGCAACAACTAAAGCAATTGTCTTTTTTGGCTAACAGTGGTACCTTTGCTGCTGTCAATAACCAGCCACAAACAAATAGCCAACCACAAATGACATATCAGCCACAATATCAACAACAACAACAACAACAACAGTATCAAGCACAGTATCAACTGCAACCTCAACAACCAGTAAGTCGAATCCTTTTTTTTTATGGATACACTAACATTTCTTTATAGAGCTGGAGTCGAGCCAATGAAGCGTATACAAACAATCAACTTAATGGCCGTAACAAAAAGCCAAGGCGCATGAACAAGAAAAACAATGGTCCTGCTGGTAATGGTCGCCCTGCCTGTAATTTCTATAATACTCCTGAGGGCTGCCGTAATGGTGACAATTGTCCATTTGCTCACTAAGAGGTTTATTTATTATTGTTTGTACTTTTATGAATACATGCGCACATTATCAAATTTCTTCTTGTGTGGCATTTTGCTAATTAAAGAAATATATATATATATGTAAATGTATATGTAAATTATAACGAAAAGGTATTTATTCTAAACTTTAACAAAAGGTTTCCAGCCAGCTCGCATGACACGCAAAGCAAGGCAGAAGAGGCCACCTACTGCCATTAAGAGACCACCCCAGATAGCCGCATAAGCATAATTAGGAGGGGTGGAGCGATTGATGATTGCCGAAGCGATAGGCGTGCCAAATAAGTAACCAAACGTATTTGTGAAATACAAAAGACCATTGGCAGCAGTAATATTATCGTATCCTGCAACTTGAGGAAGAGAAGCAGGGAACAAGGTTAGATAACCACCACCAAAGAACCCATAAAGAACGGCAAAGACCCATATGGTAGCTTCTGTTTTAGCATTGGTCCAGATAGCCAAACTCATAATGCCTGCTAAGAATGTGCAGATAAACAAGCCATTGATTCGTCCAATCCGATCACTTGTAGTACCATTGATAAGCTTTGATACTGCGTTAATAGCTGACATGATGGCGGACAAGTTTGTTCCAATCCAGGGGTTAAGCTTCAAATAATTGGCATAAGCTATAAATACACAAGTCAGTAACATGAGACATTGCCTGATTTATCTTCTTACAAGGTAAAAGAAAAGAAGGCACAAGGTATCCAAATGTTGTGATAAATCCAACCATTAGCATGATGTTAAATTGAGGATTTTTTAAAAGTTGCTTTTGTCTTTGTATCATTTCATGCAATCCTTCGTTGTTTTGATCTTGTTGCGACTGTCTTAGTAAATGAGCAGGGGATTGCTTGACAAAGAGGGTTGCCAATGATAAGAAAAAGAAGCAAATAAAGCCGGCAATACGAAGAGACCATCGATATCCAATGCTTAAAATGGCTGCCTGACAAATGTTAGAGACAATGAGACCACCTATACCAGAGCCGCACATGGTAATGCCAATAGCAGTACCTCGACGATTAGAGAACCATTCTTGTGGAGCACTGATACATGGAAACCAAACAAAAGAAGCACCAATGCCAAACATGACCCCTTGAGTCAGATATAGATGCCAAATCTACAAGATAGTGTTACTATACAGTATCGAAATGAAAGAGAGTTTAATTACTTCATGGCTAATGCTTGCCAACATTAAAGCAAGAGGACATAAAATGGTGGCTATCATCAGCATCTTTGTGTAACCTAGCTTGCGAACAACCCATTCATTTATAGGACCAATGATAAAGTACAAGGCAATACAAATAGATCCAATCCAAGACAGCTGGTTCATTTTTCCTACGTAGACGTTTGTATTGTAGTAACGAAGAAATAAACCCCAAGAATAATTGACACCATAGCTAAATAAGTGTAAATATGTTTTTTTTTCTCGTCAATTGCTTACATTGAGAACATGCCCTACACTATCATTAATATTTAAAATTGAATCAAAGAAAACTTACGCAAAAGCAACCAAAAACAACTTTCCATGCAGCTGCTCCTCCGTCGGGGGCATCGTTTACTCCAACCTCTTTTGATCTTTCCATCACAGAAGTTAACAACTGGTCGTCAATCTCCTTTTCTTTAGGTGTATCTGTTTTGCTTGACATGTTATCAAAGAAAAAGAGATGCACAGTAAGAAAATCAGAACAAAAATCTTGACTCAAAAAATCTCGACTTAAGACTCCGAAGATGAGCACAAAAGAATAATTATTCAACTTTGGTCAATTTTGAGCAATAAGAGTTCATATTTTTGCTCTTTAATGGCATGCTACTAGATCAAAACATATATCCATGAATAAAAATGATGACGAGACGCTTTGTATAGTGAAAAAAAAAAAAAAAAGGCAGACCAAATATTAGATTGTCGGATCATTTTGGATGAATGGTAAGGAGCAATCCGGCAAGAGAGGGGCCAATCTACATCTTACTATTATGCAGATAATTCATTAGCAGTCTTTGCCCATATAGGTCTTTGTGAAGTTCTTTAGAGAATGTTATTCATTGGACCAAAACTACGGATCACTTTATCATTCCTTTATGACTCATAATACAGTGGCTTGTACCTTTGTATAAAAGAGAGTTATGCAACGAACTCTCCTTCATACACACTTTTCAAGCTATTCTCTCTTTTTTTGTTGAGCTGTGCACAAATACTAAAATTCAATCATTGGGTTTTGCGCTTTTTTTCTTACCGAGGAAAACGTTCCTTTTTGAGAAACAACTGAAGCGCACGAATTGAATACAGTTTTTTCTTCAATGAAACGAGATATTGTTGTTCTTTTAATAGAAGAAAAAATAACAGTTCTAGAGTAGGCCCCTTTCCCTGCACCATTACTTTTTTTTAAAGACAGTTATTAAAAAGCTGATTCTTTTTTTTACATCTTGTAATTTAGAGAAGAAACATGATGACCCTCTTTTATTGTTTGTCTGACAGAATGACTTGATTAAGTACATTTTGTGTAAAAAAGAAAAACATTGAAAATAGTGCTACAATAACAACCAAACAAGAGTTTCTGGCAGTTTATCAATAAAAGTCAGTGCATTTTATTTTTAAATTGGTGTTTCGAATAAGGGACAAAAACGTGCAGATGAAGCACTTGAGGATCATCACATAAAACCTTATTTATACAAATGACATTCAACTAAAATCATAAAACATTTTGTAAAGTGAAATAGCAATGACAATGCACGAAACAAAAGCAGGGGGCGGACATGAAACAAAAATAAATTGATTTGTTAAAGCCAAATTAGGTTTAGTCTGGTAGTGGGTACTTAAAAATAGGGACCGTGTACGTGTGCACTGAACAAGAAGAGCACTTGTTCAAGACAACTATACAAAACAGAACAAAGGCGGGCGGGGTACCCATGAAAGTACGCCCATACTTTCTATTTATACAGGAAATGATGTAATTTTATCATTCTCTTGTATGTTCGTGTAGATCTTTCTCTATGGGATTTTCAAGAGAATTTCGTCTTACTTGGTAGTTGTTACACTGAAGTTTATTTTTCTTTTTTATTTATTTAATGAAAAAAAGGTACAGTCAATGTAGATGTGTATATATAATGTAGTGTATGTAATCAATGAAGTATTTACAAAAAGGAAAGTGATTGGTTCACAAACAAGAAAGGAAATGGGTTGAATCATAAGTAAATGTACATAAGGATGAAGAAAGGGAAAGGAATGGGAGGGGAAGAGGACATTTAAGCACTTACAAACAAGTTGATTGTGTTGGCATTTCCTTTGCTTTCAAAGGCCATTTGAACATCTTCATCTGAATTGATGGTAATCAAGTCACCATCTTCGTCTTGATATTTGAGTCGTAATACACCACCATGAGGTTGCAAGTTTGCAATCAATCGAATCTTACGTTCAACCTTTTCCATAAGTTCATCAAATGTTGTTTCTAAAAAGCACATCACTACATAAATACCATCGTTGTAATTGAGTTTAATCTTGAGTGCCCCACTTTGATTAGGCGATGAAGGAGGCTGCAGTTGAGTAGTACGAACAGGCGAATCAAGCGGAGAAGGAGGCATTTGATAGAGCGTACGTGAGTTAAACGGCAACTGAGGCATGTCCTCATGTTGCTTGAGAGGGTGATTATGATGGATATTGGGGCTACTTTGCGATCGGAGTCGAGGAAGCTGTTGAGATTGTTGAAGATACATGGGTGGTATACTAGCACCAGGAGTGGGTGGGTAGGCTGGTGTGGCAGCAGAATGAGATTGACTACGATTGATAATAGAAGGTGGGCAATGCTTGTATTCATCTGCATAATCCTGACTATTCATGAACTTGGTAGCAATATCAGCCAAAGGAGATGAGTCTCGCATACCTAAGCGAATAGAACTGTTTGCGGATTGCGACACACGAGAAGAAGTCGTAGGTGAGGATGGGTTGGAAGGTGGAGGTGATGCAGGGTAATGATAATCATTTGGTGTATGTGTACCAGCACTGGCGCTTGTACGAGGAAGAGGAGTGGTTGTGTATCGTTGTTTCGTATCAGCACTCATGTTACGAGGCATCTTGGGTCTTCCAGAGATAGTGTTGAATAAATGGGCTGATATAGAATTGGATCTGGAACGAGATTGGGGCAATTCTAGCTCTTCTTCCTCTTCTTGTGGTTCATCTTCCGTATCTACATCTTCATCGTCCGTACGAAAGGAAGCGGGTACATGCTGCATAGTGTATTTCATAGAAGCCAGTTGAGTATTGGATACATTTGATTTGATGGGAGACATTCTTCTTTTAAGTGTAGATTCCCAAAGCTTAACTTGCTCCTCATTACGGAAGCGCAAAAGAATATGATCCACTTCATTGTCTTTCCAGTCAATACGAAGAAACCAATGACCTTCACCAGTAGATAAGTTGCGAACAGAGAGAACACGGCTAATAACAATCAGACCTCTAGGTTGTAGACTACCTCTTCTCTTCTTCTTGATTGAAATTGTATTTGCTTTTGGAACTTTGTTCTTCGTGGCATCTTTTGTTTCTTTGCAAATCAACATGGTTTTCTCAAAAAAGAAGATATACATTTCTTTCTCAGACCCATCTGTTTGCTGCAAGATGAGCTTATCGTGTAGCAAAAGACTGCCATAATTGTCAATTTGACCAATACGAACTTCATCTACTCGTTTCTTCAAGTCATCCACTACTTGAATGTTTTCGTGTTTTCGTTGAGTCTCATTGACTCGCTCTGTCACACGTTTTACAGAATCTAAACCGATTTCCATGTCATCAAAGTGAGGCCAATCAGATGGGGTTGCTTTGATCAGTTGTTGCAACAATAGAGGGTATTTACAGATACGCTGGACAGGTTTGATTAGCATTGAAGGCAGTTCATACTGAGGATTCAAAATGTTTGCCAGTTTTTGTAATTTGGGTGCTTCTTGAACAACCAAATCTTGAGCAGAAAAATAATTTGAACAATAAGGTTCATAAACGGTGAATTGTTCTTCCATTTGGCTGAATAACAAGCCAAAATTTTGTTCTTCAGGAGATTTTTCGCCAATTTCCTCTAAATAAATCAAGAAACGACGTTGGAAATCAACTAGCGTATTCAGGTTACCAAACAGGTAATGAACCGTGTCTGGACTTAGAATCTCTTGGATTTGTAATTCACGCATGTAGTTCTAATTTAATTCATTAGTCAATTATTTTTAAAGGGTCCAGATTCTTTTTTTTTTTTTTTTTACCTGCAGCACTTCTAAATCTTGAACATACTTGCGTTCAGTTTCAAGTAGTTCATGAACTACTTTATCTCTAGTATCTTTTGGCGCATTCATTGAATTTCTATTATCTGAAAGGGAACTGATGATGCCCTTCTCTTCTAATAATTGTAAAATCAAGTCAATTGTATTCACAACCTATTTTCTTTTAGTATTCGTATCAAAAATTGACAACTTGTTTACTTTGACAAAACCATTTGTATTGTCTTTATAAAGGTCAGAAAGAGTGAATAAATCTTCTTCGTTGAATTTGAGTTGGTTTCGACAGGCGACAATAAAATGATAGACAGTTTTTTTGCATTCGTTTACTTGTTGGTTTTGAGTAAAATCAATTTTTAATGGTTCATCAGGGTTGAGAGCATTGAAAAGAGTGGCAAGAGGAGCACCTCTTCGGCATAAATCCCATAATTTACTGAGAGGATCGTTGGATGTGCTACTTGAGGTAGAACCTGATTCAGAAGAGATAACAGATGAACCAGAAGATGATTGGACTAAATTGAGGTTCTCGAATTCTAAATAGTATGACATGCCTTCTACAAGAGCTAATTTATCGAGTACTGAGCGACATGTGTGGTATAAAGATGTCCCTGAAGAAGGTTTGTTGGTTATAGAAATGGATGGCATTGGCATATCAATTATTTTTGTGGCTGGTAAAGTATTGATAGCACCTATTGATGGTGATCTGCTCTTCAAAGCCAATGCTGCCATTTCAATGGAAAGGAAAGAAAGAGAATAAGAGAAAAAAGAAAAAAAAACCTAAAAAATAAGTTTATAGCCGTATTTATATGTTTCAAGGCACACAAAAATCCAATAGATCACCTGGTGCTTCACAAAAATCGGATTGTGAATTAGGTAAACTTTTTTTTGTGTGTATGTGTAACGAGCAAACTGATTAGTTTTTAACCTGTCTTTATTTCAAGTAATATACAGAAAAACCAATTAAAAAGGAAGGAATTATGGTTTGAATAATAAACTGCGATTTACTATATAAAGCATCGTTTCGAATCAAAAGAAAGTCACCTTCTTTTTCATGGACATAGTATTCACTTGTTCGAATATGTTGGAACAATAACTTTTTAGTGATCCAACAAAGGCCAATCGTCAGAGTAAAGGTGATTCCACCAATCATGTAATGGGGTATAGGTACATTGCTTTGATTCAGAACCGAGAAATGAAATGTATCTTGACCTTTCTTCAATCTGTGCTTATGCCGTAAGATAAATTTACACAATATACCCCATAAACTCGAAGTTAACCACAAGTAGATGCGATTCTTTATCTTTTTCTCTTTAAAATGACGCTTCTGTAAGGCTTGAAGCGACTTGCATTCTCTTTGGATGTGTATCACTGGGATGTTATTGGCTACTAAAGTGCTTAGTTCTTCAGGGTTAGAAATACCAATACCAAGGATAGGCGACCCTCTTTTTTTCATACGCTTCTTGATCTCCTGTTCCTTCCACTTCTCTTGTGCAAAGTGAACAATACGCAACACATCTTTTGAATCAAGAGCTGATAACCTCGAAGATATGATATAGGAAGAAGGCAGTTCTATCATACGAAAATGCTATCAAAGAAAAAATAAAAAAAAAGACGTGTAATAGTGGTACCCACATTGATTGGTTAATTCATCAATATTGTAGCCCTTTTTTTCTCATTGATTTTGAGGACTGTAGACCTTTCAAAACAAGTCTTTTTTAACAAAAAAAGGATGGTTTTAACTTTTTTGCATAATGTTACAATGATTTAAGTTTGCGTAGAAAGTAAACTCAAGTGATCTACTTGAATGCTTTATCAATGCATTCTATTTTTAATGCGTTCGCTCCAAGGATTCAATTCGCTTTCTACATAAAGCTAACTTTCAAATAAATCCTACAGATTCAATTTGTAGACTCTGAAACTGCATGAGAATGAACCCATCCTGTTAGCTATTTAAGATTCTAAATCAGCCAATAAAAGCTCAAACTACTGCAGTATGACTCGCACATTTTTAAGGTATATGATTTGTGCATGTAGCATCTAACGATTGACTCATTTTTTCTCCCACATACCTCTACTTCTTTTTTCTTTCACTTTCACTTTTTTTTTGTTCTATCATGCCTGAACATGATAAGGGAAAAACGCATCCTTTACCTTTTCGTTCCATATACCAAGAAATTCTCTGGAGTAAGAAACACGCGTGTTTGTTTTGTTATCTAACAAGCAAGCTATTTAGCAAATAGGACTGTGATTGCAGCATCTACAGCAGCAGTAGTTGGTGTTGTCTCTGGCTATCCAGTAATTATTTAAATGAATAAAACTAGACAGTTGGAAATAATTGTATTAAATTATCTAAAAAGCCATTCAACATTAGTTTGATTCAATAAAGACTCGATTACAAACTCAACACTACGACTCCATTGCCGCCTGCATAAAACAAACATACAAAGAGGAAGGCTTTCGAGGATTTTTTAGAGGTGAAAAGCTACAAGCAAATAAAATTGATTCGTTACTAAAAAAATAGCATATCTCTTTAGGTGTTATTCCGCCATTGATCACTGTTAGTATCATTAAGTCGATATCATTCTCGGTATATGAAAATTCAAAGGCGTACTACAAGAAGCATTATCCGATCTTGTTTGATCGAGATACAATGCTATCTACAATGGCAATCTCGACATTTGCGGGTGGAATAAGCGGCGCATTTATAGCTACACTAAGCTGCCCATTTGAACTGGTCAAGGTCCAAAAACAACTCGAATATCTACTGCTACAGACAAGCAGTATTTCCACAGGTGCTACTGTCATTCACATTCAGCTACCTAATGAAACGCCTAAACCAACTATTGTCAACAAAACGACAGTAGGTGCAGGCTTACCTATTAGGCCAACTGCATGCCCACCGATTATTGTTAAAAAGAAGCCTGTAGAAGAAAAAAAATTCACTTCCACCTCAAGTTGGCATTCAGCTAGAGAAATCTTGAAAAAGAAAGGTGTTTTTGGACTTTATAGCGGATTTGGCCTTCATCTTAGTAAGTGATAGCAATTCATCTTTATCTCTTGACTAATTTGGTAAATATAAAGCTAGAGATACGATTGGGACTAGCGTTTATTTTGGTGGATATGAAACAACAAAGTATATATTGAACGGTAATCGAGATGCATCGTCAGCAGGGCCATTAACACAGTTCTTGGCTGGAGGCATATGTGGTATTATGTGCTGGATTGTAGTATTTCCTTTAGACCTTGTAAAAACATTGATTCAAAAGGAAATTCTACTGCCTACTCTAAAATACAAGAGTGCAAAGGATTGTATTCATGACATCTATTCAAGAAACGGATTAGGTGGATTTTATAAAGGAATTACGGTCACTCTCATTCGTGCATTCCCGATACACTCGCTTAACTTTTTAGTATATGAGCAGACATTGTTACTTGTGAAAAAGTTTCACCATGACGGTGCCTGAAAATGGTGGTAAGGTCGGAGCTGGTTTTATGCATACAGTCTTACTAAATGTAAATTCATTAGGCTTTAAAAAAGATACGAAATTTATGCATCTTGAAAAATAAATTCCTCTATTTTTCACAAACTAGCATATGAATTTAAGAGTGTCTTCTTTTAGCAACTCAGCTAGCTGTGCCTCTTTATAAGAACGTGAAGAAAACAAATATCAGGGTGTTTACTACCTCAACTAGGTAGGTTTTAATCAAAGCAAGATGAGCTCCACCGTTGATCAGTCGAAATCGACTGTCAAGACGATTACCGTTTACATCAAGGAATCGGTTTACTTCTGCCAGGAACAGCACCAGACCCAAAGGTCAAGATGGCAAAGACAAGCTCAACTCTCATAAGACTGATCACTTTGAGAGATCCATTGCTCACCACCAACAAGGTAAAAATGGAATTAAAAGCTCAAGGAGTTGTGGCGAGTTGGTAAACTGTTATTCGCTATTTGGACCAGTCGGGCTTCCAAGGAATATTCTTATTGTATTTCAAAGAAAGTTTGCACATTCTGATGTTGAATATATAGCAGCAGCAAAACAAAGCCTTCGAATTAATGCCTATAGCTTCAGCAATATACATCTCTTCGCGGGAAACGCAATCAGACAAGCAATGTACCTTAATTGTGTTGGGAAATCATCATATATAATACAACTGGTTCGTTTTGACGATTGTTTTTATAGAAAAAAAAGTTGGACAGTTACATTTGACTAGTTCATTGGTTGAATTGTGGCAATTCCAAAAGAGTATAACAAACCTTAAAAAAAGAGTGCCTCGATTACATTTAAGCATGATAGTAAAAGATTGCATTTTAGTTCATGTAAAATGCAGTGTAACCATGAATGTATCAGTGAAAGAATTTATGCACGCTGACGATTATTTAATAAACAATCTGTCATTTCTTTTCTATTAATTGGCTTTCTTTTTTTAGCTATATTCAAGCAAAACATCTCCTTCAATGTGCTTTACTGGTCTTCTTTTCTCAACCTCGATAAGCATTGGACACCAAAAAGAAAACGGAGTATGAATGCCAAAGAAGATAAATATTTTTGAGGTCTTCGAATGGCGAACACCAAAAAGAAAACGATGAATTTAGACTCAAGGTACAGTGCTATTTTTGATAAAATCAATTGATTAGCTAATTGTCCCAACAAAATAAAAAAAAAATCGATCATAAGAAGTAGTACCTCGATCTAGCCAAAAGAAATCACTATTGGATTCTAAGCTAAATAGATCTTGAACATGACATTAAGCTGGCAAGTTATCAAAGTATGCTCAAGTTCAAGAGTTGGATTAATTAAAGGGGAAACCTGTCACAAACTTTGTACTCGAAAAAATATATTTTTTCCTTGATCACGTCTCTCCTTTTTTGTGTTTAGTTACTTAACTATGGAGATAACAAGACAGCAGTTTTCACAAAAGCTATCTACAGTAGAAAAAGCAATTAAAGAATGTGATTTTATGGCTATTGATACAGAGCTGTCTGGTATTTGACGCGTAACACACTTGTTTAGTTATTCACTTGTTACTTTAGGTCTTCATCGACCTTTGACTTCGATCCGTTTGTACAATATGAAGGATCGTTACCAAGAATACAAAGAAGCTACCGAGCGATTTTTGATTATTCAGTTTGGTCTATGTACTTTTACTTGGGACGAGCCTTCAGGTCGATATATTGCAAAGCCTTTCAATTTCTATATTTTTCCTACTAGCATTACCGGCCATATACAGACCAATAGAATATTCATGACTCAAGCACAAGCATTTGATTTTCTAACAAAACAATCATTTGATTTCAATAAATGGGTGTATCAAGGTATTCCTTATATGACAAGAATAGAGGAAGAAGAATATGTGTCTGCCGCCACTAAAAAGCTACAAGATGATATGCCTGATATCCCAATTGACAACAAGGAATTGGATTTTGTAAACAACGCAAGAGAAATGATTCAAAACTTTATTTCGAAAGATAAAGAAGGGTCTGATGGTATAAACATTATTACAAAAAATGCATATCAAAAACGGTTGATCTATCAAGAAGCAAGAAAGTAAATGAAGGCATAAACAAGAATTGTTGCCAACTTCTTTTTTATAGATTTCAAGGAATTACAGCCATTGGCATGCAAGGGTTTATTCGCATAGCCAAACTTTCAAAGGAGCAATTAGAGAGTCACAATAAAGAAAAGCAAGAGAAATTCAACAAAGATTGCGAAGTTGCTATTGGGTTTAGAAGAGTCATTGATATGATCTCTGAATCTGGCAAGATTATTGTAGGACACAATATGCTACTTGACATTTGTCATATGATTGGTCAGTTCGTTCAGCCTTTACCAGATACTTTAGACGAATTTAAGTCCTTGGCACATCGTGTGTTTCCAAAGTAGGTCCAGGTCTTGATGCAATGCACCGTGTTAATTCTATGCGTAGAATGATTGATACCAAATACATGTCTATTTCTGAGCCAGAGCTTTCAGTAAGTTCAGAATAATTCTCGTAGACTCACTATGCTTATGTGAATCTTAGGTTATCTTTGGATCTGGTACGGCTTTAGAAACATTGCGATTTGAGACAAAAAAAGAAGCTTTTAACAATCCTCACATTGATATGCATTCCGCATTCCCTCGCTACCTTACTGAGATGGCGCACGAAGCTGGTTATGATGCTTTTATGACAGGTGCTGTCTTTTTGAGGATGGTCGGTTATCTCGACAAGAAAAGAAATCCCGAAAAATATGCACAGATTGAACAAGAAAGAAAAGCATTAGAAGAAGAGAAGGAAAAAGAGAAGGAAAAAAAAAGACAGCCCAAGATAGATGCCGATGGTTGGGAAATTAGTGAAGAAGAAAATGATGAAAACTCTGGTTGGGATGATGATGAAGAAATCTATAATTATGGTTCAATTAGATTAGATCTTGAAAACAAACAAGAAAAAATGGACCATGTATTTTCGACAATCATGAACAAAGCTGCCTTGGTTAGAACTGCTTTCAACTGCTTTGATTTCCTTTCTCAGCCTGACTTTTCTGACCAATTTCAAGTTTTCCATGTCTCACATATGTCTGATGCTGTATTTTCAGAGCAAATAGCATCTTTGCTTCTTTCAAAGTATGGTAAGCATATTGTAGAACCCAATGACGATCAATCTTCATTTGTAATTTTTGAGAATCTTCGAGAAGACCCTGATAACTTGGTAATTGATGATGATAAATTTGTTATCACACCAATGACTAAATACTTGGGAAAAAAGTTGTAATAAAATGAAAGTGACTTTATTGCTATTCTGTACTAGGGTCTACTACTTCAAAGTCAAATACTTGACTTCCTATCAAAACTTTAGCTGAGCCATTATCGATAGTGCCTTGAGGAATGTTATCTAATCCTGTGTAGCGGAACATGTCTGCATTAACACTGAATCGTACATTGACAGTTTCTCCTGCAGGAATAAAGACCTTTTGAAAGCCCTTTAGAAGTTTAGCAGGAGGAGTCACAGTACGGAAAGGTTGCTGAATGTACATCAAAACAGTCTCTTTACCGTCTACAGGACTTGTGTTGGTTACATTCACTAATACTGCTTTTTCTTTCTCGCCCACAACAAGCATTTGTACATTTTCAGAAGCATCGTTCAATTGACCATCAACAGTGATATTACCATACTCAAAGTTAGAGTAACTAAGGCCATGACCAAATTCATACAAAGGATCAAATAGATCGCAAGCGGGTCGCCAATAATTCATATTCATATCCCCAGCATATTTAGGATAAGTATATGGCAAGCGACCAGAGGGGTTTGTCTTGCCAAAAAGAACTTCACCAATGGCTTGACCACCCCATGGTCCGGGAAGATAGGCCTGTAAAATGGCATTCGAGTTGCTTTGAATACTGTTGAGAGTACGCGGCCTACCTTCCAAAAGAACTGTTACTATAGGTGTATCGCCTGCTGCCTTTGCAAGCTTATCAATATTTTCGATTTGTCCTTGAGGCAATGTCAAGTCATGAATGTTTCCAGGTACTAGAATAAAAATATGAGGATATGATACAGAACATACAACAACTTACGCTCTGAGTAAACGTGTTCGCCAATGCAGACAACAAACGCGTCGTAATCTTGTATTCTTTCAATGATCCAATCCATGTCTTGTTCATTTCCATGAATATCAAAGCCTAGGATATGATCGACTTCAATATCTTTGGGTGCAGAGTTTTGAATGCCTTCTAAAATAGTGATGCCTTTCTTATAAAATTGCTCATCATTGATATCCCCATGCCACAAATCTGCAGTTGCTCTATTTATAGGTCAGCCATCATCTATAAAACCTTTGTTGACTGTTACCCTTGCCACTGGATAGTCCAACCGCCTGAGAGGTGGCCAAGACTGTTGCTTGTAGGCCCTAGCACTAATATCTTCTTGACACTTTCAGCTGTTAATGGCAGTGTGGCATTGTCATTCTTCAACAATGTCATCGATTCGCGTGCTGCTTCAATAGACACCTGTACATCATCTTGATTTTGAACTTGTTGCTGCAATATGGGGTCTGCTTTCCAGCCATTAGGCTCTAAAAGACCGAGATCTTTCTTTAGCTGAAGCAAACGGCCTACGGATTCATCAACGCGCTCCATAGAGACTTTACCCTCCTTGACCAAGTCCATCATTGAATCAAAAAATACAACATCCTTAGGAACCATAGACATATCAATACTAGTATCAGCGATAGCCATACGAACAGCTTCTTTATGTGTAGCGGCAACCATATGCTTATCATGCAGATTTTCTATTTCTTGCCAATCGGTTACCAACATGCCTTGGAATCCCATTTGATCACGTAAAAGTTTGCGCAAATATTTATTTGAAGACACAACTGGCTCACCATTTACGTCAATGTAACTTTCCATTGCTGTTGCAACACCTGCGTCAATAGCAGCTTGAAAACCAGGTACAAAAAAGTCGTAAATAGTCCTATCAGAAACCACAGTAGAATCGCGGTCTTGGCCACTAAACAATGATATCAAGTGAGTTATTATTGAAGCGACTTTATAACTAAATTTACCTCCAAGGAGCACCATAGGCAATAAAGTGTTTCATACAAGCAGCAACTTTGGTACGATCAGATTTGTATTTACCTTGGTAACCACGAATAGCTGCAACACCCATGACTGATGATAAGTGTGGGTCTTCCCCAAAGTTTTCATATACACGAGGCCATTGTTTGTTAACAGGGATGTCCAAAACTGGAGCAAATGTCCTATAGAAAGAGTAAATAACAGCTAGTCTGAAAAAGATATACCATTGAACACCGGCAGCGCGTGTATCTCTTGCAGTTATAGAAGCTGATTCATACGCTAGCTGTGGATTGAAACTTGCGGCCAAATTGATTCCATGTGGGAAAATGGTGGCTACAACGTAAAGTTAAATACTCTAAAATAAAAAACAGTTGACATACTATTTGCGACATAATGGGCACCATGAATATGATCAAGACTATGTATAAAATAAGGTTAAGGAATTAAACCTATTATATCAAGTAACGTTACCCATAAATAATTGGAACTTTTAATGTTGAATTGACAGATAAAGTTATTTCCTGAATCTCCTCAATCAATTTTGCATAATCCACAACGTCAAAGTTTTTTCCATGACTATTTTATAATAGGTAAACATATTTAACGCATGAACTCGTTTTTTATCTTACTTTGCTAACTGGTTCAGATAAGATCCAACATAGTAGTTTTTTGCATAATATTCAACAGCAGTGCGGTTCAATGAGCCATCTTTTTGAAGGATAAGTTCTTGATCCATTTGTGTCATTTGACCGATCTTTTCAGCAAGTGTCATTTGATTGAGCATATCGATAATGTCTGAATCAATAGTTGATCCTGGCTTATCGTATTCCTCCGTCCCTAACATGCCATATCTATGATGACCTGTATTTAACATGGCGCTACTTAACGAAGCCATAAACAACAAGTAGATACTATGTTTAATTGAGAACATTATATGTATTGTCTAATGAAACAAGTGAGATATATTTGCTATGCAAGTACACATATATATATATGTATATATCTTTTTTATTTATTTATTTCTGCATACCAGACTTTACTTTAGTAACATTCTCTTGTTTTGTACAGCCTAAAATCAGGGTACATTTTTAAACAGATCAAATGATTTGTTTAGAAAAGAATTGGTATGTGTTAACGATCAACACAATCTTTGTTTTATTGCTCCTTTCTGTAGCCAGCATATCTATTGGCATGAATGATATCTTTTGTATACATCCATACAAAAAAGAGTTAAACAGTATATATTGTCACTGTGACATTGTTGTATTGTAACCTTTTAATTATACCGAGTAAAACTGCTTTTTTGTCGCCGAAGTACAAAAAAGAAAAGTTTATACGAAAATCTTTGTACGTATATGGCAGTAAAGGGCATAGTAAGTTTATCGCTATTAGTTTTACAAACTAATGTAATCACTATCAAAAAAAAAGTTACTGTATCTTTCTACTACGCTCTTTTTCTTTCGCTTTTTTTCTTAGATAACCTTGACTAGATTTTTTTCCAGTACACTTTTGTTTATATGTATCACACTGATTTTTGCTTCTGCAACCCCGATCATGTAATATAGAGCAGAATTCCATCATCTCTTACACACTCGGCTATAAATTAAAATTTTCTCCATATTCATATTTCATTTGGCTCAATATAGATTTACTTGTTATAAAATTGTGTTCGCCAAAGAAAAAAAAAGCAATAGACATCACATTTTTGTAAATATGTCTTCTTTAGGAAAATAGACCTAGAACAAACGTTATATGTCTGAAGAAATCACTTGCGTGTCAAATCAACGAAGCTTAGTATTATATAACGACGGATTGAAAGAAAATGAATGCTTGCCACATCTTTTTCTTTTTTTTTTTTTTTTTTTTTTTTTTTTTTTTTTTTTTTTTTTTTTTTTTTTTTTTTTGAATGAGCGTATCTCGCAATAACACAGCACCTCTCTGTTCTCAACAAATTCTACTTTTAGTAGGAAATCCGAGGTAGTAGAAAATTTTTGTATCTATAGACCGATTCACAGTATAGATATTGATGGCTCAATATTTAATGGATCCATATCTTTTGTTTGGCATTCAAGGATGAATTATTTGATGCAGACATAAAAGCAAAATAGGTTTTGTTTCTCTCCCTTCTTCAATGTTTGGATAGGAAAAACAGTGTGACACTAACAAAGCCTCCTTATCAAATATACGTGTAATCCAATTATAGGATAGGATTCTCTCAACTCTATTCTTTAGGAATTAACATATATACAAAAGAAAGGGAAAAAGAAAAAAAATCGATAAATATATAATGTTCTATTTATTTTAGTGATGAGAGCACAAATATACGTAGATAAAATAAGAAATATGTTTACATACTTTAGTAAAGACAAAGAAAAATCTTTCATTGAGCTTCCAGTTTATTATTTTCTTGAGTTAGACTTTTGTATTGCTCTAAAGTGTATACTATACAAAATGGAACACTCGGAGTACTTCCTAAATGTTGTACTTAATTAAATGAAAACAGTTTACGCTGCACAAAGATCTTTAGAATGATCTTTTTGTTATCCGATTGGTTCAATAGCATCAGGGTGTATTCATTCTAGTCTTGCTTACAGTAAACTCTTGACACCCATACACGACAATTCAATATCAATGTCCAACTATTTGGTTCACTAAAACAATATTTTGATGGACAAGTAGAATGGGATAAGTTTATTTTCTATTTTTTATTTTATTTTCGAGGCAACGAACCCTTGATTTTTTTCCTCTGTCTCCCTCCCTCCCTCTCTCTCTCTATATATATCTCTTTCTTGGTATTTTTATTGTGGCTTAATTCCTTTTTTCTTTTTCGTTGAGTGACGTGAAGAAGGCGACAACGAGCTCAATATGTTAATGTTAGGAGATTTTTTTTTTGCGTATATACCAAAATGCAATAGCAATTTCTAGAACAGACCAAACCATTAGGATTTGTTGCTTTTGGCAACTACGCCGTTAAAAGGTAAGTTGTCAAAATTTCGACAAGATATCCACCACCAGGCACCCCGCACGAGCATTAGTTTGGACCACCTACTCTTAAACAGCAGTAAATAGTACTGTTCCCTCACTGACGATATTGTTGTTGTTTGTAACTATGCCAACAACGTATGCCGCACCCTCCAAACTCTTCTTTTCCTTGAGCTTTGATCTTCAGAACAAGCCGACCACCCTTTGGTATTTTTCCTAATCGTCAGTGAGGGCAGGAGTATCTATTTGGAGGGTGATCCAATGTCCCCCTTTGCTGCTGACCCAGCGAAAAGACACATTAAAGAGCCACCAAAAAGAAAGACAAAAGAAAAGATTGACTAGCCTAAATCAAAAGCTTGCGATTTGTAGAGCTAGAATGTATCTTGAACAAGCCCTATTTCTGAAGCGAGCCGAGCGGAATAGTTTTTGAAATACCAATAGTCTGACCTTAGCTTTGCGAGCGCTAAAACTGCTAAGAGTTGCTTTCTGTTTCATAGACATTATGAGAATCAAATTTACATAAGTTGAAAAAGCTAAGAAGAGATTTTTCAGGGAAAGAGGAAGAAAAAGTTTTTTTTTTCTCTCTTCTTGTCTCCTCCTATATGTTATTTAACGCCTGCGTCACCGAGCGAGTTTCAAAATTAAGGCACACCATCGTTGCTTTTTTTAAAACACAGTTTAGTTGTGGTATATTAATTAGTGAACATCTAATTTATTTAAGACCTTGGTAAACATTGAAGTAGCTTATTTCAAAAGGGTCCATAAAATATCAAAACTTGATTTAAGACAGTAAATTTACTCCTGAAGTCGAGAACAAACAGATTTTTACTCTATTACTATTGCAACACAGATATTCAAGTGACGCTAAACATAGTCATGGAGGTGCAGGTAAGTTACGACACAACAATAAAAAAAAGCGATCGAATTTGAAGGTTACTTTTAATGTCGTTGTCACATGGAAGTTTAAAGTCCGTGAATTCGGAATTGTGTTCCGTAACTTTCATCTGGGTGTTATGCCTACACGCTTAGTCTCCAGAGCGCATGTATTATTTGACGCAAACTAATTGATTTAAGCAGTCACTTGTGATGACTCCTTATTCTTCTTCAACAGAAAAACCATGCAGATATAGAACGGTGAATTTATATAATTCGGCATGAAATACACATGAACTTCATGCTACTTTTGCCCCCTCAAGTTTGAATTGCCGCTTAAAACTTCTAGTTTCTGCATACAAAAAATTTAGAGTCTTTGGGCTGTTTAGTAGTATCTGCAAACTGTGACACTTCGAACACGAAAAAAATAAATTAAGAAAAAAAGATTCGGATTTAAAACTAAAACGATCAGATCAAGATATATTTGTTTTTGAACAAATATACTTGCACAAAGCCACCTTCCAAACTAATCTTCTACCCGCTTCAAGATAGTACGACAATATTATAAATAACGTATCGTCAAGCCAAATACGCCTGTACTCCTTTAATTTTAAACTGAAACGACTTTTCTTTGTGTGATTGTTAGTTAGCATTGCGATTTTTCAAAATAATGTAGAATTACAATTCCTTGAAAGAGTACAAAATTACAAGTAGTACAGAAACAAGAAATTACATAACTCTTGGTATGGCCATGAATAATTTCAACATGTATTGCTGAGATAGATATATCTTTCTAAATAATATCAAACCTGTAAATTTACCTCAAACCCAAAAAGAATGATATAAATTTCTCTTTTTTTTTTCTTAGCTAAGTCTACTTAGAAAATTAAGCTTTTAGATAGATACTTTTTGAAAAGACTTGTAAATGATCTGAATACATTCTACAATCCCTTTTGGTTTAAGTTCTTAATTCTTAAAAATGATATTCCTAATTTTTCTTTCTACAGTAGAAGCCTCAAAAACATTGCTTTTGTAACATCCATCGAAAAAATGATATGTTTATGTTCAGCACTTTGCATATAAACTCATCTCATGTAAAGCTGTTGTTATGATTACGTAAGCTTTAGCAGAACATTATTATCAAAACTCTTAGCATTTGTATCTCAAAACTGGTCTAATTTATGTAGAAATGATGTACATCAAAGCCGCATGACGTATATTTGATAATGGAAAATATAATAATTCTATCTGCTATTTGTTTTAGTTGAAATCAAACAAAGCGTACACTTGAATCTCTGCTATTTGCTTTTCTAGTGATGTCTGTTAGCATCCCCCGAACCATAGCAAGTCCTGTTGGGCTTTCTTCTGGCAATTTCTGTACGAGAAACATACATAGTGCATTATTTGTTAGTATAAATCACTTTTGGAACAAATACTTTTTATTTGATCTTAAAGCTGGTGTTAATCATCAATACCAAAGGTTCATATACCACATCGATATTTGCTAGCTTCAAGACTACCCAAAATTAGATTGGTTTACTTGTTGTGCGCGTCAGATTTTTATTAAACATAGCAAATAAAGATTTCCAGGAACAACAACAAAGACTTAATTTCTAATAAAAACTGTACCAACCAAATTTAAACAGTTCCAAGAAGTCTATTAAAATATTCCAATTCCTTATAGGTTTGGAAAAATGTAAAAGCTTTGATGGAAAAATAATTGTTAATGAATGATCATTGTATCTCTTGAAACCCTCTTATCTTTGTTGTAAATAATGTGTTGTGACAAGACAATGGTAGCGACCAATAAAGTCTTTTTTTTTTTGAAAGAAACAATGAGGAAAATTATTGTAAGAATTCTACACTTTATTAAAAAATTTTGTGGTGAAAGAATAAATTTTAGAGATTAAGCAGAGCACGAGATACATGAGTAATATTTATGTTGTTACTTAAGGAAAAGCAAAGAATAAATTAGTAACAGACATTAACCAGTATACAGTGAAAGTTGAAAGTGACAATCCTGTCACTTTTAATCTAGTCCTGTTGTTTTTTTTTCAGCTCAGCCATATAGCGAGTCTGTTGTTTGACTCTAATGATACGCTCATTGTGATTTTGAGAGCCGCTGATTGGATATTTTTTTTCATGCTTATTGATTTTTTATTTACGCCAATTGGGTTTTCGGAAACCGCCAAATGATTTTTGAAAACCGCCATTTGGGACCACAGCCACTGTATAATTAGCAAATAGTCTTAAAAAGATAAATAAAGTAGTTTGTGTACTTATACAAAAATACCTTGTATCAAGCAAGTAAAATTAATACATTCCTAGCATAAACCTTGATTATTTTTCTTATTGGCCGATCAGATTGCTCTTCACAACATCATGTCGACAGCAGATATTGACGTATATAGGGCGTAATGTCAAATTTCTATTTAGAGTATAGGCTGTTTTATTCCAGGCAAGAAGCAAGACAGACAAGGCGAGACTTTTATGCAAAATAATAAAATTATTTTTTCTTTTCTTTTTTTGTCTCTTCAAGAATGGCAAGCGTGATCAAATATAATACGGTTGAACAAACCGCCAATGAAATGCCTAATGGCTCTGAACACGAACAGCATTTGAAGGAGAAAAATATGCACGATATTAAAGAAATTCAAAAAAAGAACAATGTAAAGCCTGACCAAGAAGAAGAGCATCAAAAAAAGGAAATTGAAGAAAAGCCAGGAAACGAACTCGATACTTCCGGCAATGTACACCCAAAACAAGAGCCAGTTTCGAATGAAGATGACGAATTGAATCAAGGCGTGTTGCCTAAGCAAAGCAGCGACCCCAATACAAAAGTTTGGACAAATGATCCCACCGCTCCTAATGGCGCACAGCAGAGTATCAGTAATTACCAAGACAATCGCAATGTAGGCAAAAATAATAGTGTCAGCAGTAACCATCGTCCACATCGCCGTCATAGTACATCTTCTAGTTTGAAAGCCGGACGTCGTCCTCATCAACAACACCGATTGGGTAGTCAGCCTTCGCTTCTTAACCAAACATTTGAGTCTACTTTTGCTGATCTCAAGACAATCTTCAACCCAACTGATCCAGATATTGACAACGAAAGGCCTAAAATCAAGAATCCTATGCCATTAAATCCAGTACCACCAGATGATTTAATTTATGGTCTTCAACTTCAGGCCATCAAGTACATTATCGTTGCTTGCGTTGTATGCTATTTGTTAGGCCGTCTCCGATTTGGCTATATTATTGGTACAATTATCATTGGTCTTTGTGCTTGGTCCTATTGGAATCTGGGACAAACAACAGCAGAAGGCCTTGAATGGCAACTAGAAAAAATGGAAAGCATGAAAACGGTAAGGTTTGATTTCTATTTAGGGACATATGGATGTATTTATACTATTTAAACAGCTCTACACTTCTGAAGGCGAATCAGTTGAGTGGCTTAATTACATGTTGGAAAAGCTTTGGCGTTCGATTGATCCCGAAATTTTTACTGACATCGAAGACCTTTTAGAAGACACTCTGCAGAGTGTTGCTCCCAGTTTTATTGTAAGTAGATGTAGGCTTTGTTAAATATCACTGACGATCGTGTCTTTAGCAAGCTATTAAGGTTTCCGATCTTGACATTGGTGTTCAAGCTCCTCGTATTCAAATGTAAATAATAAGCATCATTTCGACGTCATCACTCACTTATCATAGGATTCGAGTATTTCCTCCATTGCCTGGTCAGCCTGAAGAGAGTATCGTAAGTGGTGCATCACTTAAATTACATTGGTTATATTCACACACATTATATAATTAGTTTGGTGAGGCCTCTTTTAGTTTTCATGCACATCCAGTTGCTTCCTTAGTTGCTAATCGTGGTAAAACATCGACCCCACCTGGTTTGTCTATTCGCTTCCAAACAGCCCTAAAGGCTCCTTTGGATGTAAAGGGCGAATTGACTGCATTATCAGGGAAGATTCGGTTCAAGCTATTAACTTGTCCTGAAATGCCATTCATTTCAAAGGCAACCATTGCTTTTACGAGTGTGCCCAAAATTGAGACAGCTGTCATGCCATTATCAAAGCATTTGAATATTATGGGCGTATGTATACACATTGGAGAGACGTTCTTTTCCTAACTTGTTCCATAGCTTCCAACAATCAAAACCCTTGTCAATGAAGGTGTGAAACTTGGTTTTGCAGACCTTGTTGATCCCAAGAGCATGACCATCGATGTTAAGGCATTGCTCGGTGCTCTTGCTCAAGATACAAATGCAATTGGTGTCATCGTAGCTGAAATTAGAGGAGCAACAAGAGACGCTTCCATGCAACTCCAAGGTAAGAATTAAAATTCTCTTGTTTGCATTGCCTAATTTTATGATAGACATGGAAGACTCTTACGCTACTTTGTCTTTGAGTACTCAGCCTAAGAAGACATCTTCTAGCACTCGTGTATTGACAAACGACAAGGATCCTCGATGGAACGAGAACTTATACGTCCTGGTATCTAAAGGTATGGTTGTAATATCATAAGATAATAGCTAACCTCTATCCCAACAGATGATGTTCTCTCTGAGACTAAAGTTGAAATAAAAGTCTGGGATGCTGATAAAGTCAAGTTTGATGACATGTGGGGCTCTGTTTCTATGTCTGTCAAAGATGTTGTACAAGCTAGATTGGATAAACTTGGTAATGTTGCCAGTTGGTGTCAAGATGAACGTGTTGTGTTTGATGGGTAAGTTATATAGCTTTCATATATCTCTTCTAAACTTTGTTATAGATGGGCACCTATTGATGGTAAGGCTGAAGCTAATTCCAAGGTCAAGCTCAACTTCAAGTTGAGTTTCCATCCTAAATATCCTACTCCCAACATGGAAATATTCTCTAGCAACACTATGGACAAACAAAAGAAGTCTGAACCTGTAAAGAAGAAGGAAGAAAAGGAAAAAGATGTCATACTGGAAGCGCCTGTTGATCCCTCTCATACTAATGGTATTCTATTTGTTCAGATTCATCAAGCTGTTGATTTGGAAGTGGGTGATCCCGAGGTGCTTCCTACTTCAGAAGAATTCAAGCATCCTTACAGTACCCAAAAGACTGTCAGTTCTTATGCTGTACTTTATGTAAACGATAATAAGGTTTATCAGACACGCACCAAGATCAAGAATCCAAGTCCTCATTGGAACGCAATTACTGAACAATTTATAAGAGACTTTGAGCATACCAGTGTTCGTATTTCTGTCAAGGATTCTGTTGATCTTGAACGAGACCCTGTATTAGGTACCAAGCGCTTGTCTCTTAAAGAACTTTTTGTTGATCAAGATGATAAATTTAAGGAAATTCAAAGATGGATTCCTCTTGCTAATGGTATTGGCTTTGGCAAAATCTTGGTCTCATTTAAATACAAGCCCACCAAGTTGTATTTACCTCGTGAACTTCAAGGCTGTGGTAAGTTGTATATGCCTCATTTCTTTTCTTTTGTTTAACATGATGCACTAGATGTTGGTACACTTGTTGTTGAGCGCGTAATCTTGGATAAATTAAACGACCCCTTTGATATGAGCTATATCAAATCTACCAAGGCTACTTTGGCACTTAATATTGATCCTAGTATTCTTAAACGTCTTAAGGCGCGCAACATTGCTCAAGAAAATCAAAATGAACAAGGAAAAGACATTGGTCGATATGGCTGGCATCAAGAGCAACTCTTCTTCCCACTAATGATGCGTTATCGTACAGCCATCTATATACATATTAATCAAGGCAACGTTACAAGTACTAAGGCTACAGGTCGATTCTGGCTCAAAAACATGCCTGATCATGAGTGGCAGCATATTCAAGTAGGCCTCCATCACCATATAAATGATCATTCTAAAGAAGCCAACCGTAATGAAGATTCCTGGCCAGAGGAAGGTGACTTTGGACACGTGATACTCCGTATGAAGATTGTTCCAGGCTTCTCCCCTGTCCATACTCACTTGAGATCATTCACAAAGGACTTTGTTGGTTCTGACCCATTCTATGACGAGACATTGAAATACAAAGCTAAGAAGTGGATTAAGGCTCAAAACGAAAAGAACGATAGCGATGAAGGCGAAAGAGAAGAAGATACCTTGGATCATGATATGCAATCTGCGGTAGAGACGGAAAAGAATAAAGCCATGGATGAAGAAGACTTTGATGGTCGTAAGAGACGACCTTCCAGTCTTTCTTCGGAATATGGCGAAGATCCTGACGATGAATTAGATACAGATGATGAAGGCCTTCAGGCCAACATGGTGGATGAAAAGAAGAAGAAAAAGATAAGCAAGCATCGTGTGGTCCGCAAAGTAGCTTGGGGTCTTGATCAAGTAAAGCATAAGGTTGACATTATCCGGGAAGGCTTTAATTCAGAAACCAGGGCCAATCGCACTGTGGCTAAAGAAATCTAAGAAAAAAATAGTACGATGTTTGCTCCATCTAATGTAATCACTCATCATTTGTGACACACTCTTGCTCCTTCATTTCATTCTACTTTATTTCCTTTTATTTTGCATAAACAATAAAGAAGACAATAATAGGGCTTGCTGCACCATTTCGGGTTGAATTTATCTTTAGCATTTCAAGAAAATCACCATCAATTTGAGCAAGATGACGGAATTGACTGAATATGAATTTCTATCTAATCAAAGCTCGGGGAAATTGAAACATCAATATAAAACCACCATTAGTAGCCATCTATTCTCTTTTTCTTCTTTTCTTCATATTCGTATCATGTTGTCCGTACGTGCTCGCCTTTCTTCAGTTGTTAACAAGCGTACATTTGCTACTGTCACTGAAGCTGCTAAGAAGCCTATTGTTGACCAAAAATTCAAGGTTGTCGTAGTTGGTGGTGGACCTGGTGGTCTTTCAGGTAATCTTTTTTTTTTTTTTTTTTTTTTTTTTTTTTGTATTATGAGATTTTATACTGATTTAATAGTTTCATCCACTATCTCCAAGTTGCTCGGTAAAAACCAAGTTGCTGTCATTGAGCCTTCTCTTAAGCATTATGTAAGCCACTATTTCATGACAAATACTTGAATATTGACAAGTCAAAATAGTACCAACCTTTATGGACATATGTTGGTGGTGGTCTCAAGGATTTCAGCGAATCTGTCAAGCCTATGGGCGATGTCATGCCCAATGAAGCTGAATGGATCCAAGATAAAGTCGTTTCATTCGACCCCGATAATAACACAGTCAAACTTGCCGATGGACAAACTGTTGGATATGATTATTTAGTTGTTGCAGCAGGTATTCAAATCAATTGGGATGCTGTCAAGGGCTTAAAGGAAGCTCTTGGTAAGGATGGTGTCACATCCAACTATGATGCTGACAGTGTTCAAAAGACCTACAAATATCTTCAAGAATTTAAGGGTGGTAATGCTCTCTTTACCTTCCCTAACTCTCCCCTCAAGTGTCCCGGTGCTCCTACCAAGATTACTTTCTTGGCTGAAGAAGCTTTCCGTCTTTCTGGTGTCCGTGATAAGACCAATGTGATTTACAACACTGCTGCTGCCAAGATTTTCGGTGTTGATCACTATGGTCAAGTGCTTCAAAAGTTGGCCAATGAACGTAACATTGCAGTCAACCTTCAACATGAATTGCTCGAAATTGATGCCAACAACCACAAGGCTATCTTTAGAAACAATGCCAACCAGGAGACCAAGGCTTTTGAATACGACTTCATCCATGTTGCTCCTCCTCAAGGTCCTCCCAAGTTCATTAAGGAATCCAAGTTGGCTGATGCTGCTGGTTGGGTCGATGTCAACAAAGATACTTGTCGTCACAACAAGTACAAGAACGTCTTTTCCTTGGGTGATTGTTCCTCTCTTCCTACTTCCAAGACTGCCGCTGCTATCACTGGTGAATCTGGTGTCTTGAAAAAGAATTTAATCGCTGATCTTCAAGGCAAGAAGATTGAACAAGCTGTTTATGATGGTTACACCAGTTGTCCTTTGATTGTTGGTCGTGATCAACTCATTTTGGCCGAATTCTCTGGCTACACTGGCAAGCCTCTTGAGACTTTCCCTGTTGATCAACGTCAAATCAGTAAGACTGCTCAATTCTTGAACAAAGAAGTCATTCCTAGCATTTACTGGAATGGTTTGTTGAAGGGTACATGGACTGGTCCTACTACTGTTCGTCGTCTCTTTGATCCTATCCGTCCTAAGCATGATTAATTCATACCCTATTAAAGTTTATCTTAATAAATCCTTTCAAATTGTATTTAACAGCACTAAAGATGGATATACATTTATCCATGTGTCAAAGCCAATTGGTTCACAACAGATGGGCATCTTCTTGGATACTCTTCCCAAGAAGTAAATGCAGCCAATGGTAAAAATAAGATCCACGTTGTACATTTGCTTCAAGACCACACCATAATGGACCTTGGCTTCTTATATGAAAATGGAAAGCGTCTCCTCAATGGCCTAAAGAGAAACAAATCAATATCTCCAAAGCAGTTATTTACGGCGAACGGGCAACATACATGTGAAAAAAACTCGACATATATCAATCCAACCAATGAGGATAAACTGATTAAGCGCTGGCAATCTTTCTTTCACTCACACACAACAATTTGTTACAAGATATCGCAGCAGCATCAAGCGTTACTTTTCAGACGAATACTAGCACCTCTCGCATGATTTGGATATGTGGATGAACACTGCGTCTTGGGAACAATCCTGGATGGAAAAACAACGTGAAGCAGCCAAATTGGAGACAGACGATATTAGTTGTAAAACGACCAATTTAAACGCTTGAGCAATTGTTCGTCTTTATACGCACAACTTCCCTAAAAACCCAGAAGATTAGTAGAAACCGCCAATATTTAACTGGTGATTTTTGAACAAGGTTGTTAGTGATCACTAAGATTGGCATCAAAGACCCATTCTGCAGAAGTTTACTTTTTTATGGCTCTCATTGGACATTGCTATGCTGTAGTAGTAGACACAATCATTGCAAATCCAGCGTACAATGTACTCCTAAAACCTTTTCCGCTATTCATCACTTTTTGCACCTTTTTGCTTTTTATAGTAATTAGCTTTTCTCAGCACATAATCCTCAAGAACATCTTTTATTCTACTCTAAAACAAATCAATACCACCGATCATGATACATGGAATACACAACAATTCCTACATTTATCAACTTGGCTACGCTCATTACACTCTTACAAGTAATAGATGCATTTTGGAGCCTTTGACGTTGATCTAATGGCATAGATACTATTGCTTCTCGTGACCAACCAACTTACGAAATGCTGTACTATAAAATTTCATTCAAAAGAAGCTCTTCCTGTGTATATTCCATCCATTTCAAAAAGTAAATAAAAAAACATAGCACTTCGGCCAAGTCCATTGCTGCTCACTTCGAAACTACCTTTTTAATGAGAAATAGATATTTATTGGTGTTCATTTGCAATTTTTAAGACAATGGATAAATAAGATACGTACCCACTGGCATGGGAGTAAACCTTTACATTATGGGATGGTCAGAGGCGCTGATATATTCAGGGCTATTTATTTACATTGTTTTTTTTTTTTTCAAGATGACAGAAGGATATCATTTTAGAAAGTAGAATATTTTCAATTGACCCTGTTCTTGGAAGGTGACAGCTCTTGAGGAACAGAAATCAGATCTCTTGTTTGTTTCGGCGCTTATCCAAACATTTATAAAAAATACCAAAAAAAAAAAAAAAACTTAGAGTCGCTCAGTTTTATACTCTCTGATTCTTGCCATCATTGTCTAAGTTTCCATAAACTTGTTTCATTTGACTTTACTCCTAACTACAGTATTTCTACTTCAAATTCAGACGATGTTAAATTTTTTTTGGACGAATCAAAATTATTTTTCAGATGTTTAGCTTACCTTTTTTGGACGAAGTAAAAAAAGAAATTAGACAAGACAAATTTAGTTTTTAGACGAATAGAAATTTATATTTAGACTTTTTACCTGTAATGATCTTCATCCTTTCCGAAGAAAAGAAAGCCGTGTTTGCTACGGCGATACTTCAGCAGAAATTTGAATAAGAATAACTTTAATGCTCTCATAAAAGGCTCTTACCAAATTTATAATATTTCTTAAGCATTGGTTTTCTCTCGCTTAAATGGTTCTGGTCTTCCTTCTCCCATCCAAGCGGCCTTCGATATTTTCATCATATTTGTGGGATAGACATAGGAAAATGGGATACAGGTACGAATGTGACAGTAGTAAAAGTTCCTTTGGTTGGTTGAGTTTGTTCAGTTGATGCATTGATTATTTTAGGCTGCACACTTCAATCGGTACTATTCTCTGGTGTCCCTCAAATTGTCTCCACAATTTATCGTTTTGTGTCTAATATACTGAAAGGGAATGTCTTGCTCGGACTCTGCTTGTAATCTCATTTCCTTCTCCATTTTAAAAAATAAAATAAAATTGTACAAGAGATTTTTTTCAAGCGTCAATCATGGTAAGAATTAAATTCATGCAATACCCTTCAGTTAGCTAAAGACCTACAAAAAGACAGAATATGCACAGACTGCAAAGAGCCTGGTCATTATAATAGACAACATTATAAGTGCAAATTATACATTCAAGTCACTGCAAATGACGGTAAACTCCTTGATACTTTTTTCGTGTTTATTTTTTCTAATTTTTCTGTTCTGATAAGTTGGTGCCTCTAAAAAAAGAAAACAGACCGATCAAGTAAAGCAGGACAAGAAAAATGCAAAAAGGCCCAGGACTGTTGATAGCAGCACCAGTACATATACATGTGGAAATTGTGGTCAAGAAGGACATAAAACATCTCGTTCACCTGATTGCCCCAATCATATACGTTCATAAAAAGAAACTTTTCTGATGCATTTAGGCCCTAATTATAAGGCATATACGCGAAAGCTGCCTTTTGAACAATGCGTAAAAAGAGAGTATCAAGCCATCCTCAAACCAAGAATTGTCTCAGCTTGTGAACATCTGCGAAACATTGTTGTCAGATCACAGCTTTTCGTGAATTTTTATATTATCAGCTTGGCAAAAGCAAATAGTCCTATTCCTCATGCGATATACGAACAGAATTTCTGGTATTCAATAATACAACTTGTTAGAAACCAAAGAGTTACAAATGGCAACTATTTACAGCACGGATTACTTGATTATTGGAATAATTTCAAGCAAAGTCATCCTACTATTATTTATTAAGAAAAAATTGCCAGTGGCGTCAGTCAGTGCATTTCAGAAGCGTCCCAACAGCTACAAACAGTATACAACAATCACATAGTAGAAACATTTGAATCAAGAATATACAAGTATATATTCTATAAAACACAAAATATATTCATAGTAAGTACAATACTATTATAAAAGAGTACGTAAATAATACTATATATAGTCAATGGAACGTTCAGATGTTATAAAAATTGTCCCTTACGTTTACCAGTATGTGTGCCAAGGAAATCCCGTGTGGCCTCGAGGTCTTGAATTTACTGAAGAAAAGAAAACCATGGTTGATAAAACCTTCCTGCCACTAAAGGAGTCAATAACGACCCGGGTGGCTCTTACAACTCTGTCTCAAGCGCCTAACACATTTATTCCTTGTCTGTTTAACATTATATCGGAATACGAGATAGAACACAAGAGCCACAAAGTCTATGATGTCAGACGATTACCTCTACCAAGACTGTTTTCATTGTCACCAACGCCGGGTTTACATTGGAGATTCGTAAGCATAAGCGCTAATGCATTAGCACCATTTATCAAAGAGACCCTGCCAAGGGGCTATAAAGATCAACTCAACATGTTTCATCGTGTTTTTAATTTTAAAAAATTACATTTAAAGTATGGTATAATACCGTCCACAATATATTCTTTTCTTGCTGATAATTATAATATATCTAGGATGGATGATCTCACACCCAACGGAAATAACAAGATATTGTTTGGAAACACATTCAAATCCGACGGTTTTTCTGTTGACCTTCTGTTCTATCGAAGGGAAAAAAAGAAGGATGACACTGGTGTTGAATTAGCTCTTGAAGACTTCAACTACGAAGAGGTCATCAATCAGTATCAACCGGTTTTCCTTGATCCAGGACGTAAATCATTATTTACAGCTGTTGTAGGCGTAGAGTCAGCTAAGCAAATTCGGAAGTCGTCCGCCAAGGAATACTACCATTTGACAGGTAGTACTGTGTATAGCAAAAAACTTGAGTCAAAGAAACAACGCTCTGGTATCCTTACACTCGAGTCCCAAATTCCCACGTCAAAAACAACAGAACCAGACTCATATGAAAATTATGCTACATACATATTAGCACACCTTAACAGGCTACTGACATTTTACGGCAAGGAAACCGCAAAGTGTCATTTCCAGCTGTATCAAGGCAGGCAACGGGCACCAGAAATGATGGTTAATATGTTAACTCACGGTACTGCCAAGTACAACAAATTTCAGAGGAAGAAAAAAGGAAAGAAGAATGTCAAGCGAGGAAAAAAGAAGAAGAAAAAGCCCAAGATAGATGGTGGCAAAGAAAATGAAGGGTTAAAATCAAAACTTGATACAACCGCAAAGAAGTAAGTAATCAGCCTTTCTTTAATAGAAGTTTCTAAGTTTTTTATTTTAATAGGTTAAAGTGGAAACCCCTTCCTTTTCGCGAAGAAAAAGAAAAGTGCCCATTGGTCGTTTTTGGCGATGGTGTCTTTGGTAAAGACATGGTCAAGTTGAAAAATCTTCGATGTGGGGTGGTAGGGAAACTGTTTCAGACACTGAAAAAACGCGAAACTGCTGGTGCGTTGATCGTTTTAACGATTGACGAATTTAAAACATCTAAAACGTGCAGCTCGTGTTTTTATAGCAACTTGGGAGTGGTGAAAACAACGCATTTCAAAGGCAATTCCGTTCTTGCTTGCCAAAATTGTAACAAAGTTTGGCAGAGAGATGTAAATGCTGCCACAAATATGATGAAAATATCGAAGGCCGCTTGGATGGGAGAAGGAAGACCAGAACCATTTAAGCGAGAGAAAACCAATGCTTAAAAAATATTATAAATTTGGTAAGAGCCTTTTATGAGAGCATTAAAGTTATTCTTATTCAAATTTCTGCTGAAGTATCGCCGTAGCAAACACGGCTTTCTTTTCTTCGGAAAGGATGAAGATCATTACAGGTAAAAAGTCTAAATATAAATTTCTATTCGTCTAAAAACTAAATTTGTCTTGTCTAATTTCTTTTTTTACTTCGTCCAAAAAAGGTAAGCTAAACATCTGAAATACTGTATTAACCAAAGCTTTTCAATTGAATTAAGCTCAGAAGAATAACACAGCAATAGCCACGCGATGCGACAGGACATCCTATTTGTCAGCAGCGATGAATCTACATTTCGTACAACATGAAATTTGTTTGCTATCAAGTGAATTCGTTTTCTACTGGGGCGAAGTTACTTTCTTTAAAATGTGTAATGGTACAAGGTGACTCCTCTATTGAATGATGCGGGGTTCCAATGCGTTTGGTTGTATATGTCCCTCTAATGGTAAGAAAGTCCTTGACTCGGTGGAATAGAAAAAAAAAATTAGATTTTTTTTTTAAAAAAAAGAGAGAGAGAGATACGCAACATTTTTTTTCTCTCTTTTCTTTATCTCTTCTCTTTTTCTCAGCATGGCTCTCAGACTCTTGACTTCACGCGTTGTTCCCCGTACTTATATCCCCATTGTTCAGAAGTCCGCCACTATGGCTGCCTTCCGTGGTTATGCTAGTAAGTTGTTGTAATACAATCATCACCATCTTAATCACAAAAAAAAAAAAAAAGCAAAGAGATACACAGAAGATCACGAATGGATCTCTGTTGAAAATGGTGTTGGTACTTTTGGTATTACTGACCATGCCCAATCCTCTTTGGGTGATATTGTTTTTGTTGAAATCCCTAATATTGGTGACAAGGTCAAGAAAGATGGTAAGACAAAAAAAAACATGGGATCCAACTTGCTTCTGACACATAAAACAGATCAAATTGGTGCTGTTGAATCTGTCAAGGCTGCTAGTGACATCTATTCTCCTGCTTCTGGTGAAATTCAAGAAGTCAACTCTGAAGTTGTTGACGATCCTTCTATGGTGAACAGTGGTGCTGAAACTGATGGTAAGTATCGCTGTTTAAAATGAACGTGTGAAAACTAACTGGGCCATCTTGTAGGTTGGTTGGCTAAGATCAAGCTTAGTGATGAATCAGAACTTGAAGGCTTGATGGATGAAGCTGCTTACAAAGTCCATGTTCAATCTTCAGATAGCGATTAGATGTATTTATTATTGTAATTCTTTTCTTTTTTTTCGATAACGTATCTGTCACACGATAAATAAAATATTAAAAAAAAAAAAGATTAAAAAAGGAAAACACATCTTGTAATTGTAGGTTTGCGCGTTTTTTCTTTTCCTTTCTTTTTTCTGTTATGAGCCAATATTTTATTGAACAAGAAAAGCGTTTCAGTATTCATACATTACAATTATTAAAATCCTCTACTCAAGAAACAAAAAAGTTATATGCTGAAGCATACTCGCATGCATGTACTGCTGTCAAGCTTGATACACTGGCTCAGTATAATAAAGCAATAGAGTCCTACCGCCAAGTTATTAAGGTACCTTACCTATATAAAAGTTCGATATTCTTTGCATATTTAATAATATTGAAGATGCCTCTAGAATCTTTCTCAGTTACTTAAAGGTACAATAACAGCAGCAACAGCAGCAGCAGTGAACACGTCTCAGTCTTATTAAGCACTTTTTTTTTAGTAGATAGCGATAACCGTATGGATCGCAACGAGATATTGCAAAAAGTAAACAGCTACAGACACAGAATAGAACAACTTGAACGCTATATGGAGACTACAAAATCAAATTCACCTTCTTTATATATCAATGAAAATTCGCCTCATAAATACCGTCGAGACTCTATTGACTCTGATTTTGTAAGAACAGAAGAAGACGACTACAATGACCGAGCCAAGGTAAAAAAAAAAAGATATGTTTTTCTATACTTTATCATTCATATTTTAATTAGTTTTCATTTAGTCAAGGTGAATTAAATGAGTTAAAAGGCTATATAGACCATGCATTTGATTATTATTCAAATGCTGCCGAATTGTTCATGAAAGCATTTAAGGGATACGATCATGACTCACCAGAAAAACCTACAGCAAAAGACAATTTCGCTAAAGCATTGGATCGAGCCGAGCAGTTGAAAAAGAACGCACAACTCTTAACGAGCCCACCTTTACGCACTCGATCTTCTTCTTTGACTTCTTCTCTTGACCAACCCAAGACACATTATCGATCTTCCTCAATCACTTCTTCTTTTGCTATTGTTGATAACCCTACAGATGACATCTTGACACAAAAACTATCACATGCAGAAATTGAAGTCTTGAGATACACTTCTTGTGTGAATGACAAGACATTTTTACCTTGGATTGATGAAGCTGACCTGAAAGAACAATTCTCGTATCCTAAAAAATACTTGGACCCTGAAGGCTCATTACGTTTATCCGAAAAGCAATTGGAGAAATTTGGTGGATGGAAACGACCTGCTGATATGATAAGACAGCCACAACTTGTTTATCTGATCTCAAGGTAATTATTCAGATGGCCTATCAAGATATTCATTTTATATACAGTACAAGTATCATTCAGGATATTGTTACAGATTGCTCCTTTGTTGCGTCACTTTGTGTAGCTGCTGCGTATGAACGCAAGTTCAAAAAGCAGTTGATCACATCTTGTATATACCCTCAAAATAAACAAGGTCAGCCTTGTTATAACCCAAATGGAAAGTATGTTGTCAAGCTTGTATATAATGGTATTGCTCGAAAAGTCGTGGTAGATGATCTTTTGCCTATTTCACGAGATGGTACCTTGATGTGCACCTTTTCAACAAATAAAGGGGAATTATGGCCTAGTATCATTGAGAAAGCGGTAAGGACAACAAGTCAAGTCTATTGCAATGATCTTACTTCTTCAATAGTATATGAAGCTAATGGGTGGCTATGATTTTCCTGGATCGTAAGTAAATACAGTCTTATATCAATGAGTGTCTGATCATACTCTGCTTTATCTAGCAATTCAGGCATTGATTTACAGTAAGTGATATCTAGACATTCAGCATAGACTTATTTATTCTTATAGTTGTTTGACAGGATGGATTCCTGAACATATATTTATTTACGAGTAACTTGTGTTAACTGTTCTCTATGTATTCATACTTATTATTTATTAGCAAACATTTTGTAGCAGGCAATGTATGGGAGCGAATCTTAGATGGCATTAAATATGGCGATGTGCTTGTGACCATTGCCACTGGAGAAATGACTGAAGAAGAAGCTAATGAGCTAGGCCTTGTTCCTACACACGCTTATGCTGTTATTGATATCAAAATGGTCATGGGTAAGCGTCTTCTACAAGTAAAGAATCCTTGGAGTCATAAACGTTGGCGAGGTCCTTATAGTCATCTTGACACTAAGGTCTGGACGCACGAATTGCGCCATTTGCTCAATTTTGATCCTGATGTAGCTGAAAAGAATGACGATGGTATCTTTTGGATCGATTTTGAGTCTGTATGTCTTAACTTTACTTCGATTCATTTGAACTGGAATCCTGAATTATTTACACATCGTTGGGTGTTGCATTCTGTATGGTCAGAACATGTAGGGCCTAAAAAAGATGTTTACAGTTTAGGCTACAATCCGCAATTTGGATTAAAAGTACATGTGCCCGATAAAAAGCCTGCTGCTGTATGGCTCTTGCTCTCAAAGCATATTATGGTGACAGAAGAAAACACAGACTATATTACACTGCATGTGTATAACAATACTAATGGAGAAAGGATCTATTACCCAGGAACACCTTTTAAAGAAGTAAGACGCTTATTCTCTTTTTTTTTGACAAAATGATAACCATGTGTTATAGGGAACCTATGTGAATAGTCCTCATATTCTTGTACGGTTTAATGCTCCTCCTGGTATTAGCGACTATACCATTGTTGTTTCACAGCATGAAAAAGAGCGTTCCTTGTATTTTTCTCTACGCGCTTATTCTCTCGCTCCTTTTAAGCTACAAGAAGTACCCATGCGCTATTCTATTGAACAAAAGGTATGATTTTTATGAAGACAGCCAAGCAACTGACACGATGATAGATCCATAGTCAATGGACAGAACAAACAGCAGGTGGCAATGCCTCTAACTCTTCTTATTTGAATAATCCTCAATGGAAAATCACGATATCAAACACAGGCTCACCCGTGGGTCTTTTATTACAACTAGAAGCCCAAAAGAATTTTGCTATCCATCTATTACTGGTTGAAGGTGGTAAGCGAGTATCAAGCGTATCTGTCAGAGATATCTTGGTTGAATCAGGCCCTTATCGACATGGATTTTGCTATTGTGAATTGCAACACATTAAACGTAAGCAACATGAACCATATAAAAAATGGTATTTAACTTTTTGTTTTAGCTGGTGAATATACTGTGGTTGCATCTACATTCGAAGCTGATTTAGTGGGTAAATTTATCATGACAGTAACAAGTACAGTCAAATTGCAAGTAGACCCTATACCTGCTGAAGGAGCTGTAAGAAGAAAACATTCTATTTTTTTTTTTTGAGTACTAATCCATGTATTAGGGTATGTTTAAGAAAGTTTTTCATGGTGAATGGATTGTTGGGTACAGTGCCATGGGTTGTCCAAGTTTTGGCAATTATGCTAAAAATCCTCGGTATTTACTAGAGATTAGAGAATTAACAACAGTCAAGTAATGTACCCAAGACAAATGAATGGCGCTTATTTACGCTATTATGTAATTAGGATACGGTTACAGGCAAAGAGTAGTTCTGATTCTGTACCTTCTATGAATGTCACTCTTTTTGAAAAGCACCCCACTGAATTATTTGGTGAAGAACTAGCTACTTCAGGCCCCTATACCAATGTTATTCAAGGTGTAGCCACTGGTGATGTTGTATTAAGTCAAAACAAAACAGGTAAGCATAAACACGTAAAGCGATAGCGCATTCATTCTATGATAGGCTACATCATCGTATTGGCTACTCATGATAAAGATATAGCTGCCGAATTCACAGCGATTATTTACAGTGATCGCCCTGTCAATGTAAAGAACGACAGATAAATAAAACGTTTATTGATGAAGTCTCTTGTTTTGAACTGAGGATAAAGCACGCTGACCTGTAAAGAAGGCAACAAGTGCCAGGCCGCCGAAATAAGTCAATGTTTGAAAGAGATCAAGCTTTGTCCAATAAAGATAAAAGAGGTATTCAAGAGAAACTAAAGAACCCAAAAAGGCAGCGATATAAATGGATCGAGTTTTTGATCCTTGAGTGAGTTCTGAAATAACATTGGCGGGTGTATAACCAAGACGCAACCACTATATATTAGAAACAATTAAGCACGATTCTCTTTCTTTTTCTCTTTACTTACGCCAATAAGCAAGAAAATCCATGGTGATAAAGTGACAAGAGCAAAGATCATGGAGAAAGTGGCAGGAGGCATCTTTTCTGCTTCTCTAAAGACATGATGGATTTCGGGTTGCCATTCAAACACGTCTTCTTGACCTGCTGCTTGTACCAGAGCAGTAAAAGAGGCTGCAAAAAGAAGACCAAGAATAGACATAATAATTGAAAAACAAAAAACAAAAAAGAAAGAAGAAAAGAGACCGTGTATCTATTGAGAATTTAATTACATGTATGTATGTATTTGTGCGGTCAATTAAAACACTGAGTCTTAAAATCAGGGCCAAGAGATGAAAAGAACGGCAGGTACAACCGGTGTACTGAAGGCACCTACTAAAACCCGTATACCCCGAGTTTGAATGACAGGCAATAATCAAAGCCATCACAGGCTTTTAGATGTAGCACTTTACACATCATTAAGCTGTAAGAAGACATACTGGGAAAAGCGTTCGTAAAATGCGGTTTTTACTTTTTTCGGTCCAACATTGCGTGTATAAACAATATCCTAATATATCTTCTTTGAAGTTAGAAAAGTTGGAGAAAGGAGAAAGTATTTTTATTCTTTCAGTTTGTAGCAAGCAACAACTGTGTTCGTTGCTACTTTTAATTGATGAAGGCACTCGCTCAAGTCAGTTGTTTTTTAAAACATCTACATATTTTAGATTGTCTATCTTGTAAAGATTGTGCTTGCCTGTAGCTGTCGATATCTTACCAACAGTAAAAAAATGTACCCCAATTGGGTGTGTAGAGTACAACCTGACATGTAGTTCATATTCTTCTTATCGCTGGAAGCAGCCTTGTAAGTTACGTCTGTAACAATTGGTCGCTTTGAAAAAGGAAGATTAATTCTGGCAATTCCAGGTGCTGAAAAAGCACTCGTGAAATTCTTGTCATTAGTGACTTGGGCATGAAAGATGTACCCATCAAAATCTTTCATTGTTTTGTCTAGATCGCCTAAGAATTTTGTGTTCTTGCTGATACCAAGGAAAGCTTTCGCAGCATTCAGCTCATACTTTGCTCAGTCCTGATTTCCCATGATGGAGCTTATCTCTTTAGAAGACAAAGTGAATTCACTTGGGCGCAAAATAACACCAATACTGAATTTTTTTGGTGTCTTTGACTGGTCATTTTGCACAACTTCGAGCAAGATCTTACTTTGATCTCCAGATAAATGGAGTCTTGGAATGATCCCGTGAGTGTACCTTCCCTTACACTTCACAGTGCAGCTTGTGACATCCTCCCTCTCATTATGAATCAAAGTAAACTTAACTTTCACATGACAGTCAGTGTGCTTTAATGCTTCTTTGCAATGCAAACATTTTTGATCTTTAATTAACTTCAAGCTGTGACAAGGTCTGTACTCTATTATAAAATCCCCAATCCTTGTTGTCATAGTAAACAGCAACAAGACATCTCTTGTACCAAATAGGGCAGCCTTTTGTCATTTTTTGATTCCTTCAGCCAGAACCCAACCAATGTCCAAATTACATCTCGAAAAAGTCTTTTCATCCCCTCTACAAGGTTCAATTTTGAAACTTTCAAAATGCTCGCCATCAGGATATTTCTTTATGAGATAATTGAACTTGTGATATTCTTTATGTGTTAGCATCTAGAGAGATATGTAATAAGAGTATAGAGTACAAAGAAGATCAAAAATGTAGAATGTAATTTGTACCTTAGTAGGTTGTTCAACTACATCCAAACTCCGGGTATACGGGCCCTCAAAAGTAGTCAAACAATGTTAAGATTAGGCGGAAAAGAAAGAGAGGGAAACAAGAAAAAAAAGGATGGAGGTGTAGACATTTGTAGCCGACAATATCTACCAGCCGCATTGTATGTTATTTTTATTATGATCAAAAGCTATATACAAAATAGAAAGAATAAATATAAATAGTATGGAATTAATGGCATGCAGCAATGTATCTCTTTGCTTTCTGGAATTGTCTGCAAAGGATGAATTTCTTGTTTATAGGATCCTCTTCTTGTGGCTGATTGTTTGCCATCATACTTTGTTGTGGTGTATCAGCAGCTGTAACTGTACAGTGAGTGGCAGCAAACTCACAAAGGAATCGACCAAGTCTATGTTGAAGCGAGACTAAAGGACAGAAAGCAGTCATAGCAATGTAAGTATTGATGGCAGCATTGGTAAATTTGCAGTTAGTTGTCGAGGTTGCTGAAGATGTATCTTCTTGTTTTTCTTCAACCTGCTTGTTTTCTTCTCCAGTAAGATAAAGCTTTCTCTCCTTCATTAATGTGATCGGCTCCAAGATGTTCCAGACAGCCTTCGCTTCTTTGTCTGTCATTATGGTAGAACCAGCAAAAGGATCTTTTTCATTGTACTGAATATGATTGGTTGCTGGCAATAGTGCCGAAGGGCTTAATTTGGCAGTGGCCAAGAGTTCGTTTGTACTCATGGTCATGGTGTGTGCCAAGACAATCGACATCAAGGCGGGGGCAAGGAGAGGATATTGCTGGAACATGGCTGAAGCATTACTGGACAAAGCATTTGATGTTTCTTTGGATAAGACCTGGTTGATGTTCCAGTGGGGTACCAAGGCATGGGATAAATAAGTATCCGTGTTGGTATTGGTGGTCTCTGGTAATACAAAGTCCCAATTATCAGGGAACTCAGTGAATAAATTGGGTGGAGAGGACAGCGTAGATTCATCTGAAGAAGAGGAGGAAGAGGAAGAAGAAGGTGGATGAAGGAGAGAGTTGGTATGTGGCATATTGTCGAAGATAGGCGTAGGTTGTTGGGCGTTTGCTGTTGTAGGAGGCAAACCAATGCCACCAAGCACCATATCAACACGCAACTTGTCGTTTTCTTTTTGAAGCTTATCTACTTTTGTCTTGAGCCATTTGAGTTCAAGTTTCAACTGGCTATTTTCTGCTTTTTGTTGATTCAGCTGCTCTTCCAGGCTGCCAACATATTCTATAAAAGGAAAAAAAGCGAGTCGTCAGCAAGTTGCCTGTTTTAGACATTGTCCATCTCTCTTACCTTTTCTTCTATTTCTGAAATTACGAGCAGAAATTTTATTTCGAAGTTGGCGTCTTTCCTTGCTGCTCATAGCTTTAAGTTGGGATTCTGGAACATGGTCATTGATGGGTCTAAAGTCCAACCGACTTGTGGCAGAAGCAGGTGGTTTATTGCTTGATGTCTGCTTTCTCTTTTTAGGTATCTCGCTTGAAGAGGAAGAGTCTTCTTCCATCGCATAAGCAACCTGGTTATTTTGTTCATGCATAGATCCTATTGTTGTTTCAGCTGCTTGTTGAGCTTCTTGACCCAGTAGGAATTGGAAAAGATCAGCATCAGATAAAGCAAAAGGCTCAGGTTGTGGCTGCAATGCCTGTTGCTGTTGTGGTTGAGTACATTTATTGTTATGGTCTGTCGATATCATGTTAGGGTGATCCTCAAGCACCCATGTGAATGTTTGGCCAGAAAAATCATTATTATTCATTTTTTTAGATGGAATAAAGAAGAAAAAAAAAAAAGAAATGTTATGAAACATAAAATTAAGTTTTTTTTATTGAACGCCGCTCCCTCAATTACCCTCCGCATCCATTCACATATCGATTCTGTTGCATTTGATCTCACGTATAAGATACAAAAAAAAAAAAGATTGCCTTTCTAATCATATTCTGCTTGAGTCTATGTTATTTATCATAGTTAAGCATATATCTTATTACAAGACACAAGTGAGCATAAGTGATTTGGGTATTGGTTAAACGCACATTTGTAAGTTTAAGTAAAAAAAAAGACATGTACACTTTATTCAAAAATAAAATACTAGAAATTAAGCAGGGCATGAGATACACAAATAATATTTATATTGCTACTTACATTAGGCTATAAGAAAAAGCAAAGAATAGAAGGGAGATACAAGAGAAACAGATATGAACCAGTGTATGTAAAATACTTACACGGATATGAATACCACTCTATCTTCTCATTATATGCATACCACTACACAATATGACCAACCAATATCAAGCTGTGATTGATACCAAAGGCTGTACCACCAAGTACTAAACTATATTATCATCTCAACAAATCATCAACAAAAAACTGAGCGCGTTTAAGTATCATCTTGGCATATTAAAGGGCTCTTGGATCATGATACCTTTGTTGCTGAATTCGAATGATAAAAAACCAGGTTAATTTTTATTTCGAGCCAGTATATAATAGTCAAGTAGCTACGTCTAATAGATACAAGCATGTATTATGGTAAAGAGCTTGATCTGTAGCACGTGAGCAGTATAAACTATATGCTAACCCGGCAAGCTTAATAAGCTTTGCTTGCCAACGTCTTATCATGAGCAAGGTTCCAAATACAACGCATGTTAATGTAATAAATTGACAGGAATTCATAACCTTAAATTAATTAAACCTTCTAGTCAGATTGCACAAAGTAGTACAGAGTGCTACTAAACATGACTCCTTTGTTGTAAAGGAGATTTTCTAAGAGTTTATTGACCAAATCCATAGAAAAGTTTATCCTGCTTTTGCTTTTTATTCTGATCAAAATAAACACGACTTTTAAAGCATTGCTTTTTTTCTTTACCTTAGGAAATAGAATTCCATACATAAGGATAACAAAAGAATATCATTTATCAAAACTCATAAAAATATCAAGGAGAAAATCCAAACGCATCAAAAACCAAAAAAAAAAAAAAAAAAAAGAATTGAGTAAAAAACATCGTGTTGACAGAAAGTATAAAAAACTATCTTTTGATGTTTAATTAAAAAAGACATTTTGTCCACTTCAATGCTTACTCCAAAAAAACCACCATTTTTGTATAAATGTATTAAGTTTGAAAGACCTATAACTATGGGCATTTCATAGAGAAAAAATAGGCTTATTTATCAAAAGTGTTTTATTGCATCTCATTATTGCTTAGTACGTCTTTAACAAGTTATATTCATAACGAATTAGTTCTTTTCAACATAAAGTGTCATTGATTTCATTAAATCATGCAAAGGATATCTAACATTTGAAGTGAACGCTCCTTTTCTATCTAAAAAAGGTACGCGCAAAGGGAACATAAAGCCTGCTTATAGACATATAAACACCCTCATTACTTACAAACAGTATTTAATAACATTTATAACACTTTTGGAGTTAGCTTGAACCAAAAAGAGCGATATGTGCAAAATGACCAAAATGTGCCTTTTGACCAAAGGGTACTATTCATGAAAATCGTCGATTTGACAACCTTTAATCTTCTTTTTGACGCTACAAGACAAAAAATAAAGATATTGACAAGCTTAAATACTCGAAATGTGCGTCAAGCACTATATTTCTTGATCAATGTGTTTGTTTGCCAATTGTACTATAGAAATGGCAAGATATGAGTGAAAACCCCATAAACGTTTTTGCTCATTTCCTCAGATATTTAGCAGCAAATTTGGTGTGCTCTTTACATGAACAGACTCATAAAGCAAATATCTAATGCTTCTATTATTGTACCAAAACCGAATAACTGCGTCTTTATACAGTTCTCAACAAAAGCTCCATTTTTTTAAATGATTTTATTTGCCGCACGTATTTTGTAGCGCGATAGGGTTACAAAAAAGAGGTGCTCGACAATGAGTTATAAGATTAAAAGAGATAAAATGAAATTAAAAATGAGACAAGGACTATATAAAAGTTGAACCAAGCGAAACAATGATGAAAAGAAGAAGGAGAGATGAAGGAATCAGTCGAGACAGTTTGTCTCTTCAGCAGCGCGGCGGTCAACTGCCCGGAGGGTTTGACTGAATGCTATACTTGCAAGGAAGGACTCTCTTCAATGGATATGAGCCCAATGAGCTTTCCAAAGCTCTGAGAGTGTAATGACAATTAACATTTCAACTTCAATTGGACAAGACTCATTGACGTTGATTTTGTCGAAATCTAAGGATTGAAGAGCTGAGGAGATATTATCGATAGAGTACCAAGCCAAAGCTCCATTTTGGATACGGCAGGAATTGTTTTCTTTTTTAATCTTCGCCATGGCCATCCTGTATGTCCTACGTTCATTTGCTCCCATATTCATACTATAAAGTGCCTATATTTCTATCCTTCCATGTTCTTTGGTACACAAAGTAACATAAGATACTCTGGAAAGGTTAATTGCTAGTACATTTTATATGACATCTAGGACAAAAATGCTCAAAATACAGCTTAAACATGCCAATCTTTGATGAATCATTGCTCAACAACCAGATTATCAAAACAGCCCGTTTTTTTTATTTAAAACATGTTTCTTTGAGCCAAAGAATCAAATGGTACCATTGGTTTGGCTGTTGTATAAATTCAATTTTTAACCATATGAAATCCACAGAGGTTCATGAAGATGAAAAAAAAAAAAAACTCAATCAGGAATTTTTGGAATGACCCAATGTAGGTCTGATCCAACCGGAATCAGATAAGTCCATCTCTAGATACTTTTAATAAAAAGAAACCGAGTTTATTAAAACAAAAAAAAGGCGACTTGCTTTGAGCATTGGCTTCAAATCTGCATTCAAAGCTGATTATACACTGTGAATAGTAAAAAGGAGGTCCTTTTCGGTACATATCGACTAGTAAAGCTATACCATTTGATCCTTTAAATAATTGCAAATCGATACATTACAATTTAAAGTTCAAAAAGGGCAGTCTTGGACATGATAAAGAAAGCGTCGATTTATCATGCGACAATTGTAGTTTTTATTATCAAGATAAAATGTGCTCTAAAAGGAACAAACCAAGAATGAAATCTTCAGAAAAATACCTAAATCTTATAAAAGTAAAAGCATGAGAGATATACAAGAGCAGCATAAAAAACTCAAAAGGAAGGGGGTGCGAACCGCTTCATTTCAAATTTACGCAGATGTAGCCAGTCCGAATAAACCGTGACGGTCCTAGTCTATATGTTTAAGTAGCAGCTTAACAACACTTTTTTGTCATCATGTCTCGATTACCGCTTCAATCTAAAGCCATTCGACCCAAGTTTCAAAACAGACGTGCCATTTTTGGTGGCGATGAAGACGAGGAAGAACAAGTCAACGACGAACGCGTCTTGGCTATTGAAGATAACCAGATAAAAGAGTATGTAGAGATTCGCTTCTTTGTATATATACTTATGTTGTATAGGGCCGAACCAAAGAAAGAAGTAAAACCTCTTAGCATATCTCCTCTACCTAACGTTGACTGGAGAGCAAGTGCTAAACAAAAAAAGGAACTCTTCTTACCTGCGCGGGCGCAGCAGCAGCAACAACAAGAACAACAGCAAACTAATTCGGGGCCAGAAGTGCTTGGACAAACCACTACTTCTTTTGGTTTGCAGATACAAACGAAGAAAACATTACAAGTAGTGCATAGCAACGGTAACCTGGATACTGTAACTCAGACAGAAGTGACAAGCGATGCGATGCAGTCAGAGCCTGTTCAAAAAACCTTAGAAGAGCGTGCAATGGAAGCAATTATCAAAGGTAACCTAATGCTAAATATGGGTTTGTTTGCTGAAAATAGATAGAATCCTTGGGAGAAGACGAAGAAGAAGACTCAGGTCCCAAGAAAGTCATCCCAATGAATGAAACTATTGTTTTTAGAGAGGATGTAGAGAATAGACCCGATGAAACAAGCATGGAAGATTATGAGAACATTCCTGTTGATGAGTTTGGTGCTGCTTTGTTACGAGGCTTAGGTTGGAGTGAAGGTGAAGGCATTGGAAGAAATAGAAAGAATTCACCGTTTGTATTTTGTTATATGGTTGTGTTCATGCTGATCTCTTGCTTAGAGCTCCTCCACCTCCTCCAGTCAAACAAAGAGAGGCATTGCTTGGGTTAGGTGCTAAACCAGAAGAAGTAGACACTCAAGATCGACGACAGAAAGCAAAGAACAGACGTGAAGCTTACGAATATAAAGACACAAGCTTATTTAAAAAGATTTCAAAAAGAAGAGTAGAAGATGCACTCATTGATACTGAAAGAAGTAGAGACAGTAGTCGCAGTAGTCGAGATAGTGATCGTTCTTCTCGTAGACGATATGATGATGATTATGATGATAAAAGTAGAAAAAGAAGTAGTAGCAGTAGCAGCAGTAAACGAAGAAGAAGTCGTAGCAGTGATCGTCATAGTTCTAGTAGACATCGACATCGACGTAGTCGTAGTAGATCGCCTTCAAGGGACTCTTCCAGACATAGCAGTCGATCTTCACGAAAATAAATGAAATTATTGCATAAATTCCTCCATTGTTCTGATGTAACAATTTTGATTGGTGATCTCTTGATTGCGAAATAGAATCTTTGGAACATGGCAAATACGCTGGTTTTTTAGGCTGTGTTTCAAAGTAAGAAAGTTGTTATTTCAAAGCGAATATTGCGCCATCGATTTGTATGATTACTCAATGAATGATTAATTTTTTTTTCTTATAAATACAAGACTCTTCTACACTTCTTGCCTCTCTGTCTTTTTTATTTTATTTTTTATTTTCTATTTATTCAAATGCATAGTACACCGCATTCAGAAATCATTATTGATTATGAAAACATATCTTATCAACGTCAAACACAAGAATTTTTTAGACATTTGCCTAATTATACAAAGAATTATCTTATCAGTCTGTTTCCAATTGCGACATGGCTACACAGATATAATTTGATGGTATTCTGAAATGTTAAATTACAAAATTGACTTACATATTCCATAGTGGTTGGTTCGCGATTTGATTGCTGGTATTACTGTTGGTATAGTCATTGTTCCTCAAAGTATGGGCTACGCCAAAATTGCTGAATTGCCTCCACAATATGGTTTATAGTATGTGTATAATCGCATGTATATAGTTTTTGACTCACACATATCTCTATAGTACTGCATTTGTTGGTTTATGTGTTTATTGCCTATTTGCCACTTCAAAAGATATTAGTATTGGCCCAACTGGTAAGTCCCATCATATTACTAAAATCAATAACACTTTTCTCTAGCCGTCATGTCGCTACTAGTTGGTCAAACAGTGACACGCGTCATTGCTGCAGACGCTAGTATCACAGGACCTGAAATTGCAGTGGCAATGTCATTGTTTACTGGTATAATCGCGATGTTTATTGGTCTTGTGCGCCTCGGTATTTTGGTTGATTTTATTCCAGGTAAACAAATGATCAATTTAAGCTTGTCTTTTGCAACTTTAATTTTTCTTACACCTCTTTTTTGTTAGCTCCTGCAATTGCTGGTTTCATGAGTGGGTCTGCCATTACGATCACTATTGGTCAAATGCCCAAGCTATTTGGTATCAAAGGAATTAACACTCAAGAATCTTCTTATTTGATTTTTGGTAACTTCTTCAAATACTTGCCCAACACAAAAGTGGACGTTGCTTTTGGCCTTGTCAGTCTTGTTTGGTTGTATGGTATTCGATACACTTGTCAAATTTTAGGAAAACGCTACCCTAAATACTCTATGCATTTCTTTTTCTTCAGTATCATGAGAAATGGCATACTCGTCATCTTTGGTACTTTGATTTCTTTCTTGATCAATATTGGTAAATCAACCAGCCCTATCAGTATTCTCAAGACAGTACCTGCTGGTTTTACAGCAATGGGTGTCCCAGTGGTTCGAACCAATGTTATCTCTAGTATTGCCAGTTCTTTGCCTTCTGGTGTCATCATTTTGATTTTAGAACACGTTGCGATTGCAAAGTCCTTTGGTCGCATCAATGACTACACCATCAATCCTGATCAAGAAATCATTGCCATTGGTTTCACCAACATCTGGGCTTCCTTCTTTGGCGCCTATCCTTCTACAGGTTCCTTTTCTCGTACGGCTATTAAAGCACGTTCTGGAGTCAAGACGCCTATTGCCGGTGTGTTTTCTGCCCTCGTTGTCCTTTTGGCATTGTATGCTCTCACACCTGCTTTCTATTATATTCCCGATGCCGTCTTGGCTGCTGTTGTTATCCATGCTGTAGCTGATCTTGTTAGTGGACCAAGCTATGTGAAGCGTCTTGCTGCTGTTAGTCTCTGGGAACTCTTGATCTTTGTTGTCACGGTCGTGATTACGTTCTTTACTACAGTTGAATATGGTATCTATGCTTCTGTCGCCTTATCCATTATCATCTTGCTCTTCCGTATTGCTCGTCCTCGCTTCTGGGGTTTAGGCCGTATCCCTTTAAGCAAAGCCATTTCTTCTATTGAATTACCTGAAGCAGACCAAAAGCAGATTGAGAAAACATCTGAACTTCAAGCCTACTTGTATGTACCTGAAAGCCATCCTTCACTTGGCGACTTGGTCGAACCTTTGCCTGAGGGTATCCTTATGTGCCGTGTGGACGAATCATTTACGTATCCCAACTCAAGTTATGTTTCGGATAAAATCATTCAATACTGCAAGAGTCGTACGCGCAGTTCTAACGTTGCTCTTAGTAAAGGTGATCGCTCATGGAACGATGATACTACGCCTGATATTGTAGCTGCTCGTGAAAACTTGCCTCGCTTGCATGCTTTGATTCTTGATTTTGCTAGTGTCAACCGTCTTGACTCAAGTGGCCTTCAGGCTATTGTGGATGCTCAAAACACATTGAATCGATACAGTGGTCACCATGTTGAATTCCATTTTGTCAACATTCTTCATCCTGCTATTCGTCGTTGCTTGATTGTTGCTCAGTTTGGTACACAACCTCGACCTGGTGTGAATCGTAAAGAAATTCTGCCTGTTGTACCTGCTTCTCGTGATGGTCCTCAACAAAACACTTCTCCCGTTATGCAGCATGATGATGAAAACCAAATTGGTAGTTCTACAGAAGTCTCGCTCCAAACGGATGAAAAGAGCGCAGAATTTGCTGAACAAGTCTTTAGAAACAGTTCTATCAATGGTATTCCTCTTCCCAAGGATCGCTATCCTTTCTTTCACTGGAGCTCTGATGAAGCCCTTCGTTCTGCTATGGCCTCGTTAGAGGTTCGCAAATATTTGGAAGAATCAGGCCAAGATGTCAACGAAGCAATTGGTCATGAAGGTGCTACGCCTTCTCACTAAATGTATATAATATACCCTCCTTCGTTTTGTGATTTATTTTATGTATTTATAAATAAATGGTTTTTTTTAGAGATAATTGTGCATCCATTCATTCTCATCCGCTGAATGATCATCTTGCTTCATTGTTGCCAATGCTTCTTGTCTTCTCTTTATCTCTTCTTCCTCGATGGATGTCTTTATCTGAGTAGCAACATCACTAAACATGCGAATACTGTTGCCAACAACACCTTTACTAAATGTCTTTACGTTCTTTCCAATCTCAATTACTTTGGTGAAATCAAACAATTCTTCGTCTTCTTCATCTTCTTCCTGAATGATGTTGTTAACAAGACCCTCTTCTTGTCGTTTCTTTGTGGATACTGAAGAGGAAGAAAAAGAGGATTCAGGTATAGCTCCTGTCAATGCAGAAAACAAAGAGGAAGGTGTCATGAATGAGGAGGTGGTGGAAGACACAGAGGAAGACAATTTGTGGTCAGTATCTTGTACTTCTTGTTCTTCTTCAGCAACACCGCTGATCATTTTTACGATATCCTGTCCAACTTTTAGAATCGAGCTTGCCCTTCTGTGAAGTGTTCTTGGTATATCTTCAACATCACTTTTTAATGTATATATATATAAAAGAAAAGAGTCAACATCATAGCATCAAAAAGATAAAAGAAAAGGGGGCTTTATTGTTCTAACCTATCCTTATTATTTATAGTGGCATTAGATTCTTCTTCTTGTTCGTCATCTGAATTCATGATAATGCTGTTCTTGATAAAGGCTAACTTGTCAGTAATATGTTCGCCCAATAATGACTGAGTTGCTGTTGATACAATTGATGTTCTTCTTCCTTCTTCCTGTGATACAGATGATAAAGGATCGTTGGTTTCTTCTAGTTTAGTAGATAACTGACTTTTTTTGTGTTCTTCTTTGCTCTTCTTCAAGACTTGATAGCCTTCTTCGGGCATAGAAAAGCGATTGTTGTTTTTGCTGCTTTCTTCTCCATGGCTGTTGCTGCTGTTGCTGCTGCTGCTGCCCCCTTCTATACTCGAGGATAAAAAGGGTTTTTCTCCATACATTGATTTTTGATTCTCATGAATTAAGGTAGGAGGTATCTCTTTTGAAAGTCTTGTCAAAGGTAAGTGTTGCAATACTTCCTTTTCTATCTGTGGAATCTTTTCTTCTATTTTTTTGACAACTGGTTCTGTTGATGGGGTATCTTCTTGTTCTGTAGTATCGCTTGATACTTCTTTAATGCTGTAAGCCATGGCTTCTGTCCAATCTGGCTCATCTTCATATTTAAAACTGGTTTGACTAAAATCAGCCAATTCTTCTCCTCCTTCCTGTGTCTAGCAAAAATAAATAAGTAATCAAATTTTAATTTATGTTTGTCGCACCTGATTTTCTGCGTCATGGGCGTCGCTTTTTGGCGCATTATCTACTTGTTCCTCTTGATGATCGGGCGCCCGGGCAAAAGGGTTTCGAGATAAAATGTGTGCACTGTTTTGAGAGAAAATGGTATCCTGTTGAGGTGCTCGTTGTTCCTGGTAGTTTCCTAGAGTTTGCTGTAAAGAACCTTGTTGTTGTTGCTGTTCGTCCTCAGAGTCCGAAAGGTCATCAGGAAGATGAATAGCACCTACTTGTGTTTGCTTCAGAAAGGAAATAGGACTACAACAAGGAATAGACCATCTAGAAGAAGATCGCTTTGTTACTAAAGGGCGACTACTACTGGTTGATGCTTGCTCAGTTGAGAGCTGTATTTCAGGTTTGGGTTGAAAAAATGACATGTTTATTAGTGAAGAAAAAGAAAGAAAAGAAAAAAAAAAAGATGGAGAGGAAGGAGAAAGAAAAGTAGTACAAGAAAATAAAATGTAACGTGTAGAAAGAAACCTTCCCCTAAAAAAAACCAGATGCGGGCTGCTTTTCTCTTTGGTTCTCAATGCATATACAAAATAAAAGCAGTATATAAAGCAACAAAATATGCTTTAGTATTTTGTTTATGTCTGAGAAAAACAAACAAAAAAGGCGAGACAACATATATTATATTCCTGGAGTTTTAAATAGAGATTTTTAAGCGCCACGCGTCTTGACCCTGTATAGGTCATGGCTCTTTCACATAAAAATCAGAACCAAAACTCGACATCTGCCAAACATGGTTATCGACGCGACCAAGCCCTATCTTGGGCTCAAATTGCGCAACGACAAACGCTATCTTACCAACCGGCAACCAAGATGCAACCATCTAAGGACTTGAGCGACTCGTCATCTACTGCCTCCAAGTATGCTCATCAGATCGACGATCTTTTGCACACCAGCATCCGTCCCTTTATTCAAGGGCTTGAAGACAATAGTACGATTATTGATATAACCAATATCAAAGACCTCAACGGCTTGAAACAATTCTTTGGCTCTTTTAACACAGACACATACTTTCCCTACTTTGGAACCTTGTTAGTTGAACGCCGCTATCTTCAACGTCGTTTCATCGAAACCTTTTGGGATAAGGAGGCTGCTGAGTATCAACAACTTATTGGGAATGACAATGACAATGGACGGCGGCATTGTGATCAAAGGTTACCCCAGTCTCCCTTCTAACGCAAAAGTAGCCCGCGTGAAGGTCGAACGCTTGCCTTTCATCAACCCTTTAAAGTTGAGAGACTTGATGTTTCAGCGATTTAATCATTTTGGAACTGTTTTGGATGCAGGTTTACAATTGGACGGCAAGTCATTCTTTGAGCAAGGATATGTTATTTTAGACCTGAATCGACCTCATCCAACTATGCCAGAAACCTTACGACGAGAAATTGATTGGTTCAACGACGGCAAGCGCATGCTCCGCCTCGCCTGGGATGAAATGCCACCTTACTGTCGCTACTGCCAGAAGGAAGATCACTGTCGAGCAGACTGCCCTGAAGTACATAAATCTAAACAATGCTACAACTGCAATGAATTGGGACACATCAGCAAGGATTGTCCCCGTCGTGGTCATGGTAATAATCTTCCCGCTAATAAGCGCGTTGCAGTTACAAAAGCTCAATTGGAAAAGGAGGCCGCTAATAAAGCCACTGAGAAAACAGCCAAATTGCTTCAAAAGCAGCTGGCTAGGGAGGAAGAAGAGCATCGGTTGGCTGACGAGAAAGAAAAGGCACTGATCGCCATGGAGGAGAAAATTATCAGAGATTCCGAAATGCAAATGGAGGAGGAGGATAGCTAGACCATCCGAAACATGGAAATTGAGATGAAAGAAAGCACTACAGCCGACCTACCAGTCATGACGATGGGGGAAGTTGCTCACACCTTGGAAGGACAAAAAGTTGGCTTGAGCAAGAAACTCAAAGTGTCGCACTCAAGACACGCCAAGGAGCTAGATTCAGGTGCCTCTGGTGAAGACCAGAACCCTGTCTCTAATCGCTTATAAAATTTACTATGATCAACAACACTGAATATCGCGACATTAAATTGTCGTGGTTTACGCAAAGCAGGAAATCCATCTTCTGCTCGCTCCTTTATTCGTTATTTACGCTCCTTAGAAATTGATATACTATGCTTACAAGAAACTCATGCTATTGATGCCACTGTTCAGGCAGAACTTAACCTCCTTTTCAACTCAAGTTCTACTTTATGGACACCCCACTGTGGGATAGTGTCTCTCAAACCTCACTTTCAAATAGTCGCTCACTCTACTTTTATTCATGAAGAAGGACGCTTCCTCTGTGCTACAGTCCATTCTTCGATCAGTCCCTCTACTCCTCTTTTACAACTATTGAATATTTATGCACCTGCGTATTCTACACCGCGCAAAGCGTTTTACCAGCAACTAGCCAATAACCTCGACCTTATGTCCCACCTCCAATCCAGCAATATACCGACTTTGATCCTGGGCGATTTCAATTTTAATCCCTTCCAACGTTCGACTATCACGGACACTTGGCTTGAACTTCTCGACCTCTACTACAGCGATTGTTTTGGAGACGACCCTAGACCAACTTTCACTGCACATTCTAACAATCGCACTAGAATTGACTTTATCCTTTGCTCCTCTCAACACCGTCTCCTTGTAACCTCTCATTCGCAACATTTCATCTCATCCACCTGGACTGATCATGATTTACTGTCTATTACACTACGCCCCCCTCTTGAAACCGCTGGACCCGGCTTGTGGAAGGCTGATCCTTCCCTCGCTAGGATTCCTTCTTTTAGAGACGGCCTGACCAAATACATTGAATCCCGTCTCACTTCTCAAAATTTCCTTGATGAGAATTGTCCTCACTCTGCTCAAGTTATTTGGGATATACTGAAGACCGAAGTCAAGATATACACTAAATCATTTCAATACGAGACTAATAAGTGGCGCACAAAGACCTTGAAAAAGTATCAGTCCTGTTGTGAGATGAAGAGAGAATAGATATTCAATAAGAGAAAAGGCAAGAACACAGAGAAAGTTCGTTAGAACTTGTATAGGTTTTTATTTCTCCCAGAAAATGTTATCTTTCAATTGCTATAAAATGTCGAGGTATTTATACTTTTTCTTGTGGACGTCAACGGTAATGAAGTTGATCTTGCTGCTGCTAAAATTGCTAAGGATGACAATAAGAACAAGACAATATCAGATGAAGGAAAACTTACAAGAGAAGGCAAGGATATCGTTGATAATCTGGTAAGCGTATTGTCTGATATTGATTTAAAATCCCGTCGGGCATACCTCTTCCAAATCACTTGTAATACTTGCATCGTGTCTACTCTGGATCTTGCATGTAACGGGCTATATGTGGCAAGCTCGCAAGCAAACTTTGTTCTCCCAAGTAAGCCTGACGATTTCAGTGATTTAACTCTGCCTCTCGGATACTTGCTCTCTGTTAAATCAAGCATAGAATCTTTGGGTCTAGAAATTAAAAGTAACATCAACAACAGACGTATGAGTACTGTAGAGACCCTTGGTATCAAACAAGTCCCTAAAAAAACCTCAGAATGTATCAACTGGATTCGCTCTACATACTATTCCCCTCCTGGTAAGACTCCTTCCGGTGTTCCGTCTTTTGTTTTCGGTGGTCCTCCACCATCAATCTTAAACAAGTTGAAAGAAGTTTATGAAGCTGATCGAGGAAAAAAGTATGAAGGAGTAGAAAATGATGGCGACTTTGATGAGTTCGGCTGGAAGCTACTGTCAAATGGAACATACTACAACAAATATTTGAAGGAAATTGCAGACCATCATCCTTTGATGAAAAGAGAAAGAAAAGACAACATTTAGCAGCATACTATAGCTTAATCATATATTTCTGTTAGTTCGCAGTATCTCCTTACATAGATTTTATCTCTTATCAATACAGAACAACTATGTCTTTATTTATTTTTAAAAAAAAAAGGATGAGCAAAGAAGCTTGCTTCATGGTCAATGCTCTTTATAATTATTTTGTTGCAAATAATGCTATTAGGCTATTGCTTATTCTAGATCTCTGAATTATTAGTCAACAATATCTACAAGAAACTAGTCAAAGTTACGCAGAAAAGCTAGCGCGTTAATCTAGCATGTTAGATAACGAAGGCTGCGATTCCGCTTCCCACTCCAACCTGCTGCGGTTGTCAGTCGTAGTATGGTAGACCATATCGGCGCTGGGCACAACTGTAAGCATGCTTTTACTTGGCTCATCTAGAAAGCTTTTCAGTTAGTTCTTGAAGTACTAATTAAAGCCGAACACAGAAACTTTGTTAAAAAATTAGGATTTAAGCAGTCATGTCGGAGCAACAAAAACATTGATATTTTCTGACAAACATTTTCCAAACTACCACTTGCAGGCTTCAGTAAAAGAAAAAAAACAACCTCAACCTGCATATTGGGAGTTTTTAACTAGCGCCTATGGTGTGTTGTTCATCCGTTCTTGGTGCTTTTATGCACATTTTCATTTTACTTTCATATTAAAAAAAGGAGTATAGCTATCATAAAGCATGAAAAAGAGTTCATAGTCTCCTATGCAGCAAACGAATTGAGTTGAGTAGTCATTTTGGGTTGATTTCCCCATGGGCAACCCAACCAATTATATCTGATCTTACAAGCACACACACTTTTTCTTCTAGCTCAAGGCCCCGATTACTTAATCAAGGGTTTCTAATAGTCAAAAAAAAATGCTCTTGTGTCATGCAATCATTATAACAAAGTACATTGCAGATAAATTGTCTATATCAATTTGATAACAGGTCTGTATAGAATATAGAGTCTATATTTAACCACGGCAGTAAAAAAAAAAAAAAAAAAAAAAAAAAGGTACATCTCTATGAGTCACACTTTTTTTTCTTTACTTTTAAGAAACATTTATCTATAAATTTTCTGCTTGCTTTTTTAAAAAAAGAAAAGGCAATATTCATATATAGGCTAACACTACTTTGTTGAATTAACATCTCGGAGAAAATAAAATAGATATGGCATAATTAGATTCCTGCAAGCAGTTTCATTGAAACGAAACTGATTTTCAAGTCACCACTGGGTTTAAATTTGGGACTTGCTGAAAGATTTTTTTGCATCTTTTTTTTCTTCTTCTTCTTCTTCTTCTTCTTCTATTCAGAAAAAAAAAGCCCTTTCTTGCACAAAGAGGTATATAATCTATACTTCTTTAATTCACTTAAAACTACACAAAGCAACACTCAATAACTCTTTTTTTAACAACATACCCAAATAACAAAGAATACAAAGCAATGTCTGATAACGCTATTAAGATTTTTACCGGCAACTCTCACCCTGAACTTGCCAAGCTTGTTGCTAGCCGTATTGGTATTGATTTGGCCAAGGCTGTTGTAATGAAATATTCCAACCAAGAGACCTCTGTCACTGTTGGTGAGTCTGTTCGTGACGAAGACGTGTTTATTATTCAATCTGGTTGTGGTGAAATCAATGATAATTTAATGGAACTCTTGATCTTAATCAACGCCTGTAAGACTGCTTCTGCCCGTAGAATCACTGCCGTTATCCCTTGTTTCCCTTATGCTCGTCAAGACAAGAAGGACAAGAGTCGTGCTCCCATCACTGCCAAATTGACTGCTAATATGTTGACTGTTGCTGGCGCTAACCATGTCATTACGATGGATCTTCACGCTTCTCAAATTCAAGGATTCTTTAACATTCCCGTTGACAATTTGTACTGTGAACCCTCTATGATTAAATACATTCGCACAAAGATCCCTGACTGGACAAATGCCATCATTGTGTCTCCTGATGCTGGTGGTGCTAAGCGGTAAGTTGAAGAGAGTGGTATGTTGTGTATACTTATTTTGGCTAGTGCTACTTCCATCGCTGATCGTCTTGAACTTGATTTTGCTTTGATTCACAAAGAACGTAAAAGAGCTAATGAAGTTTCTCGCATGGTCTTGGTTGGCGATGTGACTGGAAAGATTGCCATCTTGGTTGATGATATGGCTGATACTTGTGGTACACTTGGTTTGGCTGCAAAGACTTTGGTTGAGAATGGTGCTGTTAAGGTATATGCTATTGTTGCTCATGGTATTCTTTCTGGAAAAGCTATCAAAGTGATCAATGAATCAGTTATTGAAAAACTTGTTGTTACCAACACAATTCCTCATCAAGACAAGATGGTAAGTACTCATCTAAATAGTTGAATTGTATTAATGATCCATATATAGGCTATTTGTCCTAAGCTTGACATTATTGATATCTCACCTACACTTGCTGAAGCCATTCGTAGAACCCATAATGGTGAATCAGTTTCTTACCTTTTCTCTCATGCTCCTGAATAAGTATATTGGTTTTTCCCTATATATACATATATTACACACACACATTTATACATTGTTATTTTATTATTATTATTTTCTTTTCTCAGCATTCATTTAAAGTAAACAACAACAAAAAAAATGGACCAATTCCTTGTATTTTTTTTCTTTCCTCATACGCATAAACACACACGCACATTTTATACATACATATATAATAGAAAATGGTGTTTTGACATTTATTATCATAAAAATATACACATATACATACTCGGCTTTCTCGTTAATTGCTGAATGGAATAGTTAAATTACACCGAAACAGATTTTAAAGTCAGTAGGTTACACTTCATATGATACTACTGTTGTTTTACAAAGTGACACAACATTTATCAGTCATTCACAGAATATTCAAATGTATTTAGAAGACCCTGAAGTTTTCCCTTATTTTTTTTTCTTGAGCGATCAAAAGATAGAAAGTGTTTATTAATATGATTAAGAGTAAAAGAAAAAAAAAGAAAAATGATTATAGGTAGAATACAAATATTAATGGAAGGGTGATCATCAATGACATGATAGAAAATATATATATATATATGAATGCTTGATATGTTGGGAACTTAAGGACAGTTGGCTTGGAGACCTTCAATGCAGGAAGCATAGAAAGTATAGGGTTCAACATTCTTCAACTTGAAGACGGCTTGAAGAATAGCGGAGATACCCTGACCAGCAATCATACCACCAGCAGTACTGTACATGTAATTATCAAAAGCAGTAGGGTTGACACGCTTCCAGATCTTACTACCAGCCCAACCAATGAACATGGACAAAGGTACTTCAGGGCTAGTGTTAATCATGGCAATACCGATAGCAGAAATGGAGGGGAAGTAACAGTGGTATTTTTTAGGAATCAAGAATTCACGAACAAAAGGACCAACAGCACCAACGGCAGCACAGACAGCAGTAACAATGATACCTTCGCGAGTAAGAGGTTCACCACCACCTGTCAACAATAAGGTAACGTTGTACCAAGCTCTGACGGCAACTAAACCAAATTCACATTTAGTATCTTCAGCACTGATGACACAAGGATAAGCCTCAGCGAAAAGAATGAAGAGACCAACAGAGATACCGATAGCAAAAAAAGAGGCGACGAATTGAGCCCAGAATTGAGATCGAGGAGAAGCGCCAACCAATTGCCCGGTCTTCAAATCACCAACCATGTCGACAGATTGAGCAGCAGCAGAAGCGGAGATGTTACCAGCCATTAAGTTGTTCTTACGGAGTTGGTTGATGGTATCATGAGGCATGCCGGCAAAGACAAGTTGGGACATTTTACCAATGGAACCAGTGGGATTGATATCAGTTTCACCAGCAGCTTGAACACCAACGAAAGAAAAGATAAAACCAAGAATGACAGCAACGATAGATTGGTAGACAGGCATACCAAAGTATTCACCCATGATGGCACAAGTGAAGATGATAGAGATGAGAGTACCAGAAACCCACCACCAGGTAGGGACCAATTCGCTTTCCTTGAAGATTTCATCTTGGGGCAATTCACTGTTCATGTGCTTGAGTTGAGCTTCAGACAAGTCCTTCTTCAAAACACGGGAGCGGAAGAGGTAGTAACCAGATTTGCAGCCATCATAGATACTGACAACACCACCCTTTACACCACGCCAAAGAGTATCGTAGTGGACAAAGAGTTCGGCAAAAGTAGTCAAGACCATGAGAGCAATACCAGGCCATAAGAAGAAAGATTGAGTAGTAGGACCTTTAGTAGTGATACCCATTGCTTGGACAAAGTAACCGTTTTGGACCAAACAAGGACCAATGATACCGTAGACAATGACAGAAGAAATAAAGAAAGTGTTGACAGTAGAACCGGGAGTCATCAAACCAGCACCGAAGAAGGGGAAATCCCAACGGAAGTTCCAGCCCCAGGTTTCATCAGCACTCATGAGAGGAATGTAGTTGGCACTGTGACCGATCCACCAGAGAATATGGATAGTGTCAAAGAAAGAGACCCAGTAAGCAATCAAGTTCCAGAAGAAAGAAATGGCGAACCAGATACCCATCCACATAGCTTTCTTCATGGCTTCTTTTTCACCGTCAATGGTATTATGGAGAGAGATGATGGTTGTGGCAGCAGCACGGGGAGTAGGGAAAGTCAAGTCCTGCTTGACGACAAAGTGTTGGCGAAGGGGGACAGCGAAGAAAAGACCATAAAAGGCACAAGAAATAGTGAATAAAACAAGAGCAGCAGCATCTTCTCTAGGTGTTGTCATAAGGCCGAGTTTATACATAGCAGGAATACCTGAGACGAAACCAGCAGAAAGACCACCAGCAGTGGTAGCTGCAGATTGAGCAGTACAGTTTTCTTTAGGGCCAAAGTAGCCACCACCCCACTTGGGTGGAATGATTTTAGACAAAGGCTTAATTAAGGCAAATGAAAAGATGGCACCAAAAAGTGATGCACCAAATGTCCAACCAATCTTAAGACCCAAGTAAGTGTTTGATGCAGCTATAAATAAGATGTTAGCTTAAACTGATTAATTTGTTATGTCTTGACATTACCAACTAAACAACCCAAAAGAGAGCCGACAATAGTTGCACGCCAGGTGAATTGAGTCTCTTCAGGATATGCACTGATGTTATCTACAACAACCTGTTCTTCAGATTGTAAATCATATTCGATTTTCTCGTCTTTATATGATGGAGGGGATTTTGTGTCCGCCATGATAAGATAAATATAATTCTGGAAATCAAAACTCTTTTGCTTTTTTGTGCTTTCTTTTTATACTCAAAATTTTGATGGGCGGGAGCAGAATAATTACAAATTACACGTACCAATGATAACAGATAGATGACAAAAAGAGCCAATCGTATGATTGAAAACACTTTCGCACAGTCTTGACTTTATTTCGCACGATATCCCCTCTCAACTACTTTTTAAGGAAATTCAATCCATTTTTAGTAAATATACTACTTTGGATCAGTAAACTTTATGTTGTATAATGTAATCTTTTTTGATATCGTTGTGTGTAATTGTCCTGATTAGACAAAATTATTCATTTTCTGAAACATAGAAAAGGGAAAATATATCTAATTTAAATATGTCAATGCATCAAAGGCTTTTTGCGGCTTTTAATATACCTGACTGTTTTATAAAAAGGGTTTTCAAGTGCAAACGAATAACACATGACTCATTTCGAATGATTGACTAAAACTTGTTCTTTGTTAGAAGTCCGAGTATCCTGATTTGATGGCGGAGATGGCTTTGTACTTTTTCATCAAATGGCATATAATTAATAAAGGTTAGTTATTTAAAGAAAAAGGAAATTATCATCGCATATGCTCTCTATTTTCGCCGCAGCATAATGTCGTTTGTGTCCAATCTTGAGATTGTACCAATACATTCTAGAGAAAAATGTTTGCCACAACCATATGCTTTTCTTCTTGTCCTACTCCAGATTTTGAGATATAAGATCATAATTAGCACATATTTCTTACAAATACTTTTTGAAAGTTCATACATTGAATATCGATATTACTACGAGACATTAATAGACTCGGTCCAATCGTTTTCGTTTCAGTTGTTTACTTTTGTCAGAAGACTAAAATTGTCACTGCCCAAGTCCATGATGAGATAGCACTTGGTTCTTGTCCTACGTTTGTGATCATTCATTTTTACCGAGTAATGCGAGAAAAGACCTATCGCAGGCACTGCACACTTTTATTTTCTAATTGAAAGAAATATACATATATATATATATATATATAGCACCGTTAGCTATAACAAGGCTTAATTTTTTTTTGATAACATTCAAATCGAGAATTAGGAAGATTTAGACTATCTTTGACATGATTCTGACTAAACAAAAACATTGTGTTTCAATCAATGAGGTAGCAACTCGGTCTATTGTTGTAGCTACCTCTCAATAAGAAAGAAAGTTAAGGTTTATTTTACCAATCTTCAGAATCTCAAAAAAGCATTAACGACTATATATTTCAGGTGTTCCTTTAGAATAGCAACAAAAAATGCATTCCATTCATTGTGACATCTATAGAAATCAATAGCCACGCAAAAGAATTTTAGATAGCTTTCTCTCTGTAATGAAGATAAAATGAGTGCTGCATTCTTTATGTCACAATTGCGCTTTGAAATACGAAGTTTTCTTAGCAAAAGACAATGGAGACATTCTAAACAGAGTATAAATGGCATCGATAATAGTTATCTTTTGCATATTCATAAAAGGATAGTGTACATTCAAAAAAGTACAATTTCAAGAATTTCCCTTGTGATTCATGTATTACAGTGTGTCACGCGTTTTGAGTTGGAGCTTCCTAAATAAACACCACTTTTTTTTCATATCATGAATTCGGAAAAGTAGAGTGATAAGACAACGATTGGTTAATAGGACAATACAAAAAAAAACCATAAACCGAGAAATATGTTGAGTTTTGAATTTGTATATATTTTATAGTTTTTTGTCCTCATGCTCTTGTAGTCCTTTTCTTAGTATTAGTTCCCTAAAATGGATCTTTTGTTCTTGAATCCGAGATATTTATGATTGGCGTGAGATAAGTGAACAAGGTGTCACAACAGTGCGTAACCTTGAAAACATATAAAAAGAAAAAAAAAAAAAAAGAAAATGGTTTCTGTTTAATAATACAAAATGATGCTGTTTAGTAATAAAGTTTAACCATGCAAACCAAATGACCCATTGTTAAAAAAAAAGAAAGCGAAAATATCAGCTCAAAAGTGCGTAAAATCGTTATCAAAGCTACTAAAAAGCTTAATTAAAGGAGTTTTGAATTCAAATCGTAATAGAAAAAATTCTCTTTGTTTTTTTCATTATTATTATTGTTTGAAAAAGACATGCCATTGTCCTTTAGGATTCCATTCTTTCAAAGAGCACCAGGCACTGTTTATTTCTGGGAACAAAATGAGTGGTCACGTAGACATGGATACCAATTTCCTATCGATGCCTACTTGATTACGCAATGGTTGAGCTTGATAGGACTGGACGTTGGGTTTTTCCTGTTCCTGATCTACTTTTTACCACAAGATGTGTCTTTTGAAAAGCCAACTGAGATTACGCCTGACAATCTCGATGACATCTGGACGCAGTTTAACAGACAACACAGAGATCCTCTTAGTTCCTGGGAGTGTAAAATATCCTTTTTTAAAAATGTATATAGTTGTTATATAGAAAAAAATAACAGTGACGTATTTGCCTTAACTCAAATAGTACATCATGACATTGCTTACTGTACTTGTCAAGATGCTTAGCATTACAACTTCAATGATAGATACAGAGGATCCAACAGTAAAAATCCAAAAAGATCAGGTGACTCGAAGTCGAACCTATGTCCGAAGATACGGGATTCCTGTCATAGATAGTTTTACTGGAGTCTGTAATATGTGTCGAATCAAAGTGTAAAGCTGACATATTAAATCAGTATTACTGACTTTTCAAACAGGCCAAAAAGTACGCGCCATTGTAAATTATGCAACAAATGTGTTGATGTTATGGATCATCATTGCAAATGGTTGAACTGTTGTATTGGAAAGAGTAATTACAGGTAAGGAAATTCTTATTTTGATAGACGTATTGACAGTAAAACGCAAAGACTATTTTTGGTACTTGTTGGAACTGCATTCATAGCATTGGGATGGTACTTGTATGTTGCATTTTATGTTTGCTGGTCCATCTTTTATGACCCAAGTGTATTTAAGCTGAATGGTAAGGAACTTTCTCATTATTATAGACACCTTAACCAACACTCCATTTTTAAGCAATTGCTCTATTAAGTTTTGGCTCAATGCATCCACAGTCAGATAATTTGGATCTAGAATATCACATCTGTGCGGCCATAGCTTTATTTATTACATTAATAGCGTTCATCTCATTTGTGTCTATCACACGACTTTTGATATTTCATATCAAGCTAGGTAATTAGTAAGACTGAAAAAAAAATGGCCTCACTTATATCCCTCATTATAGCTACACTAAACTTGACCACAATTGAGTATTTAACATTGCCTGCAACATACAAACAAATGATAGATTCTGATGACGACTATGAGGATGACAGTGACTATTATTATCAAACTGATGACTCGTATTCAAGTCAGAATGCGAAAAGACGGTTTAGAGCACATAAGAGTTGGGCTGTTTATCGCTTCTATCGCACATCTGTACACAAAATAAGGCGTATGTGGGTCCAAATCATGCGAATGATTATACCTAATTACAAATACCGCCGCTTGAATCAGGGACGCGTTACAGGTTACTGTTGTCCGAGCAGTAAAAGAAAAAGACCTCAAGTACTACCTTCGTCATATCAAAAACAACGCAATCGTGATGGCAGCCGTGACAATGTGAACATGGAAGAGTTTTTTGCCACAAGGACAATTCGACCTCAGGATAACCAAGAACCTGATTATGATGATGACATGGATTTGGATTTGACAATCTTGCAAGACCAAAAACCGAAAAAGATGAGCAGCAAAGCAGCCAAATTACTTGACATTTCAGAGGAAGATGTAAGATTACATATGTCTGAGCAACAACCAAAAGGGGAAAATCATGCATAGCAAGCAAGAAGGCTTTATGAAGAAGACACATTGTACTACCTAAATCAAAGAATTTTTATACCCGTAATCATCTCACGTGTGTTGAATCATATTAAAAGTTTACAAGCTTAAAGAATTGGTCTAAATGACAACTTAAATAGCTCATAAATTTCTATCAAAATAATAATATTCAAATCAACTGTTTCGAGCTTTTATGGAAAACTTTGTTTACTATAAATGTATTATCATTATTGTTTTTTGTTTTTTTTTCTTCTTCTTTTTTTTTTCTTCTTTCTTTTTACTTTTTTTATCTTTCCACAAGAAAAAAGGGCGTAAATATGTACAAACTATCTGTTAAAATGGGTCAAGACTCTTTTGCATTGCATAGACATAATCCCAATTCCGATTTGTTTGGCATCATACAAATTCATTCCGGAACTGTGTGTTTCAAACCTCCAACATGGACTCAAATACGACTTGTAGGTAAAGAAAAGATAGGTGATAATGTAAAAGTAATTGTGGATGATACCTATCAACTCTCAAGTCGCCCAAATGATTGGCAGTATAAAGAAGACGCTTTCTGTCAACTTGACTTTAGTCTTTCGGTTCCGAGTACTATACCTAGTTCGTTTCATGATGAAAACTCTGATATGAGTAGAGGCATCTACTATACAATTCAGGTCAAAACGTCCTTGTGTGAACAAATTTTGGCTCAACCTGTACATTTTCATCAGTCCACTAATGCTTTGTTACCTAAACGAGTCTTTTGGGGGATTGCGAAAATGGCCAACCATCATCATAAATGGCAATACGAGCTGGAGTTTCCAAACACATTTGATCTCGTCAGTTGTAAGACTGGAACTGTCTACGTTCGATTGAGATCCATGTTTCGCCAGCATTCCAATGATTGCTGCTTAATAGGATGCCAAATTGTACAGCTGGTTCACATGCAAGGGTAAAGGATGAAACTCTTTTATATTCATGTGGTTACCTAACAAACAAACACGATTTAGTTATGAGAGTGCAAGTCAAGTGCTTACAACTGTAACGACATTATTACGATCACCGAGTAAAACGTGGATTCAACCAAGTCAATTGGAATTTGACCTGAATCAGCCTATTTTACCTACAGTTGACAGCTTGAGGCTTAGCGTAGAGCATTATATTAAATTCACGTTTGCATTCTGCAATGCAGCAGGCGAATCAGACTTAAACTTAAGTCTTGAGTTTCCTATGAACTTTATTGGTTACACGGAACTAGTGGGCGATTCTAGTATGATCCAAGTACAACAGAGATCCAACTCAATAGCATCATCATTATCTTTGTCGTCGCTGAATTCAGAAGAAGTTGCTAGCCAGGATAGTGCTATTGATACATTAATATCTCCATGTAGTAAACCAGATTGTTATCCTCAGCTAATAACTTTGTACAAATAAACGCATTTGATTATCACCATTGTTTGTTTATATATGGCTGTACTTCTTCTTATAGGGTCAATGTAGCACTGCGCTAAAGTCTTTAAGCAAGTCTTTGATATTGTCAAAAAACCTTTGAAAAAGGGGTTCTTTTTTCTTGAACAAAACAATCCCTCGGTATATCATAGCATTCAACATAGTTTAGATAGCCATGTGCTGTATAATGTTATTGAGTCATACAAAAGGCTAGAACATGAACTTTTTTTTTGATTTCTATATACACATGTTTTTGCAGAGCCATGGCCTGTCGTGAACTTTCTTTTTTCTGGTTTTGATGCATTATCAAATAAGAAAGGTTGCTGTATGACAGGTCAGTATAAAATAAAATGTATGCCAAATTTCAAAGTGGACTAAAGCACCACTTTTTTTATTGTTGTTTAATTGTAGTCAATGACTTTGTATGGATTGCCTGTCTTTTCAAGAAGCAAGCTCCAATAAGGCTCTAATTGATATGCGTAGTTAAAGTCTCCTCCGTAGTCAGTTTCTAATTGGTCAGGCTCAATATAGTCCGTCAAGTGTACCCATTCGTTGCTAATGTCATTCTTTTTGTCTTTCTCGTCCTTTCCTTCGTAAACAAACTTGATCTTGTTTTTAGTGACAGGGTCCATAAATGGAGAGATGATTTTGAATGTGGCAACAAAGAACCAAGGTGCTATCATATAAAAAAAGTCAATTCACATCTTCCTGTTATGGTGCACTTACATTTGACAACAAAAGCAATACCCAATCGTTCAGGGTAATGATTACCTAATATTTCCAAAAATTTCTTACAAGTAGCTATACTGGGGTTATGGGAAGAAGAAGCGTCTTTAAAGTCAACAATGATAGCTAGATTTTCGACTTGTTCAGGCATCAAACGAATACCGCGTTCTAAACTATATACAATGTGCTTGATTTGACGTTCACCGTCCTTGGAGTTTTGGAGTCTAGGTCTCATAATCCAAACAGGACGACCACACTTATCAAAACCGTTATAGTACATTTTGCCTGTTTCAGCCTATTTCGTCCGCCCGAAGATTAGATTACCCGAAAAAAAAGTGCCCATGAAATTTAAATGTGAAACCCTTACCTCTGGCTTGATGTATTCAGGATCAAGTTCATCAGGACGATAATCACGTCTCCAACGCACAGTGTTTTCCAACATTGTCTTTGCTTGCTATCATGTATCGATAAGCCAATGCTTGGGTACATCAATTTCTTTATCTGTCTTACCTCGTAATCCCATTTTCTTGCACGCATGTATCTTTTAACAGTGCTATCGGTAACGAAGCCTCTTTCACTGGGATAATACTTATCGGTTTCAGGAAGCATAATGGACTCAATGTAGGCCTTCAATTTGGCAGCCTTTTCTTTTTGCTCGTTCGTCAAGGGAGGATGTACCACAGGTGTAAACTTGTTGGTTGGTGTTAATTTAGGTTCATGTGAGACAGGTCCTTCTGCAAGGTTTGTATTGACGACAGATGGTTTCTCACTAGCATTTGAATTGGATTTAAGTCTATTGAATACGTTCATTTTAATCTAAAGTGCTAAAAAGAAAGGGAAAGAAATAGGGAAAAAGAAACGGACGTAAACTAATAAGAAAAAAGCTCGGCACCTGTGACGATCGTTCCGAAGAAGATATTCTACCACTAGAACCATATTTGTCAGACAATGACAAAATCGAGACAGTGCGTCGGTGTTGGATTGGCTGAGTTGCGCTTAATAACAAATTGGAAAGCGCCGGAACTACTAAATTACCCGCTTTTTTTTTTCTCATTTTTCTGCATATGTCAACAAATAAGATAGCTCTAAAAACCCCTTTCTACAGTCATTATGTTGTATTGTCGTGCAACAAACATGAGCAAAGTATGATTTACCTCACAATGAGAACTCTTTTCTCTCTTTTTTTTTAAAAAAAGACGGCCCGTGAGGCTACACAACTGAACTTCAATATAAACGTTACTCGTGTTCATTAAATATGGTTTTTATTGATAACAATAGTAACAAAATGGCACGTTTAGCCATATCTGTTTTGACAGGGCCAAAACTGTCTCTTTTTTACCTATCGTCATATTCAATCAAAAAGGGTATGGAGGTATCCCATTGCGTTTAGCCGCCGCATAAAAGAAGTTTGACAAGAAAGTATAGAAATAATCTTTTGAAGAAGCAAGTTCATGTCTTTCATTGATAGTAATACAGGTACAGCTCAATGAGAGTCATTAAACGACGCCATCTCATTAGCAAAAGTTTTCACCAGTCGTAAGGCCAAAAAAAGTAGCCGTTACTTTCAATTGACCGTCAATTGTCTCAGTATATAAAGGGCTGAGAACGGTCATCTAGCATTGAAGAACGGAATGAGCAGCAAAATGCGTTTGATCATATTGACAACTATTGCATATCGTTGCAAAAAAAAAAAAAAAAAAAAAAAAAAAAAAAATCTTGACGTTCTGAAACGAAAAGAGCAATAAAAACAAGACGTCTTGATGAAAGGCAACAAGTGACTAGATCATAAAAAAATAATGTCTCAAGGGCTGCACCTGTTGCTTTTCATTTTGGCTGTTAGAAGGCTGATTTTGGAGACTTGTTAGAAGAGGTATTAGGACTAACAGAATTTAACTGTTACTGTTATGTTAAGACAAACTTTCTTCTGCCTTGTGTACTCACTATGTTTTTAATATGAGGTGAGCCTCTTAAACTTAATAGCATTAACAAGCGCTGGTACTTGGAAGAGGCTGATATCTCTAAAGCAAAATATTTTCGCCTTACTCCACAGTTGGTGAATGATAGAGCTACATCTAACGAAGTAACTCGCACAACAAGATAGATAACCAAGCTCGAAATACAATTTTGTAATAGTGGAAATTATCTCTAAAAGATCAATCATCCTCAAGATCTTGTAAAAAATGCTATTTAAGATTTCAAGAAATACAGTAGTCAAAAATATCATGCAGTTGAAGTAGCTGATGAACTTATTAGAATGCCTGAAAGCAGGCTTATCAGCAAAATTGGACATCCTGCAAAAGAGCTTTGTCCCAGTCTCTGGAAGAGAAGAAAGAAGCAGAAAAAACAAGAGATGATCAGATGTAATGCAAAGTAACAGCTGGAAAGGTAAAAATGTAAGAGATTATCAATACATTCATTACTAACCATTTTGCATTGCTATAGTTTATTTATGAACTTGGAATGAAGGAGGATAGTATCCCTTTGGAAAGCAATGAAGCACAAAAAGAGCATCAAATTTCACCTGAGTGCATAAACCTGTTTGGTTAAACAGGATCACTTGTTTAACGAAGTCAGAAAATTCGATTTGAATTCTGGTTTTGCGCTAACAACAAAACAGACGAGAACAGGAATTTCTCTAATTAACGAACCAAATTTTTTGGCTCACCAAACGAGTTGAATATCGTTTGGCCAAGCCGATCTTTCCTTTGGTTGATCAGGATATGTATGGTTATGAACCTAGTTTATCGCTTAATTTATGCAGTTCTTTCTGGTTACTCAATTCAATATCTATTATGGACACAAGTTTACTTTACTTGAGAGATGCTAGACTCTTGACTGATACACTGATTCTTGTACAGAAGACTGCCGTTCTCAAATCTAGTTCAGTATTGGAGTGACTGACGCTTGAGGAGAAAACAGGAAGAGTCTAATAAAAGAGCAAAGTGGCTATGCCTGAGATAGCAATGGCTAAAACAGAAACTTTATCTCTTCCACTTATATTACAACCATTTTTGACTGAGGGGCATTCAGGATTATAACAAAATAAAGGTAACTTTTATGTCTCTTTGTCTTGTTTTTCCCCGACTTCTGACTAATTGCTTATCATGTTAAAGTTTCTAGAAACAGTAGACACGGATCTGAGATGTATTGTTTCCATTGGTATTGCAGACTGTTGTATAACGAGCATGAATGTCTTGCTTTCAAGTACCACTATATCGCAAGTGTCCTTTGATTCTTGAACCAACGCCTATACCCCGACCAGCAATCATTATTATCAACTGTTTAGAGGTGTCTTGATTTCCTGACCTTTTCTTGCCTTTCAAATTACTGTCGTCTTTTTCTACCTTTGAATTTAGTCATGTACGCTCCTTCGAGCAAATACGACCCCTAGCATTTTTTGTGTACATTTCCCTTCTCATATACCATAGCTTCATTCTTAGATTGTCATAGAAGCCTCTCAACACTAAAGTTAGCACGATTTAGCTGTTTGAAAAAGAGAGAAAAAGGTATAGGCGAAGTATTCTCTTTTTTTTTCCTTTCTTTAATTCATACGCATATATTAGATGACAGCTTTTTCTTGTATAATAAACAATAATGATATGCATTCAATTGATAAAATATTTTTCTTTTTCTTTTCTTGCTGAGATGCTAACAGACACTACCCTTTCAAGATTACTTTTCCAAATAGATATTAGAGTAGACAAAGTGATCCTTTTTTTTTATTTGTAATTCGAGAATGCGGCTAATCTGATGCAATAACCTCTGCTATGCGAGACAATTGATTATCACTCTCAGATACAGCATCTCTGATTTTTGATGCTGTGTTTTCTTGATGAATAGCGTTCATGCCTTCACGAGATGTAGAAGGTAAGCGTTCGTTTTCAATATCTGAACGTCTCGCTTCTTCAAATGTAGTAATAGCTATTGATTTTGTCAATATATGTAAAGGAAATGTATAGCTCTACCTTTGCGAAGGCCTTCAGAGCCTAGCCCTAAAGTCCCTGTAGGCATTCTATTTGAATGGGACAAGTTTTTAAGTTCTGTCACAAGCTCTGAATTTTCTCGAAGAACAGAAAATGTACGAGACATCTTCCCAATCGCCATTACTTTGTTCTTGATAATTTGGCGTCTTTGCTCTGTATCTGGAGCTTGTGCTGATGGTTCTTCTTCTTGAGAACAAATATTCAAAATAGCCAAAAGCATAGATGTAGCTATAATGGTTTAATACAGAATGAAAGCAAACAACTTGCTTACTCTTTTCGCCCACAAATGGCAAAGACCATGAAAATACGTCCATAAAGTTTGGAAGCCAGTAAGGATGTGGGCTAGCATGAAATTGGCTAATGTTCAGTACGCTACCATCATATTTGAGAACAGCTGCTTTGTTGTTATAGACATCGCAATAATTAGGAGCAGAAAAGATGATAATCAATGCTGGAAACCCTGTCGTCTTATTCTTACGATACATTCGATATCTATAAACAGTCCTTAATCACAATTTTTTGACTTTGGGATATTTATATTACCCATCTGCTTGTGCTTCATGTGCTCGAACAACAGACAATAGGTTGTTTCTGTCTAGAAATTCGCAAGTTGCACGATAGCTAACATATGTGTTAAGCTGCTTATTTAATAGAGGAACTCTTGTCTTTACCTGAAAAAGTAAGAACATCCACGAACATGATTGTATTCAAAATTTGGGTTATTATCGTTATCAAACTGCTCATGCGGATCAGCCCATAAAAGCGAGTTCATAATACCACTTGTTGGTATCTCCCTAAAGCGATCAATCTAATAGATATCAGCAAAAGATTGTTCAACTCGCACCAGTTTACTTTTTCGACATCCTCCATAGTCTTTAAATCAGGGGAAAGACCACCATGGACGCAGAAAAATTGGTTATTAACAACAGCCGCTAATGGCAAGCTATCGAAGCAGTCCATAGCAGCATCGTAGACTCGTTCCGAGTATTTTGATTGGCCTATAAAATAAATCAATAATTCATTTTCTTTCTCATGCAATTCTTACATTCTAATTTGAATGTAAAGTACTCTGTCAAATGCCGACATTCATGATTTCCTCGTAACAAAAAGAATGAGTTTGGGTACCACAATTTATAAGTACACATCAAGAGCGAGCACTACAATTATCTTAGCTATATTTAGGTTGCTACGTTATTATTACCTCAATTGAAAAATATCCTCTATCCACATAATCACCTAGAAAGAGATAGGTTGTGTTTTCGGGATCTCCACCCACATTGAACAATTTCAATAAGTCGTAGTATTGTCCATGAATATCGCCACAGATAGTAATTGGGGCAGGTATCCGAAGTAAAGTGGGTTCCTTCCTGAATATCTCTTTTGTATTTTTAAATATACGTATCGCTTGCTCCTCTGTAAGTCTCCCTTCTCTTCGAAAATGTTCTTTTAAGAAAGAAATGTTTGGTTTGTCGTTTGAGAATAATTCTTCATCTGCTGGTTTATTGAAAGCAGGTGGTTCAACCTCTTTGCATGAACGTTTAAATTTTAATGTCTGGCCTGTGTAATCTTCTAATTACCTTTACAAATACGCTCCTTTGTGTTGAAATTTTATTTTCTTGTGTTGTATTCAAAGAGACTTTTGGTAAGACTTTTTCTTCTTGTGCAGTGGGCATGTTGAGCAAGTAGAGAAAAATGTAAAAAAAACAATTCATTTGAAACCCGAGCAGATATATTCCTTTAATTTTAAATTTGACACAATCATTACATAATGGCCATTAAAACTTGCTAGGTATAATGTGAATTAAAAATTCAGTGTATGAATACTCTCTCTCTTTTCCTTTTAGCAAAGTTACAAAAAGCACTTGAACTTGAAAATTTTACGATAAATGGATGTTTATTAAATTATTATTCTAAATAGTAGTAATGATAGTGAATAAGATTAGGAAACGTCTTTCTATATACAGTGTACAAAAGACGTAGAGAAGGGCAACACTAGTAAAATAGTATTAAATGTACAAAACAAGTAGATATAAATATTTGACAGTTTCCTAATAAGTAATGGTTTTCTAATGCTTGATATTATCCTCTTCACTCAATGAAGGGACTACTTCGGTGGCTGGGTTTTCAGGATCTTGTACCTTATCACCGTGTAATTCTTTTGCTTCTTGTTCTGCCTTTTCAGCAGTAAATGTACCCATGACAGGAACAGGAGCAGGGAACATGTGGTAGATGACAATACCAACAATGACTACAACATAAGCAAAAGGATAAAGAACAGTAACTTTGTAACCAAAGAGACCCAAACCAAAGATCAAACCATAAAAGTCACTAGTCAAAAGAGAGATGTTATAAACGACAGCACTGCCCATACGGAAAATGACAGGAGCCAAGGAATACAAAACAAGCATACAGATAGTATATGTCACAATCATGCCAGCAATTTCTGGGTTTGCGAATTGAGACCATTGATCGCGTTCGAAGATAAAGATTTGCACAAGGTTGATAAAAGTAGCAAAAAAAGTAAACATACCAATGACTTCGTACAATGGGTGTTTACGTGCCATGTATTCTTCACCAACATTAGAGAAACCATAGAGTGTGGCACCCAAGAGACAGAACAGATCACCCTTGACAGCATCAACAGCACCATAGTTCTTATCAGTAAGCACATCACTGCCAACTAACATACCAAGACCACAAAGACAAATAAAGACACCAACGTATTGAACCCATCTAAATCTGACCTTAAGGAAGATAAAGGACAAAATCATACAGACAGGAGTACTCCAACAATCAATCAATTCAGCAGACAGCAAAGAAGTATATTGGAATGATTTGTTCACAAAATAATTGCCTTCCACATCAATGAAACCCAAGATAAAGTAAAAAATACCTCTTCTCCAGAACTGAAGTAGCCAACCTTTGATGCCTCTTTTGTAAATAGCATAAGAGTTATAAATGATGGCCAAACAAGCATAGACCAAGAAACTTTGTGTAGTGGAAGCAGCAAAATTGAATTCATTGGTCAGTTTGGTGTTAACCACATTAGTACCAGTGATACACAGGGACAAGACTATAAAACAATTATTAGAAAACCAAGTGCGCTTGAATTGGTTACTTACGTTGACCAAGGAACAAAATCTTCCAAAATTTTCGATCCTTAAGGAAACCAAAATATTGTTTCCAGCTCTTTTTTACATTTGATTGCTCAACAGAGGAGTCAACAATGACAGCGTTGTTTTGTTCACTCATGATTGCAAACGAGGGGGTTTTTTACAAAAAAAAAAAAGAGTAAAAGAAAAATGAGTTGATTTGAAAGAGAAAAAGATTAAATGAAAATTTTTACTGTTCCTTTTATATCAACACTTGTCCCGAGAAAATATTTTTCTAATTCGAGGCTATTCCTCAGGTGAAATCGAGCCTAAATCAGGCAATATTACACAAAAGAGTAGAAGCAAATGAAACGAAAAAGAAAAAGTTTTTTAAGTGGCCTGTCATCGATCTTTTAGGCTCCTACTTAACTCGAGAATAGAGTCTTGGATCTATAGAATAAAAGAGGCACTATCTAAAGAAAGCTTCATTCATATGATCTGGAACTCTCATATCTTGCTTGTTTTAAGTGATTCGATAAAAGGCAATGCTCTATCGACAAAATTTAGCTAGATCACAAGATTTCTCAGTTACACTATGTGTAACATGTTGCTCAGTCGAAGGGTCAAACAACAGCAACAAAGTTACACAGTTCTTGCTCAGTGCTGTTCTGACGAGAACGATTATAGCCTAAAAAATTTGACAATGAAATTAATGAGAGCAAGCAAGATTTATCTTTTTTCTTCATTTGTATAAAAAGTATCGATTGTTTTGATTTTTTACTGTTTTCAAGTCATGCCTTAAAAGATATTGAAATTTTGACAACAAGGATTATTGAGAACTGTCTAGCCGTTCCTTTGTAGCCTCTTTAGAAACTCATTTGGAATTCCATTAAGAGACTTGAAGAATGAAAAAAACAAATAGCTATTTTAATAAAGTCATCTGTTTCTACCTCTTTAGCCTTGATCAACTTAATTACAATTGGTCTTCAAACAGGCTTCAAGAATTTGGCCAATTGAGTTTAAAAATATGACCAATTGGATCACACGCCTAACCAATTTTTTTAATTGAGAATGGAAATGCTGTACGCAACCATGTTTACAACCTTAGCAAAACGTAGTGGTCTTCAAAAAGCGACAAACTATTCACTGATCGTATCGAGATCGTTTAGAACAACACAACCAACAAAAAAAATACAAGCTACTACACCTTTATTGCTATCAAAAAACAAGGCTCCTTTACTTACGTGTACGCACAAGATACAACGCCATTTTTCTATATGGAACCTACCTTTAAAGCTTATGACAGCTTCACCCTTACAGAGACGTTTGACGCTTATTGGCCTAGGAGGCTTGGGATTAGCCACTGCTGTTGTTTTAGGACCCTTCTTATTAGTAGGTCTCGGTAGTTTTGGTGCTTTAGTTGCTTTCCGTATATGGCGCTTTAAGCGACAGTTAAAACAACACACTGAACAGGATTGGCCTGACTATATTACAAACTATATACGACAGCAACCATTCACAAGCGGACTGTTCGGTCAGGATCAGCGCCATGTTCAATCAGAAGCTTTACGTCGTTTTAATACATGGGCACATACAGATCAAGGACATCATGACTTGATTGAAATGGGTATTCATCCTGACCATGTCTTACAAAACGTGTCTATGCGTGGATCCTCTTATAGTTCTTCTAGCTCCACTACTACAGGTCAAAACAGAACAGAAATCAAGATTGAATTGGATTTAAGGAATGCACCAGGCAGTGTATTGATTGCCAGAGCTGAATTAGATAAAGAATCTAATGAATTAATAATGAGAGATATTCGATTGGTCACAGCCTCAGGATGTGTCGTGTCTGTGCCCCTTTCGGCAGTACAACAGAATCGAACTAAAGGAAGGATTATAGAAGGAGAATTCCGTGATGTTCAATAAATTCTATGAGAAGTCCTCTTGTTTTATTTGTCAAATTTCAAGCATTTTCAGTAAAGACAATTCTTTACCCTTTTGTCAGAGATTAAAGTAGTGTGTGTGTGTGTGTGTGTGTAAAGCAAATTTATGCAACAAAGTAGTTATTTCGTCATAATGTGCTCACTGTATGAAGCAGGACCAAATGTTTACTCTGTTTCACAGTAGCGTCACAAGTAATTCTGTCGATCCTATATAAAAAGTAAACGGGCATAAGACATGATGATGCTTGGTTGAAACAGCACCAATGTTCATTGCTTGATACCCATGTTTGTCTCAAACTTTTCTTTAAAGACGCATAGTTTCTTTTTCTTTTTCTTTTTCTTTCATTTTACTTTTTAATAATGGATACAAAAACACCTTGGAACAATAACAATAATATTAATAAAGACGTTGAGAATGGGTAAGCCATTTATACAATGCATTGACATGATACTAATCACAATTCAGTCAATACCAAGATGTCGGACAACGATCTTCTTCTATAGATCAATCTATCCCTCAAGCAGAAACTCAACGCGAAGCTGTTGGGTATTATCCTAATGATTTTGAAAAATATCTTCTACATCCTCAACACGAATCACATCAAAAATCAGACATTTCAAACGAAGACATGATTTCTGGCAAACAACGCAAACTCAGTGCTTTTGATTTGTATGGGGTTAAATCTGGACCAAGAAAACCTAAGATTCCATATGTACCAGAAATGTATAAGAAATCCGTTTCAGGCGAAGACATTGTTTTCTTTGGTGATTCACTCACTACAGAGCCCCGTGGTACATCTCGTTCTTCATTGGATCAAAGAAGTCTTCGTCGCGGTTCTGTTCGAACACTTCCCTTTGCGGGCCATAACAAACGCAGATCAAGTGCCCATGATAGTGTGAGTGCGTTTTCACAAGATATTCCAGTACAAGACATTCAAGTCCAAGGCATTCAGGAACATGGAAGAAATGCTTCAGAACAACCTCGTTTAGATAAACCATCGGATGAGCTTGATTCAAAGCAAAATGAACCAGACACCACACGAAAAACAAGTTTGGCTAATATGGCTGCCGGTGTTGCTACAGGTGTTGCTGGTGTCGCTGCCGCTGCTTCAGGTGCTGCCGCTGCTCTCTTTGGTTCAAGCCAAAACAATGTTAAAAATCAAACAGCCAAACCAACGGCTCACGAGAAATATGCTATGCCTAGTGCTTGGCCTGAAACACCTCAAAAGGAGTTAGCTCAATCTGGCATGCAAGACGACTCGAATGATTTAAAAGAAGAACCTGCAATTCATGGTCAAGAACCTTCTTATTCTGAAAAAGATAATTTTTGCAACGAGCGAACTCAAGACAAGGACCATCCTTTCTGTAGCCACGTCAAGGAACCTGAAATTTGTGGTCAAGCGCCTACATTCTATTGCGGTAATGAATGTAAGGATTTAGATGGTCATTCTGAACATGATGCTATTCAAAACAAGCGTATTACTGGTCAAGACAATATTGCTTCCACACACACTGCTTCTGATCAAATTGCTGTTGACCAACAAGACACTGCTAATGCTGCTGGTACTTCAGCTATTGCTGACATGGGCATTGGCGCTGGTGCTGGTGCTGGTGTTGGTGCTGGTGTTGGTGCTGGTGTTGGCGCTGGTATTGGCGCTGGTATTGGCGCTGGTATTGGCGCTGGTATTGGCGCTGGTATTGGCGCTGGTATTGGCGCTGGTATTGGCGCTGGTATTGGCGCTGGTATTGGCGCTGGTACTAATGTTGGTGATGAAGGTGCTACTGCTGCTTGGAAAGAGTACAGTGAACGTCATACAAACAATGAAGTATCTGATGAACTCTCTACTCATTCAAAAATTGACTCAGAAGAAGACATTAAAAATCCTATTGATAATGTTCATATCACAGGAAATGACTTGAGTAACCCTAAGAGCAAGTATGTCAACCGTGACCCTACAAGCGCAAATACCTCTACCACAATTGGTGGTCTTGGTGACTCCTCTGGTATTGACTCAAAAGCCATTACCAACAATGACGTTACTGTACCTGCAAGTACTTCTTATGCCGATGATAAAATGACAGGCAATACTGACAATGGTTTTACTGCTACTACTGCTGGAGCTGGTGTAGCAGCTGGCACAGGTCTTGGTGCTGGTATTGGTGCTCTTACAGCCAACAAAAAAAGCGCTGACACTCATACTTCTGAAATGAACAACAACGATTTCTCAAATGATCGTGAAGTTCTTAGCTCTCAATCTCCTAATGACAAGTCCTTTGACTCTACTGAGATGCAAGGCAGTGGTTTGTTTTCAAGCGAAACTTTTGGCGATACAACTGCAGGTCTCATTCCTGGTACTACTGACAGTATCGTAGCTACTGATGATATTACAAACGACTCAACTCGTATGAATCTTGGAACTACTAATAGTATCTCAAATGATGACGGTTATACTACGGGGGATGCTCTCAAAGCAAGTGATGATCTTGCTCAAAATTCTGTTATGGGTAGCACTCCTGGGGCCACAGATGGTTTTACTCATGACAAAATGGATGGCATGAATGATGGCTTGTCTCCTAAATCAACAAATGCAAGTAAGAATATTGATTCCAATACTAGTGGTATTGCCGCTGGTGGCCTTGCTGCTGGAGGTCTTGCAGCCGGCGGTTTTGCAGCCAGCAGACTTGCATCTGGTAATCGCGATACGACTAGATATTCACCTGAAGTAAGCGAAAATACTGTTGGTACTCCTAATGACACTATGGGGTCTCCAAGCGGATTCAAGCCTCATGCTGGAGACAATGCTGTCAGTACACCTAATGATATGGACAGCAGTGTACTTGGTACTCGTAGCACAGGTGACAATATTGATCCTATCCTTACTTCCAACAATCTTGATGTAGCTCCTATTTCCAACAACAACAATCTTACTGACAATGCTGCCCCCCGCACCAATAATGACATGGTTACTCCTAACGAAAACTTAACTGCTGCTTCTCATGCAAGTGCCACTTCTACAGATCCAAAGAGAAGAAGTAGTCCGGAACATAGCCAAAAAGATTTATCTACGGGGCTTGATGGTGCTGGTGCTGGTGCCGCCACAGGTTTTGGCAATGCTTATCATCGCCAACAACAATCCGACCGTCGTACACCCGATATTCAAATCAACCAAGACCTTGATCCCAAAACTATCAAGCAGACAAACTATTCTCTTGAACGTGAGCACGCTAACAACTTGGATGATGTCTATCGTACCAATGCTCGTAACATGGATCAAAATGTGGTTAATGCTCAACACCCAGAAGTAACAACTGATTCTAACAATATCAACAATGTGTATCGTACAAGTGCTCAAGGTGAACAACAGAACATGCCGACACCCGACAATGAAGCTATCACCACGGCCACAAACCCTAACGATATCAACCAAGTCTATCAAACTACGGCTCAAAATGTGAATTCAAATGAATCTATCAATCGACAATCGAACAATATTGAAAATGTCTATCGCACCACACCTACCAGTGCTACACCTCAAGGAAACCGCACACCTGCTGGATCAAACACACCTATGAACCTTAGTCGTGACCAAATGAACCATCACTTGGACGGTACAAGCCATGAACCTCATGCCCAGGAACATAGAAAAGGCAGTGGTTCTCCTGTAGATAAGCGTCGTATCAGCAGAAAGGAGAAGGGCGTTCTTGGCTCTGCAGTTGCTTCTACGGTTGGTGGTATCTTTGGTTTTGGCAAGTCTCGCAGAAAGAGTGCTCCTGATCATACAACAACGGATCGTGCTGCAACAAGTGGTCCTGTCCTTAATAAATCGGGTGAACATCCTGCAGGTTTTCGAAACATGGATAAGACTGATTCTTCTCGCCTTGGTACCAACACGTTGGCTAATAATGGCAACCTGTTGAACAAACCTAACCAAGAGGGTCGCGCACCTACTGAAGCCACAGCAAATTCCACAGAGAGTTTGAGCAGTATGCGTGCCATCGCAGGTGATAATGGTCCTCCCCGTTCAGCAGAGGTCAAGGACAGTACGCAGGGTGGTAATTTCCACAACGTCACTGACTCTACGGATGCTTCTTACCGTGACCATCATTATCACAAAAAAGGCGATGTACACAAGCGCAACAGCCTTACGCAAGGAATCAGGGATAAGGCAGCTCATGTATTTAGACGTAAGAGTCATTCTTATGATGAACCCGCCAAAGAACGTCGATTGTCAGATGCTGAAGCTTTCAAGAAACAAACCTTACAACACGATACTTCTTTAGGCGCAACGCATGCTAGTCCTACTTCGATGGGTGCTGGCCCTACTTCGATGGGTGCTGGTCCTACCTCTACGGGTGCTGGTCCTACTTCTACGGGTGCTGATCCTACCTCTACGGGTGCTGGTAATTTGGATAACCATCAACAATTTGCTCGCATGCCTAACATGAAGAAATTGAAACCTACTGGTGCTGGCGATATGGATGGTTCTGCTCAAGATAATTCTATCAAAAACACAGATGAACAGCCAGGTTTTTCTTCGTCTTCTCCTCCTGCTCAGCAAGCGAATTCTCCTACAAAAGGAAGTTATCGTAGTGGACAAATGGAACGTAGAAGGGGGTCCATTCAAGTAAGTTAGTTTAGTATGCATGAACTCCAATAGGTTGACTTGTTTTAATAGAAAACAATTGGTAAGATCTTCCATAGCGAAGTCATGCAAGATAAAGGTACTTTAGCTGAAATATCTGGTCAAGCCAAAATCAATGCTTACAATGCTATTCATCCTTCTACCTAATAATAATAATAAAAAAAGAATCTTTTCAATGCCAACTTTTAAACTCAGAGATAAATATTTTTCTATTCTTTTTTTTACCTGTTAGACATCATGTCAAACATCTATGCACTTGAACCTCAAACAAAGTAAGATACTTGACTACTAAGAAAATATAAATTCATGACTTTGATAGTGCCAAAGTTATTTTACATACAACTTCAGGCGATATAGAAATTGAACTTTGGGGTAAAGAAGCACCCAAAGCAACACGTAACTTTATCCAACTCTGTTTGGAAGGTTATTACGATGGCACCATTTTTCATCGTATTGTTCCCAACTTTATTGTTCAAGGTGGTGATCCTACAGGCACAGGACAAGGTAAAATAGTAGATATCGTCTAGCACGATTCACCACTCATGTCATGATATAGGTGGTGAATCTATTTATGAAGACGAAGGATTTCCTGATGAATTTCATTCAAGACTTCGATTCAATCGACGTGGTCTTGTAGGCTTGGCTAATACAGGTCAAAACGACAATGGATCTCAGTTCTTTATCACACTCGATCGAGCCGATGAATTGACACGTAAACACACTCTTTTTGGTCGTGTAGCAGGCGAAACCTTGTTTAATGTGATGAAAATGACTGAATTGGAATTGGATGAGAATGAGAGACCATTGTATCCACCTCGTATTCGATCTGCTGAAGTTGTTTTGAATCCATTTGATGATATTTTGCCTCGTATCACAGCAGAAGAGAAGCGTGTGGCTAAAATGATGGAAAAGAAGAAATTAGAAGCAGAACAAGCAAAGAAGAAGAAGAAAGGATTGAAAAAGTAAGTCAATGAACTATTAGGTGAATTTACAATTCTTGTAGACAATTGAATTTGTTGTCGTTTGGTGAAGAAGCAGCTGAATTGGAACCACCTTCAACAGAAAAGACAAAGATGAAAAGTACGTATGATTTCATGGAGAATGCAGCACCTCCGCCTAGTGATTTAATGCAAGAATTAAGCCAGCCTATCATTGAACCACCTAAAAAAGAAGAAAATAAACAAAGAATGGAAGATAAACTAAAGGAAAAAGTAAAGCAAATGGAAGAAAAGAGAAAAAAAGAAAAAAAGAAGCAACAAGAAGAAAAGAAACTTGAACCTGTTGTACAGGAATCCACAGAAGATGCAATTGAGAAACTAAAGAGAGATATTCGCAGTATTTCTAAGCCTGTAGAAGAAGCACCTCCAGTGATCCTCAAAGAAAAGAAGAAGTCATTGGTTGCCTTAGAAAGGGAAAAATATGCTTCACAACAACCCAAGAAAAAGAAGACAAAATCCAATAAAATAGATGATAGTGATGTAAGTGTTTTTCTTTTATGGTCTATTGCTTACACTTCTGTATAGGTACTGGATAGATTGATGGCTTTTACGAAAAAGTTATCAGATGTTGGACCTGCTTCTGAAGCACCTAAAAAAGAACAAAAGATATGTAAATTACACGATATTCCTAACTGTGAATCTTGCTTTGATCCTTCTGTATTCAATGATGAAAACGAAACTGACGAAGGATGGATTTCACATCGTCTTGTTTTTGATAAAGACCTGAAGGGCAAAGATTTAATGCAACGTAAAGAAACAGTAGATGATTATGTAGTCATTGATCCCCGAGACAGAGAAGCACAGGCTAAACAGGAAGAATATGAAAGAAAGCGGTCTATCAAGTCTAGAAAAAGAGACCGAGAAGAGAGAAGAAAATAAAATGCAATTTTTTGTTTATTCAGTCTGTCTTGTCTTTTCCTTTATCTGATTTTATCTTTTTAGAATCTTTATCTTGATCATCCTTATCTTCCAATTGTCGTTTCAAAGGTGATTCAGTAGAACAAGATGCGTTATCTAATGAACTACTGGGCTGACTTCGATTAGGTTGTGGGTTGACTGTTCTGACAGTTGTGGGTGTATTTGTTCGAATAGCTTCTGTATTGCCTCGAGAGAAATTATAGGTAGGCATTCTACCCAAAGAAGGGGAAGTGGTAGGAGATCGTGTGGTAGTTGTAGTTGTAGTGGTAGTTGTACGTCTTTGATTAGAATCAATATCTGCACTTGCCAAGACAGATCCAAGGAAATGATTAATCAGACTCATACCTTGTACAATACGAGACATGTTTAATACACGTCTACTTGTGTTTCTCTAATAAAGATATAAATATAAGTCTCTCTCTCTTTTTTTTTTGTACCTCTTGCTCAGTTGTTTGGTTTTCTTGCCTTAAACTTTGAGCTACTTGTCTCATCCGTGGTGCTGCTTCGGTCATTAAATCAGCCAATTCATTCAATACCATGCCAATCTGTGCTGATTGACTATTGCCACTGTTTCTTAAACGATTGCGGATTTCTTGTAATTGTTCAGGTGTTGAATTGGGTGCTGAGAATTGACTAGCATCTATGAAGTTGAGTGTGTAAGCAATTTGAATCCATAAGCCTTACTCATTTACCATCATTGGTTGCTGAATCCTCTAACATGATTCTAACGTTACGCATGGATCCCAGTGTTCTGGCCAATCTTACTTCTACACTAGGCTATATGATTGGTTAAATAAGCCATATAAATAAGTATCTATCTTACTGGGAAGGGAAGGCCTGAAGCAACTCGTTCAGCTAATGGTGTGGATGATAAAGAGGACATAAAATCAGATTGGTTTCCTCTTCCAAAACTAAACGTAAAAGGAGATGTTCTAGGCAGTTGAGTTCGAGTTGTCTAAGTCTGTCATTAGTCATACCATACTATGTTTGCATGCTTACATTGTTGGAAGGTGTCTCTGTAGCACTGCTGTTGTTATTTCTGCTGCTAGTTCTTGCTGTGCCATTGGTCATGCCATTCAAAACAGAAGATAAAAACTAATTGGGTTGAATAACCATTGCTGTATGTTTAGTGACTTACTGATTGACTATCACCCATGTCTCCTATATTTGAATCCAATGTGATAAAAGCATACCCTTCCATCATGGGGAATCGGCTTGATATGGATGGAAATGCACGTAATCTTCCAGGCCCTCTGCTTTCTGTTCTATGCAGATGAGGCCTTGCATTGGGTTCATCTAGAATGAGCGTTAGTATTCCATTAGACAAATACGTGTACTAGCTAACCATTAAGTGGATTATGAGGTGCATCAAGTGGTCGAACAACAAGATGGATGACTTTGCCATTATCGAGATTAGCTATCGAATGGATATTAGTAAGCTATTCGTCATGACGTCCGTTACCATAATCTGTCAAGTGTTTATCGTCTTTTAATACTCTTCCTTGAAAGATAAGACGCTGTCTGTCAGAATCAACATCAAAAGCAAGCTTGATTTCTTGTTTTAAATCCAATACAGATGCTGTACGAGGAAGTGTGACAGAGGTTGTTCTTTGTTCCAAAGATTTGATTTGTAAAGCAATGTTGTCCATCGTATTTGGCGCAGATGCATTAGGAAGAGTGTTTGTTGTATTGTCTGCCATTGAGTTCAATGCGTAGATGAAAAAAAAAAAAATACACTAGTTTTTTTCGAAGCTAAAATACACACTCAACTTCAAAAAAAAAAAGATCCTATCACACGGGGACCTAAAAATTGGCACAAAAAAAAAGCAATGATACCTGTAAAAAGAACAAAAACTCTATTCAAACCAACCCTATTTTCTCTATAAAAAAAAAAGATGTTATTCCTTAAAAAAAAAAAAAAAAAAAGGATTTTTACAAGGTGTATTTGACTAACGAAAGACTATTCTAAGCAAGTTGTATTGTAAAGTCAGGATAAAATCGTTTGTGAAACCTTTCCTTTTAACTGTAAAAACATGAATAATGCTGAACAAAAAAAAAAAGATAACAAATGAAAATTTTTCTTTTTTCCTTTTCTTTTTCTTTTTTTTCTTTCAATGTTATCATAATGCCAGTTGTTGTTCCTTTTTTTACAGGAGCAAAGCAGCTCACCATTGATCTTGCTGAGCCTGTGGTCATTCTGAGAGGAACTGCAAAGGATAAGACAACACAAGTCCTGGAAGGGGAAGTGAGTATTGTTCTTACTAGACCCATGTTAGCCACTCAAGTGGTAGTTCAATTTATTGGTAAAACAAATCGACTGTGGCCTCAAGGTAAAAATAAATAAATAAATAAAAATAATGAAATCTTATATATATATAACAATAGGATTAGCAGGAGGAAGAGTGACCAATTCATTTCATGAAAAGACACTTCATGAACAAAAGATTATTTTGCAATCATTTCCCAATAATCCTAAACAAGAAGGCACATTGCTGCCTGGCACACATCGATGGCCATTTCAATTCTTGTTGTCCAGTCAATTAGTCGAGACAATTGAAGATCAAATGGGACAAGTATTTTACTATGTTACAGCCACTGTCCATCGTGTGGGTGTAGGAGCCACTAAACTTCGCTCTCGGTGTGATATACTCTTACTTCGTACACCTCATGGATCAGACACTGCAGATAATTCGCTCCCGACTACTTCTGTTACTTCAGAACGCAAGATGGATATTTGTGACACCAACATCTGCATTGAAAAATCAAGTGTTGCAGGTGGAACCCAGTTACCAATCTCACTCACTATTTCACCCAATACAAAACATGTCTATATTGAATCCATGACAGTTATTCTTCATGAAAAGAAGATCTACAGACTACCTGAAACACAAGCACGTCGTTCAGAAGTTTATGATTATAAAGTTGCCTTGTACTCGGTCCATAGTGCTGCCGATCCTGATCTGAGGTCAAGCGGGCCATCATTAAAACCTCAAGATATCAAGCGAGCCTTTAATATTAAAAATGCTCACATCTCTTTAAACGAAGGCCCCTTTCAGTATCGATTGATTTTCTCACTTCCAGATTGTTTTCGACTAAATCATTCAACGACATACCATGAAATCGACATTCGACACACACTCAAGATTCACATCGAATTGTCATCCCCTGTACCGCATTCAACAGATGCGGTTCGAACAGACATTTGTCTCGAGACACCGATTACCATTCTAGACTGTCGTTTGAAAGATGATTATAACAAGCTGCCCTCTTATGAGGAAGCTGTGTTGTATGACACATCTGTCGATCAAGAAGATGTATCGAAATCTACTGGATTTTTATTTGTCCTTGTTATCTGGAATACAAAAAGAAGCGGAACTGTACTCGTCGTGATTGGATCAAATTTAGAACAGAACAACGACAGCCTTCATTGGCCTCCTCAAGCACGACTATTCCTCCTCCTCCTTCTTATGAATCAATTAACAAAGAATAACTGTAAATAAAACCAAAGCTTTGTCTCTCTCTCTCTCTCTCTCTCTTTCTGGAGTAAGTGCTGTATTTACTCGCTGCGAATTATATGAGTCAGCTTGTCATTGTTTCCAAAAGAAGATGATGGTTCCTGAATCCCTTAAAAAATGTTTGGTCCTGAAATGCAGAGAAATTTAAAAACAAGGCACAGTTTACTCGTAAAACCGCGCGCGGACTTTGAATATACTCGTTTCTTTATCGCTTCACTTACATAAAAATCCGAAATCACCTTTCTTTCATCTAAAGAATTCTTTAGTACGATGGCCTGGTCACTCTTGGTGGTGCTCTGGAGCTTGCTATAATCCCTTGTGAAGGACTGTATATCTTGGGTATCAACAATTGTGCCAAGTGCCAAGTGCTAAGTAATTGAAGACATTTAGAAATGATGTCCTTTACTTGTGGTATTGGTATAGCCATCTGTAGCATTGAACAAGACAAGATATAAAAAGTACTGACTCTGAGGAGCAACGAACGAAAAACTCAATATGTCTTTTTTAGGACATATTAAAGGTTAGCCTAGATGACGGTTATTTTCTTCGGGATTATATAAGGCTCATACAATCGTACTGAATGCTTCCACAAAAGCATTGTCTTGAAGATATTTCATATGGCTAGTCACTTTGCTTCACATACACTAGTTTCCATTTATACGATGATTTTTTTTTTCAAAATGAAACTTTCATCCAATACAAAAAAAAAAAAAACCGAAATTGGTTGCAAATAATCGTTCAAAAGTACACAGCAACATAAGGGATACCAAGATGGCGCATTAAGTAAAGCTGCAGAGTTCGACAAGACAAATACAGTAATGCAAAGAAAGCTTTATGTTTGTTGTATGAGCTTAGAATAATTGCGTTTTTAGGCTCTGGCGTACATTTTTTATGGAATTTATGCAGATTTAACACATTCAATACATTTTACAATCTCAGAGGAGCATTTGGTACTATAATATAGCATAAGAAAAGTCTTTTGGATCAGTCTCAAATCGCGATTTTCTGAAAATTAAAAAAAATCGTCGAGGAGTTAAGGGCTTTGGGTCGTTTTTTCGATCATTTGAAAACTTGATGTTTTTATCAATGAAAACGTTTGTTTATAGTCGTAGTAACATAAGATGCTCAAAAAGGCAGCTGAGTGCGTTTGAGCGGCCAATACGGGCAGCAATTCCTCCTATTGGCATATTTTTTTATGGTTCTCTTTTAGTATGACTGATTCAATCTTGGTTGCTGGATAGGATAGAAAGTTTAATTACAATTATATGAACAAGCTTCTGTCAAAAAATATGGCATAGATTTGAGAAAAAATAGAAAGGCAATGCAAGATACTTGAGCAAGGCTCCTAGTAAAAGCCCAAGATTACAACAAAGAGAACGATCAATAAAATTTTGTGATGCATGTGGGCTCAATCAGTTTTTTTACGTCTGCTTTCTCTTTCTTTCTTTTTGGCTTGTATTTTTCTTGAAGCGATTGAAGCTAATCTTATAATGCGAGTGACGAATATCGTCATGTTTAGCATGAATGAAAGCTGCTATATCTTGACAAAGTCAAATGCTTCAAATATTGAAATAGCATTCAGCGCTATACTAAGACGCTCAACCAGGTCCTAAAGCTTTAAACATGTTGAGATAAATAACCTTCTTTAACCTAGACCATTGGGTGCAGTGAGGTATGAAAGCCTTCGAATGTTTCAAGATACAATTAAGTTGAGTAATACAGTACTTCTTGGCTTCAGGTTTTTGAACTCTGCTCAGTCAAGGTTAGAGTCATTCAACCACAGATCTATACACTTTTAAGTCTTAGTTTCGGTTACGCTACCAAACAGCTTGATAATCGTCAATGCTTTGTTTAGCGAAACAATCACTTTTGACCTTTCACGAATACTATAGTGTATATCTCTTAGCTTACTTTATTTACGTCGCTATTTTTTTTTTACCGCCAACTCGGAGGTAAAAAAATGACCTGATAAGTGACAAAGTTTTTGAGCATTATTCATGATCAAATGCGCTTACACAACATGTGCTGCATTAAAATCATCAAGATCTGTTTTAAATCTCGGTACAAAACTTTTTTGAATTAGAATTTTATAAATTGCATTTGTTAAAACTACAACATACATTTGTAAAAGTCAATATCAATTTTGGACGTCTTTTCACAATATACATTTCAAGCTATAAAAAAAGAATTCCATTTACTTTCTACTTTTTATAAAAACGCTTTTATAAGAAAAATATGGTAATCCAACTGCTGCGGAGTATTCGCATGGGGACATTGGTATACCAACAATTTCAAATGTGCCATATACCTCAAAAAAGGAAGAGGCTGTTGTTTGTACTACATTCAATCGGAGGTTCGAATGCGACTTGATAAAGAATCAAAAAGAATGACCTGACGTTTAGGATGCAAATTTGAAACAAAAATGGCATATCAAGCTATTATGTCTCTGTTTGTGTATGCTTCAAGTAAATCGATCTGTTTGTTAAAAAAAAGCCCTTTACAAAATTACGTCAACTTTGGCTTTGTATCAAATGCTTTGATTTGTCAATTCTAGGGAAAAATTTGTACCCGAGTTTAGTTTTGGATTCAGAACTCTATCTTTTTAATTCTTCAAAATATACTTTTCGATTTATTTTTCAGGCACATTTTTTTTTTTTGAAAAAAAAAAACACCCGTTCACTTCATTTTATCACAAGATTGTACTTTTTGGCTACAAATAAAGTATAATTTGTCTCTTTAGTTTATGAGCACATGCGTTTGATGAATTACTGTTTTCTTTATGCAATCAATAAAAAATAAGACCCTGTTAGCAATGGCGTCAACAAATGACAAGTTGCTCTCTTTTAATCTATGGCTTTTTATGGGGCGTATCTTCCCTTCTTTTCTTTTTTCTCACAAGCTCAATTATTTGTTGAAAAAGAACCCCGCTCAGTTGGCCTCGAAAAAAAAGATTGGGTGTGCAAAAAGGGTGCTCCAATAATTTTGTAATTAATTCTTTCTCGCTTTCCTCTCCTCGCCTTTTTTTTTTTTACTCTTTATTCTCTCTTTTTCTTTCCTTTTCACTTTCTCTAATCTCATCTCGCAAAAGAAACAGAGATCTTTTTTTTTTGGATCAGCAGTTCAAAAAAAAGATAGAAGTCATCAATTCTGGATAGTGCATGCTAAATAGTATACAGAGTTCATAAATGAGTCCAGATACAAAGCTTATTGCGAGCTTAGTGAACCGCATACTTGTCAGGGTAAAAATGAAGGCCACATAAAAGCCTATTCTAATTGACTTAAATGTTAGTTGCCCAGTAATAGTGGAAGAAAATTAGAAGTTTTAGAAAATGATCCGCTGATAAATCAAACGTATGTATGATGAATCAATTAAGCTTTTTTTTTTACTTATTCTTTGTCTCTCTTTAGAGGTACGAAATGATGTTTATAAAAAAAAAGTGAGGGTGACTTCGGGGTTTAACAGTATCATGTTCTTGACTTTAAATAGTTGCTGCTTTGATTGAATTATCAAAGTTTAGACTGCCGACAATTACTGTGAGTCTGCTCAGCTTGTTAGACAGTATCAAGGTATTTCTTGTGATGATCAAACGTTACTTTGCTCACCCAGATCCAATAGATGCCAGCAAGTGAAGAATACTTTCCATATGAGAACCTACAGTCACAATTGTTCGTATTGCGAATGCTTTCAGCATGTATGCAACATCACTGGCAATATATTCGAGAAGGCAAATCAGAAAACACCTCTCTAAAAGCACCCTCAACAGCAGGCGGGTACGAGGGATCCATACATAGCTTTGACAGTTCAACACATCAGAGTCGATGGTCTGTTGCTGACGGTCCTCTTCCAATCGAAATGGACGATCCACCACCATTTGATGATTTTATTGCTAAAAACATCATTAATGTCATGTCACGTATTATGCATCAAACCACTGTGATGGAAGAAAGAGAATACGGACAAGCTACCAACCACGTTACCCAAATCATAAGAACTGAATATTACACAGCTAGCAACATTACTCGGACTTCAGCAGATATTGTGTTGGATATCTACAAAGCCATGAGTAGAGTGGTTGCCTACTTGAGTGCAAGTAACTGGAGTGTGGTATTCTCTAAAATTAAGTTGCGTATTTTTTACTTGTCTACAACCACAGATGAAAATCCTGATTCCTCCGACACGCGTTTTTTAGAATGTTGTTCTTTGAACGCTAAACGTCTTAGTATTGTTCTCGGAGGTAAGCGCGTATTTGGTTTAGCTGTATCGCTGACATGTTTTAGAAATGTGCGCAACGTTTCCCAACTTGAGAAAATCGACACAGTTGATTGTGGCAGCCATTCTTCGAAGAGCCATATGGGGTTGGATTGAGACATATCCAGGTGAATTTATGCAACTCTATCAAAGCCAAAAGAAACTGGACGGTGGACCCGATGTATTGTTTGATATTTGCTTGTCTTTAGCGGACACAACAAGAAAGAAGGCTATTTTATGGCCATTGCAGACTATGTTACTCTTGCTTTGTCCTGACTTCATTACATTGCTGGCCAATCCCGACAATCACCGAAACATTGGTGCCAAAAAAGGCGTGTTTTTAGCGACACTCAAGAACTCTTTAAAGCCTGGCCGTATGGCGGAATTAGCAGCCATTTGTTATGTAGATCTGTGTAAGGCAGCCACTTATGTTCCCAAAACAGACGCCTATTCGATTCGAAACCTTATTCCAGAAGTTGAGAATGAACTTCGTGGGCAATTGTTTGATGCAGAAAAGCCCTTGATTGCTGATAGTTTGATGAGTGGGCTAGGTATTATTGTCGATCATCGCTCCTTGCTTGCTGATTGTCTGGTGGCTATGTTTCGATTGAACCCTCGCCATGCTCTGCGGAGCCTATTCCCTGCCTGTCTCGAACCACGGGCGCCTACCTTATTCAAAATCAGTTTAGTAAAGGCTTGTTTAGCCATTGCATCTGAAGAGAATCGATTGCCTTGGAATCCTTCTGTCACAGCGTTATATGATTCATTATCAGGTCCACTGAGAAAGCTGTTTATAGAATTTGCCGGCAAAGATACAACCAAAGTCGATCTCAACGCAATGAATCAATATGCCAGTCGCAAAACGATGATGAACAATCCTACAAATGACAAAAAGGTCAAGACAAACATAGTTTTAATGACTCAAAATTCAGAACGATTAGAATTGATTCTCGACATGTTGCGACTCTACCAAACAGATCCTAAACTTGCTATTCGCGTACGTTGCATGTGTATAAATGTGCTTATTGACTGATAATTAAACTCATAGGGCGAGAATGAAGATAGAATTGAAAAGAATCCAATTGCTATTGTTGCTATCACTAGTTGTCTTCGAGAGCCAAATCAATATGTCAGAGATGCTGCCGCTATGTGCCTTTACAAACTTCATTCACCCAAATTTATTGTGGAATGGGGGCCTTCACCACACTTTATAGAGACTTTTTGGAGGATTTCGTCGCAAGCTGTATTCACTTTGGCCAAACAGCTATTAGATAACAGAGAAAGAGACGATGGACTAAAACGCTTATTGGAACTCTTGAAAAAGTTGTTTGAGTCTCGAAACGAGTTTCTCAGAATGCATCAGGTACATCTCATTCGTTTGAGCAAGTCTAATTGTGATATACGTAGGACATTGCTATGCAAGGATCAGATGTAAGAGAGCGTTTGCAAGCTTCTATTGGATTAGAAGTGGCATTATTGGTCTTGCTGTGTTCTTCAGATATTGAAATTTGTACAGCAGCCATCAGCTGTTTTGGCCTAATTTGTGCAGAAGCCCAACTTACAGAAAGTGCAGACGACCCACACCAAGCCATTTTGATGGTAGTAGAAAACCTGCCTATTTACCAACAACTTTCTGCCAACAATGGTATTGTAACGGGTCGTAAATCGCAACAAAAGCAGATTCGTCGACTTTTGCGAATGATGAACCATTATGCCCCTGGCAATCTTGCTGCTTGGGAAGAAGCCTATAAGCGCTGGAAATACATGACACCTGCTATAATCAAGCCTCATGATGACTCCAAAGACGATTATCAAGATAGCAACATGAATGCAAGCAACAACAGCTCCAAACGAGGCCCTCCTGCATGGACTGACAAGCTTAGAAATCCTGCTTCTTCCAACAGACAAACGCACAATTTTTCTGTTGTCAACAGAACCGAAACTAACAACCTGGATGATGACAAATCTTCGGAATGGCAGAACTATGCTGGTTTCTTGGCAGCCCTGGGTGGTATATGTCTTATGGCCGATGCTGCACCTTCTACACCTACTTCACCTGCTACACCTCGCAGTGGCTACAATGACCAATCAACCTTTAGGCGCATCTCAGCACCTACAGAATCGTCTGCCATGGTAAACAAGTTTGTTGTTGACATGGTCGATTTGTTACTCTGTGATAATATCATTGTCCGTGAATGGGTGAAAGAAATCTTGGGTACAGATCTTTCTCCTGCTTTATACCCTATGCTTTTCCGATACATGGAAACTGTCTTGGCCAAATACTTTGGCCCTGATGGTGATCCTATTTGCAATAGCCGTAATACCTTGCTTGTCGAACAAGCAATTAGTGTCTTGAAGCTTGTTTTGGATCGTATGGATGATTCGGCTGAAACTCTTTTGGCGGTTGATTTTAGTAGTTTGATCAATCAATATGCCAAATATCTGAACAAGTTGGGCAGTGGACAAACAGCTTTAAAGATCAAGATCAAATTCTGTCAATTGACTGAAGTCTTGATGTCAAAGAAGGATAAGGTTACTCTCAGACAAGAATTTAGATTGCGAAACAAGCTTCTTGAAATTATTGTAGAATGGACAAGCGATTTCTCCTTGGTAATATGCACTTGTTATCTTAGATTTAGTCATACTCATTCTTCTTCCTTTTAGAAACCTGATACTATTGGACAATATTCAACATTTGAGGCAAATCAAAGCGAGAAGCTGCACAGAGAACTAGATTTAGCTTGCTTAAATACTATTGTTGGTTTGCTTCATCAACTTCCTCTCCAGTCTGCTGATCCAATTCACGAAGCTGATTCAACTCCTATCAAGAGCCGTATCTTTTTCAAATACTTTACTTTCTTTTTAAAGTTATTGAACAGATGCAGAGATTCCGAGGTAAAATCTCTTTTCTTTTTCTTATTGATATGAATACGACTAATCAAAATGAATAGACTGAAGCAGACAATTCTTCGTACCGATTCCGTCAGTACCCTGAAACCAATGGAACTCATAACACAAAGGTAGTGTATTGCAATAACATATAAGCGTTCCATGCTAATGTTTTGAAGAACAAGGAAAACATGTCTACTTACTTGGCTCCTCTCAAAGAAAGCACGATCCTTGCCATGTCTAATCTTTTAAGTGCAAATGTTGATGCAGGTCTTAAATACTCATTGTCTATGGGTTATCATGATGATCCTCAAATGAGAACAGCTTTCATGAAAGTATTGACAAACATCTTGAATCAAGGAACAGAGTTTGAAACTCTGGCTGAAACTGTCATTACAGATCGTTATGAAAAGCTTGTTGATGTAAGTTTAGCAAGCAATACATAGATGAAGAGATATTCATGCTCTTTGATTTTTGTAGATGATTGTTGATTTCGATATTGATTTAACTTCAGCATTGTCTGATGTTTGTCCTGCTTCAGATATTGAAGACGCTTCTACTGCTTTGCTATCTTGTTTCCAATCAAGAGGAAAAGCACTCAGCTTGTTGAAATCTGTTATCCAAAAAGAAGTTCAAAACACAGGTAAAGAATCTTAATGAAATCAAACTCTGCAGACTCACATAATCAATACAGATAGCGAAACTGAATTACTGAGACGAACAAGTATTGCAACTCGTCTTTTGTCTATTTTTGCCAAGCAAAACGGTGCTGAATATGTACGCTCTGTACTTCAGCCTGTTTTTATCAAGTTGGCAGAAAAACCACAAGAAGAGAGAACCTTTGAACTGGATCCTTCCAAGGTTGGTAGCGGGGAAGATGTGTCTAAGAACAAGCAAAACGTTGTAAGTGCTACAGAACTCTTTTTGAATGCTATCTGTGCTTCTGCGAATGAAGCTCCTCCTGCTTTTCGAGAAGTATGTCACTATATCTTAACTTCAGTTCGTGAGCGTTACCCAGAGGCCAAATATACTGCTGTTGGTGCATTTATCTTTTTACGTTTTTTTTGTCCAGCCATTGTATCGCCAGAGTCAGAAGGCCTTATTAAATCAAACATTGTCATCTCTCGAGAAATGAAGCGTGGTCACTTGATTGCTACCAAAGTCATTCAGAACTTGGCGAACAATGTCTTGTTTGGCGCTAAAGAGACATATATGATTGTCTTGAACGATTTCTTGACAAGCAATATTTACAAAGTCACTAGTTTTCTGCGTGAAATTTCCAACGTACCAAATCCTGTGATGGATACACCACAACCTCGTACAACTAGCCTTGGTATCAGAAAGAATAGCAGCAGTATGATCAGCACAACGAGTGCTGAAGAAGTAGGCCTTGACATGAAGCCTATGGAAGAGAAGGACTATTATGCCTTGCATCGAGTCTTGTTTGACAATATGGAACGTCTTGCTAGAGAAATCGCTACCCGCCGTTTAAGACAGCTTGTTGACCCTGAAGTTGCTTCTGACATGAAACGTCATTTAGATCGTATTTCAAACCTCTTGGCACAACTTGGAAGACCCCCTGAGATGACAAAGCAAGAGTTTGTTGGGCTTCGAAGCTACACGCATGCTGCTGCTAACCAAATGTATGCAGAGTTCATGCGTCGCAATAGTCATCGTAGTGTAGAGCCAATTATCTCAAAGAATATCTTTTATGAAGGTGGTGTCTCTAAAGCAAACAGACCTGTATTCTATTTCATTGCAAGAAATGTAATTTCTGATAGCATTGATCTAGAGTTACTTGTTTACCATGTTCTACAGGTAAGAAATACAAAGAAAGAGTTACAACTGATTTTCCTAGACTATGGAGCGTGCTTCTAACAAGAATATTGATCTTGTCCTTGATATGACTTTATTCAATGTATCCAACGAAATCCCAAGTCAATATCTGAATCAAATGTTGCAGCTTTTGCCTTTTGATCCAAGTGATATTATTGCAAGCATTATTGTTTACAATCCCAACACATACCTTCGCAAATATGTTAAAAAGTTACCTCGTCCTATACCACACAAGATGAGCAAACGTACTGCTTTTGCTGTTACTCTAGCTGAACTCTATGAGTATATCAATCCTAGTGAAGTACGATTACCCAAGTCGACCAGTAAGTAATCTTAAACATTTTAGATGTTTGTTTTTAACACTATCTGTTTTTTAGCTTCTTTGGACACAGAGCAGTGCCACGTATTCCATCCAGTGAATAAGCTTACACAATACAAGGTTAACATCCCTATTACAATCAAAGTCAGTTCTGAATACGTTCAGGTCATGACTGTACGTAAACAAGAGTTTTTGTATGGTGTCACAACTGTTATCAATGATGTGTTCATGATAACCGACATGGAAGATATCAACATCATTAGCAACAATCGAAACCAAGAAAATGCGAATGAGTTTTGCTTCAAATACAACAAAGGAAAGACACAGCATATCTTTTCGTCTATGAAGCGCGAAGCTATTGTCAATGTAAGCCCAACTGGTTTTTGTAGATACTTGGTACTAATTTTGTATAGACTATTCGACACAACAAGAGAAGATTGGAAATGTCAAAACCAAACAGCATGTCTGAACGAGTTATTCGTCCAAACGATGTGCCTGGTAGACTTCTGAATATGGCTTTACTCAATATTGGTAGTGATGATCCAAGCCTTCGATTGGCTGCTTATAACTTGCTTTATGCTTTAAGTATCACTTTCCACTTTGATGTTGGTAATCAATTATTGGATGCACGCGATCTCTGTCTTCCAGCCAACAGTACAGCCTTCATTGTCAATATTAGTGAAAAAATTGCTCAAAATCAACAAAACTTAACTTTGGAATTTCTTAGCGAATGCTTTATTGGCTTCCAGAAATCAAGCGAGCCTCTTCGTTATTTATGTTTGGATTATATGGTGCCTTGGCTACCAAACTTGTCCAAGTTTTGTAATAGTCTAGGTCCCGAAACTGACAAGGACACTGCCAAGACAAAAGAAGTGCTTCGTAACCTTATTGATCTCACAGTGGCTCGTACAGATGTAAGTAACCCTTTTTTTTTTTTGCTTTTTATCTAAACTCACATCTTCTTTAGATGTATAAGCTTGTTCAAGCCAAGATCTGGAAGACAATTGGACAAATTGATGATACATTAAACCTTGTCTTGGATGTATTTGTTCAATTCTCTATTGAGCATGGTGTTGGTTCACCTCAAGCTGAAGCCATGGCTGACACATTTGTCACTCTTTCAAATATTGCTGTCCGAGGCAAAGTTGTTTCTCGATTACGTAAAGTATTACAAAAGACATCTTTCAAGCCAACAAGATCCCTAATGGACCACTGGACTTGGAATGAAATTGCTATTCTTATTCGTTTCGTGCTCATGCTTTCCTTTAATAACCGTGGTCCTGTCAAGAGCTATGTACCTGAAATCTTTCATATTGTATCTCTTGTTGTAGGTGTTGGCCCTACTATCATTCGTTCTTCTGTTCATGGTCTTGTAGTCAATGTAATCCAATCCTTGTGCACTACTATGCCTATCCAAGACGCTAATGTCAAGAAGCTTCAAATGATTCTTAGTGAAATGTCAGATACTAAATATCGACTTTTGTTTGGTCTCTATAAGCCTCATGCAGGTGCTTTTACTATCTCACCTGATACCTTAACTGATGCATCGGAACCTATTCCTCTCATTGCTCTCGAAACCATTGTCAATAACCTTTTAGAAGTCATTACTTACAGTTCTCCTTCTGCAGGTTTGTAAATCTAGTGTGTTTTGGTCAAATACTTATTTTTTTTTCATATAGATATGGCGAATGCATGGAGAGCCAGATGGATGAGTCTAGTTGCCAGTACAGCTTTTCAATTCAATCCAGCCATTCAACCTCAAGCCTTTGTTGTTCTTGGATGTCTCGGTAGAGAAGAAGTCGATGACGATTTGTTGTACCAAATCTTAGTAGCGTTGAGAGGTGCTTTGGCCATTTTCAACGAACCTGATCCCAATTTGGTCCTTAGTATCATGATGTGTCTCAAGAACACAGTCGAAAGCCTGCCTTCTGATTCTCGGTACCTTTTGCCCTTGTTTTGGATTGCGATTGCTCTAGTTCAGATCAACAATGGTCCTACATTCTCTATGGCTGTGGAGTTGTTATTGGCTATTTTGAGAGCACTTGATGCTGATGAATACTTTGCTGGTGATCGTATGGTAGATGTATTGCTCGCAGCTCGTGAGCCTATGTCTGATGTAGCCAGCAAGCTGGATCAACTCTGTGGTGTCAATTTCAAGACACACTTTTCATTTGCTATTGCAAGCATCTTCTTGAAGGGCTTGCGATACAACAATGCAAAAGAAATCATATTCCAAGGCTTAACTACCTTTTTGGACATTGAATGCAAACATGCTGACAATACAAACATTTTGGACTCAAACAACCTGGGTTATTTAGCAGGTCTTTTGCCTCTTGCTGTCAAGACTGAAACTTTACGAGAAGTGCTACACTTGGCAGGATTGATAGAGCCTGATTTTGATATTGCAGACGATGATGACGAAGACGGCACTGGAGATTTTAAGTCTACCTTTGGTAGTATTCTTGATCGTCTTGATATTACAGACGAAACAACTGCTCTATTGCTTATTTCCATGTTGACTGCACAGCTTCAAATGGTTGAAAATACACAAGAAAGACTCTTCTTGTATAGTTTACTTGCTGAAGCAGCAAGTTCAATGCCCGAAATATTTTGTGTTGTGTAAGTAAGCAACTAAACGTGGCATTGCATATAGTTTTATTAACACTTTTTTTTCCTTTGTTTATTTGGATTCTAGGTACGACGCTCTCTTACCAAAAATGAATCAGATTGTGTTGAGTAGCATAAGTCAGCCCATCATAGAGTCCGTGAAGACGATTCTTTTGATTGCATGCTCAGAACCTTCTTTTAGTGATAGTGCTAGAAAGTCTAAACCTAGTCAAAAGGTGTTGCTTGAACGTGTTGGCTTTTCTGCACTAGGTGATCCTAGTTTTGGTGCTACTTCAATCAATGTCTTGCAGAATGCAAAACTCGCTAGTGAAATCATTGAATTGATAATCGCTTAGATTATTTATTTTATACATACTTGTGTCTATATCTACTTACATATCCAATTCCTTATTTCAAAAAAAAAAGAACACATACACACATTTTAATCTTATATTATTTTAATGATATTTAATACTTGTCTGTTAACACATACACGTAAAAAAAAAAGAAAAGAAAAAGCCAATTGTTGTATTTCTATAATAAACCCATATATTTTACATCTATGCAATTCCGATTATCTGGTGCAAGTAGCTTTTCTAATCTGACAAATACGCAATTTTAACTTTTTTGATGTCTTAGCTATTTAAATCCAAAAAAAAAAAAAAAAAAAAAAAGCATCGTATTCCCTTTTTCTTTTTTCCTTTAGTGACTAGTCGAAATCCGTCTTTTTTTTTTTGGAATCCAAAAATTTAAACGAGAAATTATGTGATACTTTGTAACCAGTGTATGACAAATTACTTTATAAGTCAACTTCCTATTTAATTTAGACATTTAACACCCACCCATTCGACGAGATAATTTGTATAAATATAGATAATTTGATTAATTTCGCCTTTTTGCTACGTTACATCACAAAAAGAGTTAGGAAGAAAGCGACAGGTTGGTCGTCTAGGATATAGAAAAAAAAGTTATCAGAATGCTAAAACTGAGATTTAAGTCTAATAATAAACAAAGTGTGCAAATCACTTTTTATGCTTTCTTTTGATTGGAACAGCCACGTGTAATTTGTGATTTTCCTTTTATCCTTTTTCCTTTTTGTCAGAAACAATGGTAAATATAGGGTAAGTCGTGTTAATTGGTTGTGAAGATGTACTATTATGGAATAAAGTTATATGAAAAGGCTATGAGTAATTTTCATTGGGCTTTAAAGTATGTGCAGTCGATCAACATGTATCAACTCAGATAGCTTCTTGTTGGTCATTTCCATACTTATAGTAACACCAAAGTATGCTACATGTGTGCAGTTACACAACTGTACTTTTTGAAAGGAGAGTGAATGAGTTCTAGCCTTTTAAGACTATTTAAAGGAACTTTTGACTTTTTTTTTCTTTGTTGTTCCCCCTTTTCTTTTCTTTATATCGTTTTTTTTTATGGCCTTAAGTCTGAACTCGACATATGAAATTTGCTTTACAAAAGCTTGCATAGAAACAGCTGCAAGTTTGCTTCAGTCGATCGATATGAATGTTGATCCTTGCTCAGATTTTTATAAATATACATGTAAATAATAAAAATTTACTCCTTGAGTGTGGACTTTTGACTAAATATGTTTCATTCACAGGCGGTAATTGGATCAAGAGTGCCATTATTCCAGAAGAACTTGCAGGTAAAAAAAAAAAAAAAATAGATGTTTTGTTTTGTCTTAACATGTTTCTTGCAGGTTTTGGCATTTTGGAAGTCGAATCAACCAATCATAAAGATAAATTTCGCACGATTTTAGACGGGACATATAACGATCTTTTGCATTCAACCATGTCACATTCAAGTTACCAGGTTACTACAAAAAAAGAAAAAGAAATCGATAGAAAGAACTTTCAGGTCATGAAAGACTACTATTCTTCCTGTGTCGATGTGGATATGAATGACGGCTCAGTATTCCAACACTTTTTTCGAGACTTGAATCGATTGAAAAAAGGAACTATGTCAATTGACCCTAAAACTCAATTACAGATTTCTGCTAGGACCATAGACACAATCAGTTATCCGAAAATTACAGATGGGCTTGTGATTGATGCTGGTGGTCTATTTACCATGGAAATTGTACCTGATGACAAAAACAAAAGCCAAATGGCGCTGGCTGTTTCTCCACCTTCTGAATTTAACAATGTTGAAAGTGCTCCTCTAGACGATTTGGACCCTGAGACTCTTTATCAGATTGTTTCCTCCGCGTTGGGCTATAAGAATTCGACCGAAAGAGATAGAGACAGACTTTCACACTTGAAAAGATCAGGCTTACAAACAATCAGTGATTCCGACATATACTCTCTTGTAGATAGTGCCATATCTGTTCAAAAGAGACTGTATCATCTAACAAAAGCCTGGTAAGTACATAAAAAAAAAAAAGAGAGAGACGAGATTAGATTGGTTAAATGATGTTATAGGGATGAGCCGGGATATTATACCTATTCAGTTGAAGAAATCACTGAAGCTTTTCCCTTTATTGAATGGGGATCTATTTTAGAATCAAATATACCCAAAGGTCGCGACTATTCAAATATAACAATCCAACTATACAACTCTGAATACTTTGACCAACTCAATTACTATTCAAATATTAATGATCCTACTCGTGTGTTGCATAAAACCGGCATTTTAAATTATTTGATAGTGCATAAAATCTATCAAGATGCACCTATACTTGACTCAGAAATGCGTCAATTAGTACCTGACTCACCATTTCAGACAAGATCCAGTATATGTGTCGATAAAGTACTCGATAACATGGGCCTTGTTGCAGGTAGATTCTATGCTATGATTACCTTTGCTGGTGAAGAAGACAGGCTAAAGTTGGAGGAAATGGCCGAAGCGATCAAAGAATCTCTTGGCAACCGTATTAAAAAGTCAGATTGGCTAGACGAATCTACTAGACAGGCTGCTATTAAAAAAGTAAAGACAATCTGCCAAGACCACCCACTAATTAAATAAAACTTTTTAGCTTGGCGCAATGAAGAAGACGATAGGCTACAGTACAGAGCTACCTGATGAAAGATCACCTTTTGGTATCCATGATTACTTGAACGGTCTAGACACCAGTGCCAACTCTTTTTATGAAAATGAAAAAGCAGTAACTCGATGGGCTTTATCGAAATATTGGGAAACATTCGGACGAAAATTAAGTTCAACCGAATGGATTGGTGTAGCAGCCCCTCAAGTAGTCAACGCCTTTAATCTTTTATCTAAAAATAGCGTATGTTTGTTGTATTCTTACTTTCTTGTGCTAATTGTCCTTTTTTTTTATGACAGATTGTTGTTAGTGCTGCTTTTGCTCAAAAACCAAACTATGATACAAATTATCCAGACTATCTTAATTATGGTGGCATTGGCCAGACATTAGGACACGAGTATTCTGTAAGCTAATATTGCTAAAGAAAATTAGACTAATTTATGATATAGCATGGATTCGACGATGTAGGCTCACAATATGATGAACATGGGGTTGAAAGAAACTGGTGGTCAGACGAAACACATGCCAAATATACTGAAAAAGCACAGTGTTTTATCAATCAATACTCAAAAGCTTTTGTGAGAGATGATGATGGACATAAATATACGATTGATGGATCTGTAAGTCAATCTTCATCATTCAATATTATCTAACCTTTGTATGTATAGCTTACTTTAGGCGAAAATATCGCTGACAACGAAGGTCTTTCTGCCACTTTTGATGCTTATATGAAATTAAAAGAAAGTGGAAAAGGATATAATCCAATCTTGCCAGGTTTACAAAATTTTTCTCCTGAGGCCTTGTTCTTTATCAACGCTGGCCGTTCATTTTGTTCCAAGCCTTTGCCAGGCACAGTCAAGGATTTTGTAAGTTATTGCTTCATATAATTTTTTTTTGTCTAATTTGTTAATTGTAGATCTCTGATGAACATGCGCCTGACTCTGTTCGTGCCAATAAGGTCTTTCAGAACAGCCATGAATTTGCTCGCGTTTTCAATTGTCCTATTGGCAGTAAAATGAGTCCCAAGACCAAAAAGTGCAAGATATGGTGATTGAATAACGCAAAAAATATCTTGTCATTATACCACCTTGTAAATTTCCAGAATAAAGATACCATTTAATTGTAAATACACATATTGTATAAAAATTAAGTTCTTTTTTTTTATTATTATTATACAAAGATTTAAGGTAAAACGCATAATAGAGCAAAATCATCTCTATGAGAATAAAGCCAAACGCATTTATGTTTGACGTCAATCAGCTTTTGGACCGCATGTCTAACTCTACTCAGGGTATCTCGTTGATTGATGCTAACATAATCCAAGAGCTTCTTATAACCATCATCTTGCCAAAAATTGTGCTCAACCATGTTCTTGACCACTTCTTTTGGAAGATCAAAAGCAATCACTTGTACTTCTTTCTTCAAATCATCCATAATGGGTGTAAGACGATGAATAGCTGCGCTTTATTAGATGGCGTCCTCCTTTGTTGGACTGACTTACCTTTATCAACCAGAACAGTCTTGTGCTTGTGCTTCATCTTTGTTCGTTCTTTACCACGACCTTCATTGAACACAATATTCACATTAAAAGTGGTCTTTTTTTGATCAGAGCCATCACCTTTAGACAGGTCAAGAGAGAAAGGATCATTTCGAACTGAATCTGAATTATCTTTTGACTTCAGATCATGCTTGCTTTTGACTCGAGCAACAGAATCTACTCTCATTTGCTCATTGATTTCAGTTGTAAGCCACATGGGTAAATCAGATTTGTTCACTTCAGTTTCTGTACGTCGCAGGACATCCTTGACTTTGACAGTTGTTGATTCGCTTGAAGATTTACTTTCAGAAGAGCTTTTATGTTTGACAATAACAATCCAATTGATGCTCGCCTTTTTACAGAGCGATACAAGGTCTTCTGGTGTCAAATAACCTCCATCGTTGTACTGAAATTCAGCGCGAATATTATGATGCCATAATTCCTTGACAATCTCCAGGCGCTCTTGGATAAGTACCTTGCCAAAACTAGCTACATACACGTCGCATTTTTTAGGAGCCCAGAGACCGAAACTTCGCATCTTCTCATTCTTGGCCTTCATCAGATATTTGACTTGCTCGGATTGATGCATATCAAGATGACGAATTAGTTTTTGTATAGCAATATTGACACCAACAGCATGTAACTTTCTGTTTGCAGCTGCACTTGGATGAGCAAAATGTTGAACCAAGAAATCGTATCTTCCGCCCACTGCAAGCACGTCTTTTCGTTTAGAATCAATCGTATCTGTTACAGTCTCAAAGACCATGCCGTTCTTGTAGAAATGATTGTTATAGCTAGATGGACATTATGAATATATATATATATATATATATAAAAGAAGGGAAAGCATAGGTATACTTACACTAGCAAAGGATGGAATATAATCTTGTGATGAATACCGATATGCTTGCTGACTTGGACAAGTGTGCGTAGCTCACTCACATTGTCTCTAAATTTAGCTTTATGTGAGTTTGGTAAAAGCCCTTCTATTTTCTTTACAATATTTTCAAGTTCACCTAAAGAGCAGTGTTGATTTACAATTTGAGTCTATCGACTGAACGACTTACCATGGATATTAAACATAGACAATTCGTCCAACACACTTCTTTGCAAATGGTATTTTAGTTTCAGGATATTTCGGACAGCAGCAAAAGAGGGAGCTCTTCCCAAACTTGACAAAGCAACTAGAACGCCTTTTCTGATATCTGGAGGAACTCGGCAACTATCAAGGATAAGGTCTGTAATTCCTGTATGGTTCACCACAAAATAGAATCCACCGTTTTTGTAAGGAGGTAGCTCTTCCAAGACTTCTTCTACTACTTTCAAAACTTCAGCATCAGGTACCATAGGCGTTGTTTCTTTATGAACGATGTCAAAATCTGCTTCCAGCACAGCTTCGGGCTGACCACCACTTGGATTCTCTCGATAGACTTTATCAAATGTGAACCGCTTTAATTCAGGAAATCCTTTTTGTCTTGCAACATAACGTGCAAAAGGCACAGTTTGGTCGTAAGGAAGTTGGTTAAGAGAGCCTTGAGAGTCCATAAGATAGACAGGGTTTTTCCAGTTCCATTCATAAAGGTCATTTTTAGGAATCAAAAGCGGAGCAGAGACATCAATGGCACCGTGTCGATGGAATACCTTGGTCATTTGTTCTCGAACACAATCAAAAAAGATATGACTAAACGGATCGAACACTGTATCTGTATGCCCATGGTAATCATAAGTAAAGTCTTTGTGACGATCTGCAGACTGAGAAAACATGGCAGACATCAGTTTGTCGTAATAAGGCGTATTGGGGTTGGCAATGGTACGCACACATTCCTTGATATATTCATCTTCGAGTTTAGGAGGCAGTAAGTCACTTCGAAGCAGTTCAAAACTGTTAGGGCGATCTTTGGGTTGAGAAGATAAGAGGAGCTTGATAATTTTCTTTTGGTTGATATACTGTGAAGGAAAGTCCTCGGGGAACTTGCCGTTCCTAAGCTCATTCAACACGACAACACGCTGCATACCCGTAGAGAACTTGTAGCACATTTCAAAAAAGATGATACCAAGAGAAAACATATCGACCTTTTGATTATACCGCATACCTGAAGTAGCTCCTGTTGTAGGATCAGGCATGACTTCTGGAGAAACATAAAAAGTAGTGCCTACACCTGTGGTCATGCTTTCATCTGCACCTAAATGAGCACTTGAGGCAGAATAGCCTGTATAACTTGCTGATGCGCTTTCAGAAGCAGACACAGACTGATTGAGGCGATCCACTATACGTTGATGATGATGACTAGCGTTTCGAGAAAAAGCTGCACTGTCTACCAAGGTTTGATTTGAAGTAGCCAGACCAAAATCGCCAATTTTGACATCATTGTTCGAATCCAAGAAAATATTGGGAGGCTTCAAGTCTCTATGGATCATACCTTGAGAATGGATATGGACAAGGCCTTCTAAGATTTGACGGAAAAGACGCCAGGCCTCTTGCTCATCAATACCTTCATCAATCACATCTCGAAGGGTTTTTTTTTCACAATATTCCATTTGAATGTACAGAACTCGAGTGCGCTGTACAGTTCCACTGCCACTTCTCTTTTGACTATCAGTGCTCTTTTCTTCAGACATTTTCTTTTTAAGGTTCTTGATAGCTCTTCGAACAAGGTGTTGTCTTTTAGTTGAAGCTGTGTCTGTGGTAGCATCGCTTTCGCCTGTTGTTGCATCGTCAGGAGCAAAAGCGATATAATCATCAGAATCATCACCTCCATTGCTTTCATAACGCATGCTGCCTTCTTCTTCACTGCTACTGCTGCTATCATCATCATCGTCGTCAAATCGAATAGCAGAATAACTTCGACTTTTGCTTTTGGAATGATGACGGTTATCAACAGACAAGAAATCATGAAATCGCTGCTGATAGGCACTCACATCGCCATCTTCTTCATCGTATTCAGACTCGGAATCCTCAGTAAAGCTTTCCTCATCACTTTCTTTGAAGGTAGTGTCATCTTCGTCTTCAAACCAGGTCGCAAAATATCGAACTACATATTGATGATGTAGACTGGATAAAGAATGTACTTCTCGAAGAATCTTTTTCAAGTCTTCACTATCTCGAGGATCTAAGCGAATCTTCTTGATAGCATACAATCGACCATCTAGTCTGTTGCGTGCCTTGATGACTTCGCCGAAACCACCTTTACCTAAAAATTCGATTTCTTCAAAATCAGTCTTGTATCTGGAGGCACCAATGACAGATGTGTTTGGATTGGCTTCAGATGCTTGAGGATTGACTTGTGCCCTCAGATGATGGTCGGGTGGGTAGACGGATTTGTTGATATCGGGTGCCATCATGGAGGGCTCAAACAATTGGGCTGCAGGTGGAGTTACTTTGCTATTGTTGGATGAAGTCATATGGGGTGCTACATTGGCCGAAAACACAGGTGGTGCAGCTTGTTCTGCAAACATGAGCTCACTTGTATCTCCAGCAAAGAAAGGATCGTTCATAAGGTCAATGGCTGTAGGACGTTTCTTTGGATCAGGTTCCAATAATCGCTTGGCAAAATCACTAGCAATCGCAGGTAATTCTGCACCAGCTGTACGTAAAAAGGCTTCAAAATCACCAAATTCTTTTGTTACATCTACACCCCATAACATTTCAATAAACACAACGCCAAGGCACCAAATATCGTTTTTACGGCCATAAACACCTGGACGCTCACGTACTTCAGGAGAAGACCAAGCACTGGTACAGTCAGCTAATAGTTTATCATTTTTTTCATTGTTTTCAACCAAGTAATTGGACTTGTTCAAATCTAGAATGAGACAATATAAGTAACTGCCATTATTCTGCTATCTGATCCCCCATTTTTTCTTTACCATGCAATCGCTTATTATAACTGATATCTGCCAATTTAACAGACTGGTTTACAGTACAAAAGATGCTAGTGGAACGAATATCTTTGCAAATGAACCCATTCAAATGAACATGGTTCAATGCCCACAACAATTGCTTCATGTATTTTCGTACAATAGCAAGTCTTAACCCACCACCACATTTCTTGAGTAAATCGTGCAAACTTCCTCCCTGTTCATATTCTACCAGGACATACAAAATCCATGATTTTCTGTCCATTTTATTACGATCCAGGCGTGCATCATAGATACTAAGAATGTGTGGATGTTGAAGTGTACGTAATCGATCAAGTTCTCGTTCAATGTCCTGAAGCTTTCGTTTGCCTGCTTGTGTTGTGTAATAGGATCCAGTCACATCCACTTTTTTGATAGCCACCAAGTTTGGCAAATTCTCAATATCGTCTGTCATGCCTCCATCTTCTGCTGTCAATTTGAAGTTGATGGGTTGTGCTGAAAGTGTCTCACCCACAATGCCCTTGCCTATACATGGACCCATTGCCACTGTATGAAATGAAACTCGTTTGGGTATAGTGCCATTATCTTCTTTTTGAATTGGAATGGTGATTAGGTTTTCAAAATGAATCAGTTTAATATCACTGCTGTCTAATGTGTCGGGCGCATCAAAATGAACATGAAAATCGTCGTCTACAATGGCTTCTGCAACATCTGAAAATCCGAGTTCTTGTCTGGCTGCACGTGCATGTTCTCTTTTGCGCTCAATGTCTTGTTGGATCTTTTCATTCATCATATCTGACTGTACGCGTAGTTCCGCTTCTCTTTCTTGTCGTTGGCGTGCTAATTCTTTCATTTCTCTTTCGCGCTCTACTCTCAAGTCTTGTTCGTTTCGCATCATCATTTGTTCGTGCAGAGTAAGCTTAGAAGTAGCAGAAGGTGGTGCGTTGTGGTTTGCTAAAAAGGCTCTTGTATAATCACTGAGATCGTACATCATTTCCTGACCCACCAGTTGTTGTGCAGTTTGTTGGAGTGACTGAGTGAGTTGACGAAGAGCAGCAGGCGTCAGACCACGCGGGTTAATAAGGTGAAGTTCGGGTGGTTTGTTGGGATAAGTTTTTGGAAAGCGTACTTTGAGATCAACTGTAACATAGGCTTCGTTTTCCTCTACTCCCAAAGGACACAGGTGTAGTATGAATTCGGGATCGGTATGAGAGACCTACAGTATGGCTTAGTTATTGAAAGTTGTTTGTTGGCGTTACCTTCCAAGCAGTTTTGTTTACGACTTCATGGTAGTCTTCCATAAAAATAGCTTTCAAGGCCTCTATTTCGTTTTGTTGGATTTCTTTTAGCTCTTCAAGGTCGATTTTTGATTGCATTTTATGATGGTTGTTATATGATATCCTTTGTGTTTATCTTTTTGGCTTGTGTATTATGAAATCAAGAGAAAAAATATCAAGGGATAATTCTACTCCATTCTTAATACATTTATCTAATAGCGTCTTGAAGGGAGGGAATAACAATAGAAAGAAAGAGAAAAAAAAGATAAAAAAAAAAGTTTAAAGAAAATCCAATTACACACAACAGGCCCTTTTTAAAGCATTTTTGATTTGAGATTCAGCAGAAATTTGTAAGAATGTGTGCTTATGACTGTATGTTGATTGATACTCACAATAACCGCAGTCACTCAAAGAGTACCATCAGCTATAAGACCGTTAGAAAGGTTTGAATTTAGAGACATGTTACCACTTACCATCCACATTGGTAGTAGCAGAACTATCAGCGCATTACGCACTCTTTGATTTAGGAGCTGTTTAAAGTCATCTTCAGTGTAGTATTGAGTTTTATGGGAACAACATTGTAGAGAGACCAACAATACCAATTGTCAGAGCTGACAATCGGTCATGAGACATAATCGCCTTCTTGTTCCTTACGAAAATACAGTTCTTATTCAAGCAATAGAAAGCACCTTTCGCTGTTCTTGTTGCCTTGTCGCTTCTGTTAACTGGATGGATTAATTTCTGGAAACAAAAAGGCACAAGTCTAGGACATATTATGCTCGCTTGTGATGCATGCAATACTTCTGCCTCCGAGTAGTTTCTATTCCCATCATCCTCCATATCTTCTATGCCCTTTTATCCCTGAACCAATACCAAGGCCTCGATCTCCAACAAACAAACAAGTCTTTGACTTCTTAGGGTCTATTCAAAATGACACAATCAATACCAATCATATGTTATCATGAGTAGTGATTACCTTTTTTTTTTGTACAAACTTCTTCTCTTGATCACAGATTTTTAGACAGACTCGGGTATTCTGCAGTTAATTTCTTCTGATAGCATTGGTTCTTTTACTAGAAGCATAAAAATTACGCAATTCTTTTTTCTATGGCTTGAATGAACTTTGTATCTTTGTTTGAACTTTGCCAATTTATTTAAAAATTCATTGTTCCAAACATCTCATATTATGCATAATGAACATTATTTGTAGTAAGGAGTGTGAAAAGGTATTCATTCATATTAATTGTTATCAGCATAGAGATGTCCCTATAAACAACCATATTCATAGACCCAAATATCAGTAGGCTCTCTTGGCTTGAAATTTACAGTGCTCAGTTTCAAAAAGAAATAGATGAATAACCCTTCAATATCGAATAAGACACTTATATATCTTTTGCTAACAGTGACTACTAAATTTCTTGGGTATGTATATCAACGTTTATGACTCTTTGCGGGGAAACAATCGATCCATGCCTGTCCAAGAGAACAAGAGCTTTCAGGCATTGTTAGCTGAATGATGCACTGGCTTATTCTTCGAGGCAACGGCCTTACTGAGTTTAATTTTCTGGTTTCATTCTGTCAAAAATATCATTACGCGAGTCTTTTTTTTTTTTTTTACCTCTTTTGACGTTTAAACCTTCCTATGGAGTTTGAAGTTACTTTGCCTAGCGAGAACTTTAAAGGTACTCTCTTTCCTTGCTTATTGACACTGTTCTTATACTTGTCTTGACAGCGTTTTCAGGTACTCTTGACGCCTTATCACATTTTGGAGAACTTGTTAGTCTGGAAGCTCGTAATGAACAAGTAAGGCTTAATCGATCTATTGATCAGCACACTTTTACTCATGGAATCTAGTTTCTTATCTCAACCTTCAACAATTCCCGTACGGCACAAGGCATGATACATGTATCTCGAGACTTCTTTAAGAACTATAAACTACTACGCAAAGGCTCTTCTCATTCTTCTATCAAATGCACAGTATCCAATAAGAATTTCAACAGTATTCTTAAAAAGAATATGGGTGGAATTAAGCGCATCAAAGAGTGTCAGATACAAATCACACAAGGAAGCTCTGGTCAGCAACAACATTCTGAAGCACGCATATTTATGAAATTAGTGTACAGAAATGGTGTGACAAAAAAGAATACACTTTGGTATAATGAAGGTGATTCTATTATGCCCTTTTTTCAACAAAATCACGTCTATAAGATTTCATGTGAGCCAGGCGTGTTTAAAATCTACATGAACAAATTTGATGCGCGAGTTCAAGAACTTGCTTTAACATTAGATCCAAACAAAGTGACACTTTCTTCACATTGGGATGATACTTCCTGCCTCTTTGGTAAGACAGCCTTTTTTTTTTGTTCTGCATTATTCTGATATATGATAGGCGAGCGCCCTGTAAAATCATCATTTATAATTCAATCTTCGGATTTCTCTGTATACCAATTAAGAGAAACAGTCAAATTGGTGGTGAACCTCAAAGAGTTCAAGACAATTGTTGACTATATTGAGAATTTGGAGAGCTTGATTGTAATGGAATTTACAGAAGCAGGGCGGTAAGTACGAGCCATATTAAAGAAAAGATATTTACAAGTGCATAGTCCATTGTTATTTAGACATTTTCACAATAATATCATGCTATCATTAATTGCTTTACAAACATTACCTGAACATCTGTATGGTAATTCACCTGAAGAAGATCACAGCTATGCCAGTATAAATGCTGAAGACTATACTGATATTGAACCCAGACATGCAACACTTCCTGCTTCACATCAGTCAAGACAAAAGTCAGCAATAAGGGAATTAAGAAATCGTCCTCAAGTACGATCTTCCTCTGTCTCTTCAAGCAGTTCAGATGGACCTCTACTACCACATTCTGCTGCAGGATCATCTCGTAGACCTCCTCCTCAGATTCGATCCTCACCTTCTTCTTCTTCTATAAACTCAGAAACTTCTTCCCCTCGTTTGCCTGCCACAAATGTAAAAGAAACTTCCTCTTTCAATAATACATTAGAGTCGCGTGTTATTGAAACTGTCACTCAACCAGCCACTCCTCCAGTTCAACGAGATACTCTGCCTGTGACTCCTCAAGCAGAGTCTCAAAGTACAGAAAACAGTCAAGATCAGAACACAGGAAATAGTCAAGACCAAAGCACAAGACAGCAAGTAACTTCTATACGTTCCACTCCTCGAAGGATGACAACAATTGAAAGAATTCGACTTGAAAGACAAAGACTAGGGCAAAGTAGCCCACCATTAGTTATGCGACAGCCTAATTTTGGGAATGAAGACAGCAGTAGTGAACAATCAACTACAGAAAGAAAAAATTCTCTTACATCATGTCATATCAAATAAAAAGATTCATTTATTTTAATCAATACAAAACACTTTAAGAGTCTCTTAGCCATTTCCTAAAGAAATGTTTCCAGAGATAGCCACGAGGAGGCGGACTCTTTCTATATCTCCATGGGCTTCATTTCACAGTAAGAAGCAATTGAACCCTATGTGTACCACTTCAGCGGAGGATGAACCTACAACGGACAAAAGCGATACAGGACCCAAAGAAAATAACTGGAAACACGCTTGAAGAGGGCATCCGAGACATGGCTCTTCTTCCCTGTGCAAATAAGCTACGCAAGAGCAACTTACTACATACAAGCGGTCCGATGCAACACAACGCCCTGCAGTACCAGCGTATATCTCAGCCCTACCCTGCCGTTATGGTAAGCACATCAAAAGAACCACCTCTTGATAGCCACTTCTCTACAAAGAAAGTTCAAGTTTCCCAAGAGTCGCCTGCGGTCCATAAGCATCAAAAGTATCACCTTTAGAAACACTTATTTCTCACAAGAAACTAAAGGTTCCCAAGAAAACCATAGAAGGACGCGAGAAAGCCAATTTAATGGGAGAACTGGAGACACAAAACGCACATCTGATAGCAGAATCTAGTCATAGCCATGTAATAGAAAGCCATTTAAGATGTTCACAAAAAAAAATAACCAAGAGAAAAGAATAGAACAAAAAGGATTTTTTCTCACATATTTATATATTTTTCTAATTCCGTCATTGTTTGCATAAATAACTGAAACCAGTTTGATGTTGTAAAAGGAAAGACAAGTCTGTTTATCATGAATTTGTTAGGATAGGTAAAATTTCTTTTCAACTTCAAGAAGTCTGGACGCTTCTACCTTGACATAGTTTTGCCCCGCCACTTTGAGGGAGGGGAAGTGTCTGACATCTGTTTAGAAAGTTTATTTGTGGTCTATGACAAGGCATACACTAACTTTCTAGACAGTTGACAGAAATGTAAAAAAAAAAAAAAAAAAAAAAAAAAAAAAACGCCATATTGTTCTTAAAATATTTTATAGATAATAAGCCTGTTTTCATAATGTAGATTTGAAGACATAAAAAAAAAAGAAGAAAATCATAAAAATAATATAGATATATAGCTATAATCAGTCAATCATGTTAACCCATTCGGTCATAGTAGCATTATCAGGTGCTTGAAATGTATGTGAATCATAAAGGGTATCAATCGTAAAAAGTGTTTTAGATTTCTATTTGACAGGTAAGTAAGATAACCTTTGTATTTTATAGGCTTACCATAGTATCCATAGTTTTATCTTCTCTGTGAACATTCTTAATATGAAGAATATCCACTTCACTTGTTTCGTTTTGATCAGGGTATAAGAACAAGAATTTACTATACAAAAAGAGACAAATAAGTAAGGTGTTACTCGTCATAAAAGTATGTTGACATTTACCCCATTAAAATACACCAGTATTTGTCCCATTCTTTACCATCGCTGTCATTCTTGCGCATCAAGTAACCCTTTTTGGATCGACTCGATTCTTCTGGCATAGCAGGCACCATCACTTGATGCACTTGAGGGATCCAACGACGCACCACAGGCTTAATAAAGGTTTCTTTCACTTGAGAAGCTTGAGGTTGCTGGTATTCATGCTTCTTTAACCACATGTCCATAATGGCTTGTTCAGTCAAAGGAGCCTTGCTCTCATCTTTTTGAACACTAGGCCCACATAGACGATCTAATTGTTCAGTCAAATGAACAGCATAACGCATCGATTCTACTTCTTCACGCTTCAGCATGGCCAATCGCTGTTGTTCATAGCTACCCAAGACTTGAGCAGGTAAATCAGCTAATGGTAAATCAAGCACGCCACCAAACAATTCAGGACGGTATCCAATCACAAATAAACTAGTGGTTTGGTTCTTGATGTGACTACTTGATTTAAGAGAAAAGAAGTTGAGGATAACAGAACCGCGCTTGTTTTGAGGATTGGATTTCTTTTTGATAGTAGCTGCCTTGTTTTGATCCTTAATATGGACAAATAAGTCCTTTTCAAACTTGACAGCAACATCAACTTCGTTGCCGTTCAACAGCATTTTTTGACGGACTGTCCACATCAGAGAGATGACAACACGTTGAGCATTCGGGGTCACAGCATTTAACAACAAAGTATCATGCAAGGAGCTGTCCCAGGCACCATGAGCAGTGCATACACCGTCTTTGTTGCTATTGGAGATCAAGTTAAGAGGTACTTCAGCAATGCTAAGTGGTGATTCAAGAATGCGTTGTTTGCTGTCCATCAAGCGAATATGACCAATACGCATATCGACAATTTTATCAAGAGAAGCATTTTGAAGAGACACAACGACTCGACGTTGTTGACCTTGTTGTAATGAGAATGTATCGCTTTGTCCAATCACATCACCACTGTGAGTCACAGTTGATTCAACAGGCACAGGCTTATAGTCACCATCAGGTGTGATTTCGCAGATTTGGATACGAGTGATCACATCTTCTGATTTCTTGATAGGCATGACAACAGGTGGTGTATCGGCTTCAGCAGCCATCTTGACACGGTTGTTGATAGACAGCGCAACTTGCTGCAAGTATTGCTTGTTGGGCTGACCATAGACTTCAAACGTGATATCCTTGGTTTTAATGATATTAAGAATGTCTTGTGTGATAGCCATAGACAATGTTTGATGGTAGTTGAATTCGAGTGTGCCCTTATAAGTGTATTCTTTGGCTTCAGAGGCAAATACACCCTCCAAGTTACTTCCAAAAGTAGACAAACGGAATTGAGCATGTACGCGAGAGAAGAGTTTGGGGTCTAAACCAGAAATATCAACAATCGAAATCTCAAACACGAGTTGCTGGCCTACATGTAACAAACTACGAGGATTTTCATCGTCCATGATGGGCTCGTTGGGGTCTTCAGCTGAGCTGACGGAGGAAGCACTACTGCGATAAGGATGACGCACCGAACGAGCAATAGGTGCAATAGCGACACGCAAATCAGCCATCTTTTCGCCCGTGTTGCGACAATGAACAGAGACAGTGCTTTCAACAGGCACTTGAGTAGTCAAGTTACGAAGAGGTACTTTAGCAAGACCCACAAGTGTGTAAGCAGGAGGTTGTTCAGATTCATAAAACAAATCTTCACCCTTCATGTGTTTCTTGGAGTCGGAAGCAAAGTAAGCACCTTGAAGGTAACGAAGACGAGCCAAAAACTTCTCAATAGACCAAATGTGGACAGATTGGTGCTTTTGGTCTACCACTTGAATGGCAATACAGGGTTTGGGTGTCTTGATCAGGTCAGCGTCTAGAGTGCTCTTTTGATGCTGTGCGCCATGATTGGATTCCCAATGAGAGACAGCAGTAGCGGACATGGTATCATGAACCACAGCAAATTGGTAAAAGACGTCTTTTTTTGCCTTGAGAGCCATTTCATTGGCCTGTCTGACATGAATATCATGCGTTAGAATAACCTTGGCCATAGCCACATTACGCTTGCGTCGCCAATGAGCAGCCACTTTAGAAGCAAGTAATTTTTCTCTAGGAGTAAGAGCCACAGGAGGAGCATGAGACAAACGACGAGAAAGACGGCGTAATTTGGCTTGGTATTTTCGTCGGTGTTGTTCCATATGCATTTCTTGTTCTTCTTTAGACATCATAAAGTAGTTTTCGCCAATAGAAGAGCGAGAAGATGAAGTGGAAGAGACAGTGCTGGTATCTGTAGTGTAGTCACTATCATTAAGATCGTCCATAAAGACAGAGGAGTAAGTACTGCGGCGGAAAGAGGAAGACGAAGAGGTGCGTCGTGAAAGAGTATCAGAAGAAGCAGACTGGCGTTTACGAATCACTCGTACTTTGGCAACATCATCAAACAATTTGTCCAAATCTTCATCAGTAAGGTTATTAAAGTTAGAATCATTGATATAAGTGTTGAGCATAGCTTCACGGCGAGCGAAATTCCAATCCATAACTTCGTTCAAAGGAGGAGACATGAGACCGTTTTCAAAAGTAGGCGAAGTGGGTGTGCATGGTGAATCAGCTCGAACAGGTTCGTTTTCTTGTGCTTGTTGTTGAATGATTTCACGCTCTTTTTTGGCTTCGCTCGGGTTATTGAATCGAAAGACATGATAGTCGCCAAGAATAATACGATATCCGCTCTTAAGACGCTTGGGCTCAGTGATGCGTCTACCATTGACCATGGTAGTACAATCTTCACGAGGATATAAAGTGACAACATTATCGACATTTTCAAAGTGGCAGTGATCTTTGTTGATATTAGTGCCACTAAGGCGAATAATAGAGCTATTGTTGGCATTGTTATCTGGTTCTGCTTCTTCGGACTCTGGTGCATATTTATCGACATGTGTAATACCAGGCTTAATATTGTACATCAAACACTCGGACATCAAAGGATCCTCGTTCAAATTGATCAAATAAGGAATCTCTTTGGGTGTATATAACCCTACTTGATTTTTTTCGATGGTGATACCCAAGTTTTTAAGGGTATGTTCTCGATCGACATGAATCTTTTCGGTTGTCTGGAGCTTTTCTTCCCAGGTTTGGTTTAATTCGCTCAAGAGTTTTTCCGTCATCTGTAGTTGATCCACCATTTCGTCTTTTGTGAGCTGAGTAATATTGCCTGAAGCATCTGTAAAGACGACAGTTGATTTAGAACTGGTAGGTGATGCGGCTGAAGTAGTAGGAGGAGCTAATGAACAAGGTTTTGTATTGCTAGGCTTATTAGCAATTACCGGTGTTGTTGTTGTTGTGGCTGATACTGTGCTATTATTTGCCACCGGCTTTTTCTTTGTAGGATGCGCCTTGACTTGAATCTTCTCAACTTCTTCAGGAGCGTAGACCATCAATGCTTGTCGAAGTGCTTCTACTTCATCTTTGAGTTCACGCATTGCTTTTGCATTAGGGTCTTCGTTCACAACAGCCTTTGTCTTGATCTTCTTGGCTTGATCAGCATATCTGAGTGTACTGAGAGTTTCATCATAATCAGCAGGTGAAATGGCGGCAATCATACAGGTCTTTGAATTACCGCCCAAAGAGTCCTTAAGAAGCCAGGTAAGGACTGAGTCACGGAAGGGAATAAAGGCTTCCTTGGATTTTTTTGACTTGGATTTTGTTTCAACAACTGAAGATTGCTCGGCAAGACCGGCAATGACTTTACCGAGTGTTGTAAGCGACTTGTTAATATTAGCACCTTCTTTTAAACGGGCACCTGTAGCACCCGTACTGTTAGCACGTTCACTACCAGCTAAATCGACAAGACTAACATCGTCAGTACAATAATAGAAAAAAAAGGGGGATACAATGGTATTATTTACCTAATACGGGCAACTTTGTCAGTTACTTGTTTCGTCGTAGGATCTGTGATTTTTTGAGTTAGAAAAATGGTACAGACACCATGTGAACGGGAAGATGTTTCATTCATGTTGGTAGCAGCAATTGTTCTGGCTTTATTGCCTTCGTCCATGAGTTGGTCAATGTTTTCATATGAGTTGACAGCAAGACGGGATAAATCTTGGACGTAAGGACCCAAGACGGGATGCTCTCTGACTTTCAAATTACTTTTGTTGCGAGGATTAAGCAAATCTCGTACTTTTTCATTATAAATTTCAATATAAGAAACTTCGACTTGGAAGTCTAAATTGGCTTCTCTTTTACTGGCAATGCGTTCAAATAGTTCATGACATGTTCTGGGAATGATACCTTTATCTTCACCATAACCCATCTAATAAAAATAAATGAATACTGCATTTAAAAAAAGTGTATTTACCATAGAATAGGATTTACCAGAACCGGTTTGACCATCTATTATAGTAAGTATATAAACATTGACATCATATGATAACTTACAAGCAAAAATACAACAATTGTAGCCATTAAATGCATGGTCCAATAATTCTTTACCGAGGTCATTAAAGACACGCTCTTGATCTGCATAGTCGATATCGTCTTTGTCAGCGGACCAATAAGATTGATCAAAAGTGAATGCTTTTGGGTCTTCGAGAACTGTCGAGCCGGGAGAGACAGGTTTACTTAAAACAGTTTTGTTGCCTTCCATGCGAATCAAACAGGGCGCATTTCTGGCCTTTTCTGTAGAATGTGTAAGTGCATATCAAATGTTTGTGTCCACTCACCTCTTGCGTTTAAAGGTCTACAACGCACAACGACCTTAATATTGCCACTCATAGTGTGTTGTTTTTGTCGTCAAGTAGTGTTTGAGATGACAAATAGAGATGAGGTAGAAAAAAGAAAAAAAAAATAAGAATAAGATAGAAAAAGAAAAGAAAAAAAAAAGAGAGAGAGAGAGAAAAGAAAAAAAAATAGAAAGCAGTAACTTTGTTGTTTGTACCTTAAATGACAGATTAGAAAGGGCTGAGTTGTGAATATAAAAAAAGAGTCTTTATTCCCAACTTCCACGTGGAACACAACCCTCTTTTGCCTTCTTGTCTTTTAGTTCTAAAAGAGTTGCTCATTTTATTGTTCAATAAATATTTGTACGACTCTTTTATTATTTTTTACCATTGGCTAGTTTCTTGATATCACTGCCAACCAGTTCATTTTTGCCACTACTATAGTAATTCATCATACATTCTAGCCTCCAACGCTTCCAGACTTCTTCATTTGGGAATCCCATCTTTTCCCATTCTTTTTGTTCTTCTTCTTCGCTTTCTTCTTCGTCTATTTGGTGCTCATATCTTAGCAGGAAATTAGGGCGATGATCCGAGGCTAATTCAGACACAAATTGTGCTGCATCCATAGCTAATCGATCGTGTCTCTCTAATAATTGGTTCCATTGATCCAGTTGGTTTTTTATCAGTTGGTCATCATCAAGTCTTTGTTCAACCACGCTCTCCGTCTTCATTTCTTGTGCAATGGCTGCCTGCGTCTCTGATTCAAGGCGTTCAATATCTGGAATCAACTTTGTTCTTAAAAGCACACTTAGGATATTGGTTTCTTGTTCAGTAGTAGTGGGTATATAAGGATGTACCATTAATTTGGGTAATGTCGCATTACTTCCTGTCGTTGTGTAGCTGTGGAAATCCTCAGAGAGTGTAGCGAACTTTGCTGTTAGCATATTGAATTTGTTCAAGAGGTCAGGCCAAGTGAAAGGGTATTTAGGTTCTTTTAAATAGGTCAAGTGAGTTGAAAAGGTTTCTTGAAGTGACCATAATTTGCCTCGAAGTGCTTCTAACTCTTGATATGTGTGTGGGTCGAGTGTTGCTTGAATATGTGAATGGTCCATAGTATAAAAAAAACAAAAGAAAAACACGGTAAGATTGTCGCTGAATAAAACCCCCCTCTTCTCAGAAAAAAAAAAAGTACGGTCACTTGCGAAAGGAGAGGGACTTTTTCTTTGTTCTATATTTCTCTTTAGTTTACGCCTCATTCTATATATGCACCGCAGCCAAAGAAACTGACGTTTTGATCTTAACCTTTTATAGTACAAATATTTTACCAATCGCAATTTATTTTTACTGCAGGCTTCACATGAATAAATGACTCCTTTTTTTTTTGTTCGATCCAATCACTCTTGCTATCTTTGAATAGACTTCAGGAACTCCAAAAAAAAAACATTTGACGTCATAAAGTATACATACGCGCCAAGAACGCGTTCCGGAACTTTTATGTTCGCTACAGCATCCTTTTTCTTTTCCTCTTCTTTTCTTTTATAAATATATATATATACACTATGACTGATATAGAACATAATTATGTGACTTGGAGAAACAAGTAAAAAAGAAAAACCAACAAAGTTGAAATACAATATCTGACCAGAGAATATAGGTACTTGAGAACATATGAAGATGGATTATATGTTTATTATAAAGATCCAAGTGAAGGATTAAAAGAAATGACATGTTCAGAAGCCCATGGTAAAGCGAGCATTGCGTTCATACAGATCTCTAAGTTGTGTTCTTAGGCTATGGTATGCTTATTTCTGTCTTGAAGCGTAATCAACAAGACTTTGATGGTATGTATCCATGTCGCACAAGACAGAATTCTGATTTATTTTTAGGATTGTACAGATATTTTATGAGATTCAGAAACAGTAAAGGGTTAATGCAGTAAAGTTTAGATGCAGGAAAATAGACAGGATTTAATGTAACCTGATAGGTGGCAACAAAAGGCAGACCATCATGGTCGATTTGTGCCAGGTGATGAAGGAGGCCAGAATTGTGCTACAGACGGTGATGTGGATGTCTGTACTGCTCTTTTTGTAGCAGCCAAAGTCTGGGGAAGAGGTGGTCCTCATGGTGAAATTGACTATCGCCAGACAGCTGTTGAATTAGCAGGATGTATTTATCAACACTGTATTAATCATCAAACACATATGCCTTTGATTGGTGATTGGGCAGATCCTGGAGATGATGCTTATTTATTGACAAGACCTAGTGACTTTATTTTAAGTGGTTACCTTATATTTTACTATGTCAGTTCAAGGCTTTGTTATGAATATGAGCTGACTTTTTTTTATATATGTAGGAAGATACACAGCGAAAAGAACAATGGGCTAATGTAATTAATGCCATCATCAACTGTATTATGGCTCAACACAGTCTGAATCCTCAAACAGGTCTTATTGCAGACTTTTTGAAATTAGACCAGCGCAGTGGTGCATACCATCCTGCTCAAGGTCAAGTCTTGGAAAGTGATCATGACCCAGACTATAATTGGAACTCATGCCGTGTACCTTGGCGTATTGGACACTATTACATGTTGACACGTGATGAGCGTGTTCGACCTATCCTTGAGACGCAAGCTCATTTCTTTGCCGGTCAACTGGCTCGTGGAGGAGGTGGTGGCGATTGTGGTATCAAAGCAGGTTATAAACTCAATGGCCATTGTTATGTGGATTACACCGATATGGCCTTTGTTGCTCCCGCTTGCTTTTTGTTCTGGGTGCTTGAATGGCGTGTACAATTAGATCAAATTCTGAATGAAATGAGACAGATGGAAGCTACTTACTTTGGTGAAAGTATTGCTATGCTTTGTTTGCTAGATGCAAATGTACCTTTATAGATGTGTTACACATAAATCACTGCAAAAGAATAAAAATATACGCTTATATTTTTATTTATAGAATTCTTTCTTTCTTTCTCTTTATTCTTTTCTAATGACAAGTTATTTCTTTATCTTGTTGGTATTGTTCACCTTTGCTCACGCTCAAAATTTAATCAATATTGATGTGCCTAAACCCAATGAAATGATTTACAACAAAGAGTTACTCAACATGACATTCACTGTCATTGGAAGTCAAACAGGTTGCGTAGTCAATTAATATTTGTGTTTGTATTAACCTTTTCTTGTTTAGTGAGTCCAGCCGTAAGTGACTATTATCCTTCTTCTTTGATTGCAGATTTCGTATGGACAGAACGTGCCAATACGGCCAATGTCTTGTCTTTTAATATCGCTTCGGGACTCAACACAAGTCCATATCCCGGCGGAACTCAAAGCATTCAACGCAAAGAATCTTGGAGAGTACCTGATTGCCATTTCTTCTCCCGTTACTCCCCCACTGCTTATGATTTCTCCATTGTGTTTACACCTGTTTATCCTGTAGCTACAGAAACATCACCCGCTACTGGCATAGCTCAAGATAAAATTGTTATTCCTTTATCTATCACTGTCGATAATTCCACTTTTCCCAAATGCTAATAAGGATTGACCTGCAATCCATTGTAAAATAAAAAACGGCTCCTGAATATCATATAGAAAGATGACTATTTGTCACACAAGTCCAAGTTGATAGGCTTCATTAAATCGATAGCCAATCAATCATGGTAGGAAAGACAACGTTTTCTTGTTATTTTTAATGCAGTTTTCTAAAAAAAAAATATTGATCATTGGCTATGTTTTTACTTCATTTGTCTTGTGTACACTATATCGTTTTGAACCCATGGGTTGTATTTTTTCTTGTTCTTCCTCTTGTTCACTATCATTGCCTCCTTCTTCTTCACCTAAAATTACCCATTCAACATCGCCTTTCAAAAGGGCATCACTATAATCACTTGGGAAATGATCATTGATAAAAAAGGGAAACAAGATACGAAATAAGATACGAATGGACGATTCGTATCTCAATCTACGAATCACAGACTTGTTTAAGAGACCTGAAAGATGCAAGTAAGAAATAGGTCGAACAGGAATAGGGTCTTGTGTCTTTTGATTAGGCGGGTATATCGAAATCTTGTAGGAGGAATCAATAAACACAAGTGTGCCTGGTGGAGAACTGTACCAAAATGGAATTCGAGGAACAACATCTAATCAATTTTTAAACAACTAGAGCCATAAAAACGAGGTATATACCATTGTTATACGTATGATTGAAGATCTTGCAGTTGATATCAGGCGTAAAGGATTTACCAAAATCTTTGTCGCCAATATTGGGTTGACCAAAAGTATAAAGACCTGCAAAGTGCTGCATAAGAGGACTTTGGACTTGTATCATCTTTGCTACAAATACTATAGAGAATTAACTTGGCATGATTTGGGGTATAAACTTACCTGTAGCAAGTGCGCCACCTAAAGAATGGCCAGTAACATACAATTTTTTTTGTTTGTTACCATGGATCAACTGTAAAATATGATGTTCAGCTTGAGTATAGGTGCTTTGATGGCGAACAATGGCTGAATCATGACCAGCCCAGTTGGCATCTATCGGATCAATGACATTGGTGAAAATATTTAGGGAAAGCATCTTGATGATCCTCAGGATGCCAATCATAGAGGAAGTAATAGACTTGGAAAGTGATGCGCTGCTTAGATCAATCTGAATATGAGAATCAAATGAATCAGGAAATGACTCTGTTGATTCTGTAGCTCCCATTGCATCCCAAAATCCTTTATGAACTTTTCCCATATAGCCTTGTGCTCTTGATGAAATTTTGGTTAGACCAGCATCAATATTAGTCACATAGTTTTGAATGTTCAAGGGGTTTGTGCTACAAAGAACATAAGTCTCTAGGTTTTTTTTTCACATGTTTGTACCCTCGAAATACAACCATGATGGCATTTTCTTTTTCCACCGCATAAGCACATACGTTCTATCATTTATAAATACATACATTCATCTTAATGCTATTACCTTGTATCCAATTGCTTTAAATGTGTTTTCGACATCATAGCCTGCCGATGCCAACTCATATTTCACAACAGCAACATCTTCATAGGCTAATTTACTTGCAACTGAAAGAGTATGTGCGATTGATAATGAATATTCAGGACGTTTAAAATCAGGATTACTCTTTCCATAATTCGAGTCAAGTAGTCTTGATTTGGTTGTGTCTTGCAAGTTGTCCTGGGGAAAAAAACGCAAGTCGCCTACATTGATTAAGGCTAAACAAAAAAAAAAGAGGGGGTTACTCATCCATTGCATCGTTTGTTGTTTTCTTACACAAATAGCGATGTGTTGTATGCTGGCCAGCAAATCGACCCAGGACAATACGTATCAATTGATCACACATCATGAGTCCCACAAACCAAAAGAAAAACTGGGTACGGATAAACAAGTTGATGAGAGGACCAATGATTTTTGTGTGTGAGATGCTTCGAGCAATAGGCATTAATCGCTTGTTTAAGAGACCCAAGATACGAAGTATTATGGGCATACAGTGTTGAACTAGTTTTACCATGACATAAGCACCCATAGGTACTGTCAGGACAAATACTGAGCCCAAGTAACAGAGTAAACTGAGAATCCAATGTTCCTTGTAGTTGGCATAGTAACCCAGGACTGCTGGGATTAAGGCCAATAATAATGTGATTTCTATCAGCCGTGTCAAATTTTGATTATTTTTCATACAGAAGAAAAGACAAAAAAAAAAAGAATAAGAAGAGTTGATAGGATACATATTTAAGCGGTCATTAAATTTGAGCCATTGGATGTAGAGTGCACAAGGCATATTTGTTTGTAACCTATCCTTGACAGGCAAGAGTATCTTCTTTTTCGTCTCTTTAGACTGTCTTTCTCTAAAACTAGTATAATTAAAGAAAAAATTACATAATCGCACTGAAAGTAGTTTAACTCTTTCTCTTACTGATTTGTGTAACTAATGATGTAAAGTTATAAAAAAGGATCGACGATGACTATATGACGCAAAATCACAAAAAGTATATTGTTTGATTTAGAATGAAGAAAACACTTGAGCTTCTTGGGCAAAAAATGGATTGAAGACAACAAGGCAATTTTTGAATTTAAGTTTGTGCCAAGATGTTGATTAGATATTACTTTAAACATCAACTTGTGTTCACAAGCAACATGATAAATAAAAAGTCCGTCTACAAAACGTCATTTAAAGCCATCGTTTATTTTTTCAGGGTTATTTTTCCTTTTTTCTTCTTTTTTTTTAATCTTTTTCTTATGCCACATCTTCGCCTTTCAAAGTCATTAAGGGCACGTTTAATTGTTAGTTATGGAAAGGATTGGGTTCTTGTGATTTTGATGATTATCATCTTTTTTGCTATTGATATAATCACTCCCTTTCACAGAGAATTCTCTATTAATGACACTTCACTTATGCACAACTATGCAGTGAATGAAAGTGTACCTGTGTGGGCACTTGCAGTATGTACATAAACTATATATGCTGTGTTGATTTGTGAAATTAGGTCATTGCGATTGTAGCACCAGTTGTGATCATTGCTGTTATTTCCATTGGGGTCCGTAGAAGCTGGATGGATTTCAATAGTGGTTTATTAGGTATACTGAAGAAAACAATAAAATTGTATATTTACAGTACTTTAGGACTTGCTTTGGCTTTATCAATGACGATCATGTTTACTGATGTTCTCAAGGTTCGAATTGATAAAAAAAAAAGAAAAACAGTAATAACATTTAATGTAGATTACAGTAGGCCGTCCCCGTCCAGACATGCTTGATAGATGTCAGCCACCACCTGGCATTCAAGATCCACCATTACACTTATTGAACTATACCATTTGCACTGCAGATCACAACACATACGAGTTTAAAGATGGATTTAAGAGTTTCCCTAGTGGTCATGCATCATGTAAATTTATGATCTATTTCTTGTTATTTATGCTAACTTGTATTTTCCCTCTCTAGTCTCATTTGCAGGCCTAGGCTATTTGTCTTTCTTTTTGGCAGGGAAAATGCATCTTTTTGATCAAGGAGGTGTAAGTTATCAAACTCGATATGAAAGAAATGAGTATTAATATTATGAGAATAGCATACTTACAAGAGCTTTGTGTTCTCTTTTCCTTTTTTGGGTGCACTCTTGATTGCCATTTCTCGAATTCGAGATTATCGTCACCATTGGACAGATGTCTTTGTGGGTGGCATTATTGGTAAAGACATATTAAAAAAAAGACAACCTCATACTCATGACTGTATGTATAGGCACTGTATTTGCTTATTTTTGTTATAGACAATACTACCCTTCCTTAGCTCATAAAGAATCACAAAAGCCTTTCCCACCACGTCTTTCGAGTCCTGAGGACATTTTCCCTGGAGACAACCCCCACCATGACGATGAAGAATCAGCTGTTGTACATCCAGGCGACTCCTTTTACGGTGAATGTAGAGACTCATTCGATTCATCTTCTAGACTCTTATCCTAACTCATCTTTAGATACTGAACGGCCTGGTACCACTCGATCTGATAATCGTAGCTATACTACTACTCAAGTAGAGTCTCCACCAAACAAATACAATATTGATCATGTCGAACAAACTCAAAATTCCTCTAGCACTTCTTCTTTCCCTCCTCCTCCATCACATCCTAATCATAAACACCATCATGAATACCGTTCGTGATTTATTCCGTTTTCTTTATTATTAAATACAATGTAGATAGTTTGTTAATTCGTGTTTGCTATAATCATTCAGACATCTTTTTGAACCTTTCCCTATAAATGAAATAAGAATCCTATGTTTTCATTATTGTGTATTTTTACATGGCTAAAGTAAGATCATCCAACTAATCATAACAAATAAGTAAAAACATCCATTTGTATGTATATTTTACCTTGACCATCATGCTCTTTAACATGACTTCCTTTTTGTCAAAACTTTTGTTTGATGCAGATATCAAATCTTGATTTGTCTTGACTGAATTTGCTTTATGAGAGCTATTGAGAATGTTAAGACATGCTATCAATAGATATGCTTATTTTACGGTATATCATGAATGGATTCTAAAGAAACATGTTCACTTGCCAAGTCAATTTGCTTTCTTCTGATAATATCTAGTTCTTTGAATAATCGCTCTGTATCTTTACCTATACAATCTGTTAACACGATGTTGACATTGGTTAGACATGCCATATATTCTGAGCTCATCATTCTGAAATGCTCTATCGACCTTTTTGAACTCTTCATTCAAGTTTCTTATTACATGCTCGTGAGCTTCCATCATGATCAACAGGTAAGAAAAAAAAAAAGGGAGAGAACACAACAAGGCGCATGATACTGCCCATATAAGGACAGAAGAAATATTGGACTTGATTTTTTTTATTTACTGGTGTTAGCAGCAGCATCAGTAGAAATAGTGTTGGAGGATACTATATGCAATATTATCAGCGACTGACAAGTTGTCAGAGTTGTATTTCTGAACATCGATAGTGCATTTGGTCAATCATAACAACTAATGGGGTACCTTGAAATATAAGCAGTAAAAGCTGTTTAACAAAGCTTACATAGTCAACTTCTTGCTTTCATTTATTGTTATTTGCTGAAGAATATCTATGATCATTTTTTGGTCGCATTGTCTCTGTCCAACAGTTCTATATGTTCTTGTAAGATATACTTTTTCAATTTTCTTAGGGGCCACCGTTTTTTTTAGGGATATAACCGTGAGGGATCCAAACAACGATGGCCCGAAGTAAAAAAAAAAAAAAAAAAAAAAAAAAAAAAAACCAGCAGCCCTTAAGAAAATTGTTCTGCATTATCACCATCACTTTTAATCAGTTTATACACACTATATCACTGCAATGTCAATTTGCTCACAGCATGAAAAGAAGTTGAAAAATTCCATAGAGGTTTATAACCTCTATTCTCTCTCTCAGCCAATAAGCAATGAAAATCCGCTATATACATTTTACTGCCATTATCATCATTTTTCGACAAGAAATTATTTCTTGTTTATTCTTTCAATATGTGCCATCTAGAATAACACTACTCATAACTCTGGCTCACTCTCATCGCATTTACTCAACCTCAGTTGCTCTCAGAGAAAAATTTTTTTAATGATTTTATTTGCCGCACGTATTAGTGGTCTTGAGAGGGAGGTGCTCGACAATTATTTATTATAAGAGGGTTAAAAGAAACAAAAAAGTACTACAATATCAAAAGTACAAAGAAATCAAGAAAAAAAAAGAGTAGCTGTTACGAGGAGAAACCTCTCAAGGTGAAAGGTCATTCTCAGCGGCTATTCGCTTAATTTGATATCGAGTGCTGTGAAGGACAGAGAGGTAGTGGAACTGATTATTCTGCATGGTATGAGCCCGAATCCGAGAAAAATTGAAGGATGCAAGTGCATCTGAAACTGGATCCAGAGAGGTGTCTGGCCACAAAAACTCCCTGATCAAGGCATTCCAGAACGGAAATTTTTTGGGGCAGCGAAAGAAGAAATGATAGATCGTTTCCTGATCACCACACAAAATGCATGCAGCAGTGGGAAAGCGAGCAGGAAAAATCCTAGACAAAAGCATACGAGTGGGAATCTTTTGGGTTAGAAATCGATACATCACGTTTCTCTGCACGGCTGTAATTGGCGTGCGTCAAAAGTACTTCCAAACCGCAGAAGAAACCTCTTGCCGGGTAACGAAATCAGACGAGGAAGCTAGTGTAATGGCCTTACGGAAAGCATAGTCACCATTTTTGAGAGCAACAAAATTTGCGTTGTTAAATGGCAGTTTCAGAGTACGCACAAAGAAAGAGAAACCAAGAGACCGCTGTATTGCAGGAACATGCACAGGATTGTATAGTTCTAATGAAGTACGAACAAGGCATTGACAAAAAAATGGTTCCAGTTGACAATGGTTTTGATTCACTGCTTGAAAGTATTTTCTAACACTACGTCGAATATCCAAGGAAAAAAAATAAACCGATATTGGTACCAAATAGTAACTCTGTGGATGGTACTCATACATATAGGAAGCTGCTACTGTACGTAACTTGAGAGGCAAGTCAAAAGTGTTGGATGGCAGAACAATGGAGCGTAAGGGCAGTAAAAGACACTCGATAGGATTTGGCATGTATGTATACTGCTTCCTAGGAATAGCATCCATTGTCTGGCAGCACATTGTGGCAGTGTTACTTGCCAATTGCCTGAGTTGGCCTGGTCGAGAACGAGGAAAGAGCAGACCCAAGAGCAGATATTTGGTCTGAAGCAAATCACGAGCATGCGCAGCTAGAAAATCTTGAACTACAAAACGTTCAGCTTGAGGAACCAAGAAAGGATCAATCCGATAATAACAAAGTGTTTTCTGCTGAGCGAATAGATCAAGAATGCCAAGGCCACCATGTCATTTTGGTGCAGTCATTGTTTGCCAACTTATGCGAGGAAAGATTTGCCGGTTGACAAAGGAAGAAATGACAGCTTGAATGACTTTGAGGATGGCTTGACTAGTAGGGATTACCCGCAGAACATACCAACATTCAGAAAATAAGAGTGAACTAGCCACATTGGCTCGACCAACAACAGAAAGACTGCGTGAAGCATGGGTATCCGCCAGTTGAGAGCTTCTTGTAAAAGGAAATCATTACCTTTGTTTTCCCTTCAGTGGAAGTAACCAAGCGCTAGAATTTGGATCAAGGAGCTTCGGTATTGTCCGCTGAATTGATCTATCTTGAGCTAATTTTTTGAATAGACCAGGAGATCTTTCATCTTTCTCTCTCCAGGATTTCCCTGCTTTAAGATGTTCTATTTCGGCAGATTCATCCTGCAAAATAGTAATCATTTTTTCGACCTTCGGAGAAAGAGATGATAAAATAGATGTATTTTTGTGATCTTGTAAAATTTTGCTGCGTTTGGATTGAAGCTTCTTGAGTGTCTTAGATCTCCAGTTGTTACGCTTGATTTGGAGGGATCGAGTAAAAAATTTTACTTGTTCTTTCAAATCATCCTAGAGAAATTGTACTGAGGGGCAATTAGGATCTAAAAGGTTGATACTTCTCATTTACTGTTCAATGTGTGCTGTCAAACCGTTTCTGTATGTGGATAGCTGGGCAAGGTTGGGGTTACCTTTCCAAAGGTCACTTCCAGGTGGGGTGTATACTAGTTGATAGTTGATGGAAAGCAAGGCATGGTCAGTCTAACTGTAGTTGACGAAACTTTGAGCCTAGAAGTTACATTGTCAGCATAAGATTGGGTGTGAAATATATAATCAATATGTGTTCGACTACCAGTGGTACTAACATATGTGGGAAGAGGATCGCTTTGAAAGCAATCTTGAAATGCAGTAAATAGTAGATCATTCCAGCACGTATCAATGTTGGATTTACGGTAAATGTCATAGTTGAAATTGCCAGCAATAATAATAGGCAAAGACGTTGACCGTAAATGTGACATTAATGGTTGATTGGAAGATAATGTGCGAAAGAATGTGGATCGACTACTACGATAAGCAGGAGCATAAATATTGAGGATATACATAAAAGGAATGGAGAGTTCAGAGGCATGAGCGATAGACGCTAAGGGAAAGCGGCCATTGGCAGACTTGATGGTGGGATGTGCTGTAATTTTGTAGTGAGATTTTAAGGAAACAATGCCACAGTGTTCTGTCCAAAGACTAGATTTAGTCTGGAACTTGAGATTGAGCTGTTTCTGTATATTAAGTGTAGATGCGTGTGTTTTTTGTAAGCATAGAATGTCATATTTAGTTGAACGTAGAAAGCAGATGAATAAGAGTTGTTTGTAAGGATCTGAAGTTTTCGTAAGGCCACGACAATTAAGGGTGGCAATTTGCATAGAGCCTTTAGACATATATTATCTTATTAAAAGTCAGGAGAGGTACCTGTTGATCCACCTGTATTATGATTAGACACCACTCTATGTCTCTCGCCATGGTTAAATTTGATCTTTTTACGCTTCTGGATAAACCTTTCTAAGTCTAAAGCCTCTTGGGTTGGATTATTGCTTGGAATATTTTGAAGATATTCATCATCATCCTCTCCATCGGTGTCAATGATTTCTACGTCACTATCTCCTTGCTCTTTCATTTCATGATCCATTAATTCAGACTCGACTAATAGAGAGAGTTTGAATAGTCTCTGTTGCTATTTGAGTAAGAGGAGCGGTAGTCAATGAGGCAGGAGAGACAGTTTGCTTAGACTTCACACTTTGTGACAGTTTCCTATTAGGAGGATTGGGGCCTGTTCTACTAGTCTTGTCTTTTGTAATCCCAATACGCTTATTAAGAGGGTGGCCTGATCTATGATTACGACGAGGACAATCACGATTGATATGACCAAGCTCATTGCAGTTATAACAACGACGAGTATTAATGAGTTCCATGCAATCTGCTCGACAATGGTCGGATTTTTGACAAAAACAATAAAATTGGATCATTTCATCCCACGTAAGCAGAAGTTCTCGATCAAATTCGGGCCAATCCACTACTCGACCAAGTTGCTCAGGCTTAGTCTTGTGAGGATTATTCAGATCAAGAACGACATATCCCTCGCCCAAAAACACAGCACCGTCCATATGAAATCCCAGATCCAGGACTTCACCAAAATGGGAAAAACGTTTTTTCATTTGCTCGCGGAGAGTTGAAGGATGAATCAAAGGGAGTCTTTCAACCTTAACTCGAGCAATTTTGGCGTTTTGGGGCAAGCTGCGGTAGCCTTTGATAATCGTGTTATCTTCTATCTGCAAACCGGAGTTGACCAATTTATTGTACACTTCTAATTCGATATCCCAGCATGTTTCAATAAAGCGTTTCTGCAAATATTGCGCTCAACAAGTGCCAAAGAAATAATACTCTTTATTTGTATTGAATGGCCCAAGAAACTGTTTAAGGCCATTTACATCATGAATATTAGTGATATAAGTCAGACACTATCTTTTTCTAAACCGACAATATAAGGCGTAATGGTACCTGGAGAAAGAGTGCTGTTACTAGCATATTTTGACTGGGAAGAACCAGAAGTGCGTGCAGATGAAGAAGTAGAAGCCAATAATGACGACTGGTTAGCAGACACAATAGCTCTAACTGTTACTTGCGACCAGGTTTTGAGTGCATTTTCGTTATTACGACACCCTTTGGAGGATGTCATGTTGTGGGTTGGGCTGAGAAAATTTTATTTAGGTCGTTTCATCCCTCAGTAATGCTATAATGATAGCATAAAACCTGTTTATACATGCGCGAATACTTCAGATACCTTCAAGCAATGTTTGCTACCATCTATGATACTTTTGGAGTTAGTTTGAACCAAAAAGAGCGACCTGTAAAAAATGGTCAAAAGGCATATTTGACCAAGAGTTCCATTCATGAAAACCATCGATTTGACAACCTTCAAGCTTCTTTTTGGCGCTACAAGACGAAAAACAAAGATATCGACAAGCTTAAATACTCGAAATGTGCGTCAAGCACTATATTTCTTGACCAATGTGTTTGTTTGCCAGTTGTACTATAGAAATGGCAAGATATGAGCGGAAACCTCATAGACATTTTGGTTATTTCTTATGGACCACCCCCTATCAGACACGTTCAAACCAAAATTCGCAGAGTACCGGATAGAGAGGGAATGGTTCACATAACTGTGGCTAGAGAAGAGGCGTTCCTAAAAAAAAGCATAAAATGCATAAATGTACGTTTACTAATGACGAACACTTCATCCACTACAAAAAGAAGCATTTTGAGAATACAATTGCTATTAGTTTTTTAGTGTCTCTATTTCTTCTGCTTTATTTCGTAATGTTCTATCTTAACACAAATAAATCATGTATCTTTTGATGTATTTGATAGATTATTGGTTTTTTATGTGATAAACAATTGAACCTTGTTTATTGTATGAAATGTAGTCGACTGATAAAACATCTTTTACAAATGGACTATTTTTCCTTTTTATTTTTCATAAAATGGCTACAATCACTTCCTCTTCTTTAAAAATCGCATACTCATACAAAAGTGATTGCTTTTTGGAGTGAATGGAGTGTTCTTTAGCCACCTCCTCTCTACCTGGTACCCTACGAATTCCGGTTTGAACATGTCCGATAGATGGTACTCCTTAAGAAAAAAGGGAGTAGCTCATACAAAAACCAAAGAAAAAAGGATATTGCCAAGCTATTAACCGAAAGAAAGCAAATTTTAAATGGGTTTATCAAAAAACACAATCTTGATCTTGAGGGGCCAAAGAAGAAAAAAGCAATGAGAATTCTTTTTTTTTTTCAGGATGGTCAATGGTAATGTCATTGACAAAAATTCTCTATGTCTAAAGGCAACAGTGAGAAGTAAGACTCGTATTCCTTGGTTGCTATATGCCAAACCAACATGAAAAACAGTAGATCATCCATATGGCTCCAAAAGTGTCAAGTTGTTCCTGAAGCAAAATTTGCAACAACTCTTTGCCCATAAGGTTTGTTTAGTTGTTTCTTTAGCTAATTCTTGACCTGATAATCAAAACAATGATGTTATTGAAAAAGCTAAATCGATAAGAGGTGCTCTAAAGAAATATACATCGAGCTTAGGTTCACTAACAGCTACTGAAGTCCAGTACTTCATCAATCAAGTATATCTTGTGCAAGATAATATGAAGAAATGGCCAAAAATCAATTATGATTTTTTTAAGCAATAGAAAGTTTGTAAAGGATATTGAAGAAGAAGCTACTAAGCAAATTCATATACTTAATATGGCAAATGTAATATCGGAAGTTTACCATTAAATGCTGAAAAAAAGACAAAAAACGTATACTTGTTTTCTCGCAATAGCGTACGATTTTCAGATATTTTGCAGACCATATTTGTTGACTGTATCTCATAACGCTGGAAAAGCATTTCTCATTATGCATTGATCTTATGTAAGCTGATTGTGTCTATTTCAAATAACAAGGTCCTGATTCTGAGTAAGATTGCCTTATGACCCTTGGAGGACTTTATGCGAAATTCATCCTCGCTTATTTCTAACCTCTTTTGTGTATATAACGCTTTGATGCTCTTGAAATGTGTAAATTCAGGAGATATCGAGCAAGTCTATAAAAAACTGCAGATGAAATACAGAAATATTTAAAGACTTGAAAAAACGAAAGAAATAACAGAAGGATCATACACAAACGCTTGATGAACGTATGTAACTCAGATAAACATTGGTAAGTTTTGTTTATTCACAACATATTCACATTAAAAATTGACTCTTTTTAAGTTCTTTGGTATCTTAAGTAGTATAGTATATCTTGGGAAGAGTTGTTGCAAAAACGCTTAAAGCACAGTTTAAATCCACTATTCTTTGATGCATCATTGTTCAACAGCCAGATTAACAAAATAGTCTCTTTTTTTTTGTTTAAAATATGTTTTTTCTCGAGCCTAAAAAGCGATTGATACTGTTGATTTAGTAGTTGGATGAAGTTTATTCTTTTGAAGCATAGAGGATTTCAAGAGCTCTTGGAATTGAACTTTTATTTCATCGAAAATTTTTGGAATTTCAGATTGACTCAATGTAGGTCTCAATGACTCTTTCCAATTCCCAACACTTTTTTTTGGACACCAGAGCTTGAAACGGTTTTTAAGATATAATCAATGCAAAAGAATCCATTAAGGCAAAAGTGTGTAAGCAGCTTCTACTTACCATGTGCGACTTGCTACTTTTTTAATCGTTTAGGGAAAAAAGAAAATGCGCAAGTAGTACAATCTTTTTGTCTTAGCGCAATCCTGCTTTTGAGCACTGAAAAGCGTACTTTCAGGAGAATGTTGGGTCGAAATGACATTACCCTATCAATGACATGTCATTGATTTCTTTTGGTAACTCTCTATTAAAGTAAGCTAGAGAGAGCTAATTTTTTTTAGCGAATAGATTATAATCTGTTACTGGAGGCTATTTATTGAATTGAACGGAGTAAGTAACGCTCAAGCTTACAGAAAACAAAAGATGAATTTAGGTACATTTGCCCTTGACACAATCATCTCTACATTCAGCTTCTGTCTTGCAGCAGTCATCCTTATAACCATTGTTTTTCTTATCATAAATGACGCTCTTGTTTGCGCATGTAGGTGGAGCAGTAGCAGTAGTAGTAACAGTAGCAACAGTAGTAGTAGTAATTTGACAAGGAGAGCAATAGTAGTAATCGTTGTTTGTTCCTAGTTCAATACCAGTATAGGCAGATCCAACAGGTGAAAGAGAGTCATCAGTCATTAAATATGCAAGTTTAGTCTCATCATCTTCTTTTGGTATCGCAATTGTAGAGGAATACTGAGTTTGATCAGGACAAAATTGAGTATTGCGTCTAGTAGAGTGGTCTTCTCCATTTATTGTGAAATCCACGCAGCTAAAATCAGGTGTCAGTACTACATGCCATATAAAGACTGTTGAGTGAAGGAACAACACTAACGGTAAATTGGCGATCAGGAACAACAGCCGAAGCAAGTTGACAAGCACCGGCAGCTAACAAGGCAGACAAATCAATCTTCATAATAAAGGATGAAGAAAAGACAGAGTACAACGAAGAAATTAGCTTTTACAGCTTTGATTGACTTTACCATTGTTTTTTTTATTGGTTTTTTTATTGGTTTTTGATGATCGCAGATTTTTTTAACAAATCTATCATGGTCGTGTTTAACTACTCTTTGAGGGCCTTTCCTTTGCATGAATGTCCGCATTCTCCAATGTAACATGTAACACCAATCGACTTGTTTTCATTTTATACTTCTTGTTATGGAATTAAGCGATATGATATTTTTTTGTATGAACAAAGAATTCAAATCAAATACCGCAGAAAGCTATGCTCTGACACAGACCAGTCTAATGCATTATGCATCTAACATTCTGGACAAGTGATCGATATGCTGTACTACCTCAGGAACTGAAAAGTCTTGCAGTGTTTTCACTCTTGATTTACTGGATTTCTGAAAACGCTATCTGCTTTTTTGAATTGAACTAATCACTAATGAAGATGCTAAGCTTATGAAAATACCTACAAGATACTTGTAAGTAGCACAAAAGAGGATCACTGAATTTGTATACTGTTTATATATCATTGGTACACACATCTGTAGCTCGGTTTTGATGAATTCCCCTAGCCATTTCTTAAACAAGTTCATACTTGAGGAGACGATTGTCAGTTTTTCATTCATTTATTTCGTAAACCAATTATTTGTCACGAGCAATAATGTTACAAATATTGGATAGTTTGGAAGAAAGTTTTTTCTGCGTATCAAACTAAATTTGATAAAACCCTCTTCAAGTATCAGGCTATAGTATACCATGCATTTAACTTTGATTAGTACGTCATTAAAAATATCTCAAATATAGCTATGATTCCTCAATCATTAAAAACATAAAGAAGCATGCCATCAAACTAGTTTCCTTTTTCCAAACAACTGAACTTTGCACAAATGTCTAAAATCATTCAAAAAAAATGAGTAGCATTTTTATTAAATTGTGAGCAGAAGCACTATAAATAAATATTATGCTTTGAATTTGAGCCATAGCCTTTTTTTTTTTTTTTTTTTTTTTTTTTTTTTTTTTTTTTTGGGTAGAAACTACCTTTATATCTTAAGCAGTGTCTAGAATTCTGTTTTTGAAAAGTCGTTTCTTTCTGTTCTTGATTGTTCATTGTATTCAGAGTCTCACAGATTGCATTTCGCGATCTTTTGATCATGGACCCTCATGTTTCACGTCTTCTGCTACTTGCCAATATATTCTATCTCAGTTCCTAAATATTTAGAGAGCACAGGATGTATTGTCGTTTCTTAGTTTTATTGACAAAAGATTCTCCAACAAGACAATATGAATTTGATGAGCAAATGATTCAAATCAAATACTCTGTATTCTCCTTGACAAAAAAGAACTCTTTATATTTTTAAATAAATAGCTACTTGAATTCAAACTAATTGACTATTGAAGCTACAAAGGCTGGTTGACAAACGAGACATATAATGTTCAACAAAATGAATGAAAAGGCATCTAATGAATTCAAACAGAGAGAGAGAGAGAGAGAGAGAGAGAGAGAGAGAGAGAGAGAGAGAGAGAGAGAGAGAGAGAGAGAGAGAGAGAGAGAGAGAGAGAGAGAGAGAGAGAGAGAGAGGGGGGAGGATTGTTGCATAAAAATATGACAAGGCATCAAATGTCATTATGGGTCTCAACATGCTATGTTGTTAAATTAAGTTTTCAAAAAAAAAGAGGATCTTTCACTTTAAAATGATGTCAATTATGCAATCTTTTCTTGGTATGACAAACGTTTAGGTGGTGTGTAATGCACTTCTTACTTGCAGGCAATTAAAAACAGTGTGGCTTTTATCAAAAAACTTGTCGAGTGAAACATGTTCGTATGAGTAATTAAAAATTCTTAAATGATGTTATAACCACTTTTTTAGTGCTTGTGTATCAAATGAACATGGTTTTCAGTACCTAATTTCGTCAAAGGTGCTAAATTTAGATATGTCGCCTGGTTTTCTTTAAAAGGCAATCCCCAGAAAGAAGTCTTTGTTGTTATAAAGAATACATTTTAAGTATTACATGATGAATATTGGTGATGTGAAGAGTATGTTTACTATCTTCAGTTAGTATTGTGATATGCTTTGTTTGTCATCGAATGGCAACCTCGGCAACTGAAAACAAAAATAAGGAGGGGCTGATTATTTTTAGCGAATTGTATTTTTTTCTCATTTTCTTTTTCTTTCTTTTCTTTCTTTTATTTCTTTTATTTCTTTCGAAAACATGTTGTTTAAAAAGAACAAGAAAAAGATTCCCGAAGCTGGAGAACCAGGCATGGTTTATAGCATGACTCCTCGTCATGGTCACTCACACGACGTTTATGACGAAAACAATATTCGTCAAGTAGCAGGTTGTTTACCTATTGACCCTATTAACAAACGATTTTTGTTAGTCACTACTTCGAGCAACCCCAATGTCTGGGTGATTGTAAGTATATAAAAACAAACAAACATAAACTTATTCATTTGTAGCCTAAAGGCGGTTGGGAACAGGACGAGACACAGCAGCAAGCAGCTATGAGGGAAACTTGGGAAGAAGCTGGTGTCAAGGGAAAGATCACTCGACACATTGGTGTATTTGCAGAAAAGACAAAAGCAGGAGTCAAGGCACATCATTGGATCTATGAATTGGAAATACAGGAAGTTTGTAAAAAGTTTCCCGAGCAAAAGAAGCGAGAAAGACGCTGGGTGAGTTTTGTGTGTGTATGTATACATATATACTCATGTATGTCTAGTTTACCTATGATGAAGCTATGCTTGTAATTAAAGCACATTATATTCATGATGCTCTTGCCATGTCGAGTTTGAGTCCACTTGCTCATTCGAATGGATCTGAAGATCAACCAAGCGAAAAGAAAAAGAAAAAGAAGGACAAGAAGAAGAAAAAAGACTCTGATGATGAGGAAGAGGAAGATTCGGACGAAAAGAAGGAGAAGAAAGAAAAGAAGAAGAAAAAGGATAAAAAGAAAGACTCTGATGAGGAATCTGAAGAGGGAGAGGAGGAGAAGAAGAAAAAGAAAAAGGACAAAAAGAAGGATTCTGAGGATTCTGAAGAAGAAGAGGAAAAGAAAAAGAAGAAGGATAAGAAAAAGAAGGGACAGATTATTGAAATGACAGAAGAAGAATTGGCTAAACTTCCACCTTTGCCTGCCATGAACCCAACACCCCTAGGTAAAGTGGATGTGACTCCTCCTCCTGCTAAGACATCACCTGTCAATGAACAGATCAATAATCCTCTGAGTCAGCAATTGAGTCAAACATATATTTCTCCTCAACCTAACAACAGACCTTCTCCTCAACAATTTCCTATCTCTCAGCCACCACTGCATCATCCCACTCAGCAACAATATCGTTCCCAACAATCTTATCATCCCCAACAACAACAACAACAACAACAACAACAACAACAACAACAACAACAACAACAGCAGCAGCAGCAAAGACCACCTTATTATCCTTCTCAACAGCAACCTTATTATCCTTCTCAACAGCAACCTTATTATCCTCCTCAACAACCACAATACCGTCCTCAAGCATACTATCCTCCTCCACAGCAACAACAGCAACGTCCTCATCCTCAAATGCATCCTCAACCATATTAAACTCGCTAATAGATTGTGAATCACGTGAATAAAAAGCAACGATTTATACGAAATAAAAAATTGTTTTTTCTTTTTTTCTTTTCTTCTTTATGAATAGTGACCCTACTGAACAAGACACGACTGCTTTATATATCATTTTAGGTATTGAAAAGACAGCAACTCCTGAAGCAATAAAAAAGGTATCTATTCTTTGAAAAGTTAGACTCGCTAAGCAAAAATAGGCCTATAGAAAACTTGCCTTACGTTATCATCCTGATAAAAATCCAAACTCTGAAGAACAGGCAAGTACAATATATCACCCACATCTTACTGATAGTCTAATAATAGTTTAGAAGTATCAATCATGCTTATGAGGTATACATCAAGTCTATTCTGTTTGTCTTCATTTACAATTCTTATTTTTTGCTCTAGCATAGATTCTTTCCGATCCACGAAAGAAACGCATTTATGATAGATATGGTAATGTGGGTTTGAATATGGCAAACACAATGGGAGGTGCTGGTATGTTTCTGGATCCAGAAATAGAAGCCATGGCCTTGGCATTTTTTTGCTTGGCTTCAGTCATTCTTGTGACTGTATTGATTTGGCTTGTGTTTGTGTGTCTAAGGGTAGATGATTCAATTAAATGGCCGTGGTCGATTGTGTTCATACCTTTATGGTCGCTGGATGGACTTTTGTTATGGGCTTCTATTTATCGCATGAAGCACGGTGATCCATACGAAGAACAAGAGGAACCGCGTGAAACAGACGAATTATTAGGATCCACGAAAAAGAAGACGACTCGATATGTCAAATATCAGTTTATCAGCACATGTCTTTTAGTTTTATTTCAATTGCTCATTGTTCTCCAGTTGGACAATGTCGTACAATGGCCAGTGACTTGTGTATTTTTACCCTTTTATGCGTATCAATTAATGTGTTGGGTTCTTGGTAAAGGAACAGACATTGTGCTGACTGTACAAATCACCTGTGTGTTGCTACAGCTCATTTTTCCTGGTTATTCGTGGGCCATTGTATTTATACCGTGTTATATGCTTGGTATGTATTATGGTTATGTACTATGGAAGCAATACAAGTCATTTGCTAGTATGTCGGATATTCAGGCACAACAACAAGGAAAGCGGGTGGTCTTAATAGCCTCTGTTGTTTATGTCAGTGTGGCTGCCTTATTTTATACCGTTTTAGGATTCATTATTTATCGTCTGGATGGGTTTGTTAGTATTCGACTTGTATATCTGTTTATTCCTGTGTTTATTATTTTGGTAAGTATGGTATGTGTGTATTTATTCATACTAATTTGTATGCAGAGTATCTTACTTTGTTGTACGGGATGTTGTTTGCCTTGTATGCTCCTTGCTTCTTCTTTGTCTCAAGAGGAAACCATAATTGGCTCGAGCAGAAGAATAGCCGAATAAATGTGTAACGAGGGCTGGTGCTTTATATGTATTTTTAGTTTCCAGCCCCACAATAATTTCTTAGCATTCTTTTTTGTTTAAAGTTAATTTATTCTTTCTCCCCTTTTTTCCAACTCTTTTCTTTCTTGTGTTGAATACAATGCTTAAAGACCCTCTTAGGAAACGCATATTCTTATCCTATATTTATGACTGGATCTTTGTGGTAGTTATGACTATTGCTTTTTTTGCGATTGACAAGATCGCACCTTTTCGAAGAAGGTTTTCGCTCCAGGACAAGACAATCATGTTTCCATATACTGAGCATGAATCAGTACCTATTTGGTTATTGGCTGTAAGCCTTGATATACAAACAATAGTTTTTACTGATCAGAAATGTATTAGATAGTTGCATTTGTCGGTCCCATTGCTATTATCGCTTTTATTTCGCTCAGTAACATTGGTTATAAGCGAAGTTTTCATGACTTTCATAGTGGTGTTTTAGGTAGGTCAATAAGAAAGAGATAACAATCCGACTAAAACGAATGATTTTAGGCCTTTGTTTAGGATTGTCTATGACTATCATGCTGACAGATGTCATTAAAGTAGGAGAAAAGTACCAATAAACATACATTAATCGCAATTTAGATTACTGCTGGTAGACCAAGACCCGACATGCTATCTCGCTGCCAGCCAGCTGCCGATGCTGTCGATCCTTTATTTGGCCTATCAAATGTAGATATTTGTACTACCGATATCAATACACATATCATGATTGATGGGTTCAAAAGCTTTCCTAGTGGACACTCTTCATGTAAGCGCACACTATTGGCACAATGAATACTGATTTGTCTTGTTTAGTTTCGTTTGCAGGGTTGGGTTTCTTGGCCTTGTATTTGGCTGGCAAGATGAAAATGTTTGATAACCATGGTGTAAGTAAATGTATGGACACATATGTGTGTATACTGATATGCTAGTAGTATACCTACAAGGGGTTTATGTTTGCCTTTCCTGTGATTGGGGCTATTTTGGTTGCTATCTCTCGTACAGAAGACTATAGACATCACTGGCAGGATGTTACCATTGGTGCCATTTTGGGTACTATTTGTGCATTTTTTGCTTATAGACAGTATTACCCTAGCCTTTCTCAAAATGGTTGTGGTGATCCCTATTCTGCCCGTGTCACTTATTATAAAACTAGACTAGATGAAGAGCTTGGTATTGTAATACAACAACAACAGCATGATGACAATGAAGAAGGCTCTTCTGATTTTATTGGTAAGCATAATGCAGACAACTGTTCTACCAACAGTCAAATTCCCCTGATCAATAAAAGAAGCAATTAAATCAAAAGATCATCCCATTCTTTCAAGTATTCGATTTTCTCGCTTGAGAGTGGTGCCAGCCCAAAGATATATACGATTGTGAGTGAAAACCCAAACAAAGCTGTGCCAAGCCATTCAAGATCAACAAGAAAAGACATGATGAATTTCAATTCAACTTCTTTCTCTTTTTTATAAGTAAATAATCATTGTCTTTAAAGGAGAAATCATAACCTGTGGTTGGGACTACTGTGATATTGACTGACGATACTAACTCTTTTGATATCAATTGTTGTTTATTCTAGATTTCCTGTCATTGTCCAGTTTTCTGACACAAGTGACAGCTTAGACACAGTAACTTTGCCTTATTTCACACCTTTGAGCAATTGAAAGAGCGCTGTATTTTTTACCCCGACCTCTTATTTAATCATGCTGGATAGAGTCTAGCCGAATGGTCATCTTCAATGGCATATCACTTTCTATCATATTTGCTTTAGGTCATTTCAAACTGTCTCTTCCTTCTGAAAAACATAAAATTTTAAAATTTTGTGTATAATAATGAGGCATTGAACAGCAAGCCTTTTCTCAATTTGAAACCACCTTCTGGCACATTGAACATTACACTTGATCTTAGCCAAAAGGCCCAAGAGGATACACATTGAACACCGCAGGAATAAGCTTGGTACTTCCTTTTATAACCCTTCCAAAAGAGTGCATTTTCGTCTCCAGACCCCCCTTCCCATTTTCTTATGAAAATGTTCTAGTGCTACTATTACTGTAAATAACATCTCCCCGAACTTGAGAAGACAGCTTGAAGAAGGCCTAAGTTACAAAAAAATGAATAAGTCGTTGAGGACAATCCTTCGGCATAAATGTTATCGGAGATTGAAATAAACAAGAATTTGAAGATACATAGAATTTGTAAATCCATTTATGTAAAAATAAGTACTTACAAAACTTCACAAATCACACTTTTCTATCGTTACCTGGCGAATATGTGAAACGAATTTACATGAGTGGTCTTTATGGCTCCAAAGTCATATACTGGCATAGTTTGAATTACTTTAACAAGTTAATCAAATATTATCCCAACTTGGAAGAGCTCTCTGTGCCAAATACCTATACTTTTTTCTAGACAATAATTATGCGAAAACGCTATGAAGGCAATTTTAAATATATCAACAAGATACCATCTCCATTCATCAATCAAGAGATTGGATGCTATACTTATGCCGCGCTATCAATGCGCAATACAATCAAAAAAAATCTTGATGTGTAATAGCCTATTATTTGATGGCATGCGCTTGTGCTATGAGTAATTCCGTATGCTGTTAAACAAAATGGACGAATTCAAATGCCTGGAGGAATCGAAAATAATGAAGTACACTGACATTTCTTTACTTGGACTGGTTCAAAGGCTCGACGCTTGTACTCACTTGAACGAAATAAAAGTGGTTCTGCATCCCTTTAGCCGCCTAATGTGCAAAAATCAAGGAAACATGTATGTATTGAATTCAATTACAATACAACACTTCTTAAATAGCAACAAACAAGGGTCTATAGACGCTGTAACAGAAAGAATGGATATAATTTAGCTTTACAGAAAGACATAGGTGATGCAAAATAAGGACTCCATCATGCTTTTTTTTTAAAACAAAATGTGAAAAATATCATATCGATGGATGTAAATCCTTCATTTATATACCCAAGAGATCAACGTATACACAAAAAAAAAAGACACGACATCAATGCAAAGATTCTATTAATTGGCAAAGTAACGAGGTTCGTTAAATACATGATATCTATGTCCACGAACACCTTGGCCATAAAACATGGCAGGATATCTGAGTGTAGGAATGACTTGAGATTCAGGAATACGATCATAGGATGCTTTCCAATACTCCTTGGGATTCTGTACCAGTTGGAATTTACCTGTTTGAATTTCAGTATCTGTAATACCGCCATGACTGACACGAGCATAACCCACACGGCGTAAGCCACGGAAACCAACATATTCGCACCAACGATCCCAGTCAGTAGGATCAATATCATTCATATCGCCACCATCAAACAACAGATGGTAGATTTCTTGTTGAGGCTTTGTGACGACATAGCCCAAGAACACAAAGGGATTAGGACTTGTACGCATAATACGTGCAAGTTCAGTGGTTTGCTGAATTCTGTCATTGTAATTCTCATCTTGACCGTTATGGCTAACAATGAAATCAACGGGTTGGCCATAGACATCCAAAGTAGCATGAATAGCACAAGCAAGTTCACCCACAGGGGAAGGTAAAAGATGATGCTCAGACTTAATGATGGGGAATTTAGAAAGCATTAAACAACCCCACGTATGTTTCATACTAGCAGGTCCAAAGTCAACATAATAACCAAGCTCTTCAGCAATCGATTGAGCCCAATCACGGTTACCCATAATGATTCTCATTGTATCTGATTCAAGTAAACCTAGGTTTTAAAAAAGAGTTGGTTAGTTTATTCCTTGTCATATTTTCCTCCTCTCCTTACCCACAACGTCCAGTTCTAAATCTCGAATAGCATCACGCATACGATGTTCACTTGCCCACATATCGTTATCTAAAGCAAAATGAATAGTCCAAATAGCCGCTGTAAATGATTTCTCAGTAGTAGTAAATGGAACAGGTGTCTTGGCATGTGCCATACGCTTGGTAGCAGCCAGAGCAGAAACAGCAATCAAGCCAGCAACAAACAAACGTGTCATGAAACGAGCATGCTTCAATACATGGAATTGAGCTAGCTTCTTTTGAATATCTTGCATGGCTTGCTTGTTCGCATTCAAAACACCAAGACCCGTCAAAGCCATCAGGGTGACCAAGATAGCATCTGTACGTTCACGCGCATAGACACCACCAGGCACAAACTCATAAGCAACAACCCACACATGAGCCAGACACAAGACGATATAGGTCAAAAAGGAAATTAGCATGGTCTTGAAAGGAGGTTGTGTGGAAATACCACGGATCAAGGCAGGCATAATCGACAAGAAATAGGCACCTAAGACAAGACCTGCATAATAAGCAGTCCATGCAGAATAGCAGTAAAAGACAGCACATGAGGCAGCGCCAACAGCATACCAAGCAAGACTTGTAGTCAAGCGACGGTAAGGAGAGATCAACAGACCCACAGCTAATGCAGCAATGGTAGCCACACCCCATGGCACAGGTTCAGGACCATAGTTGGGATAGCCATCCACAGTCCAACGCATGATGATGGAAGAATCAGTGAACATAGAATGAAGAGCAAACAAAAGTGAACCAAAACCAAGACCAGCCATGACTGAACTACCAAAACGTCTATCACCTGATGACAAAGAACTCAAGTCTTGACCGTTTTCTGTTGATTTGCGAACAGAACTATCGCGCATCATGATCTCGACAGAGGCAATGATGCCCAACACAATACCTACATCATTCCAACCACCGTTTTCTTTATGCATGATGGGCCAAATAGGATTTTCAGTAAACCAGGCCATCTTGACAACATTGTGCAATACAAGACCAAGACCCCAGATAAGAGCAGAGCGCTCCAAGTCACCTGTATGCTTTCTTGATTCAAACCAGCTGGCAGTCCAAGTTGTTAAACTAAGACCAATACCTAAAGCAGTCAAGGAGAGTCTCCAAACAGGATCTGTCTTGAGATAAGAAGCAATACCAATCAAAGATACAAAATGAAACGCACCGCGATATTTAGCTACAAAGCGTCTCAAGGGTGCAATACCATTCACAACAGGCATCAACACAATAAGCAAAAATGCTTCAAAGCCAGAAATACCCATATACCAAAGAGGGAAATACCAGATTAAAAGTGTCAAGGCAGTCAACATGGACCAAAAGACAAAGGCTATCATATACATGTGTTATAACAACATACAAAACTAGATTGACTTACCCAAATAAGTCTCAGTAGCAAAACCAGCAAAGGCAGTTAAAGTACGCAAAGTAGAAGGTGCAATACTTCCTTCAGGGCTAATCCAATCATATATTATTAAGCAATAATAATAATAAAAAAAAAAAAGAACTTACTTGGATGCATAAGGTACAGATCTGATAAACAAATTTAATTAACAAAGTCACATTTTCATCTTACTTACGAATCAGCAATAGGTGAAATGCCTGTTTTATCCACAATAGAAAGTTCAAAGTTCTGAAATTCAATGGCAGTTACTGCATCAAAAGCAACATCGTACAAAATTAAAGACCATTCAAAGAAAGCATAGGTTGTATAAGCTATCACAACAATGAATATCTGCTTCCCCCGTCTTTTCTTTTTGCATGCTTACCTCCAGGAATTCTTTGTACTTTGTGTTGAATAAAGAAATAAATCATCGGAGGTAAAGTTGTAAAAAAAGCAGATGTCAAAAATTTCCTGTAACGAACAGCAGTTTGATTTTCGGCTAAAGTGGAATAAAGTACGCCCAATTGCCAAGGTAATGTACAGAGCAAGTAAAGCACCATAGCAATATCATGCGTTAAATGATCGTCTGTTGATGTGATATACACCCATCCACCACAAGCCACTGTACGTACAATACCAACCATCAATAAACTCAATCCAGTTGTTTCTGATACTGTCTTTGCTGAATGTGTAATGTAATAATACCATAAAAACACAAGTGCAAAACGAGGTCCTGATGTTAATGCAATCAAGATTTGAAATAGTGCTCTTGCAGGATATCGGTCGCCTGTAGTTGCACTTACACTTGGAAACCATTCCTATCGCTAAACTCAGTAATTCATCATATACATACACATTTTGTTGATGTTACATCTGGATACCCAAAATATTCATTTTGTACAATTTTATAGTAGTGCGTATAGCATGCCACACCCAGTGCAACAAAAAAAGCACCTAATAATAAGGAATTAAAACTTCAATTTACAATCAATAAAACAAAAGCTTACTATAGGCAAACAATGTATGTGAATAGGCAATGTATCTTGCCCCTATCTATGAAAACGCGTCAAAAAAAATATAAGTAGGATATGAAAACAAAGTACCTTAGTTATAATAACAGGCTCTGAATTGCCCGCATTGGATGTAGACTTTTCAGCCATTTTTGTTTCTTTTTTCTTTCCCTTTGTTTTGTTGTGGTTACTGAAGAAAAAGAAAAAGAAGAAAAAGAAGAAAAAGAAACATAAAATGAAAGAGAGCAAACTGAGGTTAAATATTTTTCCTTTTTTTTTTTTTTTGCAGAACAATAAGCGACAAACAGTTTTAAAAATGCACTTAAATCAACTTTATCAAAGAAAAATAACACTCTGTGGGTTACCTATTGCTTAAAAGAGCCAAGTTATTATCCTTCATTTCGGAAATACAGTTATTCCAGTGACACATGCAAATGATCTATATTTATTTCAAAGTCTATCCATATTTCTTTCGAAGTTTATCAAAATGAAGTTTATCCTATAACCAAGTCAACAATCTCTCTCTTAAATTAATAGACAAATTTACCTGAGGCAAAACAGAAGGCGACACTTTTGTAAATGCTGTATCAAAGTCCTTTTTGGTGACAAAGATGTCTGTTGCATTACTGACAGCAGTGGTATCTATGACACCCGATGCATAGAAATTCGATCTCAGGGCAGCCACAGCACTTTCTCTCACAAGGGAAGCTAAATCTGCACCTGAAAATCCTTCGCAACGAGGATCATTAGCCACGTCTACTAAAGACACATCTTCAGCCAAAGGTGTCTTGCTGCTTAATTTCTTAAGGATATCCAATCGTTCACCTGGTGTGGGTAATTCAACATAGAGTAACTTGTCAAGACGACCAGGACGCAACATGGCAGGATCAATCATATCAGGACGATTAGTAGCAGCAATTACATATACTTGACTACGGTTCTCTACACCATCTAATTCAGTCAACAAAGTATTGACTACACGCGCAGAAGCATCTGTTTGTTGGTCTTCACGACGAGAACAAAGGGCATCCAATTCATCAAAAAAGATGACACAGGGTGAAGAAGCACGGGCACGGGCAAATACTTGACGAACACCACGCTCACTTTCACCCACATATTTGTTAAGTAATTCGGGTCCCTTGACAGAGATGAAATTGGTATTGCTTTCATTGGCCACAGCCTTGGCCAACAAGGTCTTACCACAACCAGGGGGACCCCATAGCAGGACACCAGCAGGGTTTGTAATGCCCACGCGCTCAAAGAACTCAGGATGATTGATAGGCTCAACAACAGCCATACGCAATTCATCTCGTACAAACTGAAGTGCACCAATATCATCCCAACTCACATCAGGCACTGTGGCAAATCCTTCACGTTTAGAAGAGGGTTGTACTTTCTTTAAAGAGAGCTTAAAATCTTGTTGTGTAATTGCCAATGATTCAAGTTGTGCCTCTGTTAAAGGCTCTTTGTGTGCCTTGATAAACTCAGAAATATTACGAATCTGTTCAAGCGGCGTTTGTGCTTCAAATTCTTCAACTGAACTGATCTGAATAGGTTCTGTGGTATCATCAATATCCATCGAGTTATCATCGCTTGGTTTGACCAGATTAGCTTGCAAGTATTTGAAGATACGCTTGACAGCAATCACACCCGCAGTGGTGATCAATGCCTGAAGATCTGCACCCACATAACCTGGTGTAGCCTTGGCCAATTCTGAGAAATCAAAATCACCTTCTAAACGAAGCTTAGAAGCCAATACTTTAAGGATCTTTTCTCTTGCTTTTTCATCTGGTACACCCATACTGATTTCTCTATCAAAACGACCTGCACGTCTCAATGCAGCATCAAGTGAGTCAGGTCTGTTGGTAGCACCAATGATCATCACAGGCTTATTGTTGCATTTCTCCCATGATAAATCGTCCATACAGGTCAAGAGTTGTGCTACAATTCTACGCTCCATTTCTCTTTGGGCTGTTTCTCTTTTAGGTGTAATGGCATCAATTTCATCAATAAACAACAGACAAGGTGCATTGTCTCTTGCTTCTTCAAATACTTCACGAATCTTTTTCTCTGATTCACCAGACATACCGGACACAATAGAAGGAGCAGAAATATTAAAGAAAGGAATGCCTAATTCCTATTCAACCTTATCTCAGTACAGATTTGTGCATGTGTTGCTTACTTACACCTGCAATAGCATGCGCTAATCTTGTCTTACCACAGCCAGGAGGACCATGCAACAAGACACCTCGAGGTGGTTGAACACCCGTATGAAGATAGACTTCAGGATGTGCTAAAGGCATAGCAATCAATTCCATAATTTCTTCAATACAGTGATCAATCCCACCGAGATCAGATAATTTGGCTGTAGGAATAAAAGGTGCTTCTCTGCCTTCATTAGATGTCTTGGGGCGTTTAGATACTGTCTCCTTGGAAACAGGCTTGGATCTCTTTTTTGATTTGGTTGTCTCATTAACTGGTTCTTCGGGTGCTTCTTCTTGAACAGGTGTTGTTATTTCGGAAGGTGCAGCACTCACTGTTGGGCTCTTGGTATGCATGTTCCACAAACTAGTGACAGACTTATTCATGGCATTATCCTCTTGTACAGGCTTTGTAATAGTATTAGTGCTTAAAGATCCTGGAGGCAAATACTCTGATATCCATGCATTTTTTTCACGTACCAAAGCATATTCGGCTGTTGCTTCTTCATCGCCTGAAACTGATTCCGAACTAGAAAGTATTGATCAGCACAACATATCTCTTGTTCACAACTTACACTTCATTGGTTTCTGACTGTGTGCCTTGTTCTCTCTCAGCAAGTACATTCTCGAGAGCAGATTCAATCAAACGCTTCTTTTGTCTTCGAAGCGAAGCATCCACTTTAAGGCAGTATTCAATCAAAACCAAAGGTGACATATCGGTCAAACCTTCCGATTTGTATAGATCAAGACAATTAGAGATCTTGTTTTCGTTTAGGCGTGACATGCGGTAATAACTACCACCCCCAGCAGCTTTTGATCCTCTTGATCCACCTCTCATGTTCAATAGCAAACGAGCTTAAATAACAGAAAAAAAAATCTTTTAAATAGGCTCAAGAAAGATCCGGACCGGACATTTTCAAGACAGACGGGTGCTGAGACAAAAAAGTTCATGCAACTGGCTGTGTTGGGAGTGGAGGAGATGATGCGCACGATGAACAAAAGACATGGAGGCCAATACAGTAAAATAGAATCCTTCTCTCTTTCTTTATAGGCACGATGGCTAGAGTAGGTGTCGAATCCTTACATGCACTTGCTTCATTCAAGATCAAGTTTGAATAAGAGAGAGAAATAAAGAAGTAGAAAAAGACAGAACAGAGTGTTGACATTGGATGCATCCATCCATCCATCCATTCATCCATCCATCTATCCACTGCACTCTTTATCAACAGATATAATACGACCAAGACATCATTTACAACAAACATCATTACGATACACACAGAGCAAATCTCAATCTTCTCTTTGATTTAAACTTGATCTTGAATGAACTTGTGTTAATGTATATGCATGTTGAACAGATTGACTCACCTTTTTCTTTCTTTCTCTATAAATAGTTCCACGAATATCAGGTATATATAGACATGTTTTTGTAGATTGGATACTTATACATGATGTAGGTGGTTGGTCGTAAACTTCCTTCCGCCCAAGAAGCTGCTCCCAAGCTTTTCCGTATGCGTATCTTTGCTCCCAACGTTGTTGTTGCTAAGTCTCGCTTCTGGTACTTCTTGAAGAAGCTCCGTAAGGTCAAGAAGGCTGCTGGTGAAATCGTTTCTGTTAACGAAGTAAGTGAAGAGAGTGATGCACAGTAACATGTATACTTATATCCACATATAGATCTCTGAAAAGCGTCCTGAACAAATCAAGAACTTTGGTATCTGGATCCGTTACGATTCTCGTTCCGGTACTCACAACATGTACAAGGAATACCGTGCCTTGCGTCGTGTTGAAGCCGTCGAACAATGCTGTAAGTTGAAACATGGATATAAAGGAAGGTGTAGCTTACATGCTTTATATAGACCAAGACATGGCTGCTCGTCACCGTGCTCGTTTCAGATCTGTTCAAATCATTCGTGTTGCCGAAGTTAACAACGCTGATGTCCGTCGTCAATACATTAAGCAACTCTTGACTCCCAAGCTCAGCTTCCCCTTGCCTCACCGTATTGCCAACGTCGACAAGAAGCACCGTGCTCTCTTCGTTGCCAAGCGTCCTACCACTTTCTACTAAGTGCAATCTCTATTCTCTCTTTTTTTTTATCTTTTAGTGCATTAAAATAAGTGATTTTATGACTTAATGATAACAAATAAGCTTCTGTATTTATTCTGTTTGTTTCAGTGGCAGGAAAAATATGTATGACTACATATTTACATAAAATAATGACCTATTTGTGATTATACTATCTTTTTTTTTGTGTACTTCAGGAGAATAAAAAAAAAACAAGATATAGTTTACCCACGATATACTGCAGAATGATGATATATACAAGCGAACTTTGTTATTACGTATTGATCTATAGTTGACAGAATTCCTTTTGTGTGTGTGTGTGTGTGTGTGTGTGTGTGTCGTCTGGTGTCAAGTGTCTACCTTTATCCTGATTTCATTGGCTAATGAAATGCATAATGGAAAATAAATAAACAAATCTATGCAAGTGGGATTTTCTTTACTCTTTTCTCCTCTTTTTTTATGATTAGAATGACCATTAGAAAGCAAGAGACTTACTCGATCACATCCAACCATTCAATCAAATCGATTTGGGACAGGTTGTCCCAGTTACTGCATTTTCATACTCAAACAAGGTGCCTTTCTACTAGCTCTGATCAAAGTCAGACCTCTTCCAAAACAAGGTACAGGAAAAAATACACGGTTGAAGATACCTCTGTGTCACCTATCATGAAGATTCCACCTTTTAGTCCAACCTATTGCAGACCAAATGAGTTTCCATACTCTAATTTCTATGTCAAGTTACCTAATGGAAAATGGATGATACGGTATAGATCTGGTAACCGTGATATCCTTGGTACTGATGAATTTGAAAGTTATTTGATATAAACAATCTCTCCTTTATCCCTCCCTCCCTCCCCCCCCCTCTCTCTCTCTCTCTTTAATGGTACACTCCTAAAGATAAAGTAAAGAAAAGAGAGGGAAAAAGTTGTTTGTCGTCTCCTTTCATCTCCTTTAAATATAGACACCTGTGGCTGACAATAAATCAATGTAATAAAAAATTACTTTATACATAAAAGGTCATTGATGTGAATACCATGCGATAAATTCTTACTGTAGTGTGTGATTTCAACTTTTAAAGAGACATTATCAGTGGCTAATACTTGCCTAATAAGATACTTGGATTCAAAACATTTCTACAGCTTTTATTTATATGCACATAAGAGTTTAGAATGTCTTTTTGAGAATGATTTATAGTAGCTTTTTTGTTTTTATAAAGAATATTGAGTATGCAAAGATGGGCCTACACAGCTTGATGTATACTTTATGTGATAAAAAATCACTTGTCTGTGCACCTGTCAAGTTGTAAGGAAGTGGGCATACATTGTCAAAAATTTAATATGCTGTTTCAAGCTTTTGCGAGCACGTACTTTTATTGTAAGCAGTATACCCTGTGTTCCTTTTTGTAATTAGTATGGTGTCGGCTGATGCTAGTAATACCATACACTACTAATATAAATTTGCTATTTTTCCTTTCCCAATAAACAGAGCTTTTGGATCCCCTTTTATTTTTGTGACTCGAAGGGTTTTAGTTATAGTCAAGAAAAGTGAATCTTATAAATCGATAGGTAAATAAAGATCCCGACACAACAAAATGAGACAGGGCAACAATCATTATAAATTTGATAGGCTAATTTACTCAACTCCAACATTGTTCCTTTTTTAAACATCTAGAAAAAATGCTTATTCTTTATTTTTTTTTTTTTACGTTCTTTTTCTAGGTAAGTTCATAGTGTTCTAAAGGCTTGTATGCTTATTCTTTTTACTCTATAGACATAGAAGAATGGTGTTTCTCAACGGTGTAATTGTGTCTGCTTAATGTTTTGCTTCTTTGGTGCTGTTCAGATATGAGGTTGCACTGAAAGTTGTGTAATGAAAAGCAATGCTTAACAACTGAATGGTTGCAGACAAGGTATGTTGTTTGTATGTCAAGACTGTCTCTCAATGGCTATGCTCTGGGTTTGTCCGTAAGCTCCACAATGACCAAGGTTTGGTCTACTCAGAATGCTTTCTAAGGTGTCTACAAAGTGTTTGTGGTAAATATTTTTAGGCAATAGGTACTTTCACTTGGTGTATCAACGATGGTAATGTACACTTGGTTTAAAAATGCAATGACTTGCAATTCTGAACCTGTATTCATAGACATTATGATGCTAAATTAAATGCATAGCATGCATCAAAGGAGCCAAAATCAGCAATCTTTTTCGAGAGCCTTGCTATATTTTCTTCAGAGAAGAACATGCAAACAGCTTGATTACGTGTTATGTTCATTTTTTGAGTCAGAAAGGAAATAATTATGTGTAACGGTGGTTCAAAACTAGTTTCGTCTTGAAAACGCCAAATTGCATAAGTCTGACGGTATGTCTCTCTTCGTTGTTGTTGTCTTTATGTAGTAAAAGCTACAGGTTTCTTATGCACTACCCTCTTTTTTTTTTTCATAAGAAGTACCATTTATCGGACATGTTCAAATCGGAATTCGTAGGGTACCAGGTAGAGAGGAGGTAGCTAAAGAACACTCCATTCACTCCAAAAAGCAATCACTTTTGTATGAGTATGCGATTTTTAAAGAAGAGGAAGTGATTGTAGCCATTTTATGAAAAATAAAAAGGAAAAATAGTCCATTTGTAAAAGATGTTTTATCAGTCGACTACATTTCATACAATAAACAAGGTTCAATTGTTTATCGCATAAAAAACCAATAATTTATCAAATACATCAAAAGATACATGATTTATTTGTGTTAAGATAGAACATTACGAAATAAAGCAGAAGAAATAGAGACACTAAAAAACTAATAGCAATTGTATTCTCAAAATGCTTCTTTTTGTAGTGGATGAAGTGTTCGTCATTAGTAAACGTACATTTATGCATTTTATGCTTTTTTTTTAGGAACGCCTCTTCTCTAGCCACAGTTATGTGAACCATTCCCTCTCTATCCGGTACTCTGCGAATTTTGGTTTGAACGTGTCTGATAGGGGGTGGTCCATAAGAAATAACCAAAATGTCTATGAGGTTTCCGCTCATATCTTGCCATTTCTATAGTACAACTGGCAAACAAACACATTGGTCAAGAAATATAGTGCTTGACGCACATTTCGAGTATTTAAGCTTGTCGATATCTTTGTTTTTCGTCTTGTAGCGCCAAAAAGAAGCTTGAAGGTTGTCAAATCGATGGTTTTCATGAATGGAATGCCATCTAGAGGCTGATTTCAGTAGAATATTTTGACAAAAAAAAATACCTGGTTCGCCTGAATATATATATACAAAAGAATGTTTACTCATCAAAGTGCCAAAGTGTTGGCAAGTTTTATGATGCATTGGATCTGGTACAAATGACTATGAGTTGCCATAGATTTGCGGCTCTAATTCAATTACTCGCTTTATCTGTAGTCAAGACACATACAGCTCGAAAGGTACAATATCATCTGCATGATTTAATACAATCACTTCAATAGACATATACATGACAATAAATAGTTTACGTCTAATTATGCTGTTATTGTCTTATTGCTAAAATGTCTCAAATTAAACAGAAAATCTTATGCATCAACCTGTCAATTACACTGAGTTGATTGAATATTGATTGGCTCATCTAAAGCAGATCCTTGTACAGTAGTAACCAATAAACTATCTGAATTGATTCTGCTATCTAGATTTTTTGTATTGAGTAAAGATCGTTGCAGGTTATGGTGAGCCCTAATGCAAGCAATTATCTATTAAATGTGAGCCTTTTGTTGAATCAGTTAAACGCATTCTTTGTTTGACCTTAATTTTCTCGCTCTTATTTTGACATTGACAAATTAGTAAGGAATAGCATGGATGAAGATGGATCAATAACAGTAAAGGATTATTACGCATAATTTCTTGTTGAAGACGTTCATTTGCTTTCTGCATGAAATGACTTATATTGTCAACTGTTATTTCGCGTATGGCTTCTGCTTTATAATATCGCTTCGTATGTACTAAATAAGGTCGTTCGAATTCTTCAATATAGAGCTGCAGTGGTTGCTCTGTAAACCAGTTGACTAAAACAAGGAAAATAACTACTGATTTGATGGTGCTGTGAGGTGGATTGTTTCCATCACGATGCTGTCAAACTAACTCAAATACGAGAGAAAGTAGCTTGATTTGATGTCGATCGCGTTTCATAAATAATACATTGGACCTCTATAAAGACAAGGCAAGTGCTTCTATGTTTTGTCTTTTGTATTTTGTATGACTGGGTGCTAATTTTTATTTTTTTTTCTCTTAATTTGTTTATGTAACCTGTTTATAAGAGAAAAAAGAATTTTCGATGTTATTAACAACTTTGTTGGTATGTGTAACGTTAGAGGGTCGATTTACTCACAGGTATGCAAAAACATATGCTTTTATATGCTTTTTGCAATGTATCATGGTATATATATACATGTATCAAAGACAGTTACTCTTTTTTACTTGTATCGTTTATTTTGGTTTTTAGACTCGAAGGAAGTGTAGTGTCTGCTTTGTACTTGTTTGTGTCACCAAAATAAAACATATGTTTACATCATGTCATCTTTTCTTCATCACTAAACTGATAGCTAAAGATAACGTATAGAACTAGTTTATATTCTATTCACTTAGAAAGAGAAAAAAGAAATCAGTATGAGTTTTATAGTGAGCAAAAAAAAAAAAGCGATGAATTTTTCAGGGTCTATTTTCAGGGAAAAGTAAGCAACTGTCCCAGGGATTTAAAATGTGGTAATCGTATGCATAATGCACGGATCAACGGAAATACTTTTTGTGCTCAAGGTAAAAAAAAAAAGACGATAGTTAGTTCATCTTTAGGCACCAGTAATCAGTACTTTCAGTTTACGTGTAAAGTAGCTTTCTTTCTTTTTTAAACAGCTAAACTTTTCTTTGCTCTTTTGGTTATTGACATTTTCATATGAATAAGAAAGTTTGTTATTGTTTCAGGATGATCTTATGGAAAGAAAAAAAGGAAACTGGGAATGATTATAATTCAAAGTCCTCTATTATGAAATACATTCCGCATTGATTTATATGATAAGTAAACTTCCCTTATCATCAAGGGCAAAGAATAATGAATTACTCAATAGAAACACAGAGGATAAGCACATAGCAAAAGAGAAAGAAATAAGCAAAAGGGGATGCTTTTCTGTTTATAGAACTGACAAGTAGGGTGTTCATCGCATGTCTTGTGCAAGTAAATAAGTTTATATGTAACACAAGATTGGGCGTCCTCTCTATGAGATGATCTCTATCAAAAGAAAACAAAAAACCAAGGAAAGGAAGGGCAAGGAAAGGAAAAGAAAAAAAATTACTTATAGAAAAGCACGCAGCACTCTTTTTTATTTCTTTATCTTTTCTTTCTGTTTCTTTACTTTCTCTACTCTGGTCTCTTATGGTCTCTCTCTCTTTTTGGTTCGTGCCTTAACTATTTCAAGAACGCGTCTACTTTCTCTAAGGTTTTCTCTTTACTTAGTTGGCTCTATTTGCTTGGCTCTATCTGCTTGGTTCTCTTTGTCTCTCTACTTTGGTTACAAGTAGCTACGTATTGAGGATATACTAGTTATCTGTAGTCTAACAATGGTACGCGATAGGTGCGGTTGTGGTATCCGCTGCACTGGTGAAAGCTAGTGTAGTTGTTTCTTGTTCTCTCTTTCTGTGGCTCGTTTTCTGGTAAGTACCTTATTTATTTCAAGAACGCGTTTACTGACATCTCTGTCTTTTCTAGGATTTTCTCTTTGGTTGGTTTTTTGAGTCTTTCTATTTTCATTTTGAGCGTCTGTGTGTTATCTGTAGTCTAACAATGTGATGGGATGAGATGGAATTGGCGTAGTTTTTTCGTGTTCTCTCTTTTTGTAGATCGTTTTTTGGTAAGTACTCCATCTATTTCAAAAACGCATTTGCTGACATCTCTGCTTTTTCTAGGTCTTTCTCTCTATTTGGTTGGTTCTGTCTACTGGTGTGTCTCTCTCCGTGGCTTTCAGTGTTCGATCCTGATCGTTGTTGGCCTGTTATAGCCGATGATTTACTTTCTTATCTTACTGCCCCGAGAGTAAGGTACGGGGTATATAGGCGTTGGTCTGCAGCGGGAAGAAGGGTAGTCGCTGGGAGTTGCTGGGATCCTTCTTTAATGATCTGGCATTCCCCAGTGTATCGCGGGCCTGGGAAGGTGTCAGTGAAGGAAGTGAGGGAGTACGAGTCAGTTGCCTTCTCGTGGCTACTCCTGCGAGTAACTTCTCTATGAAGTGAAACTAAAGACTGACATTATTTAATAAAGATTTGCTTTTAACAATGAATAATGACGTATACTTTTTTTATTGTCTTGAAGACTATGCTGCTTTTATTTTTGTCTTTAAAAGTTTAAGGGGTTTGCTTAAAGCAACGATTTACTTTTGTTTCTTTTTTACATTCTTTTTCAAAGTAAGTTCATGTTGTTTATTTGATTTCTATATATCGTTCAATAGTGTAATTGTGTTGGTTTAGTGTTGTTCAGACATAAAGCCACACTGAAACTTGTGTCATCAAAAGCAACGCGCAATAGCTTATGTTTTTTGACTAGTCTACTCAAACTGGTTTTTTAGTTATCTAAAAGGCCGTCTAACAAGATTTACTGCTGGCTCAAGACTATTTCTCTCCCTGGTTCTACTCTGATTTGGTCGGTAAGCTCTATGATAAACAAGGCGTGCTCTAATCAGGCTGGTTTCTCAAGTGTCTGTAAGGCGTTTGATCAAGTGGTATAGGGCTTTCAAACCCTTTTCTTCAGACTCTGGCTCTCTTTAGTTTATCGTTAGTTACGCTGAAAGCTGCTCTCTTTAGCCTCAGAAATGCCAAGTGTTATAGTAGACCTTACCTAGAAATACTCTGCACATCAGATAATGTATAGAGAAGTACCTACTTGCTAGTCAATACCTATTGAAAAGGGTCTCTTTTGTACTAATTACAGTGTACAATGAACTTTGAATATAGATTTAAAAGCAATGCTCAAATGAACTGGCCTTTTTTTTATCTTAGTAAACTCGCTTTCTTTTTCTTAGAAGTACTCAGACATTGCCTTATCTGGTTTCAGTTGGATCAGACCTACATTGGGTCATTCCAAAAAATTCTTGATCGAGTTTGTTTTTTCATCTTCACGAACTTCCGTGGATCCCACATCGGTCAAAAAATGAGATTCACCCAAAAGCCAAACCAATAGTAACATTTGATTTCTGGGTTGTTTTGATGATCTGGTTGTCGAGCAATGATCCATCAAAGATTGACATGGTTAAGTTGTGCTTTGAGCGTTTTTGCTCTAAATATCATATAAAATATATTACCAATCAATCTTTCCAGAATATCATATGTTACTTTGAGTACCAAAGAACATGAAAAAATAGAAATATAAGCACTTTATAATATGAATGAGGGAGCAAGTGGACATAGGACATACAGGATGGCCGTGGGTGGAGATTAAAAAGAAAACAACCTCGATTCTTCTCCCGCTGTATCTAAATGGAGTTTTTGCTGAGAACTGCCTGAAGACGCAGTTATTCGGCCTTGGTACAATAGTAAAAGCTTTAGATATTTTTTTTGAGTTTGTTCATGTAGAGAATATACCAACTTTGCTGCTGAATTTCTGAGGAAATAAGCAAAAATGTTTATTAGGTTTTCGCTCATATCTTGCCATTTCTATATTACAACTGGCAAACAAACACATTGGTCAAGAAATATAGTGCTTGACGCACATTTCGAGTATTTAAGCTTGTCGATATCTTTGTTTTTCGTCTTGTAGCGCCAAAAAGAAGCTTGAAGGTTGTCAAATCGATAGTTTTCGTGAATGGAACTCTTGGTCAAAATATGCCTTTTGACCATTTTTTACAGGTCGCTCTTTTTGGTTCAAACTAACTCCAAAAGTATCATAGATGATAGCAAACATTGCTTGAAGGTATCTGAAGTATTCGCACATGTATAAACAGGCTTTATGCTATTTTTATGTGTCTATGAAAAAGAACATTACATGTCCTTTTTTTCACTTTTGAAATATCTGTTTGCTTGGTGTCTCTGTTACATGAACAAGTAATGTGCTACTAAACTACTTAATCAAATAGAATACTTTATTGAAGTTCATTTGATTTATTGAGTTGATGAGTATGATGAACCGAATTTGTGTCGAGTTAGCTTAATTTTCGTGACAGTAAGCTGCTTGATAAGTATTTGATCAAAATTTATAGCCTATGTAGTTACTGAGGCACAGTGCCTTATGATAATTTGAGAACTAACTTATTTTTTACACTATTTTCAAGAATTAAATCAACTTCATTATTTAAAGCCTTCTTTCGTAAAAGACCCCATGCTTTAAAAGGTTTTTTTCTGTTAGCAAGGGCTAAACTTAATATAATACAGTTATATTTAATAGAACAACCCGTTCTCTTAATGCTTGTCATATCTTGTCAGTTTATCAATCTACTTCTTGAAATAAACAGTTTCTTTAAAGTTTCTCTCTCTCTCGCTTTGGTTCTCCAATGCAGCCGAAACAGTATTGCCCTTAAACCAAATAAAAACGTATTTCCAAAAAAAATTATAGCTTCTTTAGCTCCTTAGACAAGATGAAAATAAGAATATAGATCTACGTGCATCTGGTGGATAAAGCAACTTACTATACGTGGGATAATTTAAAGCCTTCTTTCTCCTTCTATATACTTGATTCATGTTGATGATGCATCATGTTTTTAAACAGACTTGATAGAAAGGAGCTTCTTTTCTCTCTCTCTAGAACGAAAAGAACCTTTTTACTCATTAAAGCGCACCTTCTCTTTCCGATTGAAATTTCATCCGATCTCTTCTCCTTTCAAGATCAATCACTATATAAAATCAGCCATTTGAGTCTTGTATTTTTTTTTGTATCATCTATTCATACTACTATGCAAATCGGACTTCTTTCTCTTGGATTCCTCGCTTCTGCTGCTCTTGTCTCTACCGCTCCTGTCGCTAGTAACTCATTACTTGATGTTGTTGGCAACGATGTCCGTCTTACAGACACTTTGAGCGATATTGCCAACAACCTTCGTATCACTGACAACTTGAATGATTTGGCTGTCAATGTTGCCAACAAGAGAAGTGTTAACCAACGTCGCTACTACGAGTATGACGAAGAAGAAGAAGACGAAAACGAACCCGATGAGAACGAGCATGATGAGAACGAAAACGAGCCTGATGAAGAAGAAGAAGATGAAAATGAAGCTGATGAAGCCAGCATTGCCCCTAGTGTTGCTCGCCGTGAATGGGAAGAAGACGAAAATGAAAATGAAGCTGATGAAGCCAGCATTGCCCCTAGTGTTGCTCGCCGTGAGTGGGAACAAGACGAGGAAGAAGAAGACGAGTACGAAGTAGATGAAAACGAAGCTGATGAAGATGGTTACTATGACAAGCGTAACGGTGTTAATGGTTTGCCCCTCAACCTTGATGTTGTTGACCAAGTTCTTGGTGCATCAGCCAATGGTCAAGAACAAGAGAGTGGTATTTTCTAAGTCGTTACTGTAGCTCTTATGCAAGCTTAATTTAAATCATTTATCTCAAATCTATTTTATTTTTGTTATCAAACATTTTTACCTATAATAATAAACAAATGCAAATCTTTGTCAAACTATAATTCATGCATAAATGTTTGTCTACCAAATTGTAAATGACTGTCTGTCTTTATAACATTGCTATTCGCTCATAGTATATTACTATAAAGCCTTACTCTCATTTATTATTATTTTTTTAATATCAAAATTTGATCATCAAACTTTTGTGCTGTTCAATACTTTCCTTTAAATCATTTAGTGAATGACCATGTAAATGCATTGGGATTGTCACACTCTTATTTTTATTAGACAATCTTCTCTTATGCGTTCTCCTTCATGTATGTGAATTGCATCTGTAAGAATTGCATGTCATTTTTTATTGTATTTCAATAGAATTCAGTTGTCTACATAAAAGACAGACTGCATATAGTTAAGATTTAGCTATTCAATGCACAATGTAGTTTTTATTGTCTTTACTACTTGACAATAAAGAAAATATAAACTTGAAACATAACTGAACAAAAACACCTTCATATTTACAGCATTTAATTCAGTACAAAAATAATTATAAAAAAAAGATACATATGTACATTTGTTAAACAGACAATACCAGGAACTTTGTCTCGCTTAGATCAAAATTGAATGTAGATCATCTCGCTCATGTGGTTTTTATTTTACGTTGCTTCTTTGTTTGACAAAAAATTAAGTTTGATTCAAAGGCTGTCAAACTTGGATTGACGTAGTACATGCCTTTCCTTTTCCTTGGAATTTATCTCTTTGACAAAGTATTAACTTGCCATTCATGGTAAGCTATGAAAGAAAAAAAATATTAGAAGCCATGTAATTTAATGAGTTACATAACGATCTCTGTTTCTCTGCTTTCTTTCTTTCGTGTATATACATGCATAGAGACGTTTATTTTGTTTTACACTGCATCTTGCATGGCTAATGTATCTTCTTCCCTCAGGATTTGTATTTCGTCTAGTATTCCTTCTTTTCTCCTCGTTTTCTTTTTCTACAAGTACAATCGATAAAGAATAAAGGGATACAGAAGGTATATAAAAGAAGCCAAGTTTATTGTGAATTTTTTTATTATCCTTCTTCATCTACACTCTTAAGCATACCAAGAAATGTATTGCAATTTTATCTCCCTTGGCTTAATTGCTAGCTCTCTTTTGTTCTTTACTGCTTCTGCTTCACCTCTTATTGATGTTGTTGATAACACTGTTGGCCTTCAAAACACAGCTTCTGACATCTTGAATGGATTGACGGTTGCTGATAACCTTAACTGTGCTCAAATCAATGTACTTAGCTCTGCTGATAGAGAAAGATGTCTTGCTGGTGGTGGTAACAACGGTAGTCGTGGCGGTTGTAGCACTGGTCGTTGCAATAACGGTGACAATCGCGGTAACAATGGTGGTCGTAGCAACAATGGTGGTCGTAGCAACAATGGTGGTCGTGGCAACAATGGTGATCGTGGCAACGGTGATGATCGTGGCAACAATGGTGATAGCGGCAACAATGGTGGCCGTGGTAACGGTGGTAATCGTGGCAACAATGGCTGCAATACAGGCAGATGCGATAACAACAGTGGCCATAGAGACAGAGGCAACAACCACGGAGGCAACGGTCATGTTCCTGCCAATAACCATGGCCCTCATGGAAACCGGGGAGGCCATGGTTATCCTGGAAAGCCTGGTAATGATGATGATTATCCTCGTGGCGGTGACCATAACCATAGTGGTAAGGGTTCTTGCTATGAAAAGCGTTCTCGTTTAAATGGTAATATATTATTCAATCATTCTCTTTTTTTTTTAACTCATTCAATCCTACTAGCTCGTCAAGAACCCACTCAAGTCAAAGGTACTCATGTCAATCTTGTTAATACCGCCAGTGATATTCTCAGAAACGCCAGAGTGTCTAACAATGCCCACAACCTTAAGGCTGATGTAGCTCGCCGTGGTCTCTTGGGTGTCAACCGTAACCGTGTTCGTGCCAAAAACACACTCAATAATATCCTTGCTAGACCCAGAATTAGCAACAACCTTAACAATTTGAGAGTCAATGTTCTTAAGGCCCGTAGCTCGCCTGCTGTCAACGTTGATGGTACTCGTGTCAACCTTGTCAACACTGCTCAAGACATTGTCAATGATGCCAGAGTCAACCGTGTAGCCAACAATGCCAATGTTAACGTATTAAGAAAGAGATTTTTGGAAGCATTGGATGATGTCACTAATGAACTTGGAGATGAAGGTGTTGTCTATGACCTTTTGGATGAAGCTTAATACTTTTAATAATTCACATAATAAACATATTTAATGATTTGTCAAGACTCAAAAAAAAAATTAAGGCGCCACAATTTTATAGAGCATGGGATACACTTATTTTCCACTTTTTCTTTGAGCAAAATACAAAGTATGAACTTGGCACTTTTACAGCCTATATAAAAAGAGAGAGAAAGTGCAATATGAAATCAGATCAAACAAAACCTGCAAACGGACAGAGAAAAAAGAAGGCAGCAAGAGCCTGCATTCATTGTCAAAAGGTAGCTTGTTCATCTGTTCTATTTGACTTATCCATCCATAGGCACATTTAACTTGTGATGACTGTAAGCCAAATCATCTGTGGATTCATCTTTTAATCTTTTATTAGCTCGCCCTTGTCAACGATGTATTAAGCGTAATCTAGCAACCACCTGTACTGACGGTGCAAGGAAAAAAGCAAAATATTTACAAGATATTGATGGTATATTTGTGATGTTACGTCTGTTTATTTATGAGACTGTATAGATACAAGTCCAATGACAGCACCGGGAACACCATTTAGTCCTCAGTCATCCATACAGACACCTAATTTAAATGCGTTTGTGCCTGAAGTGGTTTCATTTCAAGCACAACGCTTTTTGGATACTGCAGGTAAGGATGTACATTGCGATACTATCAAACTTATCAGGAATCAGGAGCACCTTCTATGACAAACAACACCACAGATACTTCTTTAATGAATTTAGATAATTTCAACTATGGATTCGGGTCTAATACAACTAATCTTGAATATTCAATCTTATCTAACATGCTTGGTTCTCCTCTTACAGATACCAACGTGTCTAGTTCAAATCAACCACCTACTTCAGCTGATGTGCTTAGCAATCTTTGGTCTCAACAACAACAGCAGCAACAACAACATCAACAACATCAACAACAGCAACAACAGCAACAACAGCAACAGCAACAGCAACAGCAACAACAGCATCAACAGCAATCACCTATTCTTGATTCAGTTACAAATACAGTAAATATAATACAGAACAATAGTGATACACCTTTTTTGTCTTCACCTAATCCTCCTCCTCCTCCTCCTGCGTATAACAATAACAAATCAGTTGCTTCCATTTCTTCTTCTACCATGGATACATCACAAATATCTGCTTCTGGTGTATCCACTCTTTCTGCTTATGGTGATGGTGCTGTCGTAGCTAATGTGGCTAGTCCAGTCACAACAAGTACGGGTCCATCTGTGAGAAGAAGAAATCAGATTGTTACGCCTGAAATGGCTTATGCTAGTGCAACAAAACCTTTTAGTTATGCCGATGGATATCATTATCTGATTAATTATGTCAAAACAAGGTAATGTATGTTTATCCATTTTTTTCTGTATTGACTTGAAATAGAATGAGTAGAGAAGATTTGATGAGAATCAGTAGAGCGCTGGCGCTATTTAGACCATCTGTCTTGGCTTCTATGATGAATTTGACTGAAGATGACTTGATCTTTACTGAGAAATGCTTACAACGTACATTATTAGTATGTATATATATATAACTATACTCATTGACTCACCCTGTATAGGAATATGAGAAATTGATTAGTTATTCAGGTACACCTACTGTTGTATGGCGAAGAACAGGTGAAATTGCTTTGGTAGGAAAAGAGTTTTCTTTACTGACTCAATGGTCAAGAGATATGCTCTTAAACAAGAAGACCTATATTTACGAAGTAGGTTGATTTCAACAGATACCATCAGAAACTGATTGTCTTCTTTAGCTTATGAGCAATCCCTCTGCTGTTGAATATTGGGAAAAGTATGCTTTGCATGCTTTTGATAACACAGATTCAGCCGTCTATAGTACTTGTATTCTTATCAGTCCTACAAAGCGAATTGTTCCTTGTACTTTTTGCTTTACTATCAAGCGAGATATCTTTGATTTACCGAGTGTTATTGTAGGCAATGTAAGTAATAGAACTAAAAGTAGCCATGGCTCATATTTTATTAGTTTCTACCTATCTTGAGCTAGAAATCCCATTCCATTTGCATCTCATTCTACCTTTTTTAACTACAAAAGATATCCCTACAAACGTATTTAACCTGGACCATGATAGAATAAATATACTTTATTGATAATAGTATTCAGAGGTTGAATGTCGATTAGAGTAAGGTACTTTGGTTTGATAATCTAAAGAACCAGAAAACTTTTTTTTGGTATCCCATTGAATACTCTTAAGACTAGGTGGTGGGTTATCACGGTACACATAACCAGCAGGAAGACTGGACTGATGATCATAGTGCTTCTCCAATGATTGGTCTCGGGATACAGGTTCATTGTCTTGTTGGTATGTGGATAAGCTATTAAACAGCCGAGCCAATTTGCCATGGCTTGAAGCCTTGAGTGACTGATCTTTGGTGTTCAACTGACTTGCTGAGCTGGAGGGTGTAGGTAAAGGTGATCCCTTGGGTGAATGAGCTGGACTGTTGCCAGCACTCATGGAATATTTTTCATCCAATTGGATTTGCTTTTGAGATCGCCGTACATCTTTGTTCACCATCAGCTGCAACTTTTGGTCATTTAAGAGTTCTGCTTTTTGCTTTTTTTGCTGAGCTTTTTTTGGAATGGGTTGCGTGTCTAGATCGTCTAGGATATCACCTTTGCTGACTGTGTCTTTTTTCCAGTCTCCATCTTTGGATTTATCGAGTAAGGTCAATAAAGACAAAATCAAGACAGGCTCAAGTCGATCAAACTGTGTTAAATGACATCGAGACATGTTGTATTTTAGTACTGTAAAGATACCAAAATACTCGTCCGTTAGTGTACGGGGCAAGTATTGAGCCACACAAATATCACCTATGCAGACATGGTTAGTACCCTTATTTCGTATTGTTTTTTTAACCTGTCTTTCGTATGGCTTTGCATTCAAGTATTTGACTCATTCTACTTTGACGCATCCTAATAGAAACGCATCAGTGTACTTCTATTATATTCAAACACCCATTTTACCATCGATACTTTTCTCCTTCCCATTCAAAACTCCATTCAAAACCAAGACGAGCTGTTTCACGAAAATCAATCAAGATATCTGTCTTGTTGTCGAAATGAAGTGTCATTGGTTTAACTCGAGACGTGGCGCTGGGTGCCTGTATTTCAACAGAGGCCTCAAATGTAACTGGATCCACTAGACTGACAGCATAAAACTTGGAGAGTCGGTGCCTGATTTTAATAAAGCAAAGTTGGCCCGTCTTTTTATTTTTAATGTCAACAATGGCCTTGTTACGTGGATGACTTGAGAAGATATAATGTGATACTACATGATCCATGGTTGGCGTCATTGTTGAAGAGAGAAAAAAAACAAAAAAAGTATTTATTTATATTGTATTCGAGGTAGGACAAGAAAACGTATCATGACTCTTTGTTTTCTGCATATGTTTTCATTGGCTAAATCAAGACATGAAACAAGGATCAAACGACAATTGCCTTTAGGAGAAAGCTTAAAATTGGCTTGATTTTAAAGCAATGGCCATAAGACATGCATTGTGCGGTAATTAAACTTTTCTAAGTCCTTTCTCGAGAAAAAGAGGGGGTCGAACTGAAAAAAAAGCTAGGGTTCTCTCAAGTCATGTTAAGGACACGATTACAACCTACTCAGATCCTTCGATCCCAGCGTTCAAGTACGTTAGTTGCTCACTACAGTACAGCTCAACGTCCATCGCCTGTTGATTTCAGTGCGATTGAAACCAAATGGCAACAACGATGGCAACAAACCACACGTTCTACTGATCCCAATAAACCCAACTTCTATACGCTCTCCATGTTTCCTTATCCAAGCGGTATGCTTCACATGGGTCATGTACGTGTCTATGCTATTAGCGATACTATTCAACGTTTTCGACGTATGAGTGGTTACAACGTATTACATCCCATGGGTTGGGATGCTTTTGGCTTGCCTGCTGAAAATGCAGCCATTGAGCGCAGTATTCATCCAGCAGCATGGACAACCAAAAACATTGCTGCCATGAAGGAACAAATGTCAAAATTATGTATTGATTTTGATTGGTCCAAAGTATGTCTATGCATCGAGAAGACAGTGTGCATTAACGCTCACCGATAGGAAGTAACTACATGTGATCCCGACTATTATCGCTGGACACAGTACATCTTTTTGGAATTGCATCGTGCTGGATTAGCGTATCAAAAAGAAGCTGTTGTCAATTGGGACCCAGTAGATCAAACAGTCTTGGCGAATGAACAAGTAGATCCTGAAGGAAAATCATGGCGATCAGGTGCTGTTGTCGAAAGAAAGAAACTTAGGCAATGGTTCTTTAAAGTGACAGCATTTGCCGATGTAAGCTTAGAATGAGGTCCACATTGTATTGACTGTTTTATATAAGGATCTCTTGAAAGACATTGACAGATTAGAACATTGGCCTGAACGAGTCAAGCAAATGCAGCGTAACTGGATTGGAAAATCAACAGGCGCAGAATTAGAATTTAAGCTTGTGAGTTGCATGAAATACCACTACTAAAACTATTGACACTATCAATCATAGACTTCAGATGTAGCCAAGGAACCTATTAAAGTGTTTACAAGTAGACCAGATACTATTTATGGTGTTCAATATTTAGTATTGGCTCCTGAACATCCGTTGATCAACAAAGCGTAAATCAAGAGGATATAAAAAAAAGCTTGCTCATCCTCATCTTGATAGGTGTTTACCTTTAAATCAAGCAGATCAAGTATTGCAATTCGTTCAAGACTTGAAAAAGAAACAAAATATGGATGAGGCAGAAGAAAGCAAGAAAGGTGTCTTTACTGGTCTTTATGCTAAAAACCCTTTTACACAAGAAGATATTCCTGTTTATGTAGCACCTTATGTTCTTTCAGACTATGGCACTGGTGCTGTCATGGGTGTACCTGCTCATGATAAACGCGATTTTGAGTTCTGCAAAGTCAATCAAGTGGTCGACAAAGTGAGATTTGTCGTTGAACCTGCTCTTCAAGCATTAGACCAACCTTTTGATACCAGTGCACCTTTTGTCTCTCATGGTGTCTTGACAGCTTCTTCAGGTCCTTACCAAGGATTGAAATCAAAAGCAGCTATCAAGGCCATTATTAAAGATGCAGAAAAGATGGATGTAGGTCGTGCTGCAACACAGTTTCGATTAAGGGATTGGTTATTATCAAGACAGAGGTATTGGGGAGCACCTATTCCTATCATTCATTGCCCTACGTGTGATGTTGTACCTGTGCCTAAAGAAGATTTGCCAGTTTACCTACCATTGGATGTTGAATTCTCTGGTAAAGGACAGTCCCCTCTTGCTCGACATGAAGCATGGGTCAATTGTAAATGCCCCAAGTAAGCTCTTGTTTGATCGCTTTGTCTGTGTTGATTGATGTATATTCCCTATAGGTGTCAAGGGCCTGCTAAAAGAGAGACAGATACCATGGACACCTTTGTTGATTCTTCTTGGTATTTCATGAGATACACTGACCCTAAAAATACGCGTCTGTAAGTGCTGTCTTTTCCTTGATTGATTTCATAATATGCCTGTCTCTAGACCATTTGATGCAGCCAAGGCTTCTGCCATGTTGCCTGTCGATATTTACATTGGTGGTGTTGAACATGCTATTCTTCATTTACTTTATTCTCGTTTTATTTCTAAGGCCTTATTGAAACAAGGCGCTTATCATGAAACACCAGAGACAAAACCAGGCCATGGTGAACCTTTCCATGTCTTGCTTACACAGGTAAGTTATACTCAAGACGTGTCGACTTCTGATGTCATTTAGGGTATGGTGCATGGTCGTACTTTTAAAGACCCCAAGACACAACGCTTCTTAAAACCTGAAGAAGTGGATGCTTCAGGTAAGGATACACTAGGCTATGGAACTCAGCTCATACTGTGTACTAGATTATGCTGATCCCAAAATTATTGCTACTGGCGAAACACCTTTGATCTCATTTGAAAAAATGTCCAAGAGTAAATATAATGGTGTTGACCCTGTCGTAAGTGTTTGATGCATGCTAGCACAAGTCTAATTCGCCCTTAGTCGATTGTCAATGCATGTGGTGTGGATCCTACTCGTCTTCATATCCTTTACAAAGCACCACCTTCTGAAGTGCTTGAATGGGAAGACGCAAGTATTGTAGGTATGCAACGTTGGCTTGCCAAGGTGCTTAAATTATCTCAAACCATGCCTCGTCTTGCCTCTGATGTGCCTTCGCTGGACCACATGTCTCCTGCAGAAAGAGACATGTATCGTATGACCCACCTCACCATTAAGCAAGTCACCGAAAGTCTATCGACTACGTATTCCTTCAATACAGCTATTTCAGACTTGATCAAATTATCCAACTACATTGCATCACAAACATTGACATCGCCTGTCTATCAACATGCTGTGCAATCCTTGGTGAAAATGATGGCTCCCATCACACCTTCTACTAGTGAAGAATGTTGGGAACTTGTAGGCAATACAGACAGCGTGTTTGACCAAGCATGGCCTACATGGAACCCTCAAGCCTTGGAAAAAGATCAATTAGATTGTGTTGTTCAGGTCAATGGTAAGACAAGACTCACCATCACTTTGCCTAAAGCATTGGCTGGTAATGCATCTGAAATTGAACGATGTGTTCGACAATCAGAAGCAGGACAGAAATGGCTTGCGGATAAGCCTGTTCAAAAACTCATTGTAGCCAAGAAGGGCGAGCTTGTGAACTTTGTAATTTAGTGTAAATTGTTTTTTTTTTATTATTAAATGGTATAAATCTTGTCTAGAAAGGCATGTTTAGGTCTTCGTGCAGCTATTTCTCTTCCGAGAGGAGACGGTGTGCTGTGGTAGGCAGCGTATTTTTTTATCTGCCCAGATACAATACCATAAAACCAATAGAGATGTAAAGGAAATACAGCGACAGCAACCATCCAAAGCATGTCTAATCGATGACTATGTTTCAAGGCGACAATCATGTAAGTATGAAACACAAGTCGCAACATAAAGAATGACGCGGCAAACAGTAAATCACATCGCCAACGGTCTCTAAAGGATCCCAAGGCTAATATCAGCGTAGGCAATTCCAATAAGCCATTTGTACTAAAGAAAGAAGATGATTGGCACCTTAATAACCAAAATAAGATACAGATGTACAATGGATGATGAACCCAGCCTGTCAAGACTGTAATCCTGCTCTTGTAATAAACAGACCCTAGTGATAGATCCAAGACCAAATAACTAATAAAGAAGCACACCATGGCAATATGTAGGTTGGAGTCAGTTCCCAATTGAGTCATATCCCATCCCGAGAGCCAGAATTGAATAAAGTAAGGTATAGAAACAACAGTACAAACCAAACTACTAGCAAACGTAAGGATCCAACTGATTTGTTTATCTGTCTTCGTAAAGCCAGTATGAATACAAAGGAAAAAGAACCCAATAAGGCCACTAAAGCTTAACAAGAAAGAGAATGGCACAACGGGCTGACTAAAGACTTGGCCTATTGTCAATTTGATAAGCATATTGTAAGTTGAAAAGAAAAGAAAGAAAACAAGCGACTTTATATATACTTTGACAATAGAAAAAAAAAAGGGAGGGGAGACAACATAGTGTCATATAGAATCAACTTCATTTATGCGCAATACATTATTCCGAATAAAAGGAGACATGCGCAAAAAAGGAGATGTTTTTTCTTGCCACTTGTTCAAGGAGAACGGTGGCAAGAAAAGAAAAGAAAAAAAAACTATAATCTTGTTCTTTGAATAGCAATGCATACATTCATTCTTTATTCTATCACTCCTTACAATCAACTTTTTCTGTCTTTATAAACCAAGTGCACCGATGAGGATGCAAGGGACAAGTGTTCCTTTGACAATATGCTGTGCGTCAGGAGTAGCCATAGGTAACTGTAGTAAGCCATTGGCATTTTTCATGCTAAGCATACGGCTACTTTGTTGCTTTCCTGTAGAGGTAGCTACTAACATACCATGATGGTCGGCTGAGACATACACACGATGATATTCAGGCCGACTGTCTAATTGAACATCATGTTGTATTTGAACCAAGAGCTGTGTGGAATCAGGTTGAGTCCAGCCGGCCATACGACGAAGAGCAGGCACGACAAACAGATGGAACCCTACAGTAGCCGAGACTGGATTGCCAGGCAAAGCAAACACAAGCTTGGGTGGGCGTTTAGGACCTTGGGGCACGGTAGCAAACGTAGTGGGTTTACCGGGTTTCATCAACACACGACCAAAATGAACTTTGGCTTCCAATTTCTGCTCCAATACAGGCTTCATGAAATCAGCTTCACCCATAGAGACACCACCTGTGGTGATCAAGACATCTGTTTTAGCAATGGCTTCTTCAAGTCGCTCCACCATGTCTTCCACCGTGTCATCCACAATGCCTAAATCCACAGCTTCAAAACCAGCTGATTGAACAGCAGCCATCAAGGTTAGTCGATTGGTATCTCGGATTTGACCTAGTTTTAAAGTATCTGTATGCATATGGTCTTGTACTTCATTGCCTGATGAAAGTACACCAATGCGTGGTTTGCGATACACCTTGACATGGCGCACACCTACAGAAGCAAGGACACCTAATTGACCATGGTCAACACGGTCACCTTGATGACCTACGATTTGATCCACTGGACAATCAGAGCCAATGTCACGAATATTGTCACCCGGTTCAGCCGTAACAAGGATTTCGACCGTCAGTTCTTGATCGCCTGAAGCAGAACTACTTATCAACTTGGTATCTTCCACCATAATCACAGCATTTGCACCTTCAGGCACCATACCACCTGTTGTGACTCGAGCAATTTGGCCCTTGCTTAGGGACTTGGTCCCAGAAGAAGAGGCTGCTAAAGAAACAGACTCAACATCGTAAACACCAGGACCATCTTCCACTAACAACATTTATATGAGCTACATCATGTTAGCATCATCGATGTTTACCATAAACAGCATAGCCATCTACAACAGAAGCACGATAACCAGGAACAGGTTCTAATGCCTTGACTTCTTTCTCAGCCAAGACATAGCCGGGCAAAAGTTGAGAAACAGGCATACTGATGATATTCAATGGCTTTGCATATTCAGTAATGATTTGATGTGCATCTTGAACAGAAACCAAAGGATAGGGGGAAGAACGTGCACGCCTAGACACTATTTATGGTGACTATCAACCTCACACACAAGCATACACTTACCTGGTGTCTCCAAATCAGCTGATTTGCCTGTCTGACTTGGATGCCCTTGACTATCATGGCGATGAACACAGGTATGTCCTCCAATAGCGGCTTTTGGATGCTGCATCTGATAGTGTAACTTATGGGTCACTGTTGTTCGATCCAATAATAAATCCAATGCATGAGGCAATATCTTCAAGACAGCCTCCATGTTTTCTTTACATGCTTTAGGACTACCGGGTAAAGTGATGATGAATGTCTTGTTGCGAATGCCTGTTATAGGTCGAGACAAAGCAGCAAAAGGAGTGATAGTCAAGGATGTGGATAACAAAAGTTGGGTTACACCAGGCGTTTCCTTTGTCAAGAGTGGCTTGATGGCTTCAGGTGTCCTATCGCGTTCTGCAAACCCAGTGCCGCCTGTCAATAAGATCAGGTGGAGACCAAGTTGGTCAGACCAGTGTTGTACTGTTTTACGAATATCGTGTATATCGTCGGGTACAATGGTTTGTTGCTTGACAGCAAAGGTTTCTTGAGGCAAGATCTCGAATAAGACAGGTCCACTTTTATCAAGTGAGTTGTCTTTGGAAGCTGTATCGCTTACTATGCAAAAACGATTAAAATAAAACTATCTTCCCCTTTTTTTTTTCTTTACCTGTTAGAATACCAACTGTATAAGGTAAAGAAGCTACAGAGGATAAGTTAAATAGCATTGTTTATTTTTCTATTTTTTTTTTTTTTTTTTTTTTTTTTTTTTTTTTTTTTTACCTGCCATTCTATAAAAAGAGAGAAAGAAACAGTAAACACTTGAATTTTTTTTCCCTTTTTCTTTTTATATATATACATATATTTTATCATGCTAAGTGCTTTTACTGCTTTAGTGAGTGTCTTAATACTTGTACCAACCATACCACTTGTACTATATGCTATTGGTCTGTTGTTACCTTCAAGTCATATTGTTTCCCGTTCAACAAAGTACAATACAACAGCTGACATCTTGTGGGCCATCTTAACCAGTGTGGAAGACTATCCTGCTTGGCGTTCTCATATCGACCGAGTTACTGTACGTCGTGATGAATTTGAGAATGAAATCAATAAATACGACCAAGATAATCGCCTTACCTTTGTTGAATATACCAAAAAAGACAGACGCACAGTGGTAATGCATGTTGAACAAGAACACGCACGCAAATTATTAAGAGTATTGGAAGAAAGACCTTATATTGCCCCTGGTGGTGAACAGATCAAGAAATCATCTACATTCAGTGGTTCTTGGACATTTACTATTGAGCCTGTAGAAGGAGAAAGAGCAGTGATACTCAAGATTACAGAACAAGGAGTGATTAAGAAACCTATGGTGAGAGTATCTCATATGCTTTTCTTTGGTTATCATCGTCGTATTGATCGTTTTATGAAAGATTTGGCTAAAGAAGTTGAGTTGGGTATCCTTGATAACATGTCTGAACAACAGCAACAACAAGAAGAAGAACAACAACAACAGCAACAAGAGGAAGATTATGAAGCAGGACCTGATGATAGTGTTCTTTTACCCTCTAAACATATGACAGAATCCAAACTTCTTGATAAGGAATGGGATATGATGAATGAAGTCTATGAAAAGAAATCCTAATTCTCTGCTTTAATAAAACAAACAACAAAGAAACCACTTGTTTGACTTGAGATAGGATCAAAACGTAAACAGTTGGATTCGATTTCTGACTGATAGGCTTCATTCTGCTGTTGTTGCTTGATTTTGGCTGGTGAAATACCATAATCAGGTATCTTTTTGAGCTTAGCATCTTTATGTTCAGTCAAGAACCATGCTACATTCTCTTCATTTTGGCGAATAGAGAGTGAACAAGTACTATAGACCATCATACCACCTTGTTTAAGCATAGACCAGCCTTGTTTCATCAAATGACGCTGTAATTGCGCAATACTGTTGAGTCGAGTAGGATCCATAAAGTTTTTTTCAAATGCATCCCATCCCCATTGTTCATACTAATGTTGTCAAGTACAGTTGTTTATCATAATAACTTACCTTCAAAATATGTAGAATACTACCATCATGCGTACATTCAGCATCTACCAGTACTTTATCATACAAATCTGCTTTGATTTGACGGTCAAATCGAAGGAGTCTGGATGCCCAAAAGGGCTTCACTGTCTCTGGCTTGGCTCGCTTTGAATCTTGGTTTGTTTGAATGACTCGATTGCCTAACCGAGAAGGTGGTGGCACTTGAAATCGAGTACCATCTGCTTCAAACAACCTCACCTTTTCACCTACTTTATATTTCTTTAACAAGGATCGACAAGTAGCCAATCGATGTCCAGCTAAATCAACACCTGTGGCTGTACCTAGTCCTTCACGGCCCAGAACATTAGCAACCATACACAGTTTGGCTCCTGGTGCACAACAGAGATCCAATATTTGATCATCTGGTTTAATATCCAGAGCTTCTACTGCAATAGCTGAACTAAGATCAATGCCAAAAATAGTATGGTCTTTATAGCTAAATATAGATAAGTGATGCTATTCAACAAATGAGATGCTTATATGTTACGCTTGTGTGTCTGATATTCTTTTTGAAGAGAGTTGTATCCTAAAAAAGTTCTCTAGTCCTTTGACTGGATAGACTTCTTCTGTATCGAGTTGTTGGCGTAGATCGTGTACAGTAGGACGCTTCTCGGTAGGCAAATGGGTGTTTAAACGAACATATCGAGGTAAAGTAGCCACTGTATAGATCTCGGGATCAATATCGTTTTCTTTTAAAAATTGTTTAAATGAGGCAGGTAGTTTGTCTATATCAAAGCTGGATACTTTTGTTGTTGGCTGATCAATGTGATCTATATGATCTGGACTAGAATCAGTTGCATCGACCATGTTTAATAGAGAGAGAGAAAAAAAAAAAGGGCTATTTTCAAAGTCCTCTGTTTCTCTTTCTCTTTCTTTTTAATCATGTCAGACCAACAAGAGTTTCCTCTCCAAAATAAACAGACGGCTATTGAGATTGATGGCATTCATACCGAAATTTTGCTTACTGGTTTCTCTGACAAGATCTTTATTGTGATTACTCAGTATGGCAAGATTGGTAGTTTAGTGAGTGATGTCTTGACAAGCGCGTATCTAACCTGTGCTAGATTCAAACGACATTAGATATTGCTCCTAATTTAGCAAATAATCCTTCCTCTGTACCTACTACAAGCCAGTTTTTGTTAGGCGAATCAACAGGAGAACAGAGCGAATTATACATTCTATATTCAACTTCTATCCTACAAGCCATAGGCGCCATGAACCCACATGAAAAACGACCTCTGTTATTAGGAATTGCATTAAAACCCTTAGAGCACATGAAGGAAAGAAAAAAAGCATTTCATCAGATCATAGACCAAGTCATGGCTCATGCTGTATGGTAACATTTTCTTTATTAAAACAATTCATCAAAAGCAGTGTTTTTACTTGAACGGGCCTTTTTCACTTTCTTGTAGTCTTCTTCTAATTCATCAAGATCTTCTTGTTCTTCTTGTAACTGTCTCTTTTTGTCTACGATCTCTTTTTCAGCTTGTTTCTTGAGATATTCCTTTTTAGCCTGTTTCTTTTCTTTACGGACTTGTTTCCTTTCTTTAGCCTCTATTTTATCAGACCAGGCCATTTTGGTCTTCTTGACAGGTTTTGTTTGTTGCTTGGATTTCTCTTGGTATTCTTTCAGTTCTCTTAACCGTTTTGCTTCTCTCATTTTGTCCGTGTATTTAAAATGATCCCAATCCATCTCTTCTTCTGTAAATGCAATGTCTTGTTGTGTCTTGAGTTCAGGCATTTTAGGCAGTTTGAGTAACCCATAACCCATAGCCAATCGTCCTAAATCAAGATCCTTGATACGGAAAATATAGCTTGCTTCATGCTTACTGTAGGCTCTTGCCCAAGAGACAAAGGCCTTCATGGCTCTATCATGCAAGTCACGATCTGTCTTGACAATCGAACGTATTTGTTGAATAAATACTGGTAATCCATCATCTTCTATTTGAACAGACGTTGCTTTCTCGTCATTCGCCAGACTGTTATCGACTGTCGTCAAATCAGGCAGGATATAAGGTCGACGTTGTAAAGGAATCTTGCGCAACTTGAGGAAATCTACATAGACCTCTTCTCTGCCGCGCATCAAAATCACAGTAGCACGTCCTTTTCGTCCTGCACGGCCTGCACGTCCACAACGATGCGAAAAGGCTTTGGGATCTTGAGGCGAGTCGAGCTGAATGACATAATCGAGATCCGAGATATCTAAACCTCGAGAAGCGACATCGGTACATAACAAGACAGCTGGAACAGCAGGCGATAGTTCTGTAAATGCTGTATAGGTCGCTGATCGACGCTTGGTGTCCATCTGTCCGTGAAGTGAATGGAATGAGAATGGCTTGAGTTGTTCAAGACGAGACAGGATCTTGTAGAAATAATCGACCATGGCACACGTAGCGAAATACACAATGAATTTACGAGCACCTTCGTCGTTGGCTAGTTCAAATGCCAAGATACGTGTCATCTGTAACAGTTTTTGATCCGCGTCGCATACAAGATAGTCAATATCAAGCGTAGAAGGTGTACGTTGTACATTGCCCTTGTTGTTCAAGTCTTCTACTTTGACTACAATTCTGACAGGGTTTCGAAGACCTGCTCTGACCAATTCAGAAATAGCGTCTGTCATGGTAGCAGAGAATAAGCCTGTTCGACGTTGTTTAGGGAGCTGAGCAATGATCGTCGACAGTTGTTTTGAGAATCCCATATCCAACAATCGATCTGCTTCATCCATGACCAACACTTCCAGTTCTTTTGTATTGACAAGTTGGTTTGATTTTGTGAGTAGTTCCTCTAATCGACCTGGTGTACCAATCAAGATGCGAGGATGGTTCTTTTTAAACGATGCCATGTCTTCTGCTAAAGAAGTCGTACCACCAATAAACAGGCCTAGTCGTATCTGATCTTGACGCTCATGATCTTGTGCAAACAGTTGAAAAACAGTATGGATCTGTTGTGCTAATTCTCGAGTAGGTGTGATCACAACAGCACCAATCTCTTGATGCTTCAATGGATCTTCTCGTCGAAGGAGTTTCTCAAGGATGGGAATGACAAATGACAAGGTTTTACCGGAACCTGTTACTGCTTCAACAACCACATCCTTATTCTTCATAAACAAAGGGATCGCACCTGATTGAACAGGTGTCATGGTCTCAAAGCCCATAGTATCTAAAGTAGCCAAACTAGATATAATCAGAAAGATCGTTTGTATGACATAACTTACATGGCATCACTTAAAGGTGTTTCTAAAGAACGCCAAGAGCCAGCGTGTGTAGGAACAGCAGACATGGATCGATCGTAACAAGTTTAAAAAAAAAAGAATGATTTATTTTGCCTTTCTACATGAACACATAAGCCACTAGGAGCAATTCCATATATAGAAATGGTAAATGTCACTAGGTAAAGGAACCCGTTGATCAATCTCGAGTCCCTCAGGCACTGGTACATCGCATGTCTTGAGCAAATCGTTTATTTTATCTATAAACAGAGTAGCCTTGTTAACAAACGAAAGCACAAACAACTTGCTCAATCCTCGTTTGGCCACTTCAGTTGCAGTTTGATAGATATCTGTTATTAACCCATTCAACTCTCGAGCATTTTGTTGCTGACATACTTCTAATTCATGCTTGACATTGCTTTTATGACACTCGTTTGTATTTTGAGTGACATGCAGACACACAAATTGTGCTTGACCATATAGAAAAAAAAAATAATGATAAAAACTACCTGAGAATTCAATATAATGCTCGAATTTCTTGAGTGTACAAGTAGCATCCAAAGGAGACATCGACATAGGTGTCAGACTTTTAGTTGGCATGGATCTTTCTTCATTTTCCGCAAACCAAACAAAAGGATCCGTCAAGATTTCATCCATCTTGCGTTTCTTGCCTGGTTTTGAGAATGTGATTAATGCCAACGAAGAGATTTTGATGTATTGTTTAGGCTCAGTAATCAACACACCATAGAGTCGAATAATGTCGCCTGTGCGGATTCGATTGGTCTTGATATACTCAATGTTCTCTTCTCGGTGGATATGGCAATAAAATGTGATGGTTGATAAAGCAATTTGAAATATAGCTGAATCTTGATAGAATTCAGGATCACTTGTAAGATGTGTTTCTGTATAAATAATAGTCATTTCAGTAGCCATAAAGAAAAGAAAAGAGAAAAAAAAAAGAATAAAGAAAGAAAGAAAAAAAGACCTGTTTAAATCAGCATTGAATTTGATTGTGTTTTTGATTATTAAGGAGGCTTTATTGCTTTAATTCAGATAATTCTTGAATACGTGCTTGTAATTTAGGTATTTCGAGTAATTTGGCTTCAATCTAGTCAAAGTTAAACACTTGATTATGATTGATAGGTTGACTTACAGCATTCTTTTCTTCTTGAAGTGCTAATCTCTTTTGAGCATCCAATTTAGTGAATACATAACCACCTTGTCCATCATACTGTAAAATGAAGTTATGGTATTGCCATAAAGAAGGTCGATGAGAGACAGTCAAAAGAGAGATACCCAATGCAGTAGCATGTGTGTACATAATCTTCTCAATGTCCATACTGACTGCACTTGTACATTCATCCAAAATAGCATAACGAGGTGCATGGTAAAATAAGCGAGCCATGGCAATCTATAGTATAGTTATTATGCAGCTCAATAAAGACGATTTGTGTTTACTCGTTGTTTATCACCACCCGACAAGGCTAACGTCCATTCCTTTTCTGTATCCCAACCACCTTCTCTTTCAACGACATGCTCAATTTGAACTACTTTAAGGATATCCAGCAGGTCTTGGTCTGTTACTTGTTTGTTCTTCATGTCTTGAAGTGTGTCAGGATAAAGAATTCTAACATGTCATGTTAATCAAGCTGGTTCAGATTCACTTACTGGTCTCGAAGTGTGCCTAAAGAGAGATAAGGTCTTTGAGGAATATAAAAGATATCACGATGACTTGGACGATAGACAGTGCCACCATAGACAGGCCATAATCCACCCAAGATACGAAACAAAGAAGATTTACCACAGCCATTTGGACCCACAATCAACAAATGCATCTATGGGATTGATGATGAGCTCTTCATTTCTACTGAACCACTTACACCAGGCTTCACATGAAACGTAAGTTGAGGCACAAGTACATCACCATTAGGACTCACAATAGGCACATGATCAAATTCAATGATCTCACTTTGAACTACTTCACCACGACCTTTGATTTTCTCAGCATTGAGTTCAATGGAACGGGAAGAAACAAGATTCTTTTGATAATGGCCTGCCTTGACATCTTCAAAGACCTGTAAGAGATCATTGACCTAATAAACAAGTTGAGATGAGTATCATGCGAGTGTCAAGCAGTATCTTACTCGGCTAGTGTAACCTGCTAGTTCTGTGATTTCTTTATAGGCATACATGATACGACCCACAGCATCAGACGAACTCAAGAGAAGACGACGATTGGTCACAAACCCTTTGGTACGGCCACCAAGATCCATGTTATCTAAGCTAGGCAGAGTAAAGAACACAGGTACGGAACACAACACAAGACCACAAGCACCCCAGAAATACTTGATCACAAAGTCCTCCAACATACCATGAGGCACACGTAACCGAAAGATGCGATTCACATGCTTAATAAGCCGATAATAGCTCTTGTCTAATTCAGTCTTCTCTATGGCTTGACCATCCAACAAGGCCACTTCTTCTGCATTCTCAATCAAACGAGAATGACGGAAACGAAATTCACCTTCAAGCTTTTGTTCTTCAGCCACCATGTTACCAAAAGAAGGTGTGTATTTACGCATCATGACAGAAGAAGCATTGATAATCAATGAACCTAAAAAAACAGCTTCAAATCCTACTGTGCGTGTCAATTGATAATTATAGATAAAGACATCTAGTATAGGTTTAGCCAAGTTGGAATAGAGTTCGGCTAATGAGTTGGAGAATTTCATGGTGTCGACTGTGATGCATTGATCGGCGTTTTTGATACGGTCATCTAGGTTACCAACGGCATAAAAAGTCATATCGGTCAAGTATTGGTTGTGGATATAGGTGGTTAGACGAGTACGGAATTGAATAGCCAGTTTACTCTGCATGTAGCTCAGCTAAAAAGACAGTTCAGTCCAATGTATAAGTAGGGACACACTTACCATGCTATTTGTGTAAGTAGCAGGAATAGCTACAGTCATCCACCATCCAATACCGAGCATAAATTCTCTTGCTTGACCCCTGACAAGTGCACTTACAATTCTACCATCTAAAGAAGCAATATAGACAGACAAGACAGTTCTAAATACTAACTTATTAGTCATTCGTATGTCGTCTACTTTTGTCTTACCCAAGAATCCTGAATGCACCATCAACAACCAAAACTCTTTGGAGCGAAGACCAGGCATGACAATTTTGAGTATTTTGAAGAACTGTTTAAAAAAAGTCATATTCACCTATGATTGGGATGAGCGATATGAAATTGTCTGTATAATGTACCTCTGCTTTTTTATTCTTTTTGATCGGTTGACTCTTTTTAAACGCCTTCATTAAATTTCGCATAGACAACACGGCTCTTATTAGGAAAAAGATAAAGATGGACTTTTGTATCCATGGTTTATAGACACCATAATTCTTTAATATACGCTTCGTATATGGCACAAACCACAGTCGCCATTCCTCAAAAGCCAGTTTAGAGAATACAGTTGGCATGGATAAAGAGAGGATAAAGAAAGAAAGAAAAAAAAAAGAAAGAAAAAAGAGATATTTTATTTATTGGCATGTGAAAATGAATGCATCATATGATTCACTTGGTCTTTCAAGTGAATTGGTATCCAGTCTTGTATGCGTTTCAATGAGTCTATGATCTATATCTAGGTGTTATCTCAATTCTAAAATAAGCTTACTTGCCTGTTGTTCTAATTGTTGTTTATATTTCATTTCTTTACAGTCTGTATGTTGTTGACAAATATCCCATGCTTCTATCATACTCTGAATGATCACATCCAGTTTATCCCCATACTGTATTTGTTTTTCTGGTGCAGTTAAAGCACGGCAGGCATTGATTCTGACTTTGAAATTCTTGCATGCCACTAAAGCATGCATCAAAGCAGTATAGAGTGTATGTGTCCATGGATAAAGACCACCTCCCTCTATATAGCCAATAGGAAAGAATGGATTAGACAGCATATTGCTGGTTGCATGACAAGCATTCCATCTTGTCTTGAGCAATCCTGATTCAATATGTTTGATTAAGCCATGCACTGCTTGTTTGACTAAAGCCATAATGCGTGTATTGGCATAGTAGGGTTGAGGTGTCAGTCTCAACAGACTGCCTATGGCTCTCACAGCATTTGACTTGAGTTTTTCATGATCTAGAGCAGCAATAGAAATATTCAGAATATCAATCCATTCTGGTGTATCCATATATTCACGTAATTCGAAATCAGGATGGACACTAGACAAGTTAATATCTTATCACACAGTCATGTATACCTTTCTAATACCAGTGCATCACATAAGTTGGCAATAGACCAACTGATACGAACACGTACTAAGATAGTCTTGTCTTCTTTGTGCAATAGAATGGCCTTGATCATATCAGACATAAACAAGGGATCTTCTCTCAAGGATGGAAATAACACAAACACACCTAATGCTCTACAAGCCGCTGCTTTGACATGCATCTTTGTATCTTGAGCAAGTGAAAGTAACAAGGTTACAGCCAGTCTTTGGTATTGAAACTATCATACACACATCAGTCCTTCTTTCTACACTAGCATACATTACATGAAACTTCTCAAATATCTCTGTCGATAGACTTGCAAAGCAATCACATGCAGCTGTCCTAACTGACTCAGATGGATTGGAAGCTGCTTGTTGTAAATACGTATTGATCTGTGTTTGCCACCATGCCACATCATTGTCTTCATATTGCATCACACTAGCATAGGATGCTATGTATTTTAGACTAGCAGCACAAATAGGAATAGGTGTATTGTCCTTTGTCATTTGATCCCATAGATATGGTACTGTCTCTACAGTATACGTCTTTGTCAAGACACTACATGTATCCCATACTTCTTCTTGAACATCAAAGGCAAGGGCTGGAAGTAATAAAGTAGGTATTAAATCAGTTTGAATCAAAGGCTTGAGGTTGTCTTGATGTATTTGAAATATAGCTGATAGAGCCTTTAGAATAGCACTATGTAAAGCTAAATTTGATAATGATGATGAGATAAGTATATCTGTCTCATATGTTTATCTACCTGGCTCTTTCCAATGAGGAGCAATAGCCTTGTATAAGCTAGGTAAATGCTCTTTGGATAGTCTTTCATAAGAACAATTCTCGACAAGCACCATTGTCACTCGCATCATCAAATTCAAGACTTGCACAGATGGTTCCTTGTTAAATGCATATATTATACCTTGATGTATATCATGAATAATGGAACCAAGGTTTTCAGATAAAGAAGTAAATGAAGACGTGTGCTTATCGCTAATGTCATTAAGTATAAAATACATGTTTTTTTTTTTTACCTTTCGGAAGCTAAACTCAAGTATTGTTTGGATCCACTCAACATGGCTATCAACGTATGGCAAACAGTGGTACGTACATTCACTATAGGATCATATAATAAGATAGTAAACAGAGAATAAGGTTGATTGTCTGATTTAAGCAGTGGCGGCAACTGCTGATCTGTATGGTTGATGTTGTTGGCTAGAAAGATGGAAAATGTATCAGGCATAAATTTATGCCAATGCGGATAAAGGGCTTTGGGCGATGTCTATCGTTATATCTTAGTTGTCTATTGACTCTGTCTTCACTTACCATGGCAATAGCAGACAAACAAAGTAAGGCATTGATCCTAATCTTGGCGTTATCTCGCTGTCTTCTAGGTGATAGTTCAGTCAGCATAGAAGAATCGGATAATTCGGACTCTGAACTTGTCACTAAAGAAATGGATTTCTGTTGAAGAGGGACTCGCCAAGAGAGTTGTAAGGGTCGAGCAGAAGGTTGAGACAGTACACGGTTTCTTCTTGTGCTTGCAGGGATAGGCATGCCTGCCGAATAAGACTGTACATTGACATGCATAAAGATAAACGTATAAAGAATTTCAGTGATATCACATAAGGGATGAGTCACTAATGCTTTGTCTTGAGTTAACAAGAATTGTAATGCACGTAATGTTGAGCTGGCAATTCTACGTATGGCTGTGTCTGCTAAATCCAAAGTGTACGTGTTCTTGTCTGTCACGCCCAAATGACTCAAGAGACATGCATAAAATTCCTGTATATGATCTTGTAGCTTTGTACCTGCTACTGGACTAGCAAATGTGTTTCCAATACAATTAATAGCCATGCGGCGTACTTCCAATGGTTTACAATTGCGATGACCTAATAATAACAGAGTGTTGGAAAGACGAGTTGCTGTACGTTGAGTATGATGAACATTTTCAAATACAAGTGCGCTAAGCGCACGCAATAAGTCCACTTTGTGATCATGATGCTCCTCAATCGTCTCTAATCCATCCAACACGTATTTAATGCAGACGTCAAACTGAGCAGCCCTGAAACTAGTGATTCGAATCTATATGGAGGATTGAGCATCTGGATATTCAAAATAGTTTTTTTTTTTACTTACTTGTTTTGAGCATGCATTATACATGAATCGACAAAAGGATCGAGCTAATGCGTTTTGATGATCCACTGATTTGCATCCCAGCACAAGAATATCTATAGCTTGCTAAACACATGAAGAGATAAGTATATGCATCAAAAGAATAAACATCGTACTTGATCAGATATAGTTTTAACATGATCTATTGTTTCCAATAATTCAAGTGTAGATGCAAGATCAGTAGTTTCGGCATCGGGAAGCGCTGTTCGTTTATATTGATTAAGTAAGGAATAGAATTGGTCAAGATGTTTTTGTTGTTGAGCCATAAAAAGAACAAAGCATTCAATATTTGGTTGCGCTTTTATATATATATATATATCATACGCAGATCCAACTCCGCGTACTTTGACTTTGATAGACATGCTATGTCCAAATATGCTCTTCTTGACCTTTTCAAGGTCAACTATTATAGCAAAACTTACTCAAGTACGCCCTGCTTATTGAATGGTACATATATAAATATCTAATTACTAACCGATATCTATTGAAAAGAGCCTCTTTTATACATGTAATTACAGTGTACAATGAGCTTTGAATGCAGATTTGAAGGCAATGCTCAAATTAAGTCGACTTTCTTAGCTTAGTAAACTGGCTTTCTTTTCATCAAAAGTATCTAGAGATGGACTTATCTGATTCCGGTTGTATCAGACCTACATTAGGGTCATTCCAAAAAATTCTTGATCGAGTTTGTTTTTTCATCTTCACGAACTTCCGTGGATCCCACATCGGTCAAAAAATGAAATTCACCCAAAAGCCAAACCAATGGTACCATTCGATTTCTGGGTTGTTTTGATGATCTGGTTGTCGAGCAATGATCCATCAAAGATTGACATGGTTAAGTTGTGTTTTGAGCGTTTTTGCTCTAAATATCATATAGAATATGCTGTCAATCAGTCTTTCTAAAGTGTTAAAAAACGCTGAAAACTAGAAATAGAGGCATTTCATAGTGTAATTAGTGAGCAAAAAAGCGAAAGATAATATCATTTGGCCGTGCTACATGCTTATATTGAACTTATGTATGTGATTCTCATACTGATCCTACTTTTTTCTTTACATTCTCAAATAGTGATCTACTTAGCCTACAACTTTTGTTCGTAGACTTGCTCGCTATCTTTTTGTCTTGGCACATTTTGAATGCATCAAAGTATCATGCACACAGAACACATAGTCGGAGATCAAAAAGCCGTTGATGTTTGAAAAGCCTTCAAAGAACTTGCTAATACTTTGTTGTTCTTCTTTAAGCGCAAATTTTAATCCAAATCAGTAGGTAACAAAGCCTGTAAATGAAACAAGCACACAGCTCTAGTTGCATTTGACTAACGCCTGCGAAGCTGCTCAACCAATTTCTACCAACAGCTCAGATGATATAAACTATATTGAATTTCAATTTCGTAGACATCTTTTTTCGAGTTTTATTATGAAAGATTTTGATTTTTGAGCGGTTTTATTGGATGAAATGATGGGGAGTCCCCCATGATGGTCATTGAAAATAAAAAACTGCAAAATCAAACCAATAAATGTAAGAAGAAGCTAGAAATCAGACTTTGTTTTGGGATAGCAAAAATCAAATTGATTTCATTGAGAATGATCTGGGAGAGTTATCACGAAATTATAAGGTGGCATCCTAGTTAATCAGAGCATGCAGATTTGCTAAAATGTTTTCTCAAGGCTTGTAAAAAGTCATAATAGATGTTTATTTTATTGAAGTAAAGAAAAATGTTAAATCAAATCATAAATATAGAGCATAAAATGGAACATAGAATAGGGCATAAAAATAGAGCATAAGGTACAGCATAACGTAGAGCATAACATAGAGCATAAGGCAGGGTATAGAATTAAATGAGGTGCAACTTATTGCGTAAATCTCAATAGCTACCAAACTTTCTTAGGTTGATGTAGTGATACTCTTCATCTTTGGTGCGCATATCCAGGATATAGTCAACTGTCAGCTCATCAATATGGCTGACCATAGTAGAGATCTTTTCCCTCAGAATGCTTCTTGATAAATCTTCGCTTGAAGCTTGTCATATAACAAAATGGGTAACTAGATCATTCTCAAAACGGTCTACGAAGCGCAGGGAGGAGTTGTCAGAGGCCTTTTTGTTGAAGCACAGGGAAATCGCTCTCGTTGTTTTTTTATGAATTCTGTTGTTCCGCCAAAAAGATCGTGAGCGTTCTCTTCGACAAACAATAAAACGTCGAGTCCGGCTTTCACTCGTCTGCTGCTGTTATCCATCCAAGGACCACTGTCAACAATATGCCGCATTACTTCTTGTTTGCCAAACTTAATTGCAATTTGTTTCGGCACGTGGTTTTTGTTGGTGTGAAAGATGTGTTCACAGATATTTTCGTTAAACTGTTCCCCTTTTTCAAGGTTTAATGCAGCTCCAAAACGTTGAATATCTTCAGCAATATGAGAGAGAAAATGAACCCTGAGTTTTCCAATATATCCTTTGTGATTTTTAGTAGTACAGGTCAAATCGTACTGGCAAAAAGACAAGAGCAACTCTTTTACTGTATCATCAACTTGTCGTAAATAGTCATCGAATTGATCACTGATTTTACGGACAAAAATCAATGAGCAGGGTTTGCCTAATTTCAAGAAATAGGGAATGACCTTGGCTAAGTTTAAGCTAGCTTCAGTAAATTCAGTTACCAAAATAACCGGAAGAACTTGCAGAAGAACTTTGTAATCTCTACCAAGGAAAGAGCCACAGTGCTGGAGTTTTCTAGTGAATTTACAATTAAATCCCTTTGAAGACTTGTATTTGTCTAGTATAGCACCAAGAAAATGAATATTTTCCAGAGAAAAGCGTTCCTTAAAGAATAAAGAAGCACAGCGCATTGACCAAGATTCGTACATGTTGAACTGCTTGCTGCTGTTACCACTTGTATCATCGGTGAAAAGTACTATTGGAGAAATCCTCGCTTTGTAGAATTTATCGATGCCACTGTTGTCTTCGACAAGCTTTTTTATAAATTGTACTGTTGAAAGCAACTGTGTATGAATTTCTGACAAGAAGATCAACTGATTGGCATCATTAAGAGTGAAAAAAAACCCCCCGAGTTGACAAGGCTACGGTCAACGAAGGCAAAGAAAAGATCCTTTCACCTTTTTTGGGGTTTGCTACCAACAGCTTCAAATGCTCAGATGGCAAGTTAACATAGGCCTCCACAGAATTGTTGTTTTTAGCCTCAATATTGACAGTCTTAGAAGGAATTATATGCATTTGGTTCATCAAACGTGTCTGATAACGCATCAAAGCGTCAAGTCTTAGAAGACGAAGTGTTCTTCCATCTTGAGACGCTCTTCAGACATCTGTCATTGTCACCTTCTACGAGTGCGTGCATGATCATGCTTTCAATATTTGCAAAAGGAAATGTTGCACTTTTGAGGTGATTCCATTCTGATTGCTCGTTGATTACAGACTCTATCATGCTAATATCCTGATCTGCTTGTTCCTCATCAACATCACCAGCAACTTTTTGCCTGTCTCTTAACAAATAATACAAGGCGTTTTCAGAATCATACTGCTCCTCTTGAGTCTCCTCAAAATCGCTTTCAATCAGATCATCTGAGTCTTCCTCTTGCTGATCATCCTCCTTCTGTTCATTGTCTTCTGCTTCACTGAAAAAATTAGAAACTCGATTTTGGTGAACATTGTGTTGTTTAGTAAGATGTCTCTTCAAGTTGTTGCTTCTAGTGATATTTCGATCGCAAAGCCGACATTTCTCTGTAGTAGATTGGCTAGACATTACGCTGAAAACACTGATACCAGGCTCAGTGGGTCGAACAATTCGTTGTCTTTTTCGAGGTCTTTACATTTCTATATAACCAAGTTGATTTATTGGAAAGAAAAGGATGAAGGTAATATATTGTTGTAGCACGTCTTTTATGCTTAATTTTAATATTCTTGGCACTTGAGAATTTCTTCCTTTTTTTCTTCCTTCCTTTATCAATATATTACAACCAGTTTGCTTTATATAACATTATGGCTGTACTTACTTGTGCTTGAATAATAAACTTAATGAAAGGCAAGTTAACTATTTTCTAATGCTTATCTACTTTTTATTCATTCAAGTTTAGCCTATGAAGCTTTTGTTTATTCAGATAATGAAAAGCTAACATGAAGACTCAAATTATAAGTAATATACAAAAAGAATTCATACTACTGGAGATATTGAGACACTAACAATACTTTTTGAACTTCTGTAGTGTGCTTTTCTACCACAGAATAAACATCAAAAGCAATGTAAGTACGACTTCATACTATAAAGTACTTTATTGTTAAAACTCTTTTAATATAGATCTCGCTTTTCCTGCAAGAATCAATGGGTATGCAATGCTCCGTTGATATTGGGCCACGATAACTGGCTAGTGCAAGCCTCTGGATACTAGGTTAGAGTAGAGGGTAAGAGAAGCAGGGTGGATGAGCAGTGGCCATTAAAGTCTGACTGCTCGTCTACCTGGCTTCCTAGGCCATTCTAACTTAGCATAGCATCCAGAGCCTTGCACTAGCCAAGCTAGCTAATATTTTTTGATTCAATAAACCTATTTTGCATCTCCAATTTTTTAAAACTTCTTCCCACTTTTTCTTCGAAAATTCCAAAAAAGGAAACTTAGGGCTCCTGGTTACACGTTATCACTCTTTTCATAAAAAAATCCATGGTGGTGTTTATTTGTAAAAAAAAAAAAAAAAAAGTGTGCCAATAATTTCGGGAAATAATGACAAGAGCTGTAAATTGTTGCTTTCTGATTTTATTGGTGTAAAAAACGCAGCAAATAGACAAAGGTTTTTCACTCACATCTCATCATTTTCACAGTACGATCAGCACGCAAACACATTCACCAAAAACTAGAACGCTTGACGCGCATTTTGAGTATTTAATCTTGTCAGTAGCTCCATTCCTTGTTTGTTAGCATCCAAAAGAAGGTCAAAGAGTTGTCAAGTCGAATATTTTCACGACTAGCACTCTTTGGATTCGAGGCTAAAATGGCTAGAATTCACGAGTCGCTTTTTCTCGCCCAAATCAATTCCAAAGGTATCCTATATGATAGTAAACACTGTGTGTAGGTATTTAGAGCATTTATGCATGTATAGACAGACTTTATGCTATCTTTATATGCCTATGAAATAGAAGAAGACACGTCTTTTTTCATGTTAAACATCTATTTGCCTGGTTACCTAGGTAATGTATTACCGAATTGCTTATGCACATATTAAAAAGATACTTGGTCCCTTTGATCTCCGTCATTCCATGTAAAATTGGCACATTCTGTTGATCTAAAATGCAAGAGAAACACAGTGTTTATCAGATTTACGAGTAATCAAAGAAGAAATGGAGACTGATTTTATTTCATTTTCATTGTAAGAAAAAGAGATTGATATGAAGAGGATATTATACGGACGCGATGATTGAAAATGGAATGAATACTAATAATTTAAGAGGTCATGTAAGTGTTGATATCAACTTCTTCAGGAAGTGGTGAAATGTTGATTTCGAATCTGCTTTGGACGTCGTTCAAGACAACAGTGTCTTTTTCATCAGAGACAAAAGTAATACCTAAACCCTTTGTACCAAAACGACCAGCACGACCCACACGGTGCAAGTAAGAATCAGCACTGTCAGGCATATCATAATTGATGACAATATTGACACGTTCAATATCAATACCACGACCAAAGATATCTGTGGCTACCATGATACGCTTTTCAAAGTCCTTGAATGACTTGTAACGTTTAATACGCTCTTCTTGACTCATTTGTGAGTGAATACAGATACTGGGGAAATTACAGTCAGACAAGATACGGTTAAGTTCATTGGCACGGGCAACAGAGCGAACAAAGATGCAGACTTGGTTGAATTCTAATGTATCCAACAAATCATTGAGTTTACGGTTCTTTTCTTTCTCTTCCAACTTGATGTAGAACTGTTGAAGACCGTGTAATGTCAATTTGGCTTCATCATCGACATAGATTTCTAATGGATTTTGCATGAATTTCTTACAGACAGGACGCATTTCTTTAGCAAGTGTGGCAGAGAACATCATGACTTGTTTGTGGTGAGGAGTAGCACGGAAAATGTCTTGTACATCACGACGCATATCTAATTGTTCCAACATTTTATCACATTCATCTAAAACAAAGTGCTTGACAGCACCCAACTTGAGATGCTTGTCACGCACCAAGGCCAAAACACGACCAGGTGTACCCACAAGGATATGAGGACATCTAGCCTTATCCTTAAGGATTTCAACATCCTTTGTCATAGGAACGCCACCATAGAATACTTCAGTGCGAATGTCAGGCAAGTATTTGCTGAAACGAGCATATTCGTTCTTGATCTGGAAAGCCAATTCACGCGTATGACAGAGGACAATCACAGAGACTTCACCATTGATAGGCTCAAGTTGTTGAAGGGTAGCAAGCACAAAGACAGCAGTCTTACCCATACCAGACTTGGCTTGACAGAGAACATCCATACCCAAGATAGATTGAGGAATACATTCTTGTTGGACTATGGACTTTTTAATACACTGTGGGTGGTGCTTGTGAATTACCTTCAGAAGGGTGTTCGAAACCACAGTCAACAATACTTCTCAAGAGTTCAGGCTTCAACAAGAAATCACGGAAACCTGTCGAGTGGATACCAACATAGGAACCTTTCTTGTCTTTTTTGTCATCTTCGTCAACAGCCAAGGAATCACCTTGTTGAGCAGTAGCTTCTTGTTGAAGGGTTTGTTCGTCTTCTTCTTCGTAATCAATAAGATCGTCAGCGTGGTCAGCAGCAGACATTTTTAAATACTGAAATATATAGGTGTAAGTAAAAACATGTTTTATAAATCTATCTACAACAAAATTCTAATCGTCCTCCTCGCTTCAATTCGACCAATAATATTCTTTGTTGTACAAGGAAGAGGAGAGGAAGTTATCACAGTTGAGATTGCTGCCAAACACCCAAGATTGTGCAATAAAAAAGAGACGCGTATCTTAGTCGAATATGACAGACAAAAAGGTGTCATTGAATTGTAGGAGAGAATCGACAGAAAGAAGTTGCACAAGTAGCGAATGTAGCGACATACCTTTGAGATGGATTAGAGGGTTTTGGGTAGATGGATGGATGTGGATAAAAAAAAAAAGGGATGCAAAGGTTTGTTTCTCTAAGACTCTCAAACCAACCAACCCCCCTGACAATGAGCATGGGCCAATCAACAATAGAAACGCAGCTCGAACAATTCCGGTCCGATATACTCAGATCTGCCTTTTTTTTCATGCACATACAAATTTATTGCTTACTATGTCTATCAACCCTACCCTTTCTTTATGTTCTATATCAGCATAAAGAAGGAGATAGAAAAGATGATCTATTTTGACTCATAGTTTGTAATGTCTTCTAAAAAAAAAAAACTCAGTTTACCCGTTATTTTAATCCATGCGTGAGAAAAGATATGTGATTTCTTCTTTCTTTATGACGAGAAATATCATTGTACTTGGTAAATAACATATGCAATGATGACACATTTAAATGAACCGTTTGGCTAGGGGCTGGTGTTAGTGGCCTGTCTACTGCCATTACTCTTTTAAGAAATGGACATAAAAATGTGAGGGTTGTAGGCAAACATTTACCTGGAGATATTTCATCCGAATATACTTCTCCTTGGGCAGGAGCATCTATTCTTACTTTTGCTAAACAAGATGATACTCGCTCTCAAGGTAAATCATCTATACATAAATACATAGAAGATTGGCTTATGTTCACTATAGAGATTGATGCATATACTATGAAGGAATTTAAGCGATTGGCAGATGAAGAACCTGAGGCCCATGTCATGTATTGTCGTGGTGTCAAATACTCTGAAGAACCCGGTACTCCTGGGGAAGATATGTACTGCGTTCGCAAAATATATCGAAATGTTTGTATGTCTTTATGCAACCAGATGTACTTATATGCGATTCATAGGTCGAGGAAATCCCTCAAGACCAATTGATTCCTGGTACAGTTTATGGCTATACCTTTGAAACTTGTAACTATAGATATACAATCTGTCCAAGGAAATACTCACTCTGTCATGATAGTCACTGCCAATGTACCTAAATACTTGCAATACTTGGTAAAGATTTTGAGAAGTTTAGGTGGCCAGATTGACAGAAAATCATTTAAAAGTGTTCAACAAGTCATTGAAGAATACAAGGATGCTTATGCTGTCATTAATTGCACTGGTTTAGGCTCTTATTATCTTGAAGATGTTAAGGACCATACCATGTATCCTATACGCGGGCAGACTGTACTTGTTCGAGCACCTCATATCAAGGTAAGTCAATTGTGATTAACCATGGCTAATGTATGTGTAGACTCAACATTATATTGATGCTGAGAATCGCTGGACTTATATTATCCCTCGAGATGATGGCAATGTTATTTGTGGTGGCACGGTAGACCGCAACAACACACAAACATCACCCGACGATGCTATTACCAAAGACATTCTTGAGCGTGTGTATCGATTAAACCCTGAATTGACACATGGTAAAGGTGTAGATCATTTTGACATTGTCTCAGTCAATGTTGGATTTAGACCAGGCCGTAAAGATGGTATTCGACTTGAAAAAGAAATAAGACGTAAGTAGATCTAAACAAACATTTAAACTCACGGTTAACAAAGGTCGCTCTACTGGTGAACAAGTGATCTTGTGCCACAATTATGGCCATAGTTCGGGTGGTAAGTACGACGCAATCTATTTCTCTTTTGGATATTTATATCTGTCTAGGCTACCAATCAAGTTGGGGTTCAGCTGTCAAAGTACTTGAATTGCTTAAAAGTGAACGTATTTCTAAATTGTAATCCCTCTGAATAAAACAATGAAGCAGTTATTTGATGATGATGTTTTGATTACTACACAGGTTGTTACACTTGAGATAATCGTGATGGTATTTTTTATTATTATTATTCAAACTAAAAGTGCGATGCATTATTGGGTCCATCCGATAGAGAAATACGTGTGACAGCAGCACTAATACTACCATTGCGAGTAATTGCTCTAGCAGCCATAGTAGAAGTACGGCGACGAAGGTTAGCAGCAGCTTCTTCTTCAGGTGTCATGCCTAGCATACGATGTTCACGAATCATGGCCTTTTCAAACAGTAAGTCAGGTAATGTACACGCGCCTAATGCACGACGCATCTGTGTACTTAAATAACTAAGGCCCACTTGATAAGAAGCATTCATCCAGCCAAATCCTTCGCGCGGTACACACTTAAAATCAATACCCACATTGCCGTACTCCACTTCTACTTTGTGGGATAAACTAACCACATCAAACTTCTCGGGAACGACACCATTAAAATCAACAAATCCCTTGGTGATACTATAAAGATGTTAGCCTTATATGTATTATAAACAAAATACTTGCGTAAATAACCAACGATAAGCTAATCTTGCAGCAGTGTCTCTCATGCCGTATTTGTCTAGACCAATCCATGTCAATATCTGATGAGGAGCCCAACCAAAGGGGAAGTCCCATTGTCGGTTAGGTCGTTCCAAAGAAATAGTACCACGCGACTCTTCTGTACCAGAAACAAGACCACCCATCATTTCAAACTTGGAAAGGGAGTGTTTGACCATTTCTTGTGCTTGATGTTGACTAGCACAACCAGCCCATAGTGCCCAGAAACCAGTGACACTCTCATACGTCGCTTGTTCTTCCTTGACTGTATCGTAATCAAAATAAAGAGATTCTTTTTCGTTCCATAGATACTTATCGATACGTTCGCGTCTTTGTTTTGCTCTTTCTAACCAATCCTCTGCTTTTTGTTTTACACCGTTAAAGTCTTCCAAATCATCGTCTAAATGATCACAAATAACATCCGCAATGTCCATTTCGTACTTGTACAGAAGCGAATTGAGATCAATGGTGGCTAAGTTAGCACACACTTTTTCGAATCGATAGGTTGTATCATGACCTGATTCTCGAACAGCACGGTCGTGCAAGAAGTACTCGTCTAGTTCAGGTTCTTTGATTTCACCATCATTGTATTTCTGATTAAATTCGTCTATAGAGAGATGATGTTTGGCTGCAAAGGGCTCAATCACATGCACAAAGTGAGACGCTTCTGTCTCAGGGGGAATACCAGCACCATCAGGACGATATCGAGAAAGCATCGTCTTTTTATCCAATCTTGGTTCGGACATCCAAACATCCCAATACTCTTTAATGCAGGATTTCATGATACGACGTAACCAAGCTTTGTTTTCTTTTTCGTCATCAGGGTGTAGTCTTTCATAGACCTGGAGCACCATATCCGTCAAAAAAGGAGGTTGTGAGCGAGAAAGATAGTAAGATCGATTGGCATTCAAAATTTTGCCGTAATGTTTGATTTGATAGGCAAAATTTTCAACCATGCTACGTACAAGTTCTAAGCGACCATCTTCAAGCAAACCCAAGGCTGTGAAATAAGAATCCCAGCCATACATTTCGTTAAAACGACCCCCTGGAACAACAAAAGGTTCTCCAATATATGTATCGTGACCTTGATCATCCTTGATTTTACGCATAGCCAATGTTAATAGACCAGGAAGATCATTGATGCTCTTTGTGTATTCAGCTGTGATTTCCTTAGGCAAATACTCGACTTCCAACTGCATATGTTTACGCAGTTCACTTGCTTGTTTGTAAAATTCATAAGCTTCTTTATCATCATAAGGGACATAAATACGAGGGTTCTTATTTGAAGATCTATTTTTAGGATCAGGACAAATCACTTCCAAGGAATCAGCATCAATACGACGCGTTAATCCATCCCAAAAATTGTACTTGATCATACGAGATAAACGATCAACAGGATTCTCGTTCAGACGTGCTTCATCCAATACAATGTGTTTCCTGCCATAATCATTGGCTAATGCCAGTTCTTGCAACAAGTTGGAAAGCATATAAGTACCACGAATGTCAATCTTACGGTAACCACCAGAATCAGCAGTACCTAAAGACATAGTTTTGGGACCAAGATCATTGATCGTAATTTGAAAATCACCATCTGTGTCTTCTTGTTCTAGAATTTTACGTTGGGTTTCTTCAACGTCAATGAGAAATCGGCGCGCTTTATTTTTATCGTCTGATCAACAGATTAATATCAACTTGTTTTATCTTTATATTGGACTTGCCATGTGAAGCACGTCTTCTGCGAGTGCCTTCAAGACTTGATCCTGTAGCTTGGGTACCATGGTGACCTCTCTATAAAATGATGAATAGATGCATATCATCAAGAAACTTACCGTATAGGTTCTTGTTCTTTGCCTAGCATTATCACCCGTGGTGTAATAAGTAGAAGCAGGTGCGTGAGCGTCGTGACTCAAATCACTATCAAATATACGTTGTGTGTTCATATGAAAGAAAGAAAGTGAGAAGAAGAAAAGGAGTTTTTTTTCTTTTTTTTCTTTGCTTATAAGCATCTACTTATCGTATGTTGAATTCTTTTTTTTATCGGATTCTAAAATTACTTGTATCGGATTTTTCACATAGGCTCAACTATACTTTATGAAAGCTTCATTCATGCATACTTCCTGATGCTGACTAGCTAATACTATGCCAGAAGTATGAAAAGAACTTGGTTAATAGAAAGGGACTTGAATAGTTTTTTCTTTTATTCAAACAATCTTCTAAGCGCGAATGAGGATGTCTATCGAAGTCATAAAGATAATTTTAGTTGCACGCTTCAGCGATACGATCTTGTAGAAAAACTTGATGTCTCTTCAGTTTACTCTCAACGACCGACCTGAATTATTCTACAGGATTTAATTCAGAGGAATAAGGTGGTAGATAGACACATCTCTTGTGTTATCTATGACAATATACGAGCCCTGAGTATACTCACACAGGTGTACAAAATATCGAGAATATTGCTCAAAAAGCGAAAATGTTGATTGGTGATTATCGGGTGTTTAACCCCATCATCAGCATTGTCATTCGCGGTACTCAAGGTTTAAAATTAAGAAGGTATATGTCACCTTCTATTGTTGTGAAAAATTTAGAATTCTAAATTATGTTAGTGGGGATGGTGTCTGTCAAGCAACCAAGAACGCTCTTGCATTACTCAAGAAGGAATTCGGTGTACAAAGTAAACGTATATATGGCAGAAAAATAGATTTGATGGTTGTTGATCAGAAGCACAAGATGGAGCTTTGCTCTACTGAGTGGAAGAAAAAGAATGTATCAGTAGAGACCTTACTTTGTCAACAAACAAAAAACCTCCGTGTCTCAAAATGCATTTTGAAGAAAATTGTTGAATTAGATATCTCCCTCCCTGAATTGCAATCACTATCCATTGACATTATGGACTGGCGTGGTAAATATCGACTGCTTCTGAAAGGGGCAAAAGCGTTTAAACTCATACTTACGAACAAATGTGTTCTATAGGGTTTGATGGTTACATTCTGCAGATGCAAAGAGTTAATGGTGTATATCTAGTCAATCTTAATTCAACTCTTCATATTCCAACACATACTAATCAAATCAGAAATTTTAAGGATACCTTAATTAGTCTTTTTAAATGGAAGGTACATAAAGGGGGTTTTAGTTAGTTCAACACAAAACATACTGATTACTTTACTCTCACACAACATTAGGATAAACTTGTGGAGCTTCAGGATACTATCTCCTCTGCTAAAGCAGCGTCTAGTTCTTCAATTAGTTTCAATGGCATCATTAATGCGCGCAAGAGATCTCCCTCTCCAGAAGATTTTACCTTTTTTTCACCAAAGAGATCACATTGAATAAACAAAAATAAGTCAAAGTCACTTTGTGAAATATGTGAGATGAATCATAAGAAGATTACTATTCTATGTTCTCTAAAGCTATGTACCCTTCAGACACCCTATCTACTTTGGGTAAATCAGACTTACCACAGTGACTTGTCTTTTTATTTCTCTTTATTTCTTTTATCGCGAAACATGTCTAAAACAAGCAACTCGACACTTTGGAACGACTTGCTGGCTTGGCAAGAAGATATCAATGCAAAAGATAATGCTGCTTCTAGAAGAAAACTAGTGCACGACCAAGTAACTTATCACTGATTGATATGCATGTTATTTATTTTATGTTTAGGGCCTGCCACCTATTCGAAAGTCAACAGAGATCATGCTTGAAGATACCAAACCTGTTGGTTTGCAAGTACTTTCTTTGAAAAAAGTATGAGTTTTTATTTTTTTATCATCTTTATTATACTGACTGTACTAGCCTACTCCTCATAATACATCTTTAGACCTAACAACAGCCGAGGCCGAGAAAGCAAAGGTAAGAGATAGATATATTCCGGCTGGAGAGACTTATGCACGTTTTCATAAAGGGCAATGATTATTTTGCTAAAAAAGACTTCAAAAACGCTATTGCATGCTATGGAAAAGCCATCGATCTAGATCCTACTGTGCCTGTCTATTTCGTCAATCGTGCTATGGCTTATCTCAAAATAAACAGGTAAGAATGTCTGCTTATGTAAAGAGAGAAATGCTGATTCACCCTAGTTTTTTGGAAGCAGAGAAAGATTGTACACGCGGACTCGAACTTCAACCTAAGAATGTAAAGGCGCTTTGGAGAAGAGGTATCGCATTACGTGAATTGGGCAGAATAGAAGAAGCAAGAAAAGGTAGTTTTATGGCTTGTGTATATTGTATCTAACAAAAACGAAGATTTCGAAAAGGGACTAGCAATTGAGCCAAACAACAAATCGATTTTGGATGAATTGAGGAAATTACCTAAAGAAAAACCAGTAAAGAAAGTGTCATTTGTAGAAAAAGAAGAAAAACGTCGATTGCCTATCAATGTTATAGACGAGGCTTATCCTAAATCAAAAAATACACCTCTCATCAAACCAGTTGTTGAAACAAAGCAACCTACCAAGACAATTGAGCCTGTTGAGAAGAAGCCAATCGTAGAAAAAAAGGAGACGATAGTCCCATCAAAATCCACTACCCCAATTAAATTCACAAGCCCACGTACCAACTTTGAGTTTGAAAGAGACTGGAAGACATACAAAGCAAGAGGGGATGATGTTTTATACCAATATTTTCAAGTAAGCACATATGCATGCTTAAGTCAATTTACTTATAGCATACGCTAGACGATCCAGCCATCTTCCTATGTTACTTTATTCAAATCTTCTCTGGAATCAGATCAATTTGAGAAGATGATTGATTTACTAGAGACTAAATATACAAAAGAAAAGTCTCCGCAAGATATTTTTTATGTCCTTCAAGGTCTTTCTCAAGTGAAGCGGTTAGACATGTTGATCATGTTTTTAGACAAAAAGAGTCAACAAGGTAAGTGCTAAAACTTGGCAAGCAACTATTCTAAGCATTGCCGTAGCTTTACAAGGATTATTTGAACTGCTGAAAAGCAATTGTGACAAAACTATTGTACAGGAAAAACTAGTAAAACTCTCGAAAGTGTTCAATACGCGCATTTGATTTAAATAAATGTCAACTTTTATATAAAGAGTCTATTGCATTATTCTTGTCTAGCCAATCATGTCTTCCTCTTTGACAGATGAATTAAACTCAGCATAATGTAATTACCGAAAACATCAAAATGCTCTAATTACAGTCATTTGGACTATTTGTTTAGTCAATTTTTGTAAATTCCATCCTACTTTTGCAAGAAGTCATAATATAAACACTCACTTTTTCTATGAAAACGGCACTGGTGACATATTGACGAGCAATTTCAGGAAGCACCGAGTTACTTTGAAGATAAATCATTTCCCTTAACGGGTTTGACAAATCTTCGAAAGTATATCAAAAACCAAGAAGTTTAGGTTGAAGCAAGATCTTCAGCCGACACTGAGATGAAAGAGGCTGAACTCAAGAAGGAGAGAGTTTTTCAATATAATGTCTATACACTCGAAGATTGTGAGTGTTAGTTTTATTTTTTGAAGGAAAAGCTTATGAAGTCAACGCAAGCAGCCCTAGCAGCCAATGTCAATTATGGCACTGCTCGCAAATGGAAAAAGACATACAAAGGAAGACCTTAGAAAAAACCCGGTTAAAAAAACACCCAATAAAACACTTAATATACCGGTCAGTAAGCTAAATGAAACCCATAAAACTCATTTAATCAATTTTTTTGATGAAGATTCTACGGCAACAACCCAAAACGCAGTAGAAAACTTGGACTTAATTCGGATGAGTAAGGTGGAAGATACACTGAGGTGTAACCTTGCTGCATAATTATGGGTTCAATCGAACAATTCTGGTCCATCATAAAAGCTAAAGTAAGACGAACCAAGCTTAGTAATATAGAAACTCTTACTACTAGAATAATTGAGGCTAGTGAAGCTGTACCAATTGTTCATCTTGAAAATATTATTCAGCATTCAGCAAATCAGTTTGAAAAGTGTCAAAATGAAATGCCCTTATAAACTTTTAAAAAATGACCAATGATTTCAAAAAAGTGTCCAAATGGCAGTGGAAGCACTGTATGATGGAAAATGGCTCGAAGAGATGCGTGGAAAAAAGGCGATGTCTGTGTTACTGATAAATACAAGACTTCACAGACATGCATCTATTGTTTTGAGTATTTAGAGCGTCTTTGTTTTGTTGAAGAGAAGAATGAAAAGGCGATCAAGAGATCAACAAAGGTTAGCTTGATGTGTGTCAATCTTGAATGTGTCTCTGTAAAGCATGGTCGATCAACCAAGTCTCGGGATGCCCTCTCATCTCTTACAATAAGACTATCTGTGCTGACCTTGTGCCTTCTTGGGATACCTATACTCCACTTCTCTCAGTCTAAAATCAGTCAATATGAAACTGAAGAATTTAAGATTCAAGCATTTGCCCTTCTGCGATGCAATTAAGAAATAATTGGGTAAGATTTTTTTTAATATCTCATCCAATCTCTAATTTTGTAATTACATTCAGTTCCCTTTTTTTCTTTTAAGTATAAAACACTATCAAGATGAGTACCATCGTGTTCCCCACTGAACTCTCACTTGAAAACCGTAAGCCCGGGTATGCAGGCAATCTTACTGAAGAACAAGTGAGCAAATTAAAAGATATTTGGTCTCGTCTTTTGATCTTATTTGAGCAACCAGGGGAAGAAATTCAATTACCTAAACAACAAGAAACTAAGCCTAAAAAAAGTGGGAGCTTGTTTAGTTTAGGGTCTAAAAAAGAAGAACCTGTTCAACAATACTTTTTGGGTGTCACTTCTGACCCTCGCTGGACAGAATTATCTTTGGGCAAAGCATTACCTCTCATTCCAGGAAAATTGCTCCACACGTCATTTTGGGGTTTAGTGACTACAAGTAACCCTGATTCCATTGTATTGAGATTTTTGCGTGCTCGTAATTGGGATACAGATGCTGCTTATTGCATGTTGGTAAACACACTTCGTTGGCGAATTCATATGCGTATTGATGAAATTATTGCGCTTGGTGAAACAGGTCTTATTGAAGCATTAGAAAAGGCCAAAGAAGGTTTAGGTATAGCCTTTAAAGACCAATTGGACCGCAAACTCGTCACTCTGGGTGGCCCTGATAGAAGAGGCCGTGGTGTTTGGTAAGTAATTTCAGAACCGTTAGGTTCGTTAATGCATGTAGTTTTGTGAATGTTCAAGTGCACACCAAAGACAATCAGCCTTTAGAAGTGATTAAATTGCTGACTGTTTATATTATGGAAACTTCTCGTACTATTTGCGATTATCCTGTGGATACTGTCTGCATTGTGTTCAACCTAGAGAATTTCACTCTATCTAATATGGTAACTAAGTTAGTATGGAACTATCTTGGCTTACTTCTTATGTAGGATTTTGAGGCAGTTAAATTTCTTGTAGGTTGCTTTCAAGCCTATTATCCTGAGACACTAGGCTTATGCTGCGTTCACAAAGCCCCTTGGGTGTTTTCAACAAGTAAGTTCTGATATTGAGGCACATTAACTCATCCATTAGTCTGGAATTTGATTACACCTATCTTGGATCCTGTTGTTGCAAGCAAAATTCTTTTTACAAAAACGACGGAAGAGCTTGAGAAGTATGTGGATGAGGATAGCTTGCCTATCATCATTACTGGCAACAAAGATAAACCTTGTATCGATGACCTACCATCAAATAGAGAATCTATTCCTGGCCAGATTATAACAGATGATCCTCGTGCTAAGCTCTATTGGGATACAGTAGCTGAATATGAAGCCAAAACAAAAGATTGGGCTCAAACGACAGTGATAGACGGTATTGATCGAGATGCTATGGATCGCTTAAAGATGGCTCTACAGTATCGCAAGATAAGAATAAAGGCAGAAAAAGTACTGCGTGGAGAAACAAGTTATCATACAAAAGGCCTTATTTGTATAGATCACAACGATAGATTTTTGATTAAATACAATACAAACACTTGGAGAGAAAAAGATGTTACTGAATGGGTATAGAATAAAGACTTCTGTGTAATAAAGAAAATAGCGTATTATGTGTATTTTTTTTTTTTACAAGAGAAATAGAATGTATACAATAAATAACAGAAAATTACTGCTTGGCAGACAAAGCACCAGCACTATGTAAAGCTTGTTGTAAATCTTCTAAGAGGTCTTCCACGTCTTCAATACCAACACATAGACGAATCAAATCTTCTGGTAATTGACGTTCTGCACGAATTTGTGCAGGAATAGAAGCGTGTGACATACGGCAAGGCATACTAATTAAGGAATTGACGCAACCAAATGAAACACTAATGCTCCATAATTTGGTTCCTTCTACAATACGTTCGGAAATACCAATATCACCTGTTTCAAAACTCAAGACAGCACCTGGGCCTGAAGACATGGAGTTATGCAAATCATATTGAGGGTGTGAGCGCAAACCAGGATAATGCACCTTAAATCTGTTTTCTTCCAAGTAGTTGGCAATACGAATACAACTAGCTTGTTGCTTATCCATACGAACAGCTAATGTCTTGACACCACGCAACAATAACCAAGAATCAAAAGGACTTAGACCACAACCAGTAGAATTGATCACATAATAGAGTTGTTCACCCACAGAAGCATCTTTGGCACCAATGACACCAGCCATCAAGTCATGGTGACCAGACAAGTATTTGGTGCCTGAATGATAAGAGATATCAGCGCCTAATTCCAATGGTCTTTGTAGATAAGGTGACATCATGGTATTGTCCACCACCACCAAAGCATTAGGACAACGTTCATGTACGTATTTGGAAATGGTAGGGATATCTGTGATTTTGATCAAAGGATTGGTAGGAGATTCAAGTAAGACTAAACGAGTCTTGTCAGAAAGATATGGCAAAACAGATTCTGATTTTGTTGTATCCACATGATGTGTCTTGACATTTTGAGATTTAGCCAAGAAGCTTAAAAGACGGTTCGTGCCGCCGTACAAATCATCACCAGCAATGATTTCTTCGCCGGAGCTCACAAGACGAGTAATGACATCTAATGCGCCCATACCACTTGTGACTACAAGTGCTCTTTCAGCACCCATAATTTTAGCCATATGGTTTTCTGTTTGATGTTAGTCTATAGGCTTCAAATCAGTGTGTTTCTACTAACCTATATGAGTACGAGTAGGATTTCCACTACGGGAATAATCATATTCTCCAGAAGCAGTTGCGCCCGTTTGTTTAAATGTAGCCGTTTGATAAATTGGTACTGAAGCAGCATGGTGTGGGTCGTCTGAATTGTCTACTGTCACAACTTCTGTTGCAAAACGGTATTTTCTAGGTGCACTGATAACTGAAGAGGCTGAAGAAGAAGAAGGGAGTATATCTGTCATGTTGAACAAAGAGAAGAAAGAGAAAAAGAAAAATAATGTCTGAGAAAATTATATTTATTTACAAAAAAAACAAGATGAAGATTGAGCCTTTAAGAGCAGGCTGCTTGAGTGAGTTCGAACCAATCAAATCCGCGGATGATGGTAAAATCATCAATGGCATGATAGGAGGCGAACCTATTTTGCTTCGGAGAATCAATCTTTAGGACAAAATCCCATTGTCTTGTTTTTCGGCTCTAGTTTCTCTTGAGGCACATTGTCATTTGGATTGACGATAGAGGGGGCAGCAACCTTTTGAAAAGACGATGGCATTGAGGATGGCGTAGTAGTTGTATAAGTGATGGAAGAAGTAGTAGCAACTGTGCTTGAGATTTCATCTAGTTCTTTCAAGAGTTCAGTGGTAAACCGCATGTCAAAAATCTCGAGCACATATTTTCGCACAGGTGAACGGAAATGATAGCTTCCCAGCAGTTGACATACTGAGTAATACAAATCAACTCGTTTAAATGCATCTGGGTATACTTGTTTCAGTCTATAGTATTCTTATTAGTTTGCATGTTCATTTCAATAGATGACTTACTTTGCCAAGTTTTTGGAAGCTTCATTGGACAAGATATGGTTGCTCATGTCACCAATGTTCTTTAGAATATCAGCACCTACAGTATCTGCTGTAGCTGACTTGGGTAGCTGAGGTGGTGCAGACAATGCGGCTTTATATTTCCAATTCCGAATCTAAGATGAAAAAAAATTGATCAGTTCCATTTGAAGAATGAGATTAAAAAATTGATGTACGATTGCTAATTTACAGTCAAAAATTGAAAGAGATTCAAAGGTACACATAAACCTTCAGGTTCACCATTCGCAGACACAACACTTTCCCAGCCAATTTCACCTAAAAGCTCCACGCCTTGCTGTGTTTTGGCAATCAAGCCAAGTACAAAATAGCATGTTCCCTTTAGTGAAAGAATTTCACTATTTTCAGCCATACTGACAATGTCCTTGACAATGTCCTCTTCTTCAAGGAACGGTAAACCATTCTTGGTAGCACCGATATTACCCAATGCCCACAAAACAGCTTTCAATTGACCCAAAGAAGCCTCTGCCTTACTTTGTTCTCCTAATGGAAAGTCTCGAACATAGTCAGCAAAAAGTTTGAAATAGCCCTTTTCTCGTAACAAGTTGCATCCTTCTTCAGTCTTGGTAAGTTCGCCATAAAAGTGGGGAGGAGTTAACCCATCTCCAGGTTGTCTACAGAGAAAAATAAGTACATCATAAAAAAAAAGCACAACTTACAATGTTTCAAAATCATTTTCACTGTCTATTCGTTCTTCAAAAGGATTGAATGTCTTTTTCTCTGGTGTATTTAACAATGCTCTCGCCAGCGAAAGCTCTAATTGAGTAACATATTGCTGGTTTCCTCTCTACAAGCAAGATGAGGACAAAAGTACTATATGGGATCATCACTTACCTCAAACCATTCGTCCATTTCTTTTTGCACGTATCCCAAAGCATTCAGATATCTGAATCCTGTCGATGTTGACAAGAATCGTAATAATAACGGATGCCCAATTTCACCTAAATGACCCAAGCTAGGTCTACATTTGACAAGCAATTCAAGGTTGGCTTGTTTCTCACAAGCCTCATCCAACAGGTTGACAGCTGTTTGACAAACATCCATATGCGTATCATACAGTTGCGTTACTAATAATCGTATCATCCAGTCATTGTATTCAGCTTCAGATTGACGCATAATCACACCAATATGTTGTGTAGCAAACAAACGTATAGGGTTGTAACCAGAAGTCATGATCTTTGACAGTAACACACGGGGGTGACCATCCAATGTATAGTCTAAATTGGTAATCATGGCTACCTTCAAATCAGTACGATTCTTGAGCTCAGAAATTTGATAAAAGCAACTAAAGATCTTGAACTTTTCCAAGATACGAACACCTTCTTTGTATTTGGAGAATGTACCCAAAAGAGCAAAATAACCACAAGTCAATGTACTTTCCATGCGCTCCTTGGAAAAGATGGGCTCTGTTTCAGGATCACCGCCATTCATCAAAAGTGGATCTAGTTCATTGAAGGCAGAAGCAATATCATTCAATAGCTTGTTTTCACTCAAGTAACGCACACCGTCTGGATTCGACAAAAGAGTTGATATGAGTGTACATCCAGTCTTGACATAACGAGCAATAGTACCCTTGGTGGCATTCATGTCCGAGAATTGATGTTTTGAAGGACGGTAGAATGCCAAAAGTCGCTTGATGAACTTTTTTCCTCGCATGGCTTCGTCAAGACGTCGAGGGTTGAGTAGAGGACCTTGTAACAATTCTATCACACTATCCCAGTTCCACTTGGTATAATCTTTGGTATTGAGTACTTGTGTATCCATCAACAATTGTCTGAAATGGGTATCATCAATAGCATAGCCAATTTTAAGCTTGACTTCATGTACTTTTTCTTTTGTACGTGCTGCTGTAGCTGTATTCAGGAGCCGTTCTCCACCTTTTAAGGGAGCAGAGTTATTGGTGGCCATGTACCGAGTACGCACTCGCGTCAATCTGTCAATGTGTGCCAAGGCTGCTGTAGCATTGTGTCTCACTTGTTCGTCTTCAAAATTTGAAGCAAGCGTGAATAACTTGGGTAAAGATTGGACTTGAATAGCCATAAGAATAGGTAACAAACGAGTCGATAATTGTAGGATCTCACCAATCAAAAGCGTGGCTTTACGAGACATGTAGATATCGTCTGATTTCACCATGTCAATCAAGGCCATGAGTATATCCGATTCGATAAAGATAATAATAACAATGCTGAGATGATGATCAAGCATTTTGAGGCGTTCTGAGTTACTGGCAGTGGTTGTGCCTTTGTTTAATGAGCAGCGTGCATAAGCGTCAGGACTAATGCCACCAGCTGCCATGAGATTTGACATAACAGCGCCATTCAAAACAGAAGTATGGCCTGGTCGAAGTAAAGCTTTTGTCGAATCAGTGCTCGTTGTAGGAGCAATTTGAACAGTGTGCTGTCTTCCAGATAGAAACCCGTGATAGTCTTTGGGTAGTTTGACTCGAAATACATCAAAAAACATATCCAACACTAATTTCTATAGAAGCGTCAATAGACTTCTTTTTATGCGCTTTTTGCTTTTACCTGTACTTCAGGTACTGGCATTCTTAATGCTTGTACTACAGATCGAGCAGCACGCATATTATTTGCACTCATGTACAAAATACCTGCCCAGCTCTTAATCAATGTAGTTACCATTTTTGCACTGTTCTTTATCCTCTCTTCATGATTTGCACCCTTGTTGGACTCAGTGAATGGTGCAATAATAGTCTCTAATTCTACACCAGGACGAAGGTAGCATCTTTTGTCTGGTGTGTCTAATACATATAATACAGCCTGAATCAATACTTCAGATATGCCTTGCTGCCCATCAATTAATGCCTGAATCAGCACACGTAATCCTCCTGATCTAACTGTCAATGCAACATCCAATATAGCTATTGACTAGTAAATACAATATAGCAGGTGTGTAGTCAACTTACTTATTTCAGCCAGTGTTTCAAGAGCAATGTTTCTTAGACGATTGTCTTGTTGCTCTGCTATGGCCACAACTGCTCTGACAATACCTTGGTTTATACATTTGACACCTCCATACTCAATAAATGCACGAATAAGTTTGACAGTCTGTTCTCTTTCAGGCTCATGTCCTTCGGGATCACGGGCTAATGCTCTAAAGAAAATATGTGTTGATCTCCTTAATTAGTACATAGATATTTTTTTACCTCACACAAAAAATATCTAGTTGATACGACATGATCCGCTCTACATCCTCTGGGCCTTCTACTAATAATCGCAGTGCCCTTAAACCCATAATTCTAATTTCTCGGTGTGGACTAATGATACACTGTCGTAGACTATAATAAAATCAATAAACCTAATCTAAATACACAATTCATTACCATGACACCAGTTTGTTTTTTGACGTGTACGCATCAATCCCAGTCGTATTCTTTAAGATTCGAATCAACACTTCTAATTTCTCCATCTTGATCTCTTTTGGCTTATTTGCTTTCCACTCGTCTGCCTCAAGATGCTGAATAATGTGTTCTAATCGTATACCTAGCGGTGAAGCGTCTAATAGAAAGATGATGTGTGAAGGAATACAGACGATTTCCTTTTTTGAATAAATGCTTACCATCATCGGGATAAGATAGGTTCTCCAAAGCAGCTTTCTGTTTTCCTTTTGAAGTATTGCTTGAACGTAGTTTGGACTTGGTTTGTGCTAAAGCAGTAGGTGTAATAGCGTCTGAGAAACTGGTGCCTGTGTATTTGTATGCTTTTAATAATTTAGCTACTTCAATGATATTTGTCCCTGAGTTGACTAGAAGGACATGTTAGATCATATTGGCAATGTTCTCTTTAGTTTTACCAGCCACTGTTCGGATATGTTCAATCTGCTTAGTGGTAGCGTCGATAGCCGTATTATATCCTTCTAGTTGAGACTCTAGATCTTTTGTTCGTTTTTTGTCTCTCAAGTACACTTCGAGCATATTTTCTACACCAGACTTCATTTTCATCTCTTTATCTAGTCTTACAAGTAAGCTCTCCAACTAAAAAAAAAAAAAAAAAAAAAAAAAAAAGACGTGCTTAGAAAGAGAAGCTTTCTTCTATTGTTGCTTACCTCTTGTACCATAGTCTTTGCACTGGCAGGCGATGGTTGTGAAGGAGTTGAAGAAAGAAGCATAGCGTCGAGTGTTATGGTATCTGAATCAGTCTCTACATCCTGTTTATTAGGTTGTTGTGGTGCTAAAGTCTGTAAAGAAGGTGAAGGGCTCATATTTCCTTTGTGAAGGATATAAAAGTGGAAAAAAAAACAAGAGAAAAAGAAAATTGTATTTTCCTGTGAAATTGAGAATGAAATATTATTTCAGTTCAAATTGGCGCTTAATGAGTTCTTCTAGAAGAGTTCTTTTGCTTCAAAATATAGTCCATGTAAGGAAAAGCAAGTATACATAATTCACAAACACTGACGTTGTTTTGTTTTAGTATAATGTGATTGAACGCGTATTTACTATAATAAGTCCTTTTTTATTTTCTAATTTAAAGACAAAAAAAAAGGAAAGAGAAATGACTGTTATTTCTAAACATTCATGCAAAAAAAAAAAAAAAAAAAGGAACTACAATTGGGTTTCACATTCTTTCTTAAAGGAGTGCAATCTTCGAAGTTTATGTAGAGACTATAACTTTAAGTCAGCTCGGTATAAAGTTGGTTCAAAACTATTTATTGTTGAATAGATTGGTAAGTAGGACCATCTCTGGCAGCTTTCTCTGAATAATTCATTAACTCGAGATAACCATTTACTTGAACTTACTTGCACGGAATTCAGTTATATCCTTGTTGATTTCAGCCATGACCTCTTTGTAGAGTTGAGGACGATAGCCCAAAAAGAACAAGACTTCGAAAAAGACAAAATAGGGTGCTGACACAAGTGCTACGACATATGGTCAATAAATATACCTATTTTCAGGTGTGTTACCTTGTACGAGGTTGTCCAATAACTTGGGACTTCTTTTTTCTGCTAAACCATGTCCTAAAAATTGGAAAATCCATGAAGCAATATGAATACCAAGAGCAATTTTGTTGGCATTGGGGTTTGTGGCTAGGAATTCAGTTGCTGTATAGCTTGCTCCCAACAAAAAGGGTGCAGCCAAAGACTTTGTTTTATAAGTATATGTTATGCTTGTTTATCACTTACAGCTGCTATTGGGTCGAGAATAGCATAATAAGTTAAATAAAATACAGCACCAAAAAAAGAAAGATTAGGACCAAACGGCAACAAGAACTCAAAAGGAGTGTCTTTGACATTTACAAGTGGACCTGTATTAGCAGCAAACACAAGTGCTTATGTTGTACTGTTAGTCTATAGCTTTTTTGTTGTTGTTGTAATTGTGCTTACCGGTCCAAAAAATGGTAGGTACAAATATCATATGAATAGTTACATTCACCTTGTTGTTGTGATGTGAGCCATAAACAACAAGCTGTTTCTTTAAACTAAAAATATCAGACGTCATTACAGACAAACAAAAGATATAAAAAAAATGAAAAAGAAGGAAAAATAAGAGGAAAATTAATTCAATGCATTTAGATTACGTAAAAAGAAAAACTGGTGGGTTTTTTGTCTACCTTTTATAGTCAAAAAAAGATGAGCAGTAAAACTTTCTCATTGTGCCGTCCTGAATTACCATTTTGTGTGATGTAACCAAGGGGGAAATTTATCGAGTAACTCAAGAAATAGGGTCATTGTTTACGAGAAAAGTGTGTGCTTTCTTAGTACCACTACTGACTGGGCAAGAAATTGCTTTTTTACTGTCAATTATGATTTGACCTTGTCTGACTAATTGACAGAGACAAAAAAGAAAAGCCAGATTATACAATGAAACATTGGATCGGAGAAATCTTGATTAACATGATGTTATTTGAATTCTTTATTACCAAAATACTCAAACGCTTAGCTTTCTGTCTCTGGTTTTATTAACAATCACAGTGGCATTTCTTCAACTAAAAATAGCCATACATTGCTTGACAACCCTTTTGATCTGAACAACACCAATGATAGTATGTTAATTTTCTTAATGGTGTCATAGCTCTTTTTTTGCCACAGCTTTCTCATTAAGAAATACTGAATGATTCACTGCAGATTACATGTAATGCCTCTCAATGGATTTATTACAATGCAACTAGAGGCAAGTTGTATAATTCATGTATCCTTATTTAGAAGAATACTAAGCTAACCTCTATTCTCATGTGACTTGTAGTTAAAATAGCCTCTCAATTCAGTAACATAAAACTCTTTTCTCTAGTCAATTAATATGGGTAATTCTCAGTCTTTAGATAAAGTTCAAACTGTAGTCAAAGAGGGTATCAATATCTATCAAGAGATAAAGAAACAGCAAGACCAACAGCAACAGCACTATCAACAAACCACTCACTATTCTCATCACGAGTCTTACTCCTCTTCTTCCACTTATCATGTTTCAACAGACGTAGACGATGATAATGAATATTCGCGTCTTCGTCAGTTAGCCCACGAAGAAGCAGAAAAAAGAAACAATTTTTACGCTCAAAGCCAAGAGGCTTACAAATCCGGCAATGGTGCTGAAGGTATAAAAAAAATTGCAACTACACAATCTAAACTAGAGTAATAGCCAAGGAATTGTCTAATAAGGGTCACCATCATGATAATTTGATGAAACAATACAATCAAAGAGCTGCTGATCATATTTTTGCTGGTAAGGCAATATTTGATACTATACTACAGTAGCTCATATGTTGATAGTCAAAAACCAAGGCAGACCTAGAAACGAAATTGATCTACATGGTCTGTTTATTAAAGAAGCCTCTGAAAAAGTAGAAGAAGCCATTCGTCGCTGCCAAGATCATGGTGATGAAAATCTTGTCATTATTGTCGGAAAGGGTTTGCATAGTCCAAACCAAATTGCTAAACTTAAGCCTGCTATCATTGAATTAGTCAAGAAGTACAATGTGAGCTGTCAGCCTAATATTCCTAATCCTGGCTGCCTTTTCGTTGAGTTTGGTAAAGGTACTGGTGATCTTTCCTGGCTTGATCGAATTACTGGCAAGATGGCTAACGATCAATGTATTGTTATGTAACATATCTATATGCACATATATAATTTATCCCTTTCAATTCGTTCTATATTCTTATATTCACACTATACTTGCCTATTTGGTGAGACCGCCTATTTTTATTTTATACGGCCAAGTCAATAAAAGTAATTTGTTTTGTATATTATACAGTTAAAGCAACACCTTTTTAGTGTTTGTGCAATACAAAACATCAAGATCAACTTTTTTGTCTTTGTGGACATTGCTTCTAAAAAAAAAAAAAAGCAAACTATGTATTCAATGGCTATACATGCTTCTATTATCGTTAATTTTAGCTTACTAGCGAGGACATAGCTCACTATTGTTCGAAATTTGGTTTGATATTCCGAGGCTTGAAGATATACTAATTGCAGATATGCGTTTTTTATGCTTCGACCAAAAACATATTAATTGTGGTAGAGATAGCAAAGAAAGCGCAAAAGTAGTTTAAAAACAGTCTTGCTCATATCTAAATTGGGCTGTGACATAGAGAAAGCATTTTTCTTTAATCATTACTATCTTCTTTATGATATAAATCATGTAACTAGACTTTGTAATCTGAGCTTTTGACATCAATCTTAGTGACTATCGGCAATCTTATTCCAAATCACCAATTGAGTGTTGGTAGTTTCTGTTAATCTCTCAATCTCTTGGAGGGTCATATATATATATATAGAAACGGCCAATTGCTCAAGCGCCTAAATTGTTCGTTTTACTACTAAGATTACATGTCTTACTGGTCGAGGTATTTTTGCAGACGTGACATGAGCATTGTAATTTTGCATTTAATCAATAAAATAGTGTAACACAGTTTTGGTTTAAAGGAAAAGGCGTGAATGCTTAAAACGAAGCATTTCAACTTAGATCAAGTAATTTATATTAGCTTGCCGTTAACGATTATACTTTCTAAATCCATGTAATTAAAAGAATACGCAATTTTATGAATAAGTATGGTTACATGAATACAAATAGAGAAAGGTTTCTCTTTCTTATCATATATATATATATATAGAATGATAAAAGATGGACAAGTTAGTCATGTGCAGATGGCTTCTGTAGTATGTTTTCTGGATAAGTATGAGGAGCAGAATAAACAGGTGGGTTTGTGGCGGGTTGCATAGCTACTTTGTTACTGCCATCGTAAGCCATTGTGTTTCCCTGAAAAGGCATTACTGGAGGAGCAGAAGCTACATATGGATCGTAGTGTTGTTGGTATCCCATACCTGTGTCATAATAAGGCTGGTTATAGTAATTTGTGCTGGGATTGGTTGCATAACTCATTTGTGGAGAAGCATAGTATGGATCATGATGAGCATGCATCACGGTGGCTGCTATAGGAGGCTGGGGTGATGGCATATTATTATTTTGATAGGGCTCTGTCATCTCATATTGATTCTGATGAATATTGTTGGCAGCAAGAGCAGGCGAAGGTCGACCGTTATTATTGTAATTATCAGCCTGGTTGTTATAACCACTATCAAACGGATCGCCACTATTACTGTTGAGTCTTTCTTGACGCTCTCTTCTTCTCTTGGTCTTTGAAAAGAATGCATAAGCAAACCCAGCACCCAGAAGGGCAGCAACACCGCAGACAGCACCGATGATGGCACCTGTATTTTTATTAGTGCTAGAGGAATTTTGAGTTTCAGATGTTTGAGATGGAGCGGCGGAAGTTGAAGAAGAAGAAACTGGAGATTGACTGGCACTGCCTGACATCGTTGGGGTAGCAGACAATCCGCTGGACAACCAGGAGGAGGAAGATAAGGGAGGCAGTGTTGATGAAGTGGTTGGTTTTTTATAAGTGGAAGTAGGCATATCAAACGTAGTGGATGATTGTAGAGTTGTAGTGTGAGGATCATCAAAAGAAGAAGTCATTTGAGGAGGGAGGGTAGTACTAGTAAATAGAGGTGGTTGAATGGTGGATGGAAGATCTAAGGTTGCTGAAGGAACACCTGAGGAAATAAGATTGTTTTCTGATGTTGTTGTTGTTGTTGTTATTGTTGTTGTTGTTGAATTGGAGCATCCACCAAGAATATGACAAAAAAAATCTGCTCTTGCATCCTGTACAAGACTAGCAACTATAAACAAAATAGTCAGGTTTAAATGAATGGATTTCATGTTTGATGGAGTAACAAAAAGAGACACTAAAGAAAAAAAAAAATTAAGAGAAGAGGATACACTAAAATAATAGATCAAATGTAGCACTGCTTCAAGAGGAGAGCTACCAGAAAGGGGAACAATTAACATACCATTGGTTAAAATCACTTCTGCTTCTTCTAGCGGGATTTTTGGCAGTTGTCACACGAATCTTATTGTACTCTTTTTTTTTCATGTAGAAATGAGACTTAGTAAGAGCAAATATCTATTTCCTGAATATACAATGGACTCCCTCTTTTTCTAAGCAGACAATTACCAAAATTGACTCATGAATTACAATTAGTAATTGAACAATTGAAAGGATTCTGTTATTGTTTTGTTTGACAAAAAGACACGTGTAAAAAGCCTATTTTTATACTTTTAGAAACCTTTTCTAACTTTTGTAGTAATGTTGGTTTGTTGGTACTGCAAATTATCCATTCTAAACTGATCAATCATGACACCCACTTGACTGTCTACAGAAATTTGAATAGATCCACCCAATGCTTTTTTAATTGCATCATAGCCCAACTTCTTTGTCATCACAGGTATCTTTTCTGATTCAACAACCACGCCTTTACAGTTACCTGATGCATCACAGACAGTAGGTGGGAGCAACATGGGTCCTTTCCAGCCTTCCCCATGGTCCTCAAAATTAGCTAAAAGTTTGCCAATTTCATATACTTCATAAGTTGCAGAAGCATTGATTTTGTGAATAGACATTTGGACATGTTCAAACGGATTCCTTAAACTCATGGTGGCAGTGGATGACAATATATTCATTTGGCAATCAGCCAAGAGTGGCTCTTCATCAAAAGATGGTACATGGATATCAAATGCCATACCCTGTAAAAAGCGGTTCAGAAATTCAGATTGTGAAGCATTAGGATGTTGGCCTGATATAGTAAGCGTAACATTACTTCTTGTACCAAAACCTAAACGCCAGAAATGAATGATGTGTAACTGTGGCTAGTAAGTCATACCTTCTGAGATGTATTGCCCAATAAAGTCCAAGACATGTTGGTTGTCAGCAAATAACCAAGCAGAAGCATTCAGTCCGTTGAATTTACCTGGCGCTAGTTTAAGTTCGGGTATAGTTGTATTACCAATAGTATGGCCATTAAAGAGCAGCATCATATTAAGTGCTCCTAAATTAATGGCTACGTCAGATGGACTATAGATGCTCAAGTCTACTTGTGCTTCAATAGCATCTTTATGTCCCTTCATGATCTTCATCGATATCGTTTTTGGTGGAGGATGCTTCATGCCTTGTAAGCCTTGTGTCTCAATCTCGCCATCAAACTCAAGATCGCGGATGTTCAAGTTACCAAAAGCGCTTGTTACTTTGGCATCAGAAGTACCATGGATATAGACTTTGCCTTTCTTTTCGTTGTATACGCGGTTCAAGAACTCCTCGAAATCCTTTTGTCCACCAGGCAAGACTTTAAAAGGTGCTCGATACAATCGTGAAGTTACTTTCATCATACCAATAGGTAATTCCAAACCATTTCCTTCTTCCGTCTTTGCTGGACATGGTTGATTTGGTCTTACAGAGGCAAATGGTTTTTTGGAATCTTTGTTTAGGAACAAATAAACAAGTGGATCAATTTCGGTTACATCCATATGAAATTGCATTTCTTTTGGTTTCTTAAGCATTGCAACAGCATTTCCAGTAATAAGAGGCCCTGCTGTGGGTGAAAAATCAATGTTGATGTTAGATAACTCTAAAGATTGAATCAAGTCTGTTTCAGTGGCACCCGGAAAAGGCACGCTCAAGACAATTGATTCAAGTGCTTTACGAAGCCAGCGAGGTGTCTTACTAACATGCTTTTTAGAAGGCTGATCTTCTGGGCCAAATGAACTTCCACGAACATGAACCTGCGTTGAATTACCGTGTAGATAGCGAGTCAAGAAACCTTCCATTAAATGCTGTGTCTTTTCATCCTCTGAAATAGGCAGTGTTCGTCCAGTTACATTAAAATAGTTCATGCGGCGACCTTGAAGGGTTGCATTGTGCGCCTTTACAACTGCAATCTCTACATCTTTGCCTTTTGGGGAAGCAGAAGATAAATAGATACCAAAATTAATGTCGCCTAATGCCAAACTTAATATGCTTGAAGGATTATAGATGCCAACTGTTGCAGCCACTTCTATTCCACCTAATGGATGTTGACCTGGAAATATCATGGATTTCATATCTGTTTGTTTTAATCCATTCATGCCTATAAAATACATATAAGACAGCTTATTGATGGATCTATCGACTTGCCTTCAATATGGATTGATTTGTCCAGCTCAACCCGTGTTTTCCAAGGCAGCCAACCTAATGTGACCGAGAGCGGTCCAGCTACGCGCCATATGACAGTCTCTGCAATTACTGCATCTTTACAAAATGCCATTAATGCATTTGAATCATCAATCACGAATCGGGTGATAAAATCGAATGAAGTCATGCTTGAGACGCTATTTAAGTCCAAAGCAGGCAGATCAATTCTTCCCATTGAAGACAATGTCTCCACCAAGTTCTCTTGTTGCTCGTAATGTACCTCAAGTTTGCTTTGCTGAATACCGATGTTTCCAAACAGACTGTTTAGTTTTTGTTGCAAATTAAATAACTTGGGTTGCAACTCTATCTGACCGACTACATGCATTGTTATGACGTTGTCTTCAGTGACGTTCACGATAGAAGCTTTTTGAAAACCAAAGCCCACACCGTCTTTTATGGCACGCTCGGCAAAAGTAGGGGCAAACCAGAGTAAGCAAAAAAGAATAATCATGCTACAGGTTGTGATAATGATTGCTATATATGTACAAGTCTTTTGTGAATGATTTGTAGAGTCATTTTGATCAAAAGATGCAGATGATATGGATCCATAAGCAGTGGAGGGTGTTATGAGTGGGTCATTCTCTTGCTCTCCTTCTTCTGAATAAGGATTATTCAAAGTATATTTTTCTTTTCCTTTTCTGCTGCTGTTGTATTCTGAGTCTCGTAAAGGTTGATGTGGGGAAGAGGAAGAAGAAGACCCTTCAGCCATTGGATTATATGACATAAGTTTTGATAATTATGTACAATAGATAAAAGAAAAAGCGAGTGAAAAAAAATCCCCCACAGTTCTTGGACCTTGCTGTGATCTTCTGATCTCTTAAAACTCAGACATAAAAAAAGAATTAATGAAGACTGTAAGCTCTTATATAGAATATGCCTTTTACTTGATTATAGATCCTGTAATACTTTATTGATCATAGACCTCTCTCTTTTCTACATCTGCTCTCTTTATCTGATGCATAAAATCTTATTCTGATAACATTTGAAGATGCCCTTTATCTGGTAAAAGATGAATCGATATGTTTCTGAGAGCATAGTGTATGCGAATGAAAAATGTGCACCGAGTGCTGCTTAATTGAATTAGATTTAGTATACAGATAAAACGCTTTCATCTAAAAGATTAACATATAAACAATGAATTCAAATATGACCATGGTTCCTCTTCTCAGAAATAACGTCATTGATTATCAAATAAAACAAGTTTTATTGTTCTCGAGATTGAACAAATACTCAACAAGTCTGTAGAATAGATTGTATAAGAAAAAATGGACATTTCTTAGTCAAAATGGTAGATGCAATGGATTCTATAGTAGTAAACGATCAAGCCAAATCTGCAACTACACCTCTTTCTTGATTCTTGTGAAAGGATGTATAAAGTAAAGTCTATAATATTTCTGCTTTTTAACTATAAATAGTGGTCCTAAAACAAAACAAAAAAAGAAGCACATGCTAGCCTTGTTATTTGTCAAGATCTAGTATGGATCTCATAGCTATACAAAGAAATATATCTATCATTGTATGCAAACACAACAATAATCGTATCACCATTCGAGCTTTTATGCGTTGAGCCACACTTCTGATACTATTAACATAGTACTTTGTCAAATCAATAGTCGAAAAAGGAGAAAGAAAGTCATTTCATATGACTATTTCAAATATTTGTAACTTTTTCTGCAAAACTCAGACGAAATTCAAACCTTCGAATCTGATTAGTTAAATACTCAAGTCACGTGATCAATTTTTAAATTACTGTTAATATAACTATTAAAAAAAGTACAAAATCCATTGATACGTTTGCGGTGCTGAAGTGTGAAATATGGTTTAGTGACTTAAGTAATAATTTTGAACAGATCAATATGTTTCCGGTTAATCTGCTATTGTTGTGATGTTTTGATGATAGAGAGTTATATGATAAGATAATGTAGAGATAAAGGTAGATACTTTGAGACTGTTTTATACAATTTTCTTTTTGACTATAAATTATTCTAGCATATTTATACATGAAGAGATGTCGGAGTAAGTAGTCGTAGAGTTCATGCAAATGACTGAGTCTCTATTATCATAGACTACTTTAAATTAATTAAATAATGTAAATTATGGATTTCGGTTATAAGTCTTGATCTATTAAAAGATACATTGTCTTATTCAGTACAAGAGGTTCTTTTATGTCTATTTCTGATGTAAATTGATTATGATATATTTTAGTATGTAATTGAAGACTTATTTAATGTCAGATCATCACACCAATGCTAATATATTTGCCAGCCCGACTGTCACTTTATGAGGGCCATTAATAATAACAGAGTCACTAGGTTCATAATCTCTGACTATGAAGACGATGTAGTACTTCTAGTAGAATGAGTGAATGTCAGTGACTATAGATCCATTGCAATTGCCATAGATGTGATCTGGTCTTTTGCCATGATCATCATTTATTGATCTATGCATATGAATTCATATATGTTCACAATAGGTACTTCACCTTACAGACTTAGATCATATATTTAGTTCAGATAGAAGAATATAAATACTGTGCTATTGATAACTATAAGAACTTTATCTTATACTTACTTTATCAATACACAGGTAACATGAAATAGTTCTATTAATAAAGACCTTATACTTACTTTATCAACACACAGACGTCACTGCCTTCTAGAATATTTTCCTAGTAATATCATTCACTAGAAAATATTCTATCGTTACGTGACCCGTATTATTGACCACAAATGTTAAAAAAATATTAGTTTGACAAATCTGACAGTGATGATATGTGAGTTTATAGAAGAATTGAAGCAGATATTCTAGAAGTAAGATAACCGATTAATCACTTGTTACACACAAGCACCAAGGAAAGACTGTAAAGAACCTACTTCGAATGTAAGAGCACCAGATTCTCAGGTAATCTCCTTCAAAAATATCCTTTCAGAAAAGTTCGATAATTTTATTAGGTTTTTCTCATTCAGCTTTTATACAATTCAACGGAATTAGATAGTAAAAATATAATGTACTAAGATACAACGATAAGAACATAGATAGGTACAGACAGATAACAGGTAAAAAAAGGAAGTAAAGATAATAAAGCTCTTGATTTGCTTGCATAAGAAAGAGTATAAGAAAATTATGGGAATTAGCACTGTTGAGAAAATACATGACCTGTATGAAATGAGAGATGGCTTATTGTTTTGCTTGCTAGTATTCTTGTTGGTCCTTAGATCCACATGTTCACCACGAACGCACCAGAATCATCACCAACACCTGTTACAACACCCAGAACAAGAACAGCCATTACTCAGAGGGTGCTTCACCACTTTACTACGTACACCCAGAGTATAGAAACGGCACGGACACAAACAAACCCGGATCGGAATAGCCACTTACGTCACCACTTTCTTGGTATTTTTGAGTCAGACAGGAATAACATTTAACTTATCAAATCTGTCACAGAAAATAGCGATTCCAGTAAGAAACAGCCAATTGAAGTTGAATATAACCTTCCAACAAACTATAATCCGAACAAACGAAGGTTTAAACCACAAGTACTGAACAAAAGAAGAAAGAAAGTCCGCCTCAACTTGATTCGCATTAGTAAAGCCAAGCACACTTTAGATTCGTCAAGACAGAAACATCAATCAGCTTTAAGTATTTAATTACTTCCTTCTCCATATGTTATAGTTTATATATTTTAGTACAATTAGAAAACATATAAATACTGTGTTATTGATACTTGTAAGTTCTTCATCTTATACTTACTGTATCAATACACAGGTAACATTACATTTATTATAAATAAAGATCTTATACTTACTGTATCAATACACAGTTCCTTTCTGTGACGTCACGTTATTTCCAGAATATTTCCCAGTGAATCTATTGGCTAAGAAACGTTCTATTGTCTCGTGACTTGACTATAAGAATACAAACCTAAGTAAAATATCAAATCGACAATTGGTAGCATCAGACGTTCCGTTCCTGACTGTTGTATCTCCCTGTGTGCCTCCGTGCTGTATATCTGTGCCTAAGTGCTGTATTGTATCTTTATTTTGCCTACGTGCTGTAATTACTCTATTATCTTAATTGATTAGTACTGGTGTATTATTGAAAAAAAAAATGTCCAAAGAAAACTCTACCTCTGATTTGTCTGACAATACTGCTATTGTCTCCCTTATTCAAGAATTTACCAAGGCCTTGAATAACAATGGTGGTAGAAGTGTACCTCGTACAATTGAACCCCCAACCTACGACGGTACTCGCGATGCAATGATTATTGACTCATGGGTTCGTACCTTGGAACGTTACGCTGATTTCCAAGGCTGGGATTCCAGACAAACTAAGTGCTATGCTGTCACATTGTTGCGCGGAAGGGCCGACACCTGGTACCGTACTCTGGAATCTGATACTGAAGAAGAACCACAAGACTGGTTGACACTTAAAAGGGAATTGGTGGATTTTTTCCGACCCGATGACTCTATCCGACTTGCCAGAGATAAATTGGCAGCCTACCGACAAATGGGTTCCCTAAACGACTATATTAATGGTTTTATGGACATCATTGCTGCTATCCCAGGAATTACCGAAGATGAATCATGCGACAAGT